CACTCTAATTCTGTTGATAATCTGCGTTGTAAATGCAACTCCCGTGTCGTTGGCTAGAGCTTCTAGGTTCAAAGGGCTTGCCAACAAAGTAAAACATGTAAACCGATTTATAAATATTCTTAAAATTCGTCCATATCTCCAAGATCAGGCGCCATCACCTGAAACCATTTTGCAATGGTACGATCCGCTCAAAGGCCGTGATTCGATTGTCGTGGCTGGAATGAAAATCACTGCAAACGTCCCATCTGTCAATCTCGACAATATCCAAAGCCTTTTGTCTATTAAATGTAACCAAGATCGAGTTACGATGGTGCTTACTGAACCACTGCCAAGCACCAACTGGAAAGTCCAAAAAACCCTGTTGGTGATTGGATCGCAACATGGTTGTGGAGTTGGCAATTCAGCCGAGCAGGCTCTACTTCTTGCTACCGACTGGATGCTTGACGCTCAACGAAAAATTGTCGTGTTTACAACCACTAACCCAGAAAAGGCTGGTGTTACTGGCAGTTTTGAAATTCTTGCACTTCCTGGTGTCGAAAGCAGCCAGGGTGGTGGTATCACTGCTGATGATATTTCTAATGGTCAAGCTAGCACCCATTTACTGCAAAAGCGTGGTCGAGTATCCAAACCAAACGCCAAAACTGTTGGTATCGCACTCAACTTGGATCTGAAAGCCAGTCCATCAGTCGAACTTAACCCAACAGATGTAGGCGGTGTATTCCGAGTCGGTTGCAATCCATGTGGCATCAAAGCACAAACGACACTTTTATTTCGTGCATCCGGTCGACTGTTCAAAAAGCCAAAATATTCATTGACCTGGGAAGGTGACATAGACATGTATGCCATGCTGTCGTTTGACATAGGTGTCAGATTAGACAAACGATTGGTTTCCATTCCAATTTTTGAGTACCCACTGACTCCGATATACATTCCTGGAGTGCTGTCTCTTGGCCCTAAGCTAGTTTTTGAGTTTAACATGGATGCGAGCATTTCGGCTGAAGTCCGATCAAAAGCAAATCTGACCGTGTCCTATTCCAACTTTGAAACCAGCATTGCATCTAATGAAAAAAACACATACCGTGGGTTCAATCCTGTATATACTAGCAACGTCGAAGCCGACAAGCTTGTTGCTGAAACACGACTGGAATTTGCACTCACCCCAAAACTTAAACTTGCAGCCGAAGTGTTTAAATTTGATCTTTTGGAAACGTCACTGTCGATTGCAAACAAAGTTGGCATCAACTTTGGTATCCAAAAAGACATATCAAACCTTGAAAACATCAAACGACTCGACTCTGGCCCGGCCTCATTCGATGTAAATTTATCAGTTGATGTTGGCATGTCACTCGACGGTGAAGTCTTTGGATTCTCAAAAGTCTTGTACACTATTTTTACAAAAACCATTTTTGAACGGCGCTATACTGTCAACAAGAGCAAAACACTTGCAACTACAGGTCCTTGACCTGTTTAGTTCATAATCTTGTAAATACTTGACCATTTGCATTGATCATATACATATTGCATTCATCACACAATAAACTAAATTGACAATATCCAAAAAGTTGTTTATAATGTATTGTATACAGTCATATATAGTCACATACAGTCGCATACTGTACATTAGTGTATTGGTGTATGTATATGATATACCGACAGTGTTGAGTTGACAATATACATGATTATTGGTGTTTAGTATGCACGCTGTGTTGATTGTTGTATTGTGTTAGTATCAGACTGTCGTGTATCAGTCAGTCATGACCAAACGGTACACATATAGTGCCAATATATAATGTACAGTGGTCAATGTATAATGTTCAACGGTCAACGGATAATCATAGCCGTAGTACAGATAATTGCTTATCCGACATTTGAAATATCACCCGAGTTCAATATACCGGTGTAATGCAATCAACAAAAATGCTTTAAAATGGACACATTGTCAATCGAACACATGGTCAATTGAACTGGTACACACAACTACCAAACACGACATGGTTGACTGTGCTGTCTAATATATGTATTTGGATGATGTTATCAATGTAGATTACTGTTCTAGTATCACGGCTACTTCAAACTGAGTGACACGACTGGATGCGATACAATCCGTTTGACAGACATTGCAAATACTGCAAGCACTGCAAACACGACACACGTTACATTGTATACAGCCATGTGTAGTGTAGCATTTGTATGATATGTGCTGACAACAATATGCAAGTTTTTAAATCGAGTTTAAACCCATTTTATCAGATTGTGTCATGGTTGTCACGATTGTCATGGTTGTCAATATTTGTGACAATTGTGTGATAATTTGTACCAAATTGGTGGATTCTAGCCGATTGGTGTAAACATTTGTATTTATGTTGCAGCCAGAGCATGTATTTTGTTTGTACATACACTGACTACATGTATGGCGTGTATTGACATCAACGTCTGATTGATTGTTTGGTGGACAGTCCGAGTCCGAGTCCGAGTCTGTGTGATTGCAATTGTTTGACGTAGATCTACCGTTATACTAGACTGTTTGCATGATCTAAAATCGATGGTATCAAGCAATGTATGTGATGCAATGTGGTGTAGCGTGGTGTGCCATAATATGTGCAGTATCGGATAGTATCTGACAGTGTAGTGTGGTGTGTGATGTAGCCATACGCCTTGCAACACTGGTGTTTGTTGAACAGTCAGCAAACCATGACAAACAACAGAGTAGCTTATGATGTGATGTCCAAAATACGATGCGTGTTTGGAAACATTCTGTCGATGCGATTGTTTAGTCGTTGAATACTGTAGCAGTCACTGTTTGTGTTGTCAGTATTCAAACACAACGATCATCATACGACACACACACGATGACGCTGTAGTTTTGATCTGGACTGGTGTATTCAGATGTTGTATTTTGATCATTGTTGACTATTGTTGACTATTTTTGACCATTGTTGGCAGTCATACATTGCACGATCGACAAGTTCAACTCAAATTCATACATTGCAACTGATATATCAGTGTTGACTGGTCCGATGCTGTCGGTCAAACTGTGCACACATTCGTATGTGTTGTATTTTAACACTTTGAATATGTTCACGATCTAGTTCAACAGATTGTGCATTTTGGAATGCAACGGTTGTTTGCATGTCGAACAGTGTTTACTTGTAATGTCTGAATTGACTGAATGCAGAGTCGCGGATTGATCAAGTGTCATGAATATGTCATGAATATGTCAACACTCGTCCAGTTGGTTTATACAAAAATGAGCACGCATAATAACCAATCGACTTTGTCAGAATAATACAGTGTTGTACAGTAAACCGACACCAATCATGACATGGTATTGGCTGTGTATTATGTATATCGACATTTGTGTTGTGATTGATTGTATGTGAATACAGCTGTAATTTATTTACCAAAAATAGTTGTTTTGGTGTTGAAAATATAATGGTTCCGGTATTTGTATAACTCCATTATTTGTGTGAGCCATGCTTAAGCAAACTACAAAATTCATCTGGTGCTAGATCCAATGGCGTTGCTCCGTCATTATCAGCAATTTTAATGCTGGCATGTCCCATACTCAGCAACAACTCCACCATTTGTTTACTTTCAATCATCAGTGCATAGTGTAGTGAAGTCTGACCGGAGCTATCCTGTGCATCTACTTGAATGCCACGTTGGATAAGAACTTGAGCCAATTTCAAGTGATCTCTATCTACTGCCCAATGCAAAAGTGTCATGCCCTACAAAACATTCATGTGTTACTAATAAAATTGTTTGAAACCTAGTCAAAAACATTTGATTTCATATTGGTAATTCCATGCCTTGAATAGCATTAAATCAATAACCACAATTTTCAATTCATAAACATCACATTTAGTGTATACCTCTGAATCTCTAATATTAATGCTTGTCTCAGTATCCAATAATGACTCCACTGCAGTAACATTTCCTTCTTCTGCCCAATCAAATATTGTCTTGTCTGCATCACTATTTCAAATAGATAAACATAACACGGCAAAATAGAATCAGTATATTGCAATGTACATTTTGCCAAAAATGGTATTAACCTAATTCATGACTCGCAGTAAGCTATACCTGATCCATTCACGAGAGTCACTCATGGAGCTAACGTGGAATCCAGTAGACAATGCAGCTGTATTATGGGCGAGGTTACCATCATCCGAGTTTGTTCCCAATTCAATCTGGTAACCAATAAGCTTGCTGACTAATTCAATATAAAACAGTTTTGCTTGGGGTTGAGGTAGATCTGCCAAATCGTTCCATGCAGACCACTAGAAGAATAAATTCAGGTTGGGATTGAAATCTAGTTTGTTAATCATGTAGAATAAAGCCGGATACCTTTGCTCTTTCATGAAACTCGAATAGACCAGGCTTGGGTAACATGCATTGACCAGCCGTTGAGACTTTGTAGAGGCTGTACAACTAGAGTGATATTGCAAACAGGAGCATGTATAATCCAATGAAAAGGCAGTCAGTTTTACATAAAACTTATCCTAGTCCATGCTGGTTTAGCACAAAGCTGATGGCAATAGATTCAAAGTAATAACCTCGAGAAGGGATTTTGTTGAAAAGGCTGGACCTTTATAGGCATGTATGCAACCAACTGCCTCGTTGAACAACTCGTCCAAGTCCTCCGTCTCTACAATGGCCATTTGGTTTGAAGAATGAAATTGGGTTCATTCCAACAATCACAGCCAAGTTATAAGCCTTTGTGAACCCATATTAGGGTTTAAATTGTTTCTATCAAATGAAACTATAATGAGATTGATTGTTGCTGTTATTTTTCAATAGAACAGCTAGCGACTACACTGGCTGATAAACTGCACATGTTTTTCACTAGCTTGTATTGACCAAGATAAGCAGTGTTCCTAATACTTTTAGTTTATATGCTATTTACCAGTCATTGTATAAAAAGTGAAATGTTATTTATTGAGCCATGTTGCAGTCAATAGATAAAGACGGCTGATTTTAAAATGCAGCAAGAATAGGGGCTATTCGGTCTTGGTAGTCATTTTGGTCACATATTTGGATCCAAAATAAGCAGTAGAGAAGCTAAATAGATTATAAGTTGGATGGGCAAGTCAGCCAAGTAGATTAAATGCTACAATTCTAATCAAGCCTTACCAAAAGGTAACCACTGCAGCCAAGAATACTCCAACAGAAATACAAGCTGTGAGAGCCAGACCAGCAACAACCACAAGGCCGCCATGCACCACCGCGACTCCAGTGCCTAAATGCCAATAATTTTCACATGTTAGATCTAGATGGCTGAATACATGACCCTTCAATACCAACCGGCGATTCCAAGGATAATCAGGCCAGTCACAACGGCAAAAAAGATAAATGCACCCAGTGGAATGGCAGAGAATGCAAGCAGTGCAATACAGAATGCCTGTTTACAAAATCATTAGTTGAGTCTACACAGTAACAGTTGAGCCATTTCAGATTCTAAATCCAATACTTGCCTTTAATGGTGGGTTTTTGTCTAGTTGCTTTGCAAACTTATCTGGAGACCAACCCATGGTATTCATGACTGTATTAAACAGCTCATGTGCTTTCTTCTGAGCACAGACTGCATACGATTTCTCAGACTTGGGTTCGGGCAGAGGGTTGGCCATGGTTGAATTTGTAACGTGCCAGGGCTAGTAACTTTCAAGGAAACTGTTTGCACGCTGCGATTTTAAACTTGACTTTAAAAGCTAATAAACATTTCGTCGTTGCAAATGACTAGAACAAGTATAACTCTCAACGTGTATGCGCATACCCGAAAAGTTGTACTCTATGCACTATTTACTTAACCAACATTTCAATTATATACTCCTCATTCTATTAGAAACCCTCACACCGAGGTTCAGGCTCAAAGAAAACGCGAGCTTGAAAGCAAACTCGATGATGAAGTCGTCAACCTTGAATTACTACAAACCAGTTTAAAAAAAACTGATATGCTGACTGAGAAAATGGTATGTGTAGTATATTTTTAAATACATAAAGTTTGTATACTAAGCCATTCGAGATATTTCATACACGTAATATATAGCAAACCATATTGAGCTCGTTTGACCAGCGACTGTCCAAGCTCGAAACATTTATTCTTCCCATTTACAAATCAACTCAAAAACTAACAAAAATGCATACAAGTAAACATGATTTGGAGGCATTTTTAAATGGGTAGCGGTATTACAGGTAGATTAACAGTTCAAGTCGATATACCTTAGATATTGATTCTGCTCTTGCACAGATTGAAGGATTCACTAGCACGCTATCTGTTATTAAGCAGCACGAAGCAATTGTGACCAAAGGGTATGTATGGTAGTATGAGAAGGGATACAATTCTGATCACAAATGGCGCTCCAACTCTATTGAATTAAAATTGTATTGACCATTATTTTATTTAGACCACAAGGAATTCCTCTTGCCGTGTATTTGGAGTCTATTTCAAAATTAAAAGAGTCTTTACAGAATCTTGAAACTACCAAGTACAAATCATCCGAGCGCAAAATACAGGCTCTGGTATGTTTAAATAAACTATATCAAGTGTTTTGTGTACTTGTAAAACCAAATGCAGATATGGATAAACATACTATATCTTGCAACTTTAATAGAAAGATACGCTGTGGAAAGGAATTCGCCAGTTGGACGAAATGTTTTCTCAAAAACTGCAGGCCGCAAGTGATGCAATAGATCCTAGTGCATACCAAGTTGACGATGGTAAATTTTCACCTTGTCCAATTTTGTGTTGTTTACTGATTTATGCTTGCATAAAATAGATGTTGTGCCATCGCCCATCCCAGACGCTCAGCTTTCAGAACTACATAACCTGGCAAGTGCACTTGCAGAATCTTTGATAGAAATTGGCCCTATTTCGGCATTCATCAAGCAGTATGAGGAAATCCGGTCAGCACATTTGGTAAAATCGCTCGCTTCTATATGCCAGACAACCAAGGATGAGGAACTCAAAAGCGTGCATCAGCGTGGAACGTATCAAAAAGGATCCAGTTTGCTCACACAATACGGAAAGAATCTACTTATTCTCCTTAATGTAAGTGACCATTCTATTAAAACTGTAGCCAATATTAAATCCTGATTTATAAAAGGCCATTTCAATATCAAGTTTTTGGCGAGTGTAGCATTAAAAATTTAAATGTGCTTGGTTCTGATCAATATGTTTTAGACTGAGCATGCTCTCCATCTTAAAATCATCCCAAAGCATCATGCGGTTACAACATTTGCACAAACAATTGTTTTATCAGTTGATGGCTTTCTTGACGCCTGCGAGTCTATGCTAAATCGCGTCAGAAGAAATATTCAACGTCGGGATATCAATGATGTATATATGCTGATTGATGTCTGGGACGATCTCTCAAACCTGTTTGGCAAGCATGTTGGTCTCCTTGCGGTAAGAACGTTTATAATTTTTAGTTTTAATGGCATCAACTAATTTGTGCAAATACTTGAATATGGATTTTAGTATTGTGGAAAAAAGGGTCATGATATCGATTTGGTTTTGGCAAATTGTAGCACAACTGCAATTTCATATTTTAAAGAGGTGTATGATGAATTCAGAGTGGATTCGGAAAAAAAACAAGCGGCATTATCTGTAGATGGCACAGTTCATGAAACAACTAGCAAGGTGAGTTTTAATTACAATCCAAGATTTAAATGTTTAAAGATACAGACTATCAATGCGTAGTACGATATATGCGCTAACCAATCCATTTAGACAATCAATACACTCAAAAGACTGTTGGACTTTTCATTGGCCATGGAACATATAATCATGTCTAGTCAGGTAGGTTATTGTTTTTGCTTATCTATAAACCAGCATAAGCTACCAATACATATAGCCCTAATCATTGCACGCCATCTAACTATATCAAACAGGGAAATCCCGGTGCACTTCCCGTCACATCTTTTCCGGAATTTGTATCAAAAATGATTGAAGCTCTTGTTACAGATCTTGAGATTAAATCACGAGGGTACAAGAAATCAACCTTGACTACACTCTTTCTTCTCAATAATTTCCACTACATCCTTAAAGGTCTCAAAAGCTGTAGATTGGTGGATAACTTGAATAGTGATACTCTTGACATGGTTGAAAAATCAATCAAAAAGCAGTTGGATGTGTACAGAAGCAGGTAAAGTATACCATGCCATATTGTAGAGTGCGTTTCAGATCAGCCTATTTGACTGTTTTGTGGTGATTGTATTTGTGTAGCTGGATGCCATTAATTGAACATCTTATGGATACAACGAAAATATCAGACCAAAGGATTGTCACTATTCTCTCCAAACCTCAACGCGAGGCTGTCAAGGAGCGATTCAAAAACTTTAACAAAGACTTTGATGAAATGTTCCAAACACAAAAAGCTTATGCAATTCCCGATGTGGAACTTCGTGCCCAAGTTATAAAGGAAGTTCGGCAAGTTCTTTTGCCCATGTACAATCGGTTCTACGATCGATACGTTGAGACAGAGTTTTCAAAAAATAAGGAAAAGTACATCAAGTATGACAAGGATGCATTGACAGGTGCTTTGGATAAATTCTTTGATGCTTCTTCAGAATCTATGGTTGGTAGACAGTGGGGTCGCACTCAAGAATAGTGACACATCACTAGGCATAGCAGGTATTAATCAGTCAAACTATACTTGGATGTTAAAAATGCTCAAGAAAAATAAACACCAGTATTTGATTACCACACACTATTATCTCAAGCACATATTGCCACAAGTTTAGATTAGTGTTTTACTATTCGACATGATTGGATACATAACACTATATTTATCAACAGATATCTACTACTCAATGTAGGTTTTTGATTGAATACAATAGAATACTAATAAAATTACCAAAATGCATAGTAAACCGCCAATCTCATGAAATAAATGGTCATTTGCTGGACATCATTGTGCTTTTTGACTCTAATTGGCCAATCTTTTAGTGATTGGCATGAGAACAACAGTTCCAATACTCGGATCTGGTGATTATACAATGTATGGCTATATTAAATATGAAAAAAGATTAGGTTCAAAACTATAGTTTGTGAACATCATACGATGAACATTATTTATTTTGAATTGAAATGACTAAAGTCAATTCTAGTAGAAAAGTGTAGCGAGTATGTAAGCATTGTTTATTCCAAAACCAAATAGAGGCGGCCACTGCAAGATAAATACAAAAGAGCGTTCTATTTTACGTGAATACGACTGTAAACGGAAAACAACTACTAATGTGGATCAAATAACTAATTTTCAGAAATAGGTGATACAGCATGATCAACTGAATCGGAGCTTTTTGTTTTCCCCAAGACGCTAGCTTGGCGAATAGTGGCTAAAGCAAGAAATGCTAATGATGAAATATACAAGGGTGAGTAAATCCAATTCTCGAGATTCCTAAATGATAATCCTGACTACACGTACCTTTTTTAAACGTCTTTTTTGCATCAAAGTTTTTCCGCATGTTGGGTAATAAGTCGATAGCAGCCTCGGTATGGAGCCAGGGGTGTTTTAATGCCTCTGCAGCTGTCATGCGTTTAGAAGGATCTACTAAAAGTAACTTGCTAATAAAATTCTTTGCATCTGCTGATATTTTATCCCAATTTTCTGGATCATATTCGTAACTCCCCTCAACAATGGCTTGATACAAAACTGTTGTGGAATTAGTCTCGCCTCCCCAAAATGGCGTATATCCACTAAGTAGCACATATGTAACTATGCATTTACAGATACACGCGAATAAATCATGAGCAATTTGAAAATACTTGGTATTGACGCTGTAGTGCACTATTACTTACTAACGCCAAGCGACCACATATCAACAGGGGTACCATGGCCATGATCTTTTAAAATCTCAGGAGCTAATATTTTATATGGAATGTTTAAATATCGCCGAATCAGGCTTGAAAAGAGCTCATCAAATTAGACTTACGAACGTAATGAGGTGTGCCACATGATGTAGTAAGAAACTGATTTGTCTTGACAATTTTGGATAGACCAAAATCGGTAAGCTATCAAAAAAGCAACAATGCCACCAATTAGTTGTCGATAGTATTGATAAAAAGCGATTTGGATTATCCTACCAAAACACGAGATGTTTCTGATGAATCTGCAAAAATGACATTCTCTGGCTTGAGATCACGGTGAACAATATCTAAATAGTGCCATGATCGTGTAGAGTATCAGAAAATGCATCCAGATAGTCAACAGTGATATTCAAAACACTTGCTTTTTTCATGTAAATAAGCCAAGGCTTCCAACAATTGACCAATGATTAGAGCAGCATCCTTTTCTGTGTAATAACCCTTTGCCAAGATCCTGTCGAATAATTCGCCGCCTGATCAAAAGCACATATTGTAAACATATTTGTACATGGAGGCTATACTAGAATAATCCATCTCATTCACTTGCCAGTAGCTAGATTCATAACAAGGTAAAACGTTTGCGGGGTGCTGTAAAAGTCGATCAAGCTTACGATATTAGGATGACTCAATTGCTTGAGTACCGCAATTTCTCCAGCAATCAGATTTTCTTGTCCTAGAGTTTAAATGTAGTTTGGAAATCAGTGTTTTTAATTCTGTAGTTAGTTGCTGATGGCGACATTCCATTTGAATAGTTTATTGCCACAAGAGTGAGCATGTCCCACCTTTAATCTTTGTCTTGTCAACAATCTTGACGGCAAACTTGGATCCATCACTCTTACGAATTGCCTCCTTGACAATGGCTATTGTTACAAGGTATTAGTAAAGTCAGTTGACGGGCTACAGTTTTTTAAAGCTCTAATAGCTTGAAATAGATGGCGAGCTAGGTATACACTACAGCCATGTTATTGTAGAATGATGATACCAATATAGTCCTTATTCAATCGTCAAGCAGGACAATTAGATATACCAAAGTTCACAAGGTATACATAGCAATTGAGGACAGTAAGCATTTACCAAAAGCACCAGAGCCTAATGGATTGCCAACAAAGTAATGCGCTTCAAACTCATTGGCGATTATACCAGCACGAACAGTATGATTGCCGACATCTCTGCCCTCTTTTTTAAAAAACAGCTTATCGAAGAGTCCCATTACCAATTGGATTGCCGGCAAACAGTTAGAATTCTGATTAGAAGCTCAAGTTGACTGTTTAGGTGTGGATACGGATGGCGTGCTCTGATTGGCTGCAGTTACGGCTTACATCTGACACTCTGCGTGGTTGACTCGGTTCATTTAGGGTAGCAAACATCCAACCCGTGCAGTGTCTAATGGCTTGACGAGTCTTGTGTTAAGCCTCGAGACTCTCAACAAGTCAGACTGTTGCCATGGTACAGGAAACACGATTGATATGCTTACCAATTCAAATCACAAGTGTGAGTTGTATGCAAGAACTATTCCAAAACACACATTGATGGTTGCCGACAATTTTTCATTTCATTTCATTTCCATTTTTCTTGTTGTCGACTTAATGATTCGGTTTGCGGCTAATCACACGAGGACTTCGACTTCCAGCAAGCAGATTGGGTCCATCACCCGTAGCTGCACGGCTTGTAGATGGAATAGAGCTGCTGCTTGAGCTATTCGTAGGCGATTTCATTCCAGAGCCTTGTCGCTTGGGTACCAGTTTTGAAGTCAGATGCGACTGAGCTTTTTGAAGCCAAGCAACCTTTTCTTTTAGTGTCTGCAATGTCTAGTATTTCACAAAAATTTCATGCTTTAATGGCATGAAAAAGTTTAGATTTTTACAAAAAGTATACTTACCTCGGGTCCACTCGCAGAAGATGTTTCTTCAGTACTCAATTTTTCAATAGCGACAGATACGTCTGTCAATGTCTTTTGAATATGCGCAAGCTCCTCCAGTACATCAGCAGTAGTTTCACGACGACGAGCAGCTTGTGGATCACTAAGACGATATACACTATCCAACACAGGAGGAGCAGAGTCGGAATGAAGACTTGTACTGCGTGTACGTCCTAGTTTTTCATATGAGCGTCGTCCGGATCCAATATATACCTGTGATCAAATGACATAATGAGTAAAGTCAAACAGACAGATCGATTATACTTGCATTTCAAAAGTTTAAATTGAATTTTAAAAAGTTTACCTGACGAGGACGATAGATTTTGAATTCAGCATCGTCAATATTCTCAATCAGATGTGCAATCATGCCAGCAACTCTGAATTATTAAAATGTATGTAAATCAGACAGTTAGAAGCATGCCCACACGTTTAAAGCGTCCTGCAGATAGTTCATTACACGTATACCTGGGAATAAACATCCACACAGGAAACATGTCGGATGGGAATTGCATGGTGTGGAAAAGCACTCCCATCCAATAGTCAATATTTGGATACAGTTTTCTATCTGTGAAATAAGGATCAGCCAATGCCTTGGCCTCCAGTGCAATGGCTATGTCACCGATATGATCTTTCCCCATCAGCTCAAATAGCTAGAACAGATTACATAAAGTACAATCAATATACGATATACCCCAACTATTGCATCCAGATGCATATCATCAATTGTTATATCACGCACCTCAAGAACCAGATTTTTGCAAATACGAACACGAGGATCATGGGTTTTGTAAATACGGTGGCCAAAACCCATCAAACGTACACGAGATTTGCGAGTACTCATTCCACCAAGGCTAGCATCAGTAGCTTCACTGTTTTTTCCTGGCTGTTTCACAAGCAAAAGATACTCGTCAATTTTATCAACGGATCCAATCTTTTGAAGCATTTGAATTACAGCAGCGGTTTTGCGTTCTCCAAAAAGTGCACCTGCTGCACCTGCAAGATTTGTAAATGGATCCACTCCAGAAGATGACAGGTGTCGAACCATGATGGTGGAGCAGTTTGATCCATTTTCTACAATTAAAAAACAGAATTTAGGCCCAAGTAGCCTGGTCCGCATCTTCAAATACAATTCAACCTGGATCAACTTGGCATACCTGCAAGAAGAATAAACACCTTGTTGAGGATTTTGACAAGACGAGGATCTGGATGATAGTCGGGCTCATTAAGACGATCCATCATATATAGTATGTTTTCACAGTAGTCATTTCCATTGAACATGGGAGCGTTGTAAGGACGGCCTATAAATAATATCAAAATCAAGATTAACACTGGTGATTGGCTTGAAAAGGATTTCAAACGACATACCAAGACGGTGGCGATAAGCATTGGCTGCAATGGTAGGAATTTTTCCAAGAATACGATAAATAGCACGAGATCTGGCAGTTTCAGCACTCTTGATGAGCTCAGCTTCCTCTGCAGTGGGATTTTTGCCAGCAGCAATTTTTGGCTTCATATATAAACTATCACCCTTGAGAGCCGGATTGGCTTCAGGATGAAATGTGGATAATGATGCAACTGTAGCAATCACCATACCCATAGGATGAGCATCAAAGCGGAATGTTCGCATCTGACATTAAAAGACCGAGTGTAAATTGAATGAAAACGGGAGCACACGCATGTAATTTCAAACACAATGAAGCGATCGATATCAAGGCATAAAGTTCAGCCAACATACCTGATTTGCAAGTTCAGTATGAAGATAAGTATGATGCATGACACTCTTTGACCACGCATCAAAGACTTGCTGTGAATTCATCAGAGTAGTGATCAAGTTAGTCAAGTCCAAGATTGCTGTAAAACCATGCGATACAATCAGTATGTAGTACCTGGGTAGCGGGAAGGTCACCATAGATCAACAAGTAAGCGACTTCAAGAAAGTCTGATTTTTCGACTAATTCTTCCACATCGTAGCCTCGATAATAGAGTTTACCATTCTCGCCATCAACGGAAGAAATGGTAGTTTTACACACAGCAGTGTTTTTAAAGCCGGGGTCATACAGACGCAAAGGAACTTTACTTTCATCAGCAGTATTAGCATTTGGAGGAGTGTCTGGCAAAGGACATGTTTGAGGGATCTTGAACTGAGTGAATGCAGTTGCAGCAATTGTATTATTCACTCCAATTGGAACATCAATGGTGGTTCCTGAAACAGAATCAGTGATGGAGAGTGAAGAACTAACGTAAAATAAATAGATTAATGTATGATATTGACGTGTATATGAATATGATTGAATACATACATGGAAGTCATGGTTGTGATGGCAACATGGAACTGAGTGCAAGTTTATTGAATACCTTCCAATCACGTGTAGGTTTAATCATGAATTCAATTATAATTGACTAGATTTGTATAAAGTTGACTAGATTTGTATGAATTCCATTCAAGACTGAATGACTGACTTGACAAGTGTTGATTCAAGTTTAGATTTTTATCAAGTTGAATAACAGTTCAACTTGAATGTGATGAATCGTGTTCACGTAAAATCCAATTTAAAATTAGTTTGATAATCGCTGTTTTTGACCTTGAAATCTATTCAGTTTGCAATAGGAAAACAGCAACACTCTCACATCGATCCAAGTGATTCCTTGTCAATACCAAATCAATTCTATTTGAATCTAACAATTCATACTCAAAAATATGTCATTTTCATCCTTTAGAAAACCTGGAACTTCTCAAATCCAATCTGCTGCTCATAAAAAACTGCCTGCTACAAGAGTGTCTGCTCATAATGGTCAAACCTTGACTTCTACTGGAATCCCTTCTCTTGACGATACATTTGGTGGAGGACTTCCTTTGGGCTCTCTCTTGCTAATTAAAGAAGATCGTTTTACTGGCTATGCCATGCTTGCTCTCAAGTACTACATGGCTCAAGGCATTGCTTCCAACCATGCAATCCTGTTTGCTTCTGGCTCCACTACTGCCAATACTGCATCAGATCTGGATCCAATATTCTCCGATCTCATGGCTGTGGTCAAGCCATCTGCTGGTCATGAGCAAGATGATGGCTCCAGTGGTGTCGACTATGTTCCGCTTCCATCTGGCTCTATCATGACTCCCAAGTTTACTAGAGCATTGGGTGCGCTTCGTTCAAGCAGTCGTGGCTCCGTTTCTGCAATTCCATCTGCATCTTCCGATTCTTCTGATCAGCTCGATATTGCTTGGAGATATCAAGCTATGCCTAAATTCAACTCCCAAGTTTCCAACAGTGTCCAATCTTCATCAGGTACATTGGCTAGTTTATAGCTGTCTCGATGCTTAATATTTAAATTAGTTGACTAATGGCTTGACTCATTCTAGGCCAACTATACTGCCGTGTATTTGACTTGACCAAACGCATTGATCCAGAATTACTGACTCGTTCATCCATTCAATGCTACAATGGTCCGTCACTTTCAGTAGATTCTCCAAATATGTTTAGAAATTTGCTAGAAAAAATTCAATCTGCTATTGTCGACGGAGGTTTTAGGTAAAACTGGTTTCGTTGGATTCTAAATGTACAGCATATTCATGTAAAATGGATCACTTGTATTGATCTTGCAGTCACTACCTTTTTGAAATAATCGTCGAGTGTTCATCCTACTACAAATTGACTCGAATCGACATTCTCAACTCTCCCAAACACAACATCTATCGTACAAACTATATTTTTGAAATAGTCATTATACAATCACCAGATTCACAACAATCCATATATTGAATTCAACTATTTTCAAACTCCCTGTTGTATCCTAATCTTGTCGATGCGCACTAACTTGAAAACAAACATTGCGCATTTCAAAAATGCAACTGTTGTTTTTATGTCAATTACCTAATGTTTGTTTTGTATCGGAACTGTAATGTGAATATTCATTCAGTTTTTATCCAGTACTCCATTTTACGTGAATAGTGTTGGTATACCATATTTAAATTCTTTTATTTGTTCATGTATAGTACTTGCGGTGATACAGAAAAGGCACAGACATTGCTTAGGATTGCAATTAGATCTTTTGTTTCTCCAGAATGGACTGTATCAAATGATCCAGAAAGCCTTTTGTACATCAAAGCAAGTATTATTTAAACTTTTGATATCAATCCGCTTTTACTTATACTGTAAATTTATATTTTATCAATGCATTACTCGCAATAATCCAGGAAGCATGCTTGTTTTTGCACTCTCTTAAATCTATACTTCGCAACACACAGGCAGTCTGTGTGGTCACAGTTCCTGCATATTTATATGAGGATTTTTACAGAATCCGGGCTGATCCACTCATTCGAAGACTCGAATACACTGCGGATGCAGTAATTGAAATAGAGTCTTTTGCAGGATCGCCTAAACCAGTAAACCCCTTATACGCAACAGAGTATCATGGCTTAATTCATCCGCACCGTACATTTGGCTTAAACTCACACAAGGAAACGTCGCGACTATCACCAGTGGAGTTGCACTCACTCGCATTCAAGGTGCGACGCAAACGGTTTTTAATCGAAACTTTTACTCTTCCGCCAGAAGATGCGCAAGATGAATCAAATGAGTCCAAATCTGCTAAATCGTCAGCTGGACAAGAAACCAATACATCTAGACAGCATAGCTCATCGATTCCATCTGGCGCAGCACGGTCTCGACCCAGAGGTTCTGGTCCATCGTGTGGAGCATCTACATCTGGAGTATCTAGTGTTCTGGATTTTTAAATCAATTCAATAAAGCCACATTTATGCATGTAGGTTTTGAGATGGTTGTTGGCCGAGTCTTGGATCGAGCACGATCATTCAGTTTATGCCACAGTTTTGCATGTTCACAAAGTTGGTTTATTATCGAAACAGGATGCGTTTTTGGAATGCATATCTTCCCTATTATGGGTCCGAGGAGCAGATATATACAACTGAGCTACTTGAAAATATTAAACAAACTCTAGCACTATCAATCAATGCTCAGGATATTACTGTTGGAGCTACCCGTGCTGCAAGGGCATTGGAAGAGTACGGAGTTTATGAAATAACATGGATATAATATTAATATATTGTGATGGAGTTTGAGGCTTTGATTGCTTTCTGGGAATAATATACAATGCTGCTTCAATGGCTGAATTTTGACTTGTATACTATTCAGGACTAACCTTTTCTCTCGATTTAATCTATTATGGGCGGATATCCATTAATTGCTGCAATCCGCTACTTGTCATTGTATTGGCTGATCTGGATCTAGATATATAATTCTCAAGTATCCTCTGAAACTTTCAGATAGAGTTTGGTTTTCTAAAATCATGTTTCAGTTGGTAACACTGCCTGGTCTCGATCTGGATCTGGTGCTGACTTTCTCCAACATCACCTGCAAGCTCATCAAGTAATATTTTGATTTGTTTGATCATCTTTATTTTTGGCTTTAGAGCATGTTGTAGTATTTTCTTTTATTCTCGACTGGGTATATATGATCAAACTAAAGCATTATTTGTGTGGGATTGAATATGTATTAATATATTGCTTCTCTATGTTTTCACTTTAAATATAGAAACAAGACGAAATTACCATCAGATGCCATGGTTTTGGATGGAGATTCTCTTGAGTGCTTGCTTTCCAAGTTCTTTTTTCCAAAACAAAAAGACCAAATGTATCCTGTTGCTAGGTAATTCAAATATATCTTGAATAGATGGTCTATTCTATATTGCAACTATCTCTTACCAAGTTCAATACACATGATATTGAATGTAAAGTAAAATTATTGGATCAGTGATCAAACTTGCCGGATACGCTCAAAGGTATGTCAGTTACACGCTATTGCTGGCCATCTTAAATATAAATATTACAAGGCTTTTAGATTTGTGTGCCAATCTCATCATAAAACTCAACTTTAGATTTTTCTCTCCAGAATTTGCTACGAAATTGCTCGAGTTGTATTTTCCTCGGATCAATATTCATTATTTTCCCAGCATGATCACTCGTCTTTCAGTTGTGATGCTTCTTCTTCCCGTAAATGTTGTTCCGATAGCACCAAAAGATATGACTGTTCATGTCAGTTTATCAGAAACTCCAAAGTTTTTTTGGATTTCAACCTTTTTTTCAATCTGGCAAATGGTTGTTAATGTCCCCACATACGATATGTTGTTTATTGACTTGTTTGGACGACTTGCCGAGGAACAGCTTGCTACCCCCGAGTACTGTGCTTGGACAGATGATCAGATTCGCGTAATCTTTACAATTGGCATGAAAAACTTTGGTCTTCCTATTGGCAGTGGATCTAGTGGCATGGAGCGTATGCCTATTCGAAAACACGATTCTGGTTTGCCCATACAACCAAACGGAAGCGACAAGAACATTCAATTGATGGAAGGCATGTCAAAAGTAGGTCTATTGTTTTTTATAACATTTGCATGGGCATGGTGTTAACACACGTTACTGTTCTATGTGATTGTTTGAACTTGTTAGAGCAAAGTGGAATATCTGGCCAAGTTTATTGTGTACACTATATTTCCACCGCAAGTCGATTCGAAACAATATTCTACCAAAACGCTCGAGCATTTAGAAATGTTGATTCAAGCTATTGAGAGCTTTTTCCATCCTTCAAATACAGGAAAATGGTCATTTCCTATTTCCCATTTTATCAAGACATTGTCTCAAGAGTTTGTCAGTCGTTGCAAAAATGGTATTTTAATCTTGTCTATTGAACTGGTCATGTAAAGTAGTTTAATCCAATTTATTTTAAATACTTGTCCTTGACATGTGATTTTGATCGTTTTATTTGCGTATGATAGAAGAAGACCCAGAAACTAAAGTTCCTCCGCATTACAGGATCACGGCTGATATCAAACAGCGATTTGTGATGCTTTTAAAAACCGTAGCATATTTGGGCATGTTTGGTAAAGATTCACGAGCTGTGGCATACTCCAACAGCACGCTCAAATATTTGTCTTGGATTGATCCTGAAGCAGTGTTTCCCAGTTTACTTGAACGAGTATATCCATCTCTTGAAGCTCTTAATGAGACTCACCGCACTATTTCGTGTATCTCTGCTCTCAATACCACTGCTCTTTCTCTTATACACTCAAGTCATTATCCTGACGGTGGCCATCATTTGACTTCACTGTTGCATCTTACGCTTCCAGGGTTGGATATTAACGACATTTCCAAATCAAACTCGACTTTAATGTTTATTAGCAACGCTATAATGACGGTTCCGATTTTTGACGTATCGGCAAGTAGCTATAGTATGCCTACTGGTATGGAAAAAGAAATAGTGTCGATTTATGAGTCTCATGAAAAGCGTCGTTTATCCACTGCTGAATTTGAATCATGGGTTTCCAAATACCTTGATCGAATCTTTGCCATTTTTGAAAATCTGCCTCAACAGTACGGTGCTGGTCAAGGATCAGAAATGACGGCAGAAACAACGCTGTTGGATATGTTGATGTACACCAGTGAGATGATATTTTCACAACTCTCTGATCAGCTGGAGAATATGGTTTTAAGAAAATTAGTCGATTTTTGTGGGTCCAATGTGATATCGTCTGCTACCAAAGCCATTGGGACTTTGTGCTGCATAGTGGCTCGTGCTAATCCACGTAAGCGACTGGCATTGTTTGTTCCGCTTTGCTGCAATAGTATTCGTGAAGAAATACATCACGGCGCAGGCTCAAAATTATGTAGCAAGCTGTCAGCCAACTCCAATCCGTTTAATTTCGCATCCATGTCAGATGCTGCTTTGCACTGGCACCAATCTATTCTTCTTTCGGTTGTTTTAAATTCTGGCGAAGCTTTGCTAGAGTATCAAAGTGAGATCTCATCTATTCTTGACGAATGTGTGACAAAGTGTGTTTCGCGAAGAGGGTACAAATGGGCAGGTAAACTACTTCGCAATATTCTTTTTAGTCTGACTCGTGTCTATCCCCGTGAAGCACGTAGTCATGCAAAGAAGCAATGGGAAAGCACCGAGTTTCAAGAATCGAGCCACATGCACTGGGGTGAGATGTGTACACTGGAAACCGTAGATATTCAATGGCATGTTCCTACCACTAAAGAAATCCAGTTTGCAAGGGTATTGCTAGAGCGGTATATGACACTTGCAACCTCTCAACTTGAGTTATACATCACATCTTTGACTTCTTCAGCAAGTCAGGCGAATCCTAGCGGTGGTGGTGTAGATATTGGCAAGTGGCTATCACTACTCAAAAACTGTTTATATGGATCTGCTATTTTACTTCAACCACAGCCATCCATGTCGCTGAATGACGAAATGGATGATCTGGATCATTACATGATGCGATTTCGTCGAATTCCACCGAATATAGGTGCTTGTTTCTCCGATCCAAACTCTGCTGAATACAAAGATTGTTTGTCTCAAAAAGAAACCAGTTACGACGTGCTTCATCGTCTTGCTAGAATCATGCATATACATTGCTCCAACGATGTTGAATCTATTCAAAGTTTACTTTCTTGCATGGATGTATGCATTTCATTTGCTGGTGTAAACACAGCTTCCTACGATTCATCTATGCGTTTATACAAGTACATGAAATCTAGTGTGTGTCTGACAGAAAATCAGAAAGCTTATCCGCGATGCCTGATTATTCAGCGCGAAAAACTGATTCATATGTCAAGACAAAAACAACTGAGCATGCAGCGTGAACTGACTCCAAAGCTGAGAATCATGATTGAGCAGGATTTACCTGTATTTTGTGTTTCTGGATACATTCCTGTACGAATTCGAGCACAAAAGGCTTTGACTGAGGCATTAAAGTGCTTCCCTGTAACAAGATTCATGGTTTTTCCAAAAGTTTTAAAGTATTTGGAACCAACTGCAATAGAAAATGAGTTGAGCTCAAGTCAGATGAAAGGTGCACTTTATCTTTTTCGATCTGGGGCTTTTCAGGAAATGGTACTGTATCACTGGAAATACACCCGTCTGTATTTAAATACTCTTGTTCGCGCTCAGCATGATGACAAGGTAAGTGTCGGGTTTGAAAGCTAAAGGTGGAATCATTTAAATCTCAATTTTTTATTTTGAAATAGCCTTCAGTACTCGAGTTGATTCGCAAAGCATATATTTTATTTTTGATGCAAATGTCTGGAGTATCGTACGTTACACCTTCTATTACTGATGCATTGATGAAGTTGATTACTGGACTTCATTGCGATGACGTGGCGCTATTGAAGACAAAAGCTCTTGTAAAGGAAAGATTTGAGAAAGCCAGAGTTGAATATCTTGAATTGGTATGTTTGGTTTTGAACTGCTTTTTCTTTGCAGTATGATTTTATCACATTTATTGAATTGTTTGTCGATGTTGCCATATCTTTATCTTAAAACATCAAGATCGAATCTCTAGTGTCGTTTGCACAAGACAATTCTTCTCATTGGCGATTCACTGCTATGGCTGCAAATCTTGTTGACGTACTTTTGAAAGTTGATGAGCCTGTATCGCCGACTATTATGCAGTTTGCAGTGTCTAATGTGATAAATGAGCACCCCATAATGCGCCGAAATTGTGTGTCGCTGCTGACACACATTTTGGTGATTCTTAAACATCGGGCTACAAAACAAGGCACTTCTTATATTGCTGAATTGAAAAAGCAGATTCCTCGTTCTGATCTCGTTCATCCATTTACCTTGGATTCAAATACCGACTCGTTGGAAAACACACAGTTTAATGACCAACTAGATTGCGGATGGCTAGCTCAACCTCATACACTCACTGTTTATAAAGGCGTTCGGGAATTTACGCAGGATGCAGTATTATCTTTCCACGATGCCACGTCAACAAAAGCTCATGACATTTTATTCAGCGGATTAGAGGATCCATCTTTTTGGACAATGATTGCAACGTATTCATCACAAGAGGCATCCAACTCAGTAGAGCCATTTTCCAATTCTACTGCAAACTTGGTGAAACGTATCGCCGGCTTATTTGAAGATGTTTTACTGAAGCACCTATCGCCAATTATTGAATCGTTTGTTGACAAACCGGAAAATAAGAGTGCTCAGCGAGCAGGGGCAGAGCTACTTGCAGGTGTTCTTCGTGGCGCAAAACATTGGTGCACACTTAAACAGAATGCGCTTTGGACATGGGCCATTCCACTTCTTTCGCGAGCATTTACACAGGCTACATCGGAAAGCATTCAGTACTGGATAGAATGTGTCAAGTTTGTAACACTAGCGCGAGATCCTCGCAGATTACGTCCTCTCATCAGCCTTATATTAGACAACAGTTTGGAACTATCACCAACATCTTTTTTTTCTGAAACCAAAAAGCTAGTTTTGGCTGGGACAATTGTGTCTGTTTTTGCAAACCATTTACGAGCTGTATCTGATAAGCTTTTGGATGGATATTTTAAAGTCATACAAAGCCCCTATGCACAAGTGAGAGAAAGTCTTGGTGCTTTGCTGAATCAACTTGTACAGCTACAATGGCATCCAAATGCAGCAAACACTACTGTATTGATGGAAGTGCATATGCAGGAGTGGGCCAAGGGAGGACCAAATTCAACCCAAATGTCTACTTACCATGGCGGGAGTTTGTCATCTAAAAGCCTAGATCAGTCTAATTGGCATGGAATAACTGTTCCTATTTATTTACAGGGACACGCTTCTATCTTGATTCAGAAACTGGTGAATGAACGTATGCCCCAATGGCGACTTCATCCTCGAGATCCCAGTTCCTCTTGTTCAGATTACGGAAATGCAAGCAAAACTCTTTTAGCATGGTTGACGGATGCTCTAATGTCATTCCGTGTTGCAGGGATATATCCATATATGCCTATGATGCTTCCTTTATTGTTTGAGATGCAGGAATTTTGGGATGGAGATTTACAAATTGGAGCAGCGGCTGTAGCTAAACTGTATCCACACTTTCACCATCATCCAAAGCTACTATGTGAAGCGTTAACCACGCTGCTTGATTTTTTGTCTGATCGAAATATGATGAAAAGTGATTCAGCAGCTGTAGATGAGATTCAGATGGTGGAATATGGATGGCATTTAAAAGTGAGAGTCATGCCTGTCTTGCAAGTCCTTTTTTTCCGGCATTTGCATATGATTCCACCTGCATTTATCAATCAGATTGTGATGGATGTGTCTGCTTGTCTTGGCGATCGACAAGTTGAGGTAAGCATTTATTGATTTTAACTGTATCTGCCATGACAAATGGAAATATGGGTCTGTTTATTTATATCGATCGAATACATTATATGCTGAGCAATCGCTGATATTGTGCATGTATATCTTTAAACTTGTGAGTTTAGGTACGACAAATGGCGTCAGTGACGCTTGGAGGTCTCGTAAGATGTTCACCCTATCCACCATTAATTTCGATGCTGACATCGACGTTTGAAAAGCAACTTGAACAAACTCGTCCTGCCAAAGACAAATCTAAAAGTCAACCTGCCGACATCAATGCAGCCGCACGACTAGTGAAACGCCATGCAGCCGTGCTTGGACTTGCAGCACTTGTACAGGCGTTTCCATATCATGCCCCCGAGTGGATGCCTAATATTCTAGTGGTACTTTCTACCTGTATTTCCGATTCAGCTCCTATCAGGGTAATTTTTCAACTGTTTGATTTTTAGTTGGTATGGATGATGGTGTTTTATGATTTGCTAACTCACTTTTTATTAGACAACGGTATCAAAGACGTTTGCTGATTTCAAGCGCACACATCAAGATAATTGGATGCAGGATAAACTAGTGTTTACTGAGGAGCAATTGACCGTATTATCTGATTTGCTTATTTCTCCAAGCTACTATGCCTAGTTTATATTGGCATTTGCTTGGTATTTATTCAAGGTGCTATAAATTTAAACAATGCAAATATTACTCTGTCAGATTTGTGTCAAAGAATACAAGTAAATACTTTAGACTGGCTTTTAAATCTAGTATTTGCAATCTATAGCAATTAAATTTATTTAGCTTGATTACGAAAAGGTATAGATAGAGAGTCTTTTAGCTGGGGGTGCAATCCATTGGATAATGGTCCAGTTCCATCATCAAAATTCCACATTGACTCCACATGATCCATGCTGACAGATTCATCCATGTATTTATGATGAGTCATAGCATCTAATGCACGTACTTTTTCTATTTCTCCTGATAAGCGGTACATGGATACAAGTGAATCATGTACCATTGGAACCAGATCTTTTCCTTCGTGTTGCAGTTCAGCAAACATGTTTTCAGCCTGTTGATAATGATACCCACGTGTACACGAAGTGACCAAACTCTCATCGACATCTTTCATTAAAGTAGTGCAATATATGGAATCGGATACATCCCACATGGGCTTTAATGTGTCGACATCATCTACTGCATGCTGATACACTTTATCAAACTTGCGTGTTATTAAAGAATGAGTTGCCGTATAGGACTGCAAAGGTGTAAAATGACTCGGCTCATTGGATTTAAGAAAATAACGACACTGATGTTTGGCATGAAAGAGAATAACAGCTGAAGCAGCATATGAATAGTCTGCACCAATTGATTTGACCGCATCCTGAACAAACTGTTTTCCAACCGAGTCCTGTGCCAAATAAGATGCAGTTTTTGGTTTTTGATCAGTGGAAAGTGAAGACGTCGTATGATGCGATATTGTAGTACATATATTAGATGATTGTTGATTTCCATATAACGGATGTCCAGCATATCGAAACTGTGATGTTTTCTGGTTATAATACTCGCGTTGAGATGTTACATGTCTAGCAATAGCTTTTCCCGAGTACATTGCATGATATCCAGAATACACAAGATACAGTATCAGCATGTGAAATCCATCTTGATTGTCATTAGATTGAAACTTTTGTAATCGAGTCAATGTATCGCTACTAGTATGGCGAATTCGACTGTTAGACTCTCGTTTGAACCATGCAGCAAGAATTGGTTTTGTTTTTTGTAATCGTTGTAGTGAAATGTACATGGTCAAAAACAATGATATGGTATGGCCGTTTGGCGAGATTCCCAGTTTCTGCAAATCTATCAGCATGTCTTGAGCTCGCTTACGAAGTCCAAGTCGACACAACCCATAGATGATAGAATTGAACCCAGATCGTACGGCTTCAATATCTTCTTTCGATGTATTTGAACACCTAGACATGGGTATATTCTCGAACCCGGGTTTGGTTGAGGGATCAGTACGACTTTTAAACTCATCGGTCATATTTTTCAAAATATTCAATGCCTCGTCTATTTTCTGTGTCTTTACCATGGCATAGATAACAACAGCAAGCTCGGGAAACATGAGTTTGATACCTCGTTTTTTGATATCAGAATACATCATCAAAACTTTGATAAAATCATTTTCTCTTGCTGCTTCCCTCATGAGTATTCCAAACGTACAAGAATCGGTCCATCCGTTGGTGTCCATCATTGTGAATACTTGAATGGCTTCAGAAATATAGCCGTTCGTTACAAGTGCTCTGATAAGCGCGTTGTTTAGCATAATAGTGTCTGCAAAAGGTTTTAATGAGTCTTTGGAGTGTTGTTGGGTTGATTGTGTAGAAAGTGACTGTGGAAGAGATAAGGCTATATCTACTGATTTCAAGTAGACAAATCCTTGAATTAGATGGCAGCCAACAGATGGGTGAATAAAGATTCCTATACGAGTGATAACAGAAACCATTTGTTGCAAACCATCAACTCGATTTCTTGCTATAAAGTAATGAACCAATTCCAAAAAAATCAAGGTCCAATCAGCACACGAATTTCTTATACCATCAGTCCAGATTTGGTAATCCGATACATCATGAGATAAGAGTGTTTGGCAAAATATATCAAAGCAAATATCGAGACTGTTGTTTTTGGTAGAGTTGAGAGTATGATTACAAGAAAAATATTGCCCATTCGAGTCGAGGTTGATACAGATATCGAAGCACTGATGCCATAGATCTATTCGAGTTTGAATATCTGTGACAAAGTCGGATTGTTTTTTGTGATGATCCAATTTCTGAAGCCACATGCATGCATTATTTGTATCTTTCTTTGCTATATATGCGGAAATAAGCATTATATATGTAGTTTCTAAAGCAGGATCAGACTGAAAACTATGACTTGCTGAATCACTGTTTGGTTTATTATTGCTGTTCCAGCTATCAAGCACCATTGCGGCCTGATCGACTCGATTGGAATTGACAAGTGATTCAAACTGTGAATGAAGAGAACCAGCAGAAGTTGGTAGGCTATTTGTGATCTGAGTATATGAATGCTGTGATTCATGAAAATGCCAATGTCGCATTGCTAAGCTGGTACATGTTGGCAATCGGTGTTGACGAAGCAAATGAAAGTGTCTGAATATAAATATGACTGGATGAGTTGAATATGGCATTGAGGTGGACGGCCATATCACACTACCACAATTTACAGTTAGAGATAAAGAGTATAAGAATGAAAAAAATGAAAAAAATGAGAAACTGCAATGACGAGTGTATATCACGTGTTTAAAACCATTCTGACAGCGAGCAGACTGCAGTCTTGATGAATTTTCTATAAAACTGTACGATTGGTTTAGGTTAGCGTATGCAGTGTAGATGGAATGCTAAAGATCGTGTCGGAGCAAAACCAAACGAGAAATATTGTTCTGTATTGAATTAAGAGCAACAAGTCTTGTCAATAAGCCAGATTATCGTGGTGCGCAAGACACGATTGATATTCCAGCCATTCAAATCAATACTCTACGAGTATTTGCAAAAGATCATCAAGAGTAATGGTTGCTGATCATCTCATTTTTCTCCATTGTCGCCAGCCACGAGAAATCGGATGGAAAGTTTCGAGACCAAAACTGCAATCTGAAAACGCTTGTCATTGACAACAACACATTGAATGGCATCTACCACATCCCATTGCTCTTCACTGGGACAGCTTCTGGAGTGCATCAACTTTGCTGCCATCAAGCACTCTTCTCAGCGACGCAAAGATCCAACAAAGACTCCTTACATCAACCACCCGATTGGAGTGTGAGTCTAATTCTGCATATCAACTCACTACCATTCAACTAAACAATCCGAGTTGACAATTTACTTGTAGTGCATATATATTATACTATGAAGGAAACGTAGAGGACTTGCCGACACTTTTAGCTGCTGTCCTTCATGATACTGTTGAAGACACTGAAACCTCGTTTGAAGAGGTATCTACTTAGTGACATGCATCATTCTAGTTTACATCATCATGATACTGATCGCTGTTCTCACTTGTATTGGATGGGATCTTAATAAAGATCACAGCCAAGTTTGGATCCGAGGTCTGTGAGATTGTCATGGCATGCACTGATGACAAGACTCTTCCATCTAAAGACAGAAAACGACTGCAGGTTGAAACTGCACCACACAAGTCGGACAAGGTATTTAGAAACGCTAATCCTGTGTATGCCTATATATTGGAGTCTATTTTGGATCTCACCAATAGGGTCTGTTGTGCATACTCACATCTTGGATACTTTATTGCCAGGCCAAGCTGGTTAAAATGGCTGACAAGATCTACAATCTAAGAGATCTGATGAGAGTGTTGCCAATGGGTTGGACCCAGCAGCGTGCCAACGAGTATTTTGCCTGGGCAAAGCAGGTCACTGATGGTGAGCGGATTTTCTAATACAACGATCGCTATCCAATTTCTACCAATATACTAATGCATTTTGATGGTAAAACAGGGTGTCGTGGAGTGAATGCTAAACTGGATGCCATTCTGAATGATATCTACAAGAAACAGGAAGCGTTGGAATCCATTTGATAAAAAGTTGATACGTAATATATTGTCTTGGACAATCCAAAACCTATTGAAACGCAATGCTTGAATGGCATGATAATAAATAACAAATAGTGTTTACTCGATAAGATCTGCAATAAATCAGCCATGTCTAAACAAGTATTTAATTCATACTCTCATGATGTATGTAGAAATCTATACATCGTTCAATTTAGTGTACCACTTTGAAGAACGAATCAAAAACAATTCTCAAGGCTGAGTGTCCGTATCTTCTGTCAAATCTGGGCTAACAGCAAGGGCAGCCATGATACCCTTTTGACCAGTAGTCAGATTATATCCTTGACCCCATCCACCCTCCCACATACTCATCAGCACGACATGATCGCCAATTGTCAAGTCTAGTTCATCGCTTTTCGTATGTTGATAATCAATCATCACTACACGAGGTTTACGACGACATCCCTGTGCCAACAGAGTTCTGTAACGCATCATTTCTTGATCGGTAAGAACTATATCAGTTTTTGTACCAACGTTCAATGTAGAAGTAGAGTCCAGTGCGTCTGCTTGTTGTTGGGCGGTCTGCATAAATACAGCATGAGCAGTAGCTCGTTTGGTAGAAGACATGCGAGCCGGACTCTTTTTGGAAAAGATACTACCCAGCTTAAAATCCATATGTGGCAATGTGCGATTCGTATGCGAATAAACTGCTTCCTTTTGAGTAGAATATTGCAAATTCTCGTCCATATACTTTTGGTTCTGTTTAGACTTGTGACGCCGAATAAGTATAGCTCCAGTCAGTGCACATAGACATACAAGACCCAGAGGAACCCCAACAGCAACACCAATCATGGAAGACGAGGTTGAAGATGCAGTGGCTAAACTGTCTTGAGGAAGTGAGCTACTGCCAGCTATGCTACCAGGAATATCTCCAGATGCTGTGGGATTCGATCCAGGAGCAGCAGTGCCAGAAGATGACGGGCCAGTGACATTTTTCGAGACATTGTTCTCATACATGTACATGCCTTTAGTGACTTCCAATCCAATGCGTGAGCAAAAGCCAGAAGAAATCTTCCATGGGCTTACAGACTGAGATACTGTGCAGTTTGCACATATACTATCTGAACATAGTTTCTGGACCATCTCGTCCTGCGAGATGCTTGATATAGCATACAGAGAATAAGATGGTTGTGTACTAGTGGTCAATATCTTGGTGCATTGATCGTAAACACGGACCAGTTGACGACGGATGACTGGACCAGAACATTGCGAGTCAGTAGATGGATCAAAGTAGTCTTTGACAAGGAATCTCGAGTATGGATCGTTATTTCCAGTGTACGGTCTAGTTTCAAGCAAGTTGATCAAAAAGGTTAGCACCAAAATCCAACAAGACTAAACAGCCACTTGGTTGTGGCCAAGCATTGGCTTCACTTGGCTGCTGCTCAATCGAGCCCCCACTTGCATCGATACAAAGATGCATAATCAATGGCAGTCTTACGTCAATGGGGCGCCGGGACTCAGGATCTGATACATATCCTGAGTGCAACTCTGCATGATCTTTTGAGTAGGCGGATATGCAGCAGTGATGTTCCCAGAGCAAGGCGGTGAACAGCCATTACCCGTGCATTGCCAGTAGTGGGTGATCGATGTGTCAGAGGCCTGCCAGAAGGACAATCCTTTACCAGAAATATAGTGACAAGACGGAGGCATTGATTCAGCACTCGATGGAGTGACAGAAAGACTTCTAGTTGGCACTACCCAGTCGTATGCACCAGCCAGTAAATCGACGTTATTTTGACCATTTACTATTGGGCGTTGAAAAGTAGGGCTGTTCCAGCATGACGGTGGTAGAACAGGGATGATGAGAGTAGATGGATCAGCAGCCAAACTGACATGAACTGTAATTGATACTGCAACAAAAATTGCTGCTCTAACGATCGGTTTCCCAGCAAATGAAACCATTCAAACTATCTTTATATGCAAGTTGGATTGATGGCTGATGCGAGTTTAAGTGCAGCGAATTGGAGGCGACAGCCTCCATAATATATTCGCGGGTCGCGCCATGGCATTTTCTCTATTCTCTCGTTTCTTTGCTGCTAGCTGTAAACTGCAGGATTAGTCTATCAAAGGCTTACTTGGCATAATGGTTTACAGCTATACGGTTATGGCTACCGCCATGATAGTAACAATGATTCAAGCTTTTCCTGTTCAACAATCAGAACCGCTACCAGACTTGTTCAGCCCCAAACTCGGTGTTCCTTTGCCTGCTACCGACACTCAAAATGACATCATGGCACTCTTGCCTACATTCTACTCTCCTCCAACTAAAATCGTTTGGGATGCCACTCCTTCTATCAATCAAACTCTGCCTGCGTTGAGTCTCGCTGAAATGGAGACTCTTGCCATGGCCAATCTGAGAGCAAACCTTGCTCTAGGTCCAGGCGTCGATATGGCATCCATCCGCTCGTAAGTAATCGTGTTGGAATTAAAACTGTTCACGTAAATGGAACACCCTGCAGTAATTGCCCTATTTTGCTTCAATGCAATGGTCGAGTTTCTTTGCACTTTCCTACTACAGATTGACTACATTGCCACCTCAATCGGCATTCTTAATTCTTCAAAACACAACGTCCATCATACAACACAATCAAACGATTCCTCTCCTCATGTGGCAGTCATACATTGTGCAATCACCAGATCCACTCATTGCAATCCAGATATTGAGTTTGGCTGTTCTGATCTTGCCAATCAAACTCTGTTGCATCCCAATCTCATACGCTTGTGTTTTAATTCAAGAAAACAGATTGTAAATTTCAAAAATACAACTGTAATATAGTTGATGACCAATTAAGCACTTTGGGCGTTAATTGACCTTCCATATATGGCATTATACTTTGATAACCCCACTCACCCTATAACTAACATATTAAATATTCTAAAAAATTCTATTAAACAGCCATGTCGGTGTTAATCAGTGCTATACCTATCTCAAACAGTCAGTCAATGGCGTTGAAATTGCAAATACTGCTGCAAGTGCGTCTGTTAGATTCACCGGACAGGTTTATTCTCGAACAAGTGCTTGGGTTAATATGAAGCCAGATGATCATCATCGGCTCGCTAAGCGGGCTGTCGACCCACAAAAAATCAATGCAACCCAAGCTGTCTTTTTTGTTGCTAAAACCCTTGGAAAGTCTATCACACCAGGCTCGATTCAAGAATCACCATCCACTGATGATTCAGGAAAAATCATACTTTCGGGTGCTAAATTCACCACTGCTGAAATTATCGCATCTTCAAAACTCTACATGACGCCCGATGGCTTGCACACCGTATGGGACCTAAGTATTCCTATGCCTGAAGCTTGGCTCAATGTTTTTGTAGATGATATCACTGGATCAATCCTTGGTGCTTCCAACTGGATGTCCTCTTTAAGCATTGTATCTAAAGATGACATTTCTAGTGGCTTGCAGAAGCGACAAAAAAGCACCATTCAACCTGTATCGTATCTCATTGTGCCATTAGGTGGACGAGATATTCGCACCTCAGTGGGCACCCAATTGGTCCAGAATCCAGAAGATTTAGTAGCCTCACCCCTTGGATGGCATAATACGGATAATGGCATTGGCAACATTGCATCTACGTTTGGCAACAATGTTATTGCACAAGAAAATAGAAAAAATCAGCCTAATCCAATTCTGGGACTTCGTCCATCAGTCAACACCTTTTCATTTCAATTTTCCGTTAACGATATCAAACAAAGTCCTGAAGAGTATGCTGATGCATCCATTGTAAATACCTTTGCCATGACAAATCTATACCATGATATCCTCTATCAATATGGATTCACTGAAGCGGCAGGTAATTTCCAGGTGAATAACTTTGGTCGTGGTGGAAAAGGAGGAGATCCAGTAATTGCCAATGTTCAAGACGGATCTGGAGTTAATAATGCCAACTTTGCCACTCCGCCTGATGGTCAAGCAGGCATAATGCGTATGTTTATATTTACTTCAGCAACACCTAATCGAGACGGCGCATTAGAGAACTCTGTTGCCTTGCACGAACTTACCCACGGATTATCCAATCGATTGACTGGAGGGCCAGCCAACGCCAATTGTTTGTCCTCTACCATTGCGCTAGGACTAGGTGAAGGTTGGTCTGACGTAGTTGCGCTGAGTTTAGAAGTATTACCCACCGACACGAGAAACGATGATCGTGTGATGGGTGCATATGTAACCAACAACCCTAAGCGTGGCATTCGCCTCTTTCCTTATTCAACCAACATGAACAACAACCCTCACACGTATGCTGATGTTCTTCGAAACTCAAATCGGCACTACATTGGAGAGATATGGGCTTCAATGTTGTGGGAATTATATTGGAACTTGGTAGAAAAACTTGGATTTTCCACCAATATTAAAGATGGTGCAAAATCTGGTAAAGGCAACACTGTATTTTTGCAGCTGATTGTGGATGGCATGAAGCTCCAGCCCTGCAATCCCACCTTTATTCAAGCACGAAATGCAATTGTAAGGGCAGATCGTGTTGCAAACAACGGAACTAACTTTTGTCTGATTGCAACAGCGTTTGCTAAGCGAGGTCTTGGCCAAGGCGTCAAAGATAACGAGTTTTACTTTAACGACTTCACCTTTCCTGCCAATTGCAACTAGTTTATATTTATGCCAAGCTTAAACTGCGTTACCAAGGGTTACTGTTGATGCTAACAAGATAAACGTTGCTTTTGTTTCTTGTACCAAATCATATCTTGTAATAAAAAGACATTTATATCATGCATTTTCTCAGTTTTCTTGGCAGGTAGAAACTGTATTCTGAATCGCTGAAGCCTGGTGTATGAATAAATGGAAGTTCCGCATAACTCAACTTGATATTTGCATCTAAATCAAACACTTGAACGATTCGATTAGTATACTTGAAGCTGGATTAAAACTCTCAAAACAGCGTCGGGATTCACTCGGACGCGAATACGGCTGTAATTTGAAATCTACTTGTTTGCATCATATTACCTATTTTGGCCGTAAGTTTGGTAGAACTAATGATTAGATACTACAAACAATGCTTTGAAATTAAAATCACATGCCAACACATGCTTAATGCTATTGAACATTGTCACAACACATGTGTATTAATTTAAATAATCAAAGTGGCTTCAATCGCGTGAGATTTACACCGCCATACCGCGACAGATGACGACTTGTTACACTCAGTCGACTGATTGGATATGAGTTTGAAATCAAGATAAGGTTGGCACTAAAGTTGGCCGCATCTACACTGGTTATGTGGCAGGTAAGGTATCAATAGATGGCGTAATGAATAGGTTTTTGTTTAAATAGCCCACATCTAGTATCCAGTTTATTTTCATCTACATTCAAACAATCTCGCCTGTTTATTGTTATCTGATCAGCAGTTTCCCATATGTTTTTTATCTCTACTTTTGTTTTTTCTTTAGCTACATCTTCGCTAGCTGCCCTTATACCCTCCAACAATGGCAATGCTCCAGTATCTCTTCCTGGATTTTATTCACCTAAACCTGTAGCCAATTTCTCTTCCCAACCCACTAAAGATTTGCTAGTGGATGAAATCTCCAAAACTGATCTCAAATCGCACGCCATGACTCAACTGCAGGACAGTCTGACTCTTGGCGATGGTGTTACCATTGTACCATCTACTTCGTAAGTTACACACCTGATGTTGAGTTGACTTGTCATATCAATGTATAATACACGTTCAAACTAGTGTGCATTCAACTGACACGAATGCAATACGTTGTAGATTTCAAGACAGCCATACAGGTGTGTATCATTGTTATGTCACGCAGGCCGTCAATAACGTTACAATTGCAAACTCTGTTGCATCTATTTCGACCGACAAATATGGGAACGTTATTTCCCAGACAAGCTCGTGGGTAAAGGTTCAGCCAAGCGACAATGCCAACAACTTTGCGAGTCTGAAAACAATTTCTTCTACTGACGCTCTGGTTGCTCTTGCTGCCTCCATGGGCATTTCTATTGACGGTAGTACTCTTACCGCGACTCCAAAAACAGAAGATCCCAATGTAATAGTGATTGGTGGTACACATGGGCTTACTGATCAAGAAATTACCGTAGAGTACAAGCTATACAAGACATCTTCGAGCCTGCGTCCTGTTTGGCAAGTTAGTCTCCCATTGAGTGTGTCGTGGATTTCAGCTTACGTTGACAAGGAAACTGGCTCGGTGCTTGGTGCGGCAGATTGGTCCTCATCTGCTGTACGAACTGAAAGTGGAAATATTATTCCACAAGGAATTCCTACTCAAAAGGAAAGCACATTGCTAAGGGAAGCGCAGAAAAGCCAATCTAAATCGGTAAACCAAAATGCAAGCCTTTTTAATGGCAGGCGATTTCAATCTACTACCAGTCAACGTCAAGTCGTACAACGTAGAAGAATCATTCGAACCTCTCGCAGATTGCCACCTACCTCCCGTAGATCTCAAGTACCTCGAAACCCACCCAATCGAGTACCTCAAGCCCCACCTGCTCCAGCACCCCAAGATCCGCCTACTCCAGAACCTCAAGCCCCACCTGCTCCAGCACCCCAAGATCCACCTGCTAGACCCAACCCTCAAACAAACGTTGGAATTCCATCATCATCTTATAGGGTTATTCCATTAGGTGGTCGCGACCCAAAAACATCCTCAACTGCTTTGATTCGAAATCCTGTTGATTCAACAGCTTCTCCATTTGGCTGGCATGATCTCAACAATGGAGATGGTTCTGTTTCTATTACCCGAGGCAATAATGTAGTTGCACATGACAACTCCAACAGAAGAGACAATCCCAACACTGGACTCGTTACTGCCCAGAATTTTGATTTTGATTTCAAGTTTGATGACAACCAGCAAGAGCCAGGACAATACAAGGATGCATCGATTACTAATGTCTTCTTCTTGTCAAATTCATATCATGACATTTTGTTCAAATATGGGTTTGATGAGCAGGCTGGTAATTTCCAAAACATCAATGCAGGCGGGTCCGGACGAGGCAATGATGGAATTATTGCACATGTGCAAGACGGAGAAAGGTTCAACAATGCGAATTTCTTTACGCCACCAGATGGACGGCCAGGCATCATGCGCATGTTTCTATTCAACAAAAGCAGACCTCGACGTGACTCAGGTCTTGATAACGGAATTGTGTTGCACGAGCTCACTCATGGTCTATCAACTCGTCTGACTGGTGGGCCTAGTAACTCCAACTGCCTTCAGTTTACTGAAGCTGGTGGTATGGGTGAAGGATGGTCAGATATCGTCGCTTTAGTTCTTGAAATGCTACCCACTGATACACCTGATACTACCAAGGTTGTTGGTGGATATTCAACCAATGATCCACGTGCAGGGGTTCGTTTTAATCCCTACTCCACCAGTACTAGTGTCAATCCAAGCACTTATGCGAGAATTCGCAGAAACACCGAGGTGCACGCTATTGGAGAGATCTGGGCATCTATGCTTTATGAAGTTTATTGGAATTTGGTAGAAAAACTTGGATTTTCCACCAATATTAAAGATGACGCAAAATCTGGTAAAGGCAATACTCTATTTTTGCAGCTTATTGTGGATGGCATGAAGCTTCAGCCCTGCAATCCAACTTTGATTCAAGCCAGAGATGCCATAATTCAAGCAGATAAAGTAGCAAATGGTGGTTCTAATTTCTGTGAAATTACTCGAGGATTTGCTAAACGAGGCATGGGTATCAGAGCAGTAGATAATGGTCGATTTGTCGACGACTTTACCAATGATAGCAGATGTGCTTAGTTTTATTACAAATGGCTACAAAACATGAGATTGAAGATGTAAATGAAAATTGTCAACAACCATTATTAGTGTATGTGCTTTGGAATGGTGCTTGCATAAAATTGATTCAACCGCACTTATGATTGAGTTTGTTCTTGTTTGATGATGTTGCTCTTTTGTAAATATTGCTAGATTGTTTGTGCTGATTTGAGTAACAGGAGTATCGATCGATCGTATCTCCTGTGCCACGGCAACAATCCGACTTGTTGGCACAGTCAGTTGTTGAACAATCTGCGCTACCACTTACTGCAACAGCAGTCTGCTTGATGCTATCAAAATGTCTTCAAACATGATAAATTGGGCTATTGAAATACAAAGATATTATCTCAGTATTTATACATTTACATAAAACTCGGGCCAAATCTGAATAAAGTACATTGAGCTGAAATGGACACGATAGAAATCAGCTTGAGCTAAATCTGAATTTAATTGTTTCAGAAACTATGTATTTACATAAAACTCGGCCAAATCTGAGTAAAGTACATTGAGTTGAAATGGACACGATAGAAACCGACTCGGGCTAAATCTGAATTTAGTTGTTTCAGCTGCGAATTCATTTAGTGGCGCCACCAAGTTGCCACTATCTATGCTTTTGAATGTTCAAATGCTACTATTTTCGTCATTGTATCTCTAGTTGGTTAAAATACTGCTGCTTATACATGCTTGACTGTACGTGGCACTTGGTGTTTGCTATAGTTATTTGAATATGATCAAAAAAAGTTTATCGGATTATTGACGAGTTCCCAAACAGAGCAGTAAATATTTGTTTAGATTCGCGTCGCTCATTCAGACTAATTATTGCGTACATCAAGCATCGGTGTGGGGCCACAATGCAACTATTGCGGGATACTCGTGTGCCGTTTTTGCCTACTTGGTTATCTTTGTGTATCTGTTTGAGATATGTACAGTGAGTCATGTGCCGTCCTATCAATACAACAGTGGCTTTCCATGCTCATCCTTCAAGCCTACTACTTATCAAAACAATTTTTATTTCCATTCTTGACCATTTCATATACTTACTACACTTATATTTTCTGGTCTGGTTACTTTACTGTCCTGATCATTTGTTAAATCACATATTCATTGACTCGAAGACTAATGGTTTTGTACATTTCAACTCCGACCCAGTCATGGTATAAATTCATGTTCATACTCTCGCTACTGTTCACATGTCTGTGCAATGCTCAGGTCATGTTTCCTGCCGAGGAAACTATTGACCAGAATGCAACACTTTCAACACAAGAGCCTGCACAAAAACCAATCTCTGAACCAACCTTAAATACAACTACTAGCTCGGGTCAATCACCCTCGCAGCCTGTATCCCAAACCCAGCAACCATCAGCCGTGACATGCTTTCAACTGCAAAAAACAACCATGTGTCCTAACCAAGAGGGTGGAATATTGTTCACTACTGCTCAGTATAACGACACTCAAACATTTGATTTATTTATTGACCAGCGCGCAGCAAATGCATCAAAGTATATTTCCGAATTCCAGGCTGGCTATCAATGTCCTGCATTCTCTGGCCAGGGCACAAGATTTCACCAGTCTCTTATATGCTCAATGCTGATAGATGCCTCCACTACCTTGTGCTCTACTACTGTCAGAGTCAACCCTAACATTGTTCCATTGTGCAAAGAAACTTGTACATCAGCCATCACTTCCTTGCAAGATATTTTCAAATCTCCTATATGCTCGCAATCGCCTTCGTCTGCTTCGTTGGAGAATAGAAACACAACAATGAGTGCATTCATGTCCTTCTGTTCACGCCAGCCCATGTCTAGCGCTGTTGGTGGGAAATGCCTCAATGGAAGTGCTCAGTTGGGAGAAGCATCAACATGTGGTCAGTTATAAAATGCATTGATTAGACTAAAATTCTTGACTTGAATGAGCAAGAGCAGTGAATTGACATTTTGCTGATAAATTATTATAGGATTTGTCACTACTCAAGAAGCTGCTACGTATTGCATTACCAATGCATTTGATCCCTGTTGTGCCAGTGTACCAAAATCTACAACACCTCCACCTACTAAAAACAATAGTGCGACTGCCAGACAGTTGGCTCTGCCAACACTCACTCCATACTCCAGCAAAAAGAATGTTTTGTTTATTGTTGTTTTTGCAGTGGTCGGTGTCGTTATTTTAATTTTTGGAGCTTCACTATCTCACTTTGGTATCAAGCGGATGCATGCCAGACAAATGAAAATGGCGCAAGAATCCTATTTGGCTTCTTTGAAATCAAAGAAACCAAGAAAGCATAATGACCATTTTGATTACAACATGGGCAAAAGCTCTGCCAATGATTATAGCATGAAATGGCAGGAAACTCTAATGAACGGTGGTGGTCAGCGTCGTAAATCCGGTGGTCCTCGTGGCCTTTTCCCCCAGGACAGTAATGCATTGCTTTACCCTCTATCTGTCGAAAGTGGTGGCCTTAACAGTTTTGCTAATACAAGCAGCAACTTGAGGAGTCTTGATTCTCTACGTGATGCATCGCACAGTAATTCTCCCAGCAACCACTCACGTTCATCCACAATTGTGCGTGATGATCAAGACTCCGAGACAAATAGTCCGGTAGAGCTTTCAAACAACCAACAAATTCTCAGCTACACTCAGCCACCCTCTCCAACGCCAGCCACCACTTCTCAATATACTGCCCTCAATGACCGGTTTATGCGTGCCTTTGCTACATATATTCCCAAAATGCCTGATGAGATTCCTTTGAGCATTGGCGATACTATCCTTGTCTACCAAGCTTATGATGACGGATGGGCATTAGGAAGAAATGTCAGCACCTCTGTTGAGGGCGTTTTCCCCATTGCCTGTGCCGAGTCAACATCGTATATTCCCCCTGATGAGATCAGCACTCTTCCCCGAAACGTGGACAACAGAGTTGTATCATTGATTGGAAGTTCAGTGAACGGAAACTAAATGGTAGCTGATCAATTGGCTAGACTCTCCACCTACTTTAAATTTGAGCCATTTGCATTCTATTTCTTGTAGTTGTATATCAAGGGCTATGATCCAACAAACATACATGGCAATATAAAAGCTACACATGATTGAATATCTGACTGTATTTTTACAAATAAACTATTTTTGAGGCAACATGTCTTTTGAATGTCGGTTGAAATTATATTCTAGCAAGTACGCAAATGGCACCTGCCATAAGACAGCCTTTTACATGTCTGCAAGTGCTCAAACAGCAGAAACCCCAATCAAATCTATCAAGCGATCTTCCATCTGGTGTCAGATTATACTGAAACATACAAGTGTCCACACCATTGACAGCCATCACTTTGGGGTTTTGCCATTATTCGATAAGTATGACAGCTGCAGAATCAAGTGCAGTATGATAGGGTTGATTCAAATATTTCAAAATTGACCCGTTAGGTGTTTGGATAACACTGATTAATTACCCGTACTATGGTCTGATGATAATCACCCCACTGTATGCTAAAATATTGCATGTTTTCATACTATAAAAGTAATTTTTGAGAATAGCAAATTCTGGTTTAAAATAATTGCCAAATAAATGGTAGATGGCGTTCCAATATACCCGGCACACACACGTCTACTACCAAGCAGACCCACAATCCATATCGATATAGTTCAACCAGAACGCAACATGAGTCTTCCTCTTGATCGTCATCCACAACGAGTGCAATCACTATACTATGCAGAGACATCTTCTATCAATTATCTATCAGCACCAGCCTCCCCTGGAATACCCACGCCCCAACGAGGATTGAATCCAATGCGTGCAACTCAAATTGCTGTTCGTGCTCGTCGTGCTCGTGAACGAAATCGTCACAACCAACACCATGGTGAATCATCTGATATACGAGATTCACTGCTAGATACTCCGCTACCGCTCTATTGTCCTTCATCAGCCATGCAATCTACAGATACCATTCAAGCCACGCCAATGGCATCTTCAATTAGCTCCTCAAACCCATCGGTCACCGCCAGCAGCGAGAAACAACTCATCCGCCTCGCCAGTACACAAGCCAGCAGCAGCCATTTTGAAAGTGGCAGCAGCATTGTGGCTAGGAATGGCGTCAATCATAACGATCGTAGCGACTCTTTTTTTGCTACAGAAATGTATGGGCGAGTTGCTGGTCATAGTCAACCTATTGGTGTAATTTCCGCCACATATCCAAGCACATGTCCTGAATTGAATTGCACATCACCCACCACAATCCAACCAACCATTCGAACATCCTCCATCACAGATGTAGGCGCTGCAGCCAATGATATGATCCCATCAGGCATTGGCTCTATTTCTTCCACTGACACTCGAACTATAGCGGCAGCACATACTTTATCTTATACTACCAATGTGGCTACACATACCACTTTAAAATCTAATCTACGAATAGAAACCACTGGTCCGTCGACTACTCCATGTGCTCCTTTAGCATCGCCAACACCTATTTTAAGCATCGCTCCTGGCGTATTAGAAACAACATCAACTTATTTCAACGAACCAACCTGCCCTGTATCAAGCGATCTCGTCTTTTCATCGATTAATATATCGCTTTTGGAAACCAATTTGCTCACCATTAGCAGCTACGCGGACAATGCATCGCCACTAATGGACCTAAATCTCGTCCAGGACCTCGTGCGACCTGTTATCAAACACCATTGGCCACTAGGAATCTCTGATGAATACATACACGGCCAGTCTGCCACATTTCGACTTAAAAAAGATCCGTGGATGGATCAAGGCACGCCTGAATTTATCCTGTCGAGTCGGATGCTGATTCTAGGACTGTTGAAAGTACTAACAGCCAATGGATGGTTTATGCTGTCTTCGTGTTCACCAATGTACTGCGTATCGGAAAAGCATACTATGTATTTTGGAAAATATAATAATCCCAATGACTCGATACTAAAACAGTATTTGCATCCACAATCTTCTAGCTCTTCAATTCAACCCATGCCAACCTTGGTAGAAAGTCCAACTGAAAGCAATAATCCAGTTCCCTCTTTAAACCATCAATCAGGATATGCTTCAAGTCCACCCATACCATCGACTCGAGATGTTTCGACTTTGGTGATAAACACGAATTCACCCATTACACCAAAGTTGGTGCCATTATCCCTAGCCACGTTGAAAGATAAAAAGCCTAGCTTGTTGACTTTGTTGGTATCCAAGATGCCATGGACAGACACGTCGAGTAGTTTAGCGTCTCCAGTAGTTGAACAACCTTCCAACTCTTTAGTGCATCCTTTAATTGCACAAACCAGTTTGTCTGAATTAATGTGGGACCAAGCAGACATGTTTTCCATTAGCTTTCGTGCCCCATATAGACTTCAGATCATTGGGCTCACTGATTCATTAGTAATTCCCAGCATTCGAAAGCACATTCAAATTGTATGGGCAGATGGGATTGCAGCTGAATCCCACGACTCGCAATCAGGAGTATTTGAGTTTATGCTCAATTCATCACGAGATGGTGGAAAAGGTGGTACAACAGCGATTGCATCACCGTCTCGGGCAGTATTTTCTCCAGCAGAAAGCGTGCTAGGTCACAGACTTATGGCTCGGTTGGTCATGGTGCTTCGTGAATTGCACAATTATGCCTTGTATACAAGCATTCGGTTTGCCGAACAACCTTTGGCATCTATTGGTGGTAGTTCCAACACAGTTTATTTTAATGGACTGCAAAAGTTTTGTGCATCTTCGCCTGCTACTACATTCTCGACATCAAAAAATACATGCTCCGATTCCTTCATTGTGTTTTGTCGTGCCACATCCAAGACCATGCCACTTCATGCTCAAAAAGTTGTCATGACAACAAACTCGAGTTTACCCCTTGTACCAAATACATCTGCGACTACAACCCACTCACCTATAGATATCACCGATACAATTTTTGATGATACAGATGACGAGGCACCAGAGGAAGAAAATGAAACTGCTGATGACGAACATCCAACAGCTGCAATGATCAATGCATACATATCTCCTCGAGCATCCTTGGTTCAATCACCACCGCGCATAATGCGATCTTTTGGTATCTATATCTATGGCAGCAACAATATTCGCACAACCACTCTTCACAAATCCTACATTACATGTATAAGTAGCCATCTTGCTCACCTTTCGCAAGTGATTAAGCATGGGCGAATCCTTGTTACACCTCAACGACATGATCGGGTGGTATCGCAAAGCATTCATTTTTTTCGTTTAAAAGGATCACCTTTCCAACCCACTCTAATCTCAGGACCAGTTTTGCATACCATTGCTGCTATTCTACAATGCGATTTAATGCGTGTTAGGATCTTGGTTGGTGTGCTAGACGGACTATATTGCGATACGTATATGCGGCCTGTTGGGGTATGCAACATCATCAACGATTGCGGAGGCGATTTGCCAATGCTAATTGTTGAAAGAGATCGAGATATAGCGGATTACTGGATTGAAAAAGAAAAGGAAACGAATCACAAAGAGGACAATGGTTGTAAAAATAATCCACCCGTTTCGATTGTATTCGCATTAGCCTTTTTAGTATCAGATTCAATTGAAATGGTGCTGCCTTTTGAAATACCTAAAATATCAAATCCGGCTAATGGAAGTCATAGCACAAAAGAGGCGGGAATGCAATCTAGTGTCTTTCTCGCTCGTCGTGCCATTTCAGTGGTTCAAGATGTTGTATCAAAATTCGTAAATGCAGCACCTTCCATTAAAGCAAATTACAAAATATCTACTTATGCCAATCCGGCCAGCTCTAAAAAAGTTACAACGCATGTTACTTGGAAAATAGGAGGAACTCCCTGGGAGACAACAATTGATATGACCGAAAAGCAAATGACTGATCATACTACAAAGGCTAGAGATCTAGTTGGTGCATTAGTGAAAGCGCTGTTCAAGACTGGGTTTGGCGTGGGTATTGCAGCAAATATCTCGACCAAGATTCCTGGAAACGATACTTTATTTTTTTCTGCTTCGTCAATCTCTGTCAAAAGCATGGATACTATTCAAGAGTCATGCCAGTAACCTTGTCCACGCAGTTCTGGCATCCAAGCCAATGATTTTGTTATATTGGCAGATGCGACCCAATAAAAACCCTTGAATCATGCATTAATCAAGTATACAACTGCGCATGACAATACAAAGCACCAATTAAATAGACAGTCATGTTTATTCAATTACTAGTCTTGTACGCATAGGGTAACAGTATAGTCCATTTCAAAATAAAGAGTAGATTACAGGTAACCAAAAAGTAAAAAATGGCTATTTTAAAAGTCAAAACGACATCCAATATTCTACTACAACGGTTGAGCTAGCAAAACTGGATCAAGTCAAAAAACTCCAAATCAATAAAGGGTATGTGGCTGACTATTCAAAAACAGTCATCAAACTTGATTCATGACTAGGAAAACACTCAATTAGACATACAAAAAATATTCACAAACACGACAGACGCCATGCACTCGATTAACCTCTATTGTTTGATAATCGACTGTGCATATCAACCCTGATTGTAAATTCAATATATAAAAGCGTCTATATCATACATATTTGCTGTGTTGCATCATGCATTGTCGTCCCGTTTTGTTGGGCGACTGCCTGTTCCAAATGGATTTTCATCGTCAACGTCTGCATACTGGATATCGTCGTCGGAAGGACGGCTAGGCGACGAAGTTTCGGATCGTGCTTCCCAGTCATGCGATGGATCTGCAAGTTCTTGTCTAAATGCATCTGCAATCAGACGTGCATCTTGCAATGAAAACCCTGATGTTGCCGAAAGATTAAAATCTTCTGCCGATGCCAAAGGTACATTCAACGTTCCAGTAGACGATGCAGACTTGGCATGATGCGACGGTACAACTAGTTTTGAAAGCGACTGTGTTTGGTAGATTGGATGTGATGGATCATGGGTCAACGAAGCAAATGATTTGGGCGAAGTTCCAAACGATCCAACTGACAGTCCCAATGCTGATTGCTGAGACGCAAGAGTAGGAATCAAACCTGGTCGCAACGTATCAGCCTTCTTGGATGAATTCATAATGTACATTGCAGGCTGTGGTAAAACATGTCCTTGCATGTTTGAGCTACTCGAGTCTGATATTGACGAGATGGGTCCAACAAGTGACGTGGTGGATGTTTTTTCAGTCCGTATGCCAGACATCAACAAGTTGGGCTGGACAATAGTCGCAGATTCAAGCGATTTGGACGAGAGAAGCGAAAAGGACGAATGACGCCGGAGCGCCAACGGAGTCAATCCTTCGCCGCATTCACCATACAAAAGCTGGTTGGCTGCGCGTTTACGACGGTAAAAAATAAAGACTGCAATACATACAGCTACAAGCACCACGGCTGCAACAATGCCTCCAATAAGGCCAGACGACGTGCTGTTAGACTCAGTGTTGCCATTGTTTGGCTCATTTGGCGGGTTGGCATGATTGTTGTTGCCATTAGAAGGTGAATGATCGGTGCTCGAGTTTGGATTAGTCGAGCCTGAAGTTCCTGAAGTTCCTGAACTTCCCGAGGTGGGGGATGGAGTGGTTGGCGGTATGGCTGCAATGGTTCAATAACGTCAGTACAAGATCGTCACAACACAATTGGTCATCAATCGACATGTCAGTCAACTTACATAGAGTTGCCCATGTAAACGTTCCTCCATCCTGATAAGGTCCAGTCAGACACACTCTTGACAGCGAGTCCCTCAGTTGGAAAAAGAATTGGTTACGGGCAGCCTGTATGGACTGGATCTGTGCATTGTTTGGTATATCAACAATAAATGATCCAGCATATCCAAGTGAATCCACTGCACCCAATGTCAATGGGGACCCAAATGTCATGACTACTGGGAATGCAATGTTGCAAGGGTCGGCCACTTGCTGCATATTTCCCGTGAACATGGTGAGGATCAGCTGAGTCTGGTCCAGAAATGTTGGGATTTGGTTGATGGCATACCATATAGGGAAAGACTGTCCAAGAACAATGTTCTTCTGATCAATGCATAAACGGTCTGTGACCGAACAAACTCCCGCTGAATAGCATAGTTGATGTTAGTGGATTCAAACTACATGGTTTGATATGCATGTGCAACTATGATTTACCAATGACTAGACTCGGTGCTGTAGCAATCCACAGTATCAATGGCCAGATCATTGATGTTTCAGTAGTAGTTGCAAGTGTCTTGTAATAAGAGTTGCTGTTCTGCAAACCACTGCGTCTGTCTGCTGGTTTACATCAAAAGTAAGTCATTTAAACTGTTTTCAACCAATTGATTCAAATACATTTACATTGTCTTGATAGATTGTACTGGTAGCTGCACCGACCTGTTATTCCTACTGTTCGTTACTATCACTTGTCTTGTCGTTTGCGCTTGTTTCAATAACAATTTGAATGGTTTAAATGTGTTGAATTAGCTAAATATATGTTGAATTGCCCAAATATATGTTGAATTGCCCAAATGTGTGTCAGATTGCCCAAATTCATGTCAAATCAATCAAATGCTTCATTCATAAATTGTTGGCATTGAATCATCATTCATAAATTGTTACAGTTGTACTGGTTCAACACTTGATAAATAATCATACATTCAACATCTGGCTTGGTTTCAATTTTAGTACATACATAAAACTTCAATCGATCCATTCACTGAACCATCATAAACTCCTTGATTCATTCAATGTTGGATAAAACCTATACCTTCACCCATCACATCGCGATATAAAGCCATCAACGACTCATATCCACCAATGCTTCCACCTAATATCCCAATAAATATAATAGTAGCTCCAAAAACCAGTTCCGTTATACTACGTCCTTGCAGGCCAAATATCTTGTAGTAAAACACTACTGGGAACACAAAGATCAGCATCGTATTGGCTACGGCGCCAAGAAAAGTCATCAGGTCTGAAAAGTAGGGAACTGCCATTGCTATAAATGCAATCCCAACCATTAAACATGTGCGAAGAATAGCTCGTTGTGTGCGCTGTCGAACAGTGTCTTCGGGTGCATCAATGTCGAGATATCGCTCAATATCTACAGAAAACGTAGTCACGAGAAGCGGGCATGCAAGAAGGACGTGCGCTGTAATAATCACAATGGATGCGGTCGTTGTCCATCCTAATACACAATTCGTTTAGTATAGACTCGGCTCATTTCAACCCGGATCCACTTACCGTGAGGAAGATTGTCCAGAATAGGTGACTTGGTCAAGTTTCCAAATGCAGCGTATCCAACTACTGATGTTAAAAGATACATGCCGGTGATGATAGACATGGCTCGAGATAGCACAGTAGGAAATGCTTGTGGCTTAGCCATGGATCGTTCTACCTCGGCATACTATGCATTTCAAAATTCGGCAAACATTAAATTGATCAATATGCAGCCTATCAATTTTTCCAATCAGTCTAGCTACATACCACATAGTTTCCACCAAACGAAAATGAAAATGAACCCAATGCAGCTGGCATATTGGCAATATTGATGAACGAATGGGTGACTTTTCCTTCGTTCTTTGGTATTTCAATCAGTCCGAGAACCACAACCAAAACGCAAACAATGATCGATGCAAGAGCGCCAAAGAGACTTTAATTTGCTCCATAAATGAGACTGTTAGCTATGCAAACTAAATGTGAAGTCTGTCTTATCCTCATAATCACTCGTGTGAAATCAAAGCTTTAGACATACCTGACAATGGCAACTTCTTTCAGGGTACGCATTAGCACAAATGGAACAAGAATTCCCAATGCACAAACCATGATCCATTGTTTTTGATTAAGGAATCCTATAATATTTTCCAGATTCAAACCTGCAAGAATGAGGTATAGACAGGTAACACCCAGAAGTACTGTCGTGTAAAATACTCTTACGATACGCTCCCCATTGACACCGTATGCTATGCGACCGATTTCAGGATAGCTGCCATTAACTCGCTGTCTGCATAAGAAATGGTTGGATTTAATCCGGTAAGAGTTCGATGAAAATTATCCATATTCAGCATATTGCCGGAATCCAAAAAAGCAAATGGAAGAATCAAAGCAATCCCATCAGCCTAAATGACTGATATGCTATGCATTCAGCATATGCAATGGTATCAACTTACCCTCGATTATATAGACATCGAATCAGCATTTTCCCAGTATAGTCATTAACCACTGCTGCAAACAGCATTAAAAATACGCCAGCCCATCCAGAAAGCATGAGCGCAAAGGGCACTTGCAAGATCCCTGTGCCTGCAATAACACAACTTATAGAACAATGATGGTTAGTTTAATAGACATTAGCCCATTCATGACAAGGAATGTCATTGATAGAATCAGGTGCAGCCAACCACTGCATTTTAGCAGAACATGGTGGAGTACTAAGCATGCTCGAGCACCAAAATGCTTTTGTTTGAAGCTGTCGATTCGCGGCAGGGGCCCGGAATGAGCAGAACAAGGAGCCTATCACTTTGGTGATGCTGAATGGGTCGTTTGGTGCATTCAGACATCAACACAACAAGACCATCAATGTCATCACTTACATGACATGATACAGCGCAGCATTGTTTGATGCAGTACCAGGTCGAACCACGTCTTTGTCTTCAAAAGTATCCACCAATGAAACCGCCATGCTGTCTGAAGCACTATGGTTACTACGGATACTACCACTATCCCCTCTCGCATGACGTGTATTTGGAATAGTTACGCCGGTAGTCTCGTGTAGGTCATCCTCATTGTCCGGCACAGTATCGTAATGATTCATGCGACCAAGTCTAAAGTGGGTTGAAGCCGAACGGGATGAAATGATTGTGGGATGGTGGGCGTTAGTATATTAATACTGGCTAGTTGGGTTGTAGATGGCGGTTTTAGTAGAATGTAAATTCCACCCAAATAACTAGACTTTGTCAAGGGAAAGTTGGGCTTGAAATCGACTTTAAATTTGTAAGCCATCCAGCACACGTGTCGGAGTCCTATAAATATTGATTTATCGACCCATGCTTAGGTTGAAGCCATATCTTGCTAGATATACTACGTTGAAAATCAATTAAAATATATAAAAACATCAAATCTCTCTTTATAAACTCAATCCGATAATCCATCTCCCATCAGCGGTGGTGTAATCATTTCTGATGCTCCCCACATGAGCTGTGAGACCAAAGAAATTCTTGGTGCGCTTGAAAGTTGTCCAAGTTTAACATTTTCAGGAAGTCGTCTTTGAGGTGATTGACTTGAAGATGAGGGATTTAGGCTCACTGAATCGATATTATGATTATCATTCATGACGCTATTTCTATGGGCACTAACACCGTTCTGGTTATGTGTGTCATTGCCACTTGTAGAAACAGAAGCAGGATTCTCTTTTGATACATCCAATGAGCGGACTGGAAAATGTGTAAGCAGTGATGAGCTTGTGGATGGGATCTGAGCTTGCGAATGCAGGCGTTTATCATTTGCAAAAACGTTTTTGGGTTGAGTCGTCATGTTGGGATTGCCACTCTTTTGCAAGTCCGTGTCTGTATTTAAAGCAGACGTGATGGGCAAAATCGACGTTGACACATTTGATCTGTCATTCACTGGATGTACATTAGACTGAGATACAAATGGGATTTCAATTTCGCTCTCCAAAGCTGAACCTAAAACACTAATGTTGTCAATCGCATTTCTGTTTGGGTTGGATCCTGTTATTCCTTCCCAGTTCACAATATTGGACTCGAGTGTTTCGTCGTTGCTAGATTTATAGTTAATATTTAACCCAAACCAACAATCATATTAGTTTTAACAAAATCCAACTTTGAATACAAATGTAACATCATGTCTACATACTCGACAAAACTATGCGGTTGACTTACAGCTCATGCCAAGACTCGATTGTATCACAAAGTAATTTTAAATTAGGGAGTGTGTTTCGTAAATTCTTGACCGGTTTTCCAACAAAATTCAACAGCTACATATACCAATACAAACTACCCATCAGTCTCCTTAACAAAACATCGTGTTGAAGGCTAATCTTAGTCGTAGATATGACAAACCATACCTGTTCTACATTCTTGTTAATTAAAAACACGGCATACTCGAACCGGATACGTTCAGATCCTCGAGAGTACAAAGGAAACCTAGCAAAGCAGTATTGGATAGTCGTAAGAAAAACACAGAGAATTTGAAAATACTAAAACTAAAATCCTGGACAACCATGACTCAACTCTTTACTTCCTTGAAATTGCTGCGATACAACATCCCATACAGTTGACCGTGAAGAAATTGGCATCATATAATAACGTAATGGTACATCAAGGTAGTACGCCAAAAGTGTAATGAAGTGGGCTGTAAAACCCAAGGCTGTTGCAATGCGCTCATCATCATGTCCAGTGAAGTTTGAATTGGGAAGTTTTATGCCTCGTATGCATGGGCAATCGGTCTTGATACAGTAGATGAATCATTAATAATAAACCAAAAAGTATATAATCAATGGCAAAAATAAACCATGTGAAAAAGATGTAGTTATTTACCTCGGTAATAGGAAACATGGTCTTAAGATCATGCGTCAGACTTTTTTGAAGCTTGGAAACTCGACTTAAAATACATGACATCTCCTTTCTAATATAGCAAATCGTCATATAATTGATATACAGATAATACATGTCAGTATTGATCAATCCATTTATCTCAACTCTGCAGCCAAATCATTACTAGCCTGGTGAGTGCAAGCCCATCACGAGCACGCAGAAAACATTTGACTTCTTCATCCCTTTCCACTTGAAGTTGACTTAATTGCATTTGCCGTTCATTCACGATTTGACGAATTTCGTTCAATCTTAAACTGCCTAGAGTGTTCAATAAAGTAAATCAATACTCTTAATATGCAATCTATAGCTCTAAAGTTGGATCGGTGCTGTTTACTTACGATTTTGTAATTCCCGTGTTTGCTCCATGATTGCATTTTCAGTAACATTGATTCTAATTCGAATAGCATCGGCCTCATTAGCCTGCATACAATTAAAAAGTCAGAAAAAAGGTTTAAAAACAAATTCCAAAAGTAATACGATACCAAGCATATGCTACAATCTTACCACAGTCTCTACAACCTCTAGTTTGGCAAAATGAGCAGCAGATTCGACCAAAATTGTATTGGTAGATGCCTGTACTTTTGTAATCTGTCGCTGCAATCCTATGATTCTAAGCATCATAATACGCAACGTGTAAGCAAATCAACCCTCAGAAAGTACTCTATATCACGCAATTCTTGCAAAACTGCATACCTTTTGATCTGTGCGTATTTATAAGATGCATAAACCTGTGAAAATGCATGCAACAAATCAATCATTGCGTCTAAACCTTTCAATTCCTCATGATTTGATACCTTACCTTGTTTGGTTTGACTTTTGTAAGCTGTACTTTGAGATCAACAGATTTGACAGGGGGACAGTCCTGTAAATATTTAGCAGATATATCAGTACAATCATGGAGTAAGTCATTTTTCAATAATATAGATGATTAGACCTTAAAAACAATCTGCCTACATTTGTAACAGAAGTGCGAGGCATATAAAACCCATTTTCCAACTCTATCAAAATTGTGTTGGGCTGAAATTGTAAGTCAAGATCTATCAACTGCAGTCAAATGCATGCACACAACCAATTCATAGCAAAAATTAGCACTGCGTTTCTTGATTGATGTGCAAGATTCAAATATTTATAGCTAAAAACCTCATGCATACATCTTTGCAAACAAATGACATGTTGGCCAGATCAATCCATTGCGAAATCACTGAAACAGCAGCTGGATTTCTGGTCAAATTAAAATACAACGAAAGCATAAATCGAGGCAAACACTGATGTAAATAGGACATGGATATACTATCCAACAAAACATCCCAAGAAGGGTTCTATATTTTAAAAAGAAACAACATCAGCCACCAAATGGATTCACTCTAGTTTTAAAACCAAATATCTAACATGATTGCTTACATTACACAAGTCGATCCACTCGCTAGTATAAAACGGAAGAGTATACGAATTTTCTGCCAGTGTAAAATAGCTACAGCATAATTCATGACACGGAGCATGGACAACCATGGATAAATGCTCCTGAAACATCTGATGCACACTAAACGATGAAGCAGAAGATTTCATACTTGTAGACATTTCAGAAAATCTCAGTGTATTCAATCGTCTTGTTAAAAGCTGATGTGAAGTATCTGAACGCGCATCTATAGATGACTGTATAGGAGGTAAAGACAGTGTTTGGGATTGGATTGAGCAGGATATGTCAGGCATGCTTTGAGTATCGTTATTTGAATCTGATGGAATTTGTTTTGAAGTATTGGACGAAAAGTGAGATCTGATTAAAGTAGTATGTTGATCATGATGGGAGGCGGATAAAGCAGCAGAGTCCAAAGCATGTGCAGCGGAAAGTGACGACACTCGAGACGAATCCAAAAACAAGGGTGGATGCAACAGTGATCCAATGCTGGTTGAATTGGGTTGATGATTAGACTCTAGCTTAGTAAACTCGATATCTGTAGAGTTTGTAGTTTCAAAAGGAAGCTTTTGTGAAGCCAAATGTGAGTGATTTGAAGCAAGAAAGCTGCTAGAAGGTACGATTGTCATGATTGTCGGAGTCTGAGGGGATCCAGTAGATGCATTCAATACAGAGCATGTTCCATCAACACCAATAGTAGGATGAGTGACATGATCAATCCTGGCGGGAGTTGCCCGGTTTCCTACAGCATGCATATCATTGACGGTGGTGTTGCCATGGTTGTGGATGGACAGATTGCGTACAAGAATACGACGAAGATGACGGATCCGAGGCTAGTATCAAACATATATGGATAGTCAGTTACTGTATTAATAGAAGATGACTGACATTCATGTACATTTATGTATATTCAGATCCATCCAAGAATTGTTTCGCCAATGGACAATCAAGTCATACCTGCACATGAGGCCAACAGGCCTGAGAAATGTTGCAAGTGCCCGATATGACTGAAAATGAATGTATTGAATAGTAAAAAGCAGCAGTGTTTCCTTATCAAGATTCCTGACTGGTCTATGGTCGAGTATCGATATGAATCAACCTGGTGAATGCGACTAATAGGAAAGTCGCGCTGTATTGAATCCAAGCTGAAGTTTGATATTGATTGGATAAATCAATTCATTTCAACAGTCAATCCATTTCAATTGTCAATTCATTTCAATTGTCAATCCATCTTCACTGAGTTGTAGTCTTGCATTAATTGAATTTTGATTGCTTGACTTGATCAAACAATCAATCTGCAAGAATCCAACTTCACTCGTGACAATCTCAACTGTTGAAAACATTGACTTGATCTTCTATTTTTCTTTTTCAAAACTTGAACTTGACTCGACTAGTTCAGTTATTATAAAGAGCAAGATGCTTCGTAGTTGTATGCTTCGATTGAATCATTCATTTGCTGTCGTCTCGCATATTCGTACTACCAGTTCATCAATACACTTGCTGGTTCATCGTTCAACTCCCATTCATCATCCAATCTCTATACTATTCAATATCAGCACAGATCCTTTTACAAAACACTATTATACAAAAACCACTACTGGAACAAAAAATAATAATAATGTAGTTAATACTGCTGATATTAGACATTCGATGCATCATCTGCCAACGATTGCCGACATTATCCAATATATGAAACAAGATCGCATCATCCTAGCATACCGCAGTTTTATCAATCTGGAGTCCTCAAACTCATATTTTCTGGCAGATCTTCCACCAAAGGTATTCTTTAATCTCATTCAAGCACTTTTAAACAACAAATCTCAAGTCCTCAAGTCCAAATCTCATTACACCAAACTCCATCGAGTAGCCACCATGTTTGAACTTATGCAGACCGTCGAAGCCAAGACTGACATAAATGTGCTAACACTCATGATCTATATCTATGCAAAAATGAATAATCTGCCCTCTGCTTTGAAAGCATATGCAGAGATCAAGCAACATGGATTTGATCACATGTGTCCTTTGGTTCTTGGAAATATGACCCAAGCCCATATTCTCAATGATGACGAAAAAACCGGCCTGGAATACTTTGAACTTTTGAAACAAGTTGATTTGACCATATATCCCTACGAGGTATTGCTAGGCTCATATGTGCTCAAATGTGACGAGAGCGGGATTGCGCGTGTTATAGAAATGATGCGTTTAGCTGGATTTTCCTGGACTCCTCAGATACTTACCAAGATTACTAATTATTACGCTTCTTGCAAGGACGACTTGACTGTATTGAAATTGATCAAAAAGTTTCAAAATGAAGGCGGCGATCTAAATGCTCGTATATACCATCGCCTTATGGTTACGAACAACAATATTGGCGAGCACCATGATGCCTTGCAGACTTTGAATCAAGCAATTAAAAAGCGAGTTCGTATCACACATCCTATGATTACCGAAAAAGCAGTTGCGTATGCTGGATTAGGTCAGGAGAAACACATGTGGGACACATACTGCGCTGTCACCAATCATCAGTTTGTCCAATCTCGTCTTTGTATTGCTATGGCAAAGCATCTTGGTCCATTGCTCGAATCTGAGCGTGATGTCATAGGTGCTATCAGTGCGTATGTCAAAGAGTCAAATGGCTCGCTCACCAATGCTCTCTCTGGGTTGGTGAACGGCTACAAATTCCTTGGAGATCCTGATTCCGCAAAATATCTGATCAGTGTTTTAACTTCGTACAATCCATCTTTATCTTTGGCCATCCATGTCAAAGTAGTATATGCATACTTGGAAACTGGAAACTTTGATGGTGCTTTGGGCCATGTCAAATATTTGGAAGATCGTTATCAGAGTGCAGAAGTTATTCACATCTACCCATTACTGGTTCATGCAATCAGCTATCGGCCCGAAATGGTAAAGAAGCTTCTTGCATGGATGGCTCGAAAAGGTAAAGACATTGATATTGATCAAGAGTATCAGCGTGCAGCGTTTCGTGCAAAGTTGGGACCAAAGACTTTTGATGATTATAATAGTATAGGGCAGGAATAATTTGAATTCAACACTTTGCAACTGCTCTATCCAAATATCAGTTACATTTGGGTTGGTAAAGTGAAATTGTACTATCACCTCGTGCCAAACGAGTCAATAAACAGAAATCGTTGAAATAATAGTTTATTCATTTTCAGCCAGAAACAAATCTATCGGCCCAAACAATCACCGTTACAGGTGTGGGTGATGGCTTTGCAATGAGTTTTGGTATTGTGACTACAGTTACTATTACTACCGTTACAATCGGCACCGCGCGATCGGCTGTGTTCAGGGAACAGTGTACGAATAAAAGATGAGTTGGCATGATCAAGGTTTGATTGCTGTTCTATATCGTCTGATTGATCAGAGCCATTGTCATCACAGTAATTTGTATCTTGGTGAGCATTGAGTTCTACAATCTGATCGTTATCAATTGAATCGATTGTATTACGATATACGTCATTCAATGTGTTGACGCCAGTGGATAGAACGTAATCAGTGGTCACATTGGCATTGTCGTGACTGTCTTCGTTGTCATCATTCCAATCCAAATGGTTGAAAGAATCATTTAGAGGCTTTGTATTTCCATTCGAGTCTAGCAGGCTTATTGATACGTTTAAATCTATTACACCTCTTCCATCATCCCATCCGACTGCATCACGCAAGCACTCGGCAAAATTTTGGCATACAACACCGTTTGCATCGACAAAAAACGACGACATGACCTCTTCGTCACTTTCGGAAGGACAATCTGTATTGTATATGGCATTGGCAAGACGCTCGTAGACGGTGTCGCGATTGGATTGATACGTCTCGGCATTTGCACGGAAAGTGGGATATCCTTGTACACGTCTATGCCGAACTGTGTTGAGTGGATACGTAATTGAACTGGATTGATAAGTATGGTCGTGTGTGTTTTGATCAGGGGCTTCATATGTAAAATCAAAAAGGCGGGATTGATTGATTACATTCAGTGCATGTCGAATTGGCATATGAGATACAAATGTCACGTATGGTTCTTCAAGACTCAAACTATTGGACGAGTGATAGGAGTGCTCAAGCATTTCAGCTACGGTATCAAGACGTTGGTCTTCGTTGTAGTTGCCATTATCTTCATAATGGGCTGTTGATGGGGTGTACCAATTGACTTCTGAATGCTCATCTGCATGGTCCTGGCGGGTGAGTCTGTTTGATTCATCTCCAAAATCCCAGAAATTATGATCGACAGTCACATCACGCAGTCCATGCCCAAAATACGTATCGGTTTGATTCAGCGCTCTGTCAAAATACGCAGCAAATGGATTTGGTTCAGACATCGTATTAAAATGATACTGTATTGGCGCAAAGTCTTCGCCATCAAAAAACTCTGCTTCGTCATACGATTCTTCAGATTCCGGCATTGCTTGAAATGTCAAATCAAGCCCAGCCTCGTTATCTGTCCATAGTATAATACCTGGATTTGACTCATCATTCACGGTACCCAATTCGTTCCCATCGATATAGTCATCTTCAAGTGTATGCAATGTGTGTGACTCGGAAAAGAAAAATGGATCATTGTTGAAATCGTATGATTGACGAATGCGACGATGTCTGGGGATATATCCGGGCTCAAGAATAGGAGCATCTCTTGAAAAACTATGAGAGTCTAGAGGAAAAAGTATTTCTTCAGATGCATTTTGAGCATATGTATGCAATAGCTGTGCTTCGGTGCCATTTAGTTCATCCAGTAGATTGCTATCAGCAGCTAGATTTGGCTCAGTCTCGCTATCTGACAAAAATTGATTCAAGCTGTGACTTGTTGGTTCATTTATGGTCTCAGTGGATGCAACTATACCATTGGATGTTTCGAAATGATTGGTTTGTCTTGTACTGCCGTCGTTCCATATTCTATATGAATCCGAAATTGTATCAAACTGTCGCATAAACTCTTCTCTTGCAGTCTGATGATCGCGCTGCATCTGTTCGAAACGATCATTAATCTCTTGCTCAACATCTAATTGACTGAACAGGGGCAAACCTAATTCTCCAAACATGCTTCTAGAAGTGCCAAAAGTTTCAGAATCAGGTGTTTTAGGTGTAGATGAGTCCCAAGTTAAATGATCGTTTGCATAAATGCAGTTGAAAGGTTGAGTTTCAAGATCAATTTCGATTATATTATCCAGGTTGGATTGATGCTGAATTGGCTCGTTGCTTTCAATATTATCGCGTGACTCCTGATTAGGAAACGCCGAAGTGATGGCACTATCATAGGATATAGCATACAATGCAGTAGCATTTATGAGATCTGATAATTGATCCATTTGGTGATGTATAGTCGTAATACGATCATGAGTAGAGGACTGTTGACATGATGGATCTGGTGAATTGATTGCAGACGTGAGTGATGCTGGAGGTGATTGTGGCTGATTTATCTGACTCGAGTAAGACTGTGTTGCTAGATTCATTTCTGCAGCAATATTTGGAGGAGTTGGAATAGCCATGGTTTCAGAACAAAGCGGCATGTCAACTCCACTCTTGACAGCTGCTGCTGGGTCAGATTCGGTTGCAGATTTTACCAAATCGTCAAACACACTAAACTCTTTTTTAAATGAATCAGGACCAGCTGGACTATTGCTTGAGTGTCTGCTACGTTGCGATCGCGTGGATAAGGTTTCATCAAATCTGCTTTGACTGTTCTTCCTATTGTGCTTGAGAGAATGGCTTGAATCTTTAATCATATCGCAAGGCATTGCTGATGGCTGATCCAAATCAATACCTTCAAAATCATAATGTTTATGATTCTCTTTGTTGCATGCTATATGAGCAGAATCTGTTGAAAAACTCGATGAATGCTGTGGGCAAGACGTGTAGTTTGGTTCCTTTGATATAGTGTGGGATGACTGTGTTTCTGATGCAGATGTGATGGCCTTTTCAACTTCTTGAAGTTCATTTTCTTTTAAAGCAGTTTGATTGGTTTGAACCAATGGTTCGGCTACTAGGTATTTTTGCTCTAGTTGCATTGAGATGGCTGGGCCGACATCAAAAATTGCTTGTGCCATCAATCGCTATCAAGGATAAAAGCTATCATATACAATTTGATGGGTTAGAATAAAACAGTATGAGCAGCACAGTTGATGCATTTTTATCAGAATCCATCCTAAATGGGTTTCCGTTTATTCAAATTGGCTTTGAATTTCAGGAAAGCTGATCAAATATTTACCTATTTGAATCAATAGCCCAAATCAGATACTGGATATAAGCGTTTTTTAAGTTGGACGGTCAATTGCAGCAGATAAATGTTGGGATCAAATTGATATTAAACTGAATGACAATTTTCTAATTCCAAGCCAAGTTAGTTTAAAAAAGTTAAATTGAAGCCAAGTGCTATTATTATGATTTAAACCCAGACTTGAATTTGAATGCGCGCCTTGAATGGATATGACCAATACGCCACATTATGGCGTCTTGGTCATGGAGTTTGATGTCAATAGGCATGAGAACAGGAGGGAAATATTTATTTGGTATATAGAAAACTCCACTTTCATGTTTTGGAAACATTCTGATGGTGTCAAGCAGACTGCTATTAAGCCTTTTAGAAACAACAGTTTTTGGTTTGTAAAATCTCACGATTGCGTTAGGTTAGCGTATACTATATAGGTAGAACACCGAAGCTCTCGTGTCACAAGACCAGCACAAGCTCAGCAAGCAACCGCTGTTAGGCCAAATGAGCGGCGTTGTCCTATATTTAATCGAGTGGGGCAGCAGGTCTTGTCAACAAGTCAGATTGTCGTGGCACAGGAGACGCGAGCGATAGATGCTCCTACCATTCAAATCAGTAAACAATCTACCAATATTTGCAAAACAACATCACCAAGAAAGCAACCCAGCCCTACACAAAAGTCTAAATGGATTTTATATAAATACTGTCTCAAAAGCATGACGCACTGATGGTGATTGCTGACAAATTTTCATTTATATTTCCATTCTTATATCCCTTGCGACAGCCGTAAAAGTTACTGCTTCCAGTTTCCTCGTGCAAACATTATGTGACTTTGGCGTTCTTTAGCATCAATATATGCTTGTCGTTGCAGATCCCATATGCCCATCGTCAGAGTAACAATATGAAATGCCATACAACAAAATCCAGTTGTGATGGATAATGGCCATGCAAAACAGTTGAGTGTAGGCGTATCTATCATGTATACATTTCCTGATCCGTTGGGAGCTGGAATAAATCGGTTTTCAGGACAGCGTGCGTAAGTGGCTAAACGTGCTGACGAGCCAAGCCACAAAAGGGAAAGAACTGCATCAATAGATACTTCCACTCCAGAAAATCGCCAGTGTCTATGTGGTGGAATACCAAGCGATCCTGGAAAAGCATATAGATACATACAGCAAAGCGACACAAACTAATGGTAAAAGTCATTTGGCAAAAAATCAAAAGGTAAATGATCCATCATTCAATACCAGTATCACAAGTCTATTGAATGTCGTAAAAATTATCAGTTGCTCCATTCACAATCTTACTAGAGCTGTAATAGAGGTAAAGCACATGACATTCAAACCAGAGTCACTTGCAGCTGCTGATCCATAATGATTCCAGGTAGCTGCAACAAACATTCCGGAAAAGGCACCTACACTCACATAATGGTGTTCAAGTTTGAAATAGACTTTTGGTTAGTTTACGTGAGCGTGCAGTATTTTAAAGCACATGATTTGATTATATCAAGTAGTTTGTGTAAAGCCATGTTTATGATCTTACTTGTAGCAAATGCAGACTGCAAAAATCTAAGTATGAATCTTTTTTCACAAATCGTGCTAAACAGACGAGGATACTCGACAGCCTTGGTGTAAACCAAAAAGTGATCAAAGCTATACACGTTGCTGCTGTCATCAACATATTTATTTTGACCCACGTTTTCATTGCTTTTGGTTTCTTTGGACGACGGCATACCTTTTAAAGTCGAATGACGAGTATCTGATTCGTGAGATTTACCAGATTCTATGTGTTGATTCATCACTTCAACACTTCCTTGATGTGAGCGTCGGTCAGACTTGAGCATATCGTGCATATCACCTTCTTTTTCTTCTACATTTAGATGATGGTGATGGTGATGGTGATGGCGTGCATCACTTTGGACTTTTCCTTCAACAGGCTGCATATTTACTGATTTCTTGATATCACCATCGTCCAGATTAGACCGCGCAATAGAAATAGATGGAATAGGCATATTTAGTCGTTTTTGCGGAGCTGGGTCAATTGATATATTTTCTGTTAATGAAGTAGAGCCATTGCGATTTATAGATGACTGGCTTGTGTCAATGTTGGAAGCAGGCTGCGGTGTGCTTGTATCAGACTCATTTACTGGATGATTTGAGAGCAATTGTGCTGGAGCAGTCCAAGAGGTAGATGATGAAGCCGAGTTTTCTTGTGTTGGGATTTCAAGAGCATCTGAACGAGTAGCCACATATCCTGGACCGACAAATGAGTCTCTGGAGTTTTCCATAGTTTTAGTTGATAAGAATGTCGATGCTGTCAATGTTTTTTAGGCAAGATGAAGTTGCTGACGCGATTTGAGAATGCCAGTATGATGACTAGCAAGGCTGAAATTGTTACTTTAGCATCATTTAAACCACACTATGGCTTCAAAGTTTATATCTAATGATAAAGGTATATTTTACGTGAAAATATTGGCTGTATTAACTGGATTCTAAATACTTTAATTACGTTCTAGTTTAGAGAGTAGTAAACGTAGTCTAATAACATGCATTTATCAGTGTCTTTTAGAAGCAAATACTGCTTTAAAAATTAGTTTATCGTACCAAATCTATACAAATGTTTAAAGAATTGGCTAGCTGCCATTTTACCATTGTCTGATGGTTATTTTTGAATTACAAGACAAGGTAGATTGACAATTATATTCAAGACTACTTTCCACAATTTTTATTTTATTCATAGAGCTTGAATCAATCATTTTAAAGCTATCGATTTTTTCAGATAGTTTTGCCGAATAGCCAGTGCATATGTGGTTCCAAATTTAGATTGAAAAGGTAGCGGCTAAACCATTTATTTCAATTAAGCATTACCGATGGTCAAAATCGATTGTCTGGAATGATGTGCTGGATGAAATGATCATTGACGGCCAGACAGTTGATTTTGACTAGATGCAATTTTTAATGCAAAAATAATATTTCAAAAAGTTTTTCAAGAATAAAGTGACAACAATTAAATGTCAGATAAACGAGTTGCGGATCGATCAGCGTCAGTTAGTATTGCAAAAAAGATTCGATTTGATGATGATGGAGATGTAGCCGAGGTCGCTGAAGTAGTTCCTGAATTCACTGTAGCAGCACCCATTCCTCGAATCAACGAGCCAGCTGCAGTACATCGTCATCAACTTGATGCAGAGCAGAGAAGTGAGTTGCAAAGAAAGCGTAAGGAGCAATGGCTACAGCGACAGGGGTTGCCGATTAGCGAAGAGAATGCATCGTCCACCAGTAAAGTCTCTATGACTCCACCAGCAGCCATGACAGTCCATCCTGAGCGACAAAATAGAGAAGATCAAATACTAGCAGAAAGCAGAGCGGCAGTAGCAGAAGCAGAAGCAGCCAAGGTAGCCAAGAGATTGCCTACGCCTAAAATGCCTGTTGAGATCCGTAAAGCCATGCAGAAACAGCGTCGAATCATGTCCAAGGCCAAATTGGAAGAGGAATTGCTAAATTTATCTGCCAATCCCAATCCGAGTATCGAGTCCAATGATTCTGCACCGACTTCTATTGAAACTGTTGCTCAAAAAACTGCTGATGAAAATGATACTGAGAATGCCAAACAAACTCTTGTTCCACCACCATCCAAGGCAACTAATAAAAAGGCTCGATCAAAGAAGGGCGGAAATGAACTCGATCATGAGCCAGATCTTAAAGCAAAACAGGCTGCTATGGACTATCTAGATCTATTCATCAACAATCGCAAACAATGGAAATTTCAAAAAGTGCGGCAGATATGGATTTTGAGAAATTTATATTACCAAGCCATGGTGAGTTTTGAAATCTGTTCATTTTTGGTTATAGTCAATGCGTTGATGTCGAGTATTAATTGCTGGCATACATGATTTAGGTGACCGAAAAACAGTTTAAAGATGCATTAAGTTATATGAAGGATATGGGTGCTCGTGCAAAGGAAGAAACCATTGTTGAGGCCAATACGATTCTAGAACAAGTTCGTAAAGCCAAAGAAGCCATAAAGACACAAGACGGAAAGACAGGAGATGATAATGACAAAGATTCGGAAATGGAGGACGGCGATGAAAAGGACTTGGACAAAAAGAAAGTGTTGAATGTCGCAGCAACGGAAACTATGTACAAGCGAGCAAAAAAAGTGATCAAAAAGATGCAAGAGAAATAAAATAGTCTATTCAATCTGCATTTAGAAATAAAATTGGTATAAAAACACTGACTGGTTTATTGGGCATATGTAAAGAGTTGAGGTTGATTCCCAGATATCTACACCAATTTCATCAGAGAGATCCGACAGGTACGCGAAGAGGATATCTCACCATCAACGTTTGATTGCTACCAGCAACAGCTTCAAATTTGCCAGCACGCATATTTACTTGGAGTGAGAAATGCAGCAGTTTTGGGGTAGACAAAGTGGCATCACGAGTGGTGCGCATCTGCACAAACTGAGACTTTTCAACAGACAGATTAACATGCTTATTGGCACTTTGCTGTTCTTTAATGGTAGTTTCCCAGCTTGCTTCGCGACCATTAGGATAGTCGTGGCCAATAAACACGCGTGTAGAAGGAGGAAGTGTCCAGTAGCGTTCTTGGATACTATTGTAGAGCTGTTCGGCACTTCCACCAGGAAAATCACATCTGGCAGTTCCGAGATCCGGCTGAAAGTTAAAAACAATCAAATCAATACAATTAAGAACATGAATGATTTAACTAGTCTTGCAAGAGTCTTGATATAATGGCTTACCATGAACAAACTGTCTCCAATAAAAACAGCATCCCCAATTTGGTATGCAGTATGATCAGGTGTATGGCCAGGAGTATGCAATGCCACAATATTCAAACTTCCCAGAGCAAGGGATTCTTTGTCTTTTATCAAATAATCAAACTGGCTACCATCCGTAGCAAAAGAATTGTCGAGATTGTAGAATTCTTTGAAAGTAGTTTGCACTTGAGTGATACCAACACCAATACAGACCTGAGCCAAAATAGTGAGTAATTATGATTGCTAAACAAAAGTTGAAGCATCATGTTTGTAGAGTCAAGATTAACTTACAGGAGGGTGAGATGCAAGACGCTTTTTGAGATACTGAGAACTAGTCAAATGATCTGCATGAGCATGCTAGATATTGTTATGTCGTATATTATATAAAACTGATTAACTACAGTGATCAGAGCATTGCTCGACAATAAACTCAAGGGGTCATAAAGTCATATCTCAATGCAAACCTACAGTTTCCAAGATGTAAATAACATCAAGGTTGTTGGATTTAACAAAGGCAAGCAACTCATCGGCATGTTCAAAAGTAACATTGCCATTAATCAGACTAAAGTCCATAACAGGATCAATGATAGCAGCCTTGCTGGTATCTATAGATCATTAATAGTTAAACCTACTGAAAGTATCAAACATTAATTTTAAACACACACAAACCTTTATCCCAAACAATATACTGGCAAGTGTTTGTGGCATTTGAGTCAAAGAAGCATTTGACTTGAGTAGGAGTCTGCATGTTTTTGGTAGTGATGGATGGAATCTTGCAATGAATTGCATTTGAATGAAATCTGTGTGCAATCACACGTGACAAGCATGATGCTGTGAAGTTGGAGGAAAGTGTCTTGCCGAGTTTGATTGAAGCTCTACTGTATAACTGCACTCCAATATTAAAGATTGTCCTTCTTACTGGCATTTTAAAATGCAATATATTTTACGCTACAACAGATAAAATTGTTTGTAATTCAGCCAATCAATTCCATATTTCTGAATTTCATTTGTCTGATCACATGACTTGTTAAGCAGTCATCCACATAAGGGAGCATCAAAAAGGCTAAAATGCATAATAAACAGTCTCATGTTGAATTAGTGCCAATTTACTGAACAAGATTGTATTCTTGAAACCATTGTTCACAAACAGTTTATGCTGGTTTATCATCCAAATATGTCCTTTTACGTATGAATATCTATCTTTTATAATAGATTGTCATCAAATGATTGATTGATGGTTTAACAACCCTGTGGTCATCAACACTTGAATGACGAGACGTTCCAAACGCAAATACCAGTCAACAATGTCAATGATCTTGATGATAATATTACGACAAAAACCAACTCTTGAGTCGGACAGATTGGCAACAATGAATATGTTCAGAATTTTATTGACACTATCCAAACAAATGTTGGATTACAATGTATGAATCTGATGATCGCACAATGTATGATTCCATAAACTCAAAAATGCAGGGTGTAACACACCAGTTTAAAACTATAGTTTGGTTGTGTATCCTATAATGGTCGGTGTGTTTAAAAACTGATCAAGTTGTCAAGACTTTCTAAACAATGACATGCAACATTCCAAAACACGCATATTATTCTAGACAGTATTCCATTCCACAAAACAACTATTTGATCAGATATGGTTTACCAACCATTCAACAAACGGCGCGCAGATTGGAGCTACATTACACTACTCTATATTGTCGATTTTTAACCCAGCATAAATGACTCGAGTATAGTAAAGAATGAGGTTGTGTGTCAATCAATTCCAGACACCAACGAGTTGAGGACGTCTATCCAAGTCAATATGTACTGGAAAAACAACACATACTAAACTATTGTTTATTTCAAAGAGTCAATCACTGCAAGATATGGTCTATTTTACGTGAATACGGCAGTGAATAGTTGAAGTAACGTAAACTCGTCGATTTATAGTAGTCAACTGCTTTATTACAGAATTCCCAAAGATTTCAAAATGTTTTGGCTGGTCTTTTGTCAGCTTTAATCAAATAATTACCAATATAATTGTACTGCGAATTAATCGTTCCGCCAGAAAGAATATCTTCCAACCGTGGTCGAATTACAACATTAGATACGATGCCAATATCTTCAATCGGATGTTCTTTATGATTGACATTACGGACAAATGCCCGATGACCTACAGCCATTTTGTTGTAAAATATTTCCTTGGTATCAGATGTCAACTCTTTTTTGAATGGCATTGGTTTAAAGTCTGTCGGATCATAAAAGATAAGTTCTGGATCTAGATCCCAAACGTTTGCACCAGCACCTGCCGTTGTGACATCTTCACCAAACACTGTTCCGATTCCAAATGACTGCACGGATTCTGTCATGACTTCACATGCAGAAACGCAATTACCATTGGTAAATACACCCATTGGTTTATCATAGATCGGATTGTAAGTTCCTAATTCCTTTGGATCTACAATATAATGCAATACTGAATACTTGCTCCCAGCTGGTGTTTTGGACCAAGCATCACAAGACGTTTCCAATCCCTTGGGTGAATTTGCAAACATATTGGATGTGACCTTGTTTATGAGATATTTCACTTGAAATGGTTCAAGCTTGCTCTTGAATAGCTGTGGAATGGCATTTGCAAAAATTGGACATCCACCACCACCTTCACGAACATCGATCAAAATAGAATTGGTGTTTTTGAGCACTGTCTTCAATAGTCTTGTCACTTCAAGAATGGCTTCAAGAGTATTTTGCGTGTTTGTTGTGCGGGATGTGCAGCTGAACGATGCCAGTCTGATTATTCCCATGTTTTGATCGTTGGGTCTCCAAATTGTCCAAGATAGTTCGAGTATACTCGTTTGATAAAATGAAATCCGTAAATCACGTTTTGACAATCGTCCTGTGTCTTGATATTGACTGTTTTGATCCCGCTTTCGAATATGGCGAGGAGTGACCAATGACGTGGTAGATTGGGAACTTGTGGTACGATCATCGACTGTTGTAGTTGACAAGGCATGACTATTGGATTTTACAGCAACTGTATTTTTTAGAGGTATACTGAGAACCACGCCTGTCAAATGTTTGTAAAGTTTACTAGAGTACTTCCAGCAGCTATATCGATGCTTAGACATGTGTAGTGCATCAACTTCGTATATGATACCGTTACGAGATTTGAGTTTAAGCTTGATAGAGTCTTCACTAGGAAGTGGGGTACGATACCCATATCTGAAGGTCAAGTATTCTAATGCTAGACGCTGACTATGAGACTCGGTAGACCCACCAATGACATTTCGGTGCTTTTCTTTCCACTGGTAAAAAGTGAGGCCGTTAATACTGACAAGTTGATCTCCAACTCTAATTTGGCTATAAGCAGTATTACGTAGTAGGTCAAATATTTCATCATCTACGGGTCGGGCGATGACGATTGTTGGGTCTTGGATCATATCGCCTGGACCATCAATAAATTGAAAAAAGATTCCCGTGGTAACGAAAAAACAACTATACGGACCAGCTAATTTCATGAAAGTATGTGCGTCGCGAGTTCGAGTGAATGCATCCAGTAACCCAAGCTGGATCTGTTCATCAGTAAGGGTTTCGATATTGTTTCGGATATGCTCGAGAGCAGGATATGGATTTGCCTCTTGGCCATGATGTTTCATTTTTGATTCAAAATTGACCCATGCCTGGACATGTTGAATCATTGGAATTCGATTGTAATATATTGGTTAGTTAATAATATGCTGCGATATATTGTGTTGGTTATGGTATCAGATTGTGATGGAAATGACAACTTGCCTTGAATACATTTTCGGCATTTGACACTAGAACATTTCGCTGCTCAAGAGTATATGGGAAAAAGGTAAACAATCCAGCATCGCGATAAAGGTTGATGAGTCTATACTTGGACCAAGCATGTTCAACAAAAGCAGGTTGTTCTGTAGGAATCTGAGCATTGATGCAAGATGCAGCAGCTAAAACTGCTACCAAAAAAATAATCATTTGAGGAATTATGGAATGCGAGGTATGATCAGTCAGTTTGTATAACTCGCAATCGATGCAGCTGGTATTAAGTTGATGGAACGCTATTGTTCAAAATATGTATTTTCAATATCTTTAGTCGCCCTTCAGCTTATCCATCCTTTTCATCCAGACTATTTTCAGCAATCCTTTTAATTGGTCCTCCCTATTCTAGCACCATGTCACAAACGCTTGATACTGTTTCTATAGTGCCACGCTAACTTGTGCCATAATAGATAGATGCATAAATCATTCATGCTTAGCAGCCGTCCCTTAACAACTGTCGTTTTGTAAGCATATAGCTTCAACGACTTGGTGATGTGCTGTATCCACATAAGGGAGCATCAAAAAGGCTAAAATGCATAATAAACAGTCTCATGTTGAATTATTGCCAATTTATTGAACAAGATTGTATTCTTGAAACCATTGTTCACAAACAGTTTATGCTGGTTCATCATCCAAATATGTCCTTTTACGTATAAATATCTATCTTTTATAATAGATTGTCATCAAATGATTGATTGATGGTTTAACAACCCTGTGGTCATCAACACTTGAATGACGAGACGTTTCAAACACAAATACCAGTCAACAATGTCAGTGATCTTGATGATAATATTACGTACAAAAACCAACTCTTGAGTCGGACAGATTGGCAACAATGAATATGTTCAGAATTTTATTGACACTATCCAAACAAATGTTGGATTGCAATGTATGAATCTGATGATCGCACAATGTATGATTCCATAAACTCAAAAATGCAAGGTGTAACACACCAGTTTAAAACTATAGTTTGGTTGTGTATCCTATGATGGTCGGTGTGTTTAAAAACTGATCAAGTTGTCAAGACTTTCTAAACAATGACATGCAACATTCCAAAACACGCATATTATTCTAGACAGTATTCCATTCCACAAAACAACTATTTGATCAGATATGGTTTACCAACCATTCAACAAACGGCGCGCAGATTGGAGCTACACTACACTACTCTATATTGTCGATTTTTAACCCAGCATAAATGACTCGAGTATAGTAAAGAATGAGGTTGTGTCAATCAATTCCAGACACCAACGAGTTGAGGACGTCTATCCAAGTCAATATGTACTGGAAAAACAACACATACTAAACTATTGTTTATTTCATAGTCGATCACTGCAAGATATGGTCTATTTTACGTGAATACGGCAGTGAATAGTTGAAGTGACGTAAACTCGTCGATTTATAGTAGTCAACTGCTTTATTACAGAATTCCAAAAATTTCAAAATGTTTTGGCTGGTCTTTTGTCAGCTTTAATCAAATAATTACCAATAAAATCGTACTGCGAATTAATCGTTCCGCCAGAAAGAATATCTTCCAACCGTGGTCGAATTACAACGTCAGATACGATGCCAATATCTTCAATCGGATGTTCTTTATGATTGACATTACGGACAAATGCCCGATGACCTACAGCCATTTTGTTGTAAAATATTTCCTTGGTATCAGATGTCAACTCTTTTTTGAATGGCATTGGTTTAAAGTCTGTCGGATCATAAAAGATAAGTTCTGGATCTAGATCCCAAACGTTTGCACCAGCACCTGCCGTTGTGACATCCTCACCAAACACTGTTCCGATTCCAAATGACTGCACGGATTCTGTCATGACTTCACATGCAGAAACGCAATTACCATTGGTAAATACACCCATTGGTTTATCATAAATCGGATTGTAAGTTCCTAATTCCTTTGGATCTACAATATAATGCAATACTGAATACTTGCTCCCAGCTGGTGTTTTGGACCAAGCATCACAAGACGTTTCCAATCCCTCGTGTGAATTTGAAAACATATTGGATGTGACCTTGTTTATGAGATATTTCACTTTTAGTGGCTCAATATCACTCTTGAAAAACTGTAGAATGACATTTGCAAAAATTGGACATCCACCAGCACCTTCACGAACATCGATCAAAATAGAATTGGTGTCTTTGAGCACTGTCTTCAATAGTCTTTCCACTTCAAGAATGGCTTCAAGAGTATTTTGCGTGTTTGTTGTGCGGGACGTGCACCTGAACGATGCCAGTCTGATTATTCCCATGTTTTGATCGTTGGGTCTCCAAATTGTCCAAGATAGTTCGAGTATACTCGTTTGATAAAATGAAATCCGTAAATCACGTTTTGACAATCGTCCTGTGTCTTGATATTGACTGATTTGATCCCGTTTTCGAATATGGCGAGGAGTGACCAATGACTTGGTAGATTGGGAACTTGTGGTAAGATCATCGACTGTTGTAGTTGACAAGGCATGACTATTGGCTCTCACAGCAACTGTATTTTTTAGAGGTATACTGAGAACCACGCCTGTCAAATGTTTGTAAAGTTTACTGGAGTACTTCCAGCAGCTATATCGATGCTTAGACATGTGTAGCGCATCAACTTCGTATATGATACCGTTACGAGATTTGAGTTTAAGCTTGATAGAGTCTTCACTAGGAAGTGGGGTACGATACCCATATCTGAAGGTCAAGTATTCTAATGCTAGACGCTGACTATGAGACTCGGTAGACCCACCAATGACATTTCGGTGCTTTTCTTTCCACTGGTAAAAAGTGAGGCCGTTAATGCTAAGAAGTTGATCTCCAACTCTAATTCGACTATAAGCAGTATTACGTAGTAGGTCAAATATTTCATCATCTACGGGTCGGGCGATGACGATTGTTGGGTCTTGGATCATATCTCCTGGACCATCAATAAATTGAAAAAAGATTCCCGTGGTAACGAAAAAGCAACTATACGGACCAGCTAATTTCATGAAAGTATGTGCATCGCGAGTTCGAGTGAATGCATCCAGTAACCCAAGCTGGATCTGTTCATCAGTAAGGGTTTCGATATTGTTTCGGATATGCTCGAGAGCAGGATACGGATTTGCCTCTTGGCCATGATGTTTCATTTTTGATTCAAAATTGACCCATGCCTGGACATGTTGAATCATTGGAATTCGATTGTAATATATTGGTTAGTTAATAATATGCTGCAATATATTGTGTTGGTTATGGTATCAGATTGTGATGGAAATGACAACTTGCCTTGAATACATTTTCGGCATTTGACACTAGAACATTTCGCTGTTCAAGAGTATATGGGAAAAAGGTAAACAATCCAGCATCGCGATAAAGGTTGATGAGTCTATACTTGGACCAAGCATGTTCAACAAAAGCAGGTTGTTCTGTAGGAATCTGAGCATTGATGCAAGATGCAGCAGCTAAAACTGCTACCAAAAAAACAATCATTTGAGGAATTATGGAATGCGAGGTATGATCAGTCAGTTTGTATAACTCGCAATCGATGATGCAGCTGGTATTAAGTTGATGGAACGCTATTGTTCAAAATATGTATTTTCAATACCTTTAGTCGCCCTTCAGTTTATCCATCCAGACTATTTTCAGCAATCCTTTTAATTGGTCCTCCCTATTCTAGCACCATGTCACAAACGCTTGATACTGTTTCTACAGTGCTGCGCTGGCTTGTGCCATAATAGATAGATGCATAAATCATTCATGCTTAGCAGCCGTCTTCTATCAACGGTCGTTTTGTAAGCATATAGCTTTAACGACTTGGTGATGTGCTGTATCCACATAAGGGAGCATCAAAAAGGCTAAAATGCATAATAAACAGTCTCATGTTGAATTAGTGCCAATTTATTGAACAAGATTGTATTCTTGAAACCATTGTTCACAAACAGTTTATGCTGGTTCATCATCCAAATATGTCCTTTTACGTATAAATATCTATCTTTTATAATAGATTGTCATCAAATGATTGATTGATGGTTTAACAACCCTGTGGTCAACACTTGAATGACGAGACGTTCCAAACGCAAATACCAGTCAACAATGTCAGTGATCTTGATGATAATATTACGTACAAAAACCAACTCTTGAGTCGGACAGATTGGCAACAATGAATATGTTCAGAATTTTATTGACACTATCCAAACAAATGTTGGATTGCAATGTATGAATCTGATGATCGCACAATGTATGATTCCATAAACTCAAAAATGCAGGGTGTAACACACCAGTTTAAAACTATAGTTTGGTTGTGTATCCTATGATGGTCGGTGTGTTTAAAAACTGATCAAGTTGTCAAGACTTTCTAAACAATGACATGCAACATTCCAAAACACGCATGTTATTCTAGACAGTATTCCATTCCACAAAACAGCTATTTGATCAGATATGGTTTACCAAGCATTCAACAAACGGCGCGCAGATTGGAGCTACATTACACTACTCTATATTGTCGATTTTTAACCCAGCATAAATGACTCGAGTATAGTAAAGAATGAGGTTGTGTCAATCAATTCCAGACACCAACGAGTTGAGGACGTCTATCCAAGTCAATATGTACTGGAAAAACAACACATACTAAACTATTGTTTATTTCATAGTCAATCACTGCAAGATATGGTCTATCTTACGTGAATACGGCTTTGATTTGATGATTCAAGCACTGAATTTGAATTCATTCCATCTTAACCCTAACCTTCAATTATCCGAATTCATCATGTCTGATATCACACACCTCAAAGCTATGATCCGTTCTACTCCCGACTTTCCAAAAGAGGGAATCTTGTTTCAAGGTAGGTTTTTATATGGGTATTGGTATCATATTCAGTTTTCTATTCTACTTGTGCTGTTATCCTTGCTACAATTAAACCGTTTACAGCCGCACTCATGTAAAATGGAGCTTGCATTTATCTTGCAGTCACTGCCTCTTGCTTTGAGATATACAATGATTAGATATTTGCTGCGTTTCCATTAAAAGCTGACTGTCCAATCCAATAAACACAATGCCCATCATATGATGCTCACAATCAAACTATAGTTTTGATCGGATATTCTTTTTTTGACCTCCCTTTTCCTTTCTTGGATAATTATGCATTGCACGATCGTCAAGTTTGGACCCAAACTCATCTATTGCAATACATATATTTGACCTACTGCTACCAATCCAACTCTACAACTCTTTGTCGTATCCTTAAAATTTTGGATATGTTCGCGCTCTAGCTCAAGAAAACAAAGAATGCATATCAGCAATGCAGTTGTTGTTTTCATGCCAATCACCGATTGTGTTTTATTCTACGTGAATACAATTGTAATAAATCAATAATGAAGGTTCTAACATGCCATCAATAGATATCTTCCCCATTTTTGAGGATCCCAAGGCTACCGAGGTTTGTATTGGTATTTTTTCAACGCACTCCAATCATTGAATCAACAATTGTTTATATACTAATTTTTACCGCCGAGTTAATTCTGTTGAAATCAGACTTTAGTGAACCACATTGTTCAAAAAATCAGCTCCTCAACCCCTTCCAAGGTGGATGTTGTTGTTGGTAAGTTGCTTAAACATTCGTTTTAATGCTGTGGTTCAATCAAGTTTAAAATGATTTCAAACTCATCGACTATGCTTATACATTTTAAATGCACATTAGGTCTGGACTCTCGAGGATTTTTACTTGGCCCATGGGTTGCAAACAAGCTTGGTGCTGCATTTGTTCCTGTTCGCAAGGCTGGAAAACTTCCTCCTCCCTGCCATAAAGTTGCATACGTTAAAGAATATGGAACTGTGAGTTGCATTGATTTCATTGCTACGATCTTGTTTAAGATCTTGCTAACATGAAAATTGGATTGTTTTAGGATTATTTTGAGATCAGCAAAACTGCCATTAAGCCCGGCCAAAATGTTGTGGTGATTGACGATCTTATCGCTACCGGTGGCAGTGCTAAAGGCGCTGGCGATCTTATTAAGCTCTGTAAAGGAAATACTGTTCAATATGTATTTTGTGTAGAGATTGAGTTTCTCAAAGGAAAAGACTGCCTTGATGCTCCAACTATCTCTGTGTTCCAATACTAGTTTTTTGCCTTCTTTTATTGATTACTTTTAGGTGTGCGATTGGATATATTTGATGGCTTATTAAAGGATTAAACAAATATTTGATTGTCGAAATAATGTATTTGTTTCAAGGCAGAAAGGATCACAATTTTAAACTAATCAGTCAGTGTTGCAAAGATCTATTGTGCATTTAGACCTATATATTTATAGTATGATTTAGATGGTTTGGAAATCACAGCATGCCAATTAAATCACAAATGTCAAGTATTTCATTTCAAAAACAGCCATACCCGACCTAAACTTCTATCCGTCTCCGAAGTTCAACAACATGCAAATTCTCAATCAACAATCCATAAATCTGCATGGCATTAGAACCCGTTGTACTTGCATCGGCAATATCAGCGTCGACAATCCCCACTGTGACAGGAATTTCATACGCTGGCAATGTCGGATCAATATTTGGATTTGATGCGCCGGCATGCGCAAACAGCTCTTCCAACACCAACAGCCCAAATGATCTTGATGCTAAAAACGAAGGAATTGTAATCGAACTTTTGCCATTGACTTGCTTCAAATGTCCTGATGGCATCATTCTCACCAAACTATCTGTTTCAGAGATCACAATAACGCCCAAAACACCTGCGAGTTGCAAATGATACACCTTGACATCAAAACTGCATTTTCCGCGCATCACGAGAACTATTTTCCCTGTGATATATAACTGCTGATTGGGCATGAGTGGCTTACACGCTCTTTCGATATGATCCAGCTTGATATATGAATTCCACCATGATAATCTCCGTTGTCTAGATGCGTATTTAATGTGCATTTGTTCAGAAAGCAGTGGAACAAGATTTAGTTTGAAAACATCGCCATGAGATATTTCAGGACCAAAAAGGGCTGGAATCATGAATAGAATATTGTTCGAGTCAGAGCCACTTGGAAGGGTCAGAATGGCACGCAGACGTGGAGAAAGAGGGTCATGCGCTGTGTTTGAGTCGGTCTTTTCATGTGGGAAATCGTATGGAAGACCTGTAGAAGGAACACGAACTGAGTGTGCTGGGCCTATTTCCAAATCATCGTTTAACTTAATGATGCGGTAGGTTCTACTTTTAGTGAGCGACAGTGTGACTTTGACTCCCATAAGTGAGTTTGCTACCACTCCAGAAAATGTCTATGGTTTCAATCATGCCACGATGAGCAATATTTGGTTGGTGTAAAGCATTAGATACTGTTTAATATACGAATCAGATGTTTACAAGCATCAACTCATGACTCCCAAAGCACGGACAAACAAATTTTGATGGATTTTCTCTGTGGTGGAATGATGCAACTTTAATACTCGAGTCCAATACAATGAATTGACATACCTTGGCAAATTTTGGTGTTTGAGTAAGAGAATTGGGCCGCACCGATATGCTGTAACCACATTAAAAAGTTTAAATTATTTGTAATATAAATCAACAAAATAAATCAGTTGCGCTTCGTGAAAAAGAAAACATGTGTATTTGGTATTATTTAGATTCAGAAAATGCATAAAGTGCATTCATCACTTATACCAAAAATCAAAGTATAGTAAAGAGCTTGTATAGTTGAAAATACTGAAACGAGACAAAAGCTCATACATAATTTCCACGTTATCTGGTGCATATTTTGAGTTGACGGTTTTTGAAGACGATGCCAATCGTACACCTCGTGGTGAGCAAAAGGGATCTGTGGTGACTGGATTAGTATATCCAATCATGTGATGACAAAGTAGAATGTCGTTATGGGACATTGGTGGTAAACGAGTTGACGTTCTATGGAAAGAAATGTTGAGTTTTTGAATAGTTGGACAGATTCGACTGTGTGTTTCGACTTGCTTGATGGCTTTCTTTACAGGAAAGTTATTTGATAATGGAAAAAAATGTCCCTCTATATGTAACAAAGCAAGATCAAATTACATTACGACAATATGCTTTATAAGACTAGGCAAAAATAGGTGACAAACAAGTTTACCTGTGGTAAATATAAAGTTTGAGTTTGGTTCATTCACAAAGTTTTCTAATGATACGGATAAATAGTAAAAAATAAGCATTGAACCAGTTTTGAATCAAAAGCAATAATTATAAATTGTAAATAAATACCTTCGTCAAATAGCAAATACAGGTACTTTAGCGTTTCGCTCAAAAAAAAGCTTTCCATACGACCAGATAATTCTGCTGTTTGGATGTTTTCCAATGAAGCAAAACCGCATCGTGTGCGAGTAGTCATATTTAAATCTGCAAGAATTGTTTCTCCAACATGCAGATAAAATGGATCCTTTGTTGCCTATTTTTATAAACAGAATACATGACTTTGAATATACGGCTTATAGTTTTAAAAATAAAATTCAATCAACACCAAGCATACTTGATAAAGTGCATATGTGGATTCAATCAACTCTGGTCGAAGGGGATAAACCCCAATATCAATGTCGCGCAAATTCATATTGAATCGCTCAGGTAAAGCACCGTATTTTCTCCAAATTGTATAGTACAAATAATGATGCTTTATGGCATCGTTTAAATGGCCAGAAAGAACCTGTACTCCAGGGAAAAAGGCTGACAAAGAGTCGATCCATGTAACTGCCAATTTTCCAGAGTACATATTCACATTTTTGTAATAGAATCCAGTATCGTCTTTAATCCACTTCATAATTCCTGCATATGCCTCTTCAAACATGTTTAAATAATTTGAATCTTCAAAAAGAATGTACGCTTTGAGCATATACTATTTTGAAATTCAACACAAAAGTTAATATACATGGTTTTTCAGTCATTCAACTACGATTTATAAATATGTTACCTCAAAAAACGAATCAATACCAGCACCAATTCCAGTAATGTTTTCCTGCCACTTTAAATAAAATTAGTTGGTATTTTGTTACAAAATTTAAAGTAAGGCATAAACAAGTCACTGTCATGTTATATTTGTACCGAGCCGTTTAAAACATTGAGATTATTTCCAACAAGATTAATTTTAGACCGTCGCTCCCATAGTGCTTCCAAAGCATGCCGAGCAGCAATTTCGTATTTTGGATCTCCTGTAAGCCGACTTAGTATTCCAAATTCCAGAACCAACGTTCCAGCACCTGCTGTACATGTCTCGTTAGTTATAGTAGGCAGAACGCCTTTTTTTAGATTCACCTAATTATATAGTTTAACGTCAGAAAACCACAACAATTAGTCTGCTTAATAAGTATAGCTGAGTAGCATCAATAGAAAAGCTAAAGCACTTACTCTCGAGTATGGAATCCCAGTCGGTGTTTTAAAAGTCGGTATTAGTCGGTCACCAAGATCAGTCGCAAGATCAAGAAGTTGATTGTGATACCAATTGATCTTGAAACCATATTTACTGTCGGTTGCCAACATATGCGCAGAAAGCAATCCACCAAGTACCCGAATAGTTACTTCAAAAACTTGAATGGTCCAGTCTTGATCAAACGACACGTTTTCAATGACCAATTTTACTGCATTTTCAAATCCCAATCGATCGCCAAATATCTAGCAATAGAGTTGAAAGGTTTAGAAATGGATTTGAAAAACCAAGATTTACAGCATGCTACTCACTGCAAGCGCATCCAAACTGTCAATCAAAGTCAATGAATAGTTTCCCAAAACCTCGTACATTTCTCTAAGCAATCAAAAAAGAGTAAGGCGTGCTGACAGTATCGAGTTGCACTCTGACTAATATCAAATGTACATACACACTATCCGGTCTTGAATTACGAAAATTTCCAACACATTTAATGGGATCCAATTCATCTGCTGGAAAAGCATACTTCATATATCCACCAAAACCTATGGCAATAGTTAGATTATATTTCCAGCTTAAAACATGACTAATCAGGAGAGTAAAATACCATGCTCAAACATCTCTTTTGCCTTGGCCCTATATCACAAACCATATGCATAAATCTGACTGGTTAATAAAATCAAATCTAACCAACCACTACATCCAGCTCGATTATACTTGATTACCTGAGGGAATGGCGATGCTTGGTGGTCATGGCATATGGGCCTTCAAGTGGGCTCCTACCGCCAGTATATGCATTAGTACTATTAGCATTCGATTTAGTAGCTGATGTCTGCGCACCGAGCCACAAAAGCCCCAATGAACATGCTATCCACCAGGTCAGTGGAGGTGTATGCAACATGGTGGTGTGGACTAGGATTGGCACTTGCGAGAACCATGAAAGTATCCATAATAAAGTACGCATGTATTTAGATGAGCTATGTTGGATATATGCAATAAACTGCTATCCAATCTTATCAAGTCTGTCAAACAACGACAACTGTATGAAGCTGAATGGGTTAAAATCCACAATTCAAAGTTTCAACATTTTATTCTGGAGTAGATTGAAGATCTGGCCAACATCGCTTCATTCGATGCCAGATGAATGGCCTTGTTATCGACTTGCTCGAATCCATTCAATGAGCCCATCACTCCACGTGATGCAGCTGCCAACTCTTGCTAGAGCCTAAAATCTTGATTATTCTCGACTGTCTGAAAAGTTTAATTTCAAATGAAAGCACAACCTGCTCTTACCAATGCTAGATCTCATAGAGTGCTCCAGATGCATCTTTTGGATCATCCGTTTAAAGTGAACAAGCATGATGTAGACCTTTCAAAAATGGATTTGTCTGAGGAGCATCGTGCTGAAATGCGTCACAAACTGTATAGTCCTTGTAAAGTGATGTGTAAGTAAAATGGTTTGATACGGCATCTTGCGTGGTTGTTTTACAACACTAACATTTCAACTACTACATACATTCCATTGCATATTCTTTACATTTTATAAATATAATTGGGTCAAGCTATAGCAAATAGTACCTCTCGCGAACATGGAAGCTTGCATACCAATTATGCCGATGAAGTACCTCTAAAATGGCAAGGAACTACGCATGCTGAATATGTTCCCAAGCTTTCTAAAGAAACTCTTTATAATCAACTTCACAATAGAGAATGTAGGATTATGTTCGAGACTGCTGTAACAAAACCAAGATTTATCGCGAAATAAGCTTCGTTGCAAAATATAGCTGACTTTGAATTTGATATTATAGTAATGCAATATACACGAGCCTCTCATTTTGTTTTGGAGAGTGGTGATGGTCTTGGTAAGCCGTGCAGTGTGACCAAACGGGATTATTGCCAATCAGATTTTAGTGTGGGTATACTGGTATCTGTTCTTACAACTTTATGTATTGGCTATACGTTTTGAAAGCGTTGTACTAATGTCCATGAATACAGGCTGTTGATAAACCAAAATATAACAGTGGTAGTGGCGATCACAAGTCGTACCCACCAATCTTTAGAGATGAAAACGAACTTGTCATGAGCAGGTCTAAAGGCACTTTAGATGTAAGGTTTAAAGTGTGTGGTGCATGAGATGACGTCAAAATTCACAAACTAAAACATTTAAACTATTTGATCAAACAGAATCAGGATAAAAACACCCTAAATGATCGTTTTGAAAGGCCGTCTATGATGGATTCACAGGCTACTAAAAAGGGCGTAACCCATATTTCATTTGGGAATGAGCCAACCATTTGGAAATCTGTTACAGCAACGGCAATGAAAAAACATCCATTAGGAGAAAAGTCATCATTGTCAGAATACGAGAGTCTAGAAAAATCCAGATCAACCATTCTTGATAATCCTGATTTAAAACTAGATCCGATGCAAAGTATTCAACGTCAAGGTACATTCATATTATATCAAAAACTTAAACTGAGCTCGAGTAACTTGCATTTTTACCAATATACAAACTGTACTGGGCTGAAATGCTAATAAATTTAATATTAGATTTTAAACTCAATGACGCTCTTGATCGATTGGCATTAAAAGTCGACAACACTCAATCTATCAAGGATTTGAAATCAACGCATTTTACTGTAATACACTTTTGAATTGTTCAACTGACACAGATTGCTTTGTAAAATTATTTGTTAATTTTGAAATGATTTAGCTAGGAAATAACGACTCTAGCTTTCAAGTGTCGCAGTATCAAGCCTCATTTGGATCACCCTTTGATCAGGCCAATGAGATTGTGTGCAATCATAGGCGTTTAACCATTCCGCCACCTGCATCTAAGCTATGTGTGATTGTCGAGGACTTTGAGAACCGTCGTATTGGACTTAGCTCTCATAAATCAGACTATAAAAACCCACATATCAGCAATGGAGGTGGTTTAAGCAAAAAAACTGAAATTGATTCTATAAAGGTACGTTTCTTGCTCTTAATATAATGCGTATGTTTCATCAAGACTCCAAGTTTATGATGTGGAACAATGAATAATTTATAGACAGAGAAATGACTGGTTCCATTTATACTTTAATTAGCATCTTAATTCTAAATCATCAATTTTGTTAGGATTTGATCCAAGCGAAACCTCCAATACCAACAGATCGGTGTCAAAAACCGAGTATAGCCCACCAGAAAATAAACAGGGCGGAGAGTCTGCCAAAAATGCATACGTTTCTGGAGCACATAAAATTCGTCCAGTGGTAAAAGGTTACCACCCATTTATCATTGAAGAACCCAATGACGAAAAACCAGTAGTCTTGACTGTTCAAAAGCCAGTTAATCATGTTTCCAACGAACACATGAAGTATTTAAAGGCTAGCCATTTTGAAATTGGAACCAGTGATGACTCTTCCATCGACAAGGATCGAGCATGCTCAACTTCCCAATGTGATTACACCGATCCTTATAAAATGCTTGGCACTGTTAGAAAAGACGGAGCTGGTGCATCTGGCTTAAATAATGGTCAGATCTCGCGAAAAAACGAAAGCTTTGAGAATACTTTGAATAACACAATTACTCGGTATCCACAGATCACAGAATCATACAACACCATTACAAACTCTAGGTATAACGTATCTAAATATCCTCAGACACGTATAGTTTTGCGTCGTGCAGTTGGTCAGGATACAATTGGTGACTATATCCATAATGATGTCGTTCCAATTCGTGGATCTAAAGAAATTACATTCCAGCCCATCAGAGAATTTTCTACTGTAAATCGTCGAACTTTTGTTGCTCCCGAAGTCATGAAATACACTTTTTCTCGCTAATGCTTTGAAGTATTCAGTCTTGCTGATTCAGCGTAAATGGGTTATATGGGTATTGGTGCTAAACTAACCTAAAAATATCTAGATATCTGTTTAAAGCTACCCCTAACTCAATAAATAATACTGTTACTGTATAATTATATTTTTATTAGCATAATTAGACGCCATACCCACGTGAATACTGTTGAACCTGTAAAACTTTTCACTGTTAGCGACAGAGAACACGAGAATGAAAAGATAAATGAGATGGTCAGCAACCATCGGTGTGTATCATGTGTTTGGAAAGTACTTGCATAAAGTCATTCAACACACTTGTGTGATCGGGTTTGAGTTTTTGTTTGGTAATGGTTTGCAATTATTGGTAGACTGTTTGCTGATTTGAATGGAGTATCTATTGATCGTGTCTTGTGTACTGTGGCGACAATCTGACTTGTTAACACGGCCAGTTTGTTGATATTATCGATTAAATAGGACGTCACTCATTTAATCTTGTTCTGACACAAGCTTTCCGTTTTACCTATATAATCTGTATGCTAATCTAAATGAATCGTGCAATTTTACAACGGAAAGTCTATGTTTTCAAAAGACTGCAACAGCAGTCTGCTTGACACTATCAGAATTTTTTCCAAATATGCCAAAATTAGGTTGTTGAAATATAAATATTTTTGTGCTATCATGTCCTTTGTTCTAGCTGTAACACGAGTTAGAATTATATTGTCCTCGCAAACTCCGCCTTCAATTTTGCCAGTCTTACTCCCCATTATTCTTGCCTTCAAATCTATCATTCTTCTCGAAAGAGCGGAAATACATTAATCTAGTCTACCCATTTCATCCTTATATTTATCTGCGTCTCGTCGTTATAGAACTAGTAATACACTGTACCACCCCCAAAAAACTATCTATCATGGCGGCTACAACTACAGGAAGTATGGCCAACCTTCATCGTTCAAATATGAATCTTGCTCATGACAGTGAGAATAAGAAGAAGGCTGCAGCTGCACAGAATGCTATTGAAAAGAAGCGCGCATCTCTCGATGTCCGACATAGATATCTTTTGGAAAAGTTTGCAACTCTCGTTGAAGAGAAACCCGCAACTCTAGAAAATGCCCTACTTATTGGAAACAAGCTTGACATTGTCAATGATTTTTTGGCAGAGGGTGGTTCTCGTAAAGTCCTTCTTTTCTGGCAAAAGGTGAGTTTTGATTAGGTCAAGTATGTGAAATCAAATTACATTACAGGCTAGATTCCCTATATTTGGCTGAGCATTGTGACGGTTGGACCTGCTGAATAAATCATTTATTCATATGTCAGTCATGTTTGATGAGGCAGCATATATCTATCCTTGTCCTTTCATTTCTCCTTTTGCTCTGTTGAAGAGTAATCCAGATTTGGACCTGCTGCCTTCACGCGTTCTTGAAATGTATCGCGCTGCTAAAGACTAATCTTTGATTTGATATATTGTTTATGCCGAGACTAATCCAATTTAACTGATAACTTTGTATATATTGCTTTTTCCTATGCGTTTTACTTTTTAGGATGATTTGAGTCCATCAAAAACGGCGGGTGCTCCTCAGACAAAACCATATACCCTTATTGTCACCAACGGCAACAAGGAAGTTCTCACTGGCGTTGGAGCTTTCTTTATCCGTACCAGCACAAAAGCAATTTCCGCTCAAAATGTATATCTGGATGTTTCTTTTGGACCGTTGAACCCTAACTTGCTTCCTTCTCTTACCACCATGGTAAAGCATGTTGTTATGCCTGCACTTCGCGCTCAGGTAACAGCTGGCTGCATCATCAGATTGGATAGCTACATTGCTATCCATGTGTTTATGAATCAACTTAATTTCTCATTTGATATGTAATTATAGGAAAGCTGGGGAGTTTTGGCAAAGCAAAAGGATGAATCTGTTAAAGGATTTATAGAAGCTCTTGAAAAGTTTACCGTTGATCTTGATGTTGCCATGGTAAACCTCCACGACAGCGTTCAGCTGCACCCGTGCAACATTGATCTGGATGCATACAAAAAACCATCCGATTATGCCAACGCCGCACATTCTCCTGACATCACCAATGCTCTTGAAGGTATATTTTTCATGCCAATAATATGCACATTATTAGGCTGACGATACGTATTATGCCCACATATATATTGTTTTGCTGTTGAATACTAATATGTGCTTTAAATATGATTTTGCATTGATAACACTTTGGTTGGCAGGTTTGGTCAGCGAATGGTGCAAACAAATCGAACAGGTTCTTGCAGAAAGTGAACAAATGCGAAAAGAAGCAGATGATATTGGCCCAAATGCAGAATTGGCTCATTGGAAGGCAAGAATGGTTAAATTCAATAGCATCACTGATCAACTTAAAAGCTTCCTTTGTCGAAAAGTCATTGGCATTTTAAACGCTGTCAAGTCGCGTACCCTGCTTAAAACATGGAAGGATCTTGATGATCGTGTGACAGATGCTGCCAACGAATCCAAAGACAACGTGAAATATCTGTATACTCTTGAGCGTTTCTGTGATCCTTTGTACCGCAGTGATCCAATTGGGATGATTCCAGCCATTCCAGGACTCATTAATGCCATTAAAATGATATATTCCATCTCGCGATACTACAACACATCTGAGCGCATGACATCTTTATTTGTCAAAATCACCAATCAAATGATTACTAGCTGTAAAGAGTTTGTATACAAAGATGGTGGTTCCAAGATTTGGGATTTGGACAGGCAAGTGCTTGTTCGCAAACTCATGGACTGCCACAAACTTAATGAAGCCTATCAGCGCTGTTTCCACGAAATCAAAAAGAAGCTGCAAGAAACACCACACGAAAAACAGTTTGACTTTTCCGAAATGTACATATTTGGAAAGTTTGATGCCTTTTGCAAGCGTATTCAAAAAGTCATTGATATGTTTAATATCATTGAAAAGTTTTCTTTACTCGAGACATTGGGTGTCGAGGGATTGGACTCCATTGTGCGCAAGTTTTCAAACATTCTAATTCAGATGCAGCGTAAACCGTACGATATTTTGGATCATCGTAAAATGGAGTACGACTCTGACTACAATAATTTTAAAAAGCAGGTTTCTGATTTGGAAAGTACTCTGCAGCAGTTTATTGATACTTCGTTTGAACATATAATCAACACCGAGCAATCTCTGGAACTTTTATCCAAATTTAGTCAAATCAAGGATATGCAACTTGATTTGGAAAATAAGTACCACACAGTTTTTGTTCATTACACGCGCAAGGAGCTTGAAGGTGTCCGTAAATTGTATCAAAAGTACAAGGATGCACCACCTATTTCTCGAAACACACCGCCTGTCTCTGGATCTATTGCATGGGCCAGACAGCTATATCGCCGTATTGAAACTCCAATGAAGCGTTTCAAAAGCAGTACCTCTGTTCTTGATTCATCAGAAGCCAAAAAGCATATTCGCAACTACAACAAGCTTGCGCGCGCTTTGATTGAATTTGAAGTTTTGTGGCATCGTTCATGGTACAGTATTGTAGACCAGGCAAAAACGGGTCTTCAAGCAACTTTACTTGTATCCAACGATGAGGGCCATGTTTACGTCAACTTTGATCCTCAGATTCTTCAGCTTATTAAAGAAACAAAGTGTATGGTTCGTTTAGGACTTGAAGTGCCTGAATCTGTAAAGAATGTCTGCACTAAAGAAATATACTACAAAAATCTATACAACGGGCTAGTTCATATTCTTCAAACCAAAAAGCGTGTGCTTGAGCGGGTCTCAAATGGTCTGCGCCGTGCCATGGGTCCTCATATCGATGAACTTGACCGTACTCTACAGCCTGGCCTCACCGCTCTTACTTGGACTTCGCTCAATCTGGATGACTATCTTCAAGCCAATCACAGACAACTAGCCAAACTGGAGGAGCTTGTAGATAAACTGCTAGACATTTCTGAATGCCGCATAGAAATGGGTGTTCGCAAAACCGCCGAAATTATGCTGGTCGAAATTCCATCTGAAACCGAACAATGGTCGGTTGATACATTTCTGGACAAAACAGAGAAGCGCTGCACCGCAATGTTGCAAACCATCAACAATCGCAGTAATTTGATTGAAAGTGCTACTCGCGATATTATTGCCGAGTTGTCCAAAGGGATTGAAAAAAGCATCAATTCTGATCTTCGGTTAGCATACGAAAGTGTTTATTATAGCTCCAACTATCTAAACTTTGAGGCTCTTGTACAAAACACCAAAGGATCGTTGGATATGCTGCGTGGTCGTCTTGGTACTTATACTACTAGCCAATACAACAAGGCACCCAATCAAAAACCTTTCTTTCGTGCCGAAATTGTTTTGTTGATCCCTAACGTGGTTTTGCAGCCAAAGCTTGAAGATATTCAAGGTGCTCTTAACAAAGCAGCCACGATGGTTGTCGATGTGTCTAAAAAGCTCACGCTCAACTGGAGTGTATTTCTGGATCAGCCAGATGATCATACCACTGGCCACTATCCAGAGGACACTTTCCAGGTTGCAAACAACAAAGATGTGCTTAAAGTGATTATGTTGCTAAGCTCTACAGTCAATTCTATGAAAAAAGATGTCGAGACTCATCGTGAGCAATTTGGTAAATATGATTTTCTCTGGAAGGAAGATAAAGTAGACACCATTCAAAAATTCCTTGGCAACAACCCTACCATTGCTGATTTTGAAAATGAAATCAACCGCTATGAGTTTATTGAGCATGAAATCATGGAAATTTCTGGTTCAACTCAAATTGGTCTCCTGTTGATCTCAGCCGAGCCACTCAAATTGGCACTTTTGTCTGAAACAAAAGAGTGGAAGCAGCAATACGGACTTAATCTTAATCGAAAGGTCAAGACTGACATGGAGCAGCTAATTGAGTATATGGAAAGTAAAACGATTAAGCTGAGTCGAAAGATTGCTGATATTGATGATCTCCGCATTGCAGTTCAGACATTGAGCGAAATTCGCGAAGCTGAAGTGGATATTGACATGAAGGTTGCTCCCATTGAAGAAGCCTACCTCCTTCTTACCAAGCACAATGTTACAGTCACACGTGAGGAAACAGAGATGGTAGACTCGTTGCGATACAGCTGGAAAAAGCTTAAAATTTTAGTCATTGATACGCAAGCTCATTTGGGTAAAATCCAGCCTGTATTTAAAGCAGACCTGATTGGATCCGTACAAAAATTTTCTCAAGATGTCAAAGATTTCACTGTGGAGTATACAGAAAATGGCCCAATGGCTGGCAACATTCCGCCTAAAACTGCAAGCGAGCGATTGAATGTTTTCCAACGTGGCTTTGATGAGCTTAATCGTAAATGGGAAACATATTCTGCTGGCGAAGAATTGTTTTGTCTACAAGTGACTCCTTTTCCAACGCTGGTTCGTATCAAAAAGGAGCTCAAACTGCTGCAGAATTTGTACAGTCTTTACAATGATGTCTTGGAAAAAAGGCAGACGTACAGTGAAACGCTGTGGTCTGATATTGATTTGGAAAAGATTAATACAGAAATGACAGATTTCCAAAACAAGATCAAAAAGCTTCCTAAAGCAATCAAGGACTGGGATGCATTTACAGAGCTGAAAAACATTGTGGAAAACCTGTCTAGCATGGTTCCGCTTTTGGAAATGATGTGCAACAAGTCTATGCAGCAGCGTCACTGGGACATTATCATGTCCATCACTAAAACACAAATCAATTTGGATCCTGATATGTTTTACCTCAAAAATCTACTTGATGCTTCATTGGTTGAAAATCGCGAGGACATTGAGGATACTTGTACAGCTGCCATCAAGGAAGCCGACATTGAAATCAAGCTAAAAGCAACCGTGGCGGATTGGGAGGACAAGAATTTTACTCTTGCAGCTTTTAAAACACGGGGTAATCTTGTGTTGAAACCGTCTGCTACATCCGAGATTATTTCTCAAATGGAAGACTCGCTCATGACACTTGCATCATTGATGTCCAACAGATACAATGCACCGTTCAAACCAACTATTCAAACTTGGGTTCACAATCTCAGTACTGCATCTGAAGTGATTGAAAATTGGCTAGCTGTTCAAAACCTCTGGATTTATCTTGAAGCCGTTTTTGTTGGTGGTGATATTGCTAAACAAATGCCCAAAGAGGCAAAACGATTCAGCAACATTGACAAATCGTGGTGCAAAATCATGGGTCTTGCGAATGAACATCCAAATGTCATTCAGTGCTGTGTTCTCGATGAAACCATTGCTAATTTACTTCCTCATTTAACAGAACAGCTTGAGCTTTGTCAAAAATCACTTTCTGGATACCTCGAGTCTAAACGAGCCATTTTCCCTCGATTCTACTTCGTTTCTGATCCAGCATTGCTTGAAATATTGGGACAAGCCAGTGACTCTCATACTATTCAAGCACATCTCAAGAGTGTATTTGACAATATTGACAAGGTGCAATTTCACGATAAAGAGTATGACAAGATTATTGGGCTGGAATCATCCGAAGGTGAACGCGTTTCTCTCAGTCGTCCCATGTTAGCTGCAGGAAGTGTAGAAATGTGGTTGGGTACTCTTCTCAAATCTATGCAGTCTTCTGTAAATGATATCATTCGCGAAGCTGCTTCTAGGGTCAATGATGTTCCTACACAAAAGTTTATGGATGAATACCCTGCCCAAATTGGTTTATTGTGCCTTCAAATCCAATGGACTCAGATGTGCGAGGAAGGCCTCACTCTTTCCAAAACAGACAAGAAAAAGATGGCGGCAACCAACCAACGCATCACAGAGATTCTCAATATTCTTATTGAAAACACCACTCGTGATCTTAGCAAAATGGATCGTGTCAAGTACGAAACTCTAATTACCATTCAAGTTCATCATCGTGATGTGTTTGAAAAGCTGTATAAAACACATGTGAAATCACCTGACGATTTTGAATGGCTTAAGCAAGCCAGATTTTACTGGCAAGAAACCAAGGATTGTTGCGTAGTTTCCATCACCAACTTTGACTTTAAATACCAATGCGAGTATCTTGGAAACACTGATCGACTTGTTATCACGCCACTTACTGATCGATGCTACATTACTTTGGCTCAAGCACTTGGTATGTCTCTTGGAGGCTCACCTGCTGGTCCTGCTGGTACAGGTAAAACAGAGTCTGTCAAGGATCTTGGCAAGAATTTGGGAAAATGGGTTGTTGTATTCAATTGCTCTGATCAAATGGACTATCGTGGTCTTGGCCGAATTTACAAAGGCTTGGCACAGAGTGGATGTTGGGGATGTTTTGATGAGTTCAATCGAATTGAACTTCCTGTGCTTTCTGTAGCTGCTCAACAGATTGGGTGTGTATTTTCTGCAAGAAAAGAACGCAAAACATCATTTATCTTCACTGATGGCGACACTGTGGAGCTCAATCCTGAGGTTGGCATGTTTATTACCATGAATCCGGGCTATGCTGGTCGTGTAGAGCTGCCTGAAAATCTCAAGGTGCATTTCCGCTATGTTGCCATGATGGTGCCTGACCGACAAATTATTATCCGAGTCAAGCTTGCTGGATGTGGTTTTATTAGCAATTTGATTCTTGCCAAAAAATTCTTTGTACTCTACCGTCTCTGTGAAGAACAATTATCCAAGCAAGTTCACTATGATTTTGGATTGCGTAATATTTTATCTGTGCTGCGTACCTGTGGTTCTGTCAAGAGAGCAAATCCCGAAGATTCTGAAAATTTGATCATCATGAGGGTTCTTCGTGACATGAATTTGTCCAAACTCGTTGATGAAGACGAATCTCTTTTTTTAAGCTTGGTCAATGATTTGTTTCCTGGTCTGTCTGCTAAAAAGGGAAGCTATCCAAATGTCGAAACTGCAGTGGATCAGCAGCTTGCAGAAGTCAATCTTATTAGCCATCCACCGTGGACACTCAAAGTTATCCAGTTGTATGAAACAGCCAAGGTGCGACACGGTATCATGATTCTTGGTCCTACTGGAACTGGTAAAACCAAATGCATCAACGCTTTATTGAAAGCCATGACTGCGTGTGGTGATCCACACAAAGAATTGCGTATGAATCCCAAAGCCATCACGGACTACCAAATGTTTGGTAAACTTGATGTTGCAACCAATGACTGGACCGACGGTATTTTTTCTTCGCTTTGGAGAAAAACGCTTAAACGAAAAGGAGAAACTGTGTGGATCATTTTAGATGGTCCCGTTGATGCAGTGTGGATTGAAAATCTCAACTCTGTATTGGATGATAACAAGTGTTTGACGCTTGCCAATGGCGATCGTATTCCCATGTCCCCTGCGTGCAAACTAACGTTTGAGGTGCACTCCCTTCGAAATGCCAGTCCTGCTACTGTATCTCGTTGTGGTATGATTTACATTGGTGTCATTACCTTGACATGGGATATTGTTTTACAATCGTGGCTTAAAGTACGACCACTCAACGAAGTTGGTGTATTAGAAGCACTTTTCAACTCTAGTTTTGGCAGCGTTAATCAATTTTTGATTCTAGAGTTGCATCCAAAAATGATTATTGCTCCAGTCAATTATGTTGTCAACACAACAATCCTTTTGAATGGTTTGATTCCAAAAGCTGAAGCAAACAAATCACAAGTTTCTGCCGAGCATCTGGAGCGCCTTTATGTGTATGCGCTATTTTGGTCATTTGGCTCACTGCTTGAGCTTGATGAACGCAAAAAACTTCAGCATTTTATGATTGAGAAAATTCCTGATCTCAAGTATCCGCCTATTGATCCCAATTCCCAAGATACATTTTACGAGTTTTTTGTCAACGACAATGGCCAGTGGCAACATTGGCGTGATCGTGTTGTAGACTGGATGTATCCTCAAGATATCACGCCAGAGTTTTCTTCCATCATTATCCCCATGGTGGACAATGTTCGCACCGAATTTATGATGGAGACTGTCACTAAACAGGGTCGCGCTGTGCTTCTTATTGGTGAACCTGGCACTGCAAAAACTGTAACGGTAAAAAAGTATCTAGCCAAATTAAACCCAGACACGCACTTGTCAAAAAACCTTAGTTTTTCATCTGCCACTACACCCATGATTTTCCAGCGTACTATTGAGAGTTATCTTGATAAGCGTATGGGTTCTACTTATGGACCGCCTGCAGGGAAAAAGATGATCATCTTTATCGACGATATCAATATGCCCGAGATTAATGAATGGGGAGACCAAGTGACAGGTGAAATTGTGCGTCAGCTGATGGAGTATCAGGGATTCTACTCTCTTGATCGACCAGGAGATTGGACAGCAATTGTTGATTTATTCTTTTTGGGTGCCATGATGCATCCTGGTGGTGGCAGAAACGATATTCCATCTCGTCTGAAACGCCAGTTTGTTGTTTTTAACTGCACTATTCCATCCGACAACTCTGTAGACAAGATTTTTGGAACAATGCTCGAGGGACATTTTTGTGCTGCTCGAAACTTTGCTCCAGACGTTGTTTCTATGATTGCTCGCATGCCTCCATTAATGCGTCGCCTATGGCAAATGACCAAAGTTAAAATGCTTCCTACTCCAGCTAAATTTCACTACATTTTCAACTTGCGTGATCTGAGTCGCATTGTTGAAGGCATGCTCAATTCCACACCAGAATCTGTACCAAATGAAAAGATTCTCTTAAACCTTTGGGAGCACGAGTGCTCTCGTGTACTCCCAGATCGTTTTATCACTCAAGAAGATGCCGACTGGTTTTCAAAAGCAACAGTCAGTTTAATTCAAAAAGACCTTGGCGACGAATACTCTGCTGTTGTTGCCAATAAAAGTTACTTTGCCGATTTTATGCGCGAGCCACCTGAAAATGAAGATCCAGAGGCCGAAGTTGATTTGGAAGCACTCAAGATTTACGAAAAAGTTGCTTCTTTTGATGCTTTGAGGGAACGCTTGACAGAATATATGAAGCAGTACAATGAAAGCATTCGTGGATCAAAAATGGATCTAGTTCTTTTTGAGGATGCCATGAAGCACATTGCCCGTATTTCACGCATTATTCGGATGCCTCGCGGAAATGCTCTTTTAGTTGGTGTTGGAGGTTCTGGTAAGCAATCGCTTACAAAGCTTGCAGCATTCATTGCCAAGAGTCAAGTGTTTCAAATTGCCATTACCAAAAACTACAATGTATCCAATCTTATGGAAGATCTCAAACTCATGTACAAGGTTGCGGGTGCTCAAGGAAAATCAATGACATTCATATTTACCGACAACGAGGTCAAAGAGGAAGGGTTTCTTGGATTTATCAACAATATTTTAACTTCGGGTGAAATTGCCAATTTGTTTGCAAAAGATGAAGTGATTAGCATTTCATCTGATTTACGTGGCTCACTCAAGAAACAACGACCAAATGTCATTGACACGATTGAAAATCTATGGCAATTCTTTATTGATAGAGTCAAGGCAAATCTTCATGTTGTATTGTGTTTTTCGCCTGTTGGTGATAAGTTCCGCAACCGCTCGCTCAAATTTCCCGGCCTCGTTTCGGGCTGCACAATGGATTGGTTCAGTCGCTGGCCCAACGAGGCTCTTCGAGCTGTCGCTGACAAATTTGTGTCTGAAATGGATATTGCATGCTCCGACCAAACTAAAAAGGAAGTGGTGTATCATATGGCGTTTGTTCATGATCTGGTGACCGATGCCTGCAACAACTATTTTATGCAATTCCGTCGTCGCACACACGTAACACCAAAATCATATCTCTCCTTTCTTGCATCGTATAAATCCTATTATAGAAATAAGCGTGAAGAAGTTGGAGGATTATCCGATCGCATGAATATGGGTTTGTCTAAACTAGTGGAAGCGTCTAAATCGGTTGCTGTTTTGCAAGATCAGCTTGTGGTTAAAGAAAAAGAGCTGGCGGTGGCTTCGAAAGCTGCAGATGCAGTGCTTGCAGAGGTTACCGCAAGTACAATGTCTGCCGAAAAAGTCAAGGATGCAGTGCTCAAAGTAAAAACCAAGTCTGAAGGTATTGCTAATACAATCAAAGCCGACAAAGTGTATGCCGAGTCACAACTCGAAGCCGCTAAACCTGCTCTTGAAGAGGCACGAAATGCACTTAATTCTATTCAACCTGCTCATATATCTACTGTTCGTAAGCTTGCCAAACCACCCCATCTGATTATGCGTATTATGGACGGCGTGTTGCTTCTTATGAAACGTAGGATTGACACAATCACGCAGGATCCTGACAAACCTTGTATGAAACCTTCGTGGTCTGAATCGCTTAAACTTATGTCTGCATCCGACTTTTTGACCAATCTACTTAACTTTGCCAAGGATGAAATTAATGAAGAAACCGTCGAGTTTCTTGAACCTCTGATGGAGATGCCCGACTTTAATCTGGAAGGCGCTAAAAAGGTTTCTGCAGATGTAGCCGGTCTTGCATCTTGGGTCGGAGCCATGGCAACATACTATGGTGTCAATAAAAAAGTGATCCCACTCAAGGCTAATCTCATCGTTCAAGAGCACAAGCTGACTATTGCCATGGAAGATCTGAACAAAGCACAGCAAATGCTTGACGAAAAGCAAGCTGAGCTCGACGTATTCCAAGCTAAATACAATGAAGCCATATCCAACAAGCAAATGTTGCAAGCAGATGCCGATAGTTGCAAGCGAAAAATGAATGCAGCGACCGCGCTAATTAGTGGTTTGAAGGGCGAAAAGGATCGATGGACAATTCAAAGCAAAGAGTTTGCAGAACGGATTGGACGACTTGTTGGCGACATTATTCTTGCTACTGCCTTTTTATCTTATAGTGGTCCATTTAATCAGACATTTAGATCACAGCTGCTACAGGACTGGCGAAAAGAGCTTAGTCGTCGCAAGATTCCTCATACAGAAGATCTTGATATTATTGGCTTGCTTGTTGACAACACCACAGTAGGAGAATGGAACATCCAAGGTCTTCCTACTGACGAACTATCAATACAAAACGGTATTATTGTCACTAAAGGCACTCGCTTCCCCCTGTTGATTGATCCACAAAACCAAGCCAAAGTGTGGATTAAAAATCGCGAAGAGCAGAATAAGCTTCAGGTTACCACACTTACCCACAAATACTTTCGCCAGCACATTGATGACTGTGTAAGTCAAGGTCGTCCGCTTCTTATTGAAGATGTGGAGGAGGCATTGGATCCTACACTTGATAATATTTTGGAGCGTAACCTGATTAAAGCCGGCCGTGGATTCAAGGTTGTCTTTGGAGACAAAGAGATTGATTGGTGTGATGGATTCTACGTATTCATCACAACAAAACTACCCAATCCAAATTACAATCCAGAGATCTACGCCAAGTGCTCAATTATTGACTTTACTGTTACGAGTAAGGGTCTTGAAGAGCAGTTGCTGGGTCGCGTAATCATGCGTGAAAAACAAGAGCTTGAAACCGAGCGTGCCAAGTTGTTAGAGGAAGTTAATTTCAACAAGCGTAAAATGAAACAGCTTGAAGATAACCTGCTAGAGCGATTGACATCTACTAAAGGATCACTTGTGGATGACGAATCTCTGATTGAAGTGCTTGCCGTGACGAAAACCACAGCTGAAGAAGTCAACGAGAAACTTGTTGTTGCTGCTGATACCCAAAAGAAGATCAGTATTGCCCGAGAAGAGTATCGTCCAGTAGCAAGTCGTGGGTCAATTATTTATTTCCTAATTGCTGAAATGAGCATGGTAAACGTCATGTACCAAACATCACTAAAGCAGTTCCTACAGCTTTTCGATGAGAGTATGGAAAAGGGAACACCGTCGCCCATTCCCAGCAAGCGTATTCAAAATATCATCGAGTACTGTACTTTCCGCGCTTTCTCTTACATAACCCGTGGTTTATACGAAATTCACAAGGTTATTTTTGTGCTTTTATTGGCTCTCAAAATTGATGTCTTCCATAACAAGGTCACACATGAAGAATTTCGCTGCTTGATCAAAGGCGGGGCAATGTTGGACATCAATACAGTTACTAAAAAACCCTTCAATTGGATTCCTGATATGACCTGGCTCAACCTGGTTGCATTGAGTAAGATGCCCGGTTTTGCTGACGTTCTCAATCAAGTTGGTAAAAATGAAAAAGCGTGGCGCTCTTGGTACGAAAAAGATGCTCCTGAAAATGAGCTTTTACCTGGCGGATACCAAAATTCGCTGGATGCATTCCGTCGACTTTTACTGGTTCGTTCATGGTGTCTGGATCGCACGGGTATGATGTCCAAGCAGTATGTTGCTTCTTCTATGACCGTCCGGTTTGCCGAATCTCAAATATTGGATCTCGATTCGCTGTTGGGCGAGTCGAATAACCGCACACCCATGATATGTTTGCTATCTCAAGGCTCTGACCCTTCATCTGATATTGAAAATCTGTCTAAAAAGTACAAGATCGACATGAAGGCTATTTCTATGGGACAGGGGCAGGAGGTTCATGCGCGAAAGCTTCTTTCTACATTTATGACTAATGGAGGTTGGGCTTTATTACAAAACTGTCATTTGGGATTACCATTTATGGACGAACTTCTCAGTCTGATTGTTGAAACTGAGGCTATTCATGAGAAATTCAGACTCTGGATTACCACGGATGTGAGCATCAAGTTCCCCATCACATTTTTACAAACGTCCATTAAATTTACAAACGAACCTCCACAAGGTGTAAAAGCTGGTCTCAAACGAACGTATGCTTGGTTTACTCAGGACATGCTAGATATGAGCGCTCGTCCGCAATACAAGCCTTTGCTGTATGGGCTCGCGTTTTTGCATTCCATTGTACAGGAGCGTCGCAAGTTTGGGCCTCTTGGCTGGAATATTCCATACGAATTTAATCAAAGTGATTTGGCAGCTAGTGTTCAATTTGTGCAAAATCATGTTGATGAGCTTGCTCCCAAAGCTAGCATTTCCTGGAATACTGCACGATTTATGTTTTGTGAAGTGCATTATGGCGGAAGAGTTACTGATGACTATGACAGGTAAGAGTTTTACTAATTTAAATCAGGATACTATATGGGTTGGAACTTGTTGATTTATATTGATTTTATTTTAGGCGACTTCTTCAAACATACGGCAAAGTATGGTTTGGCGATCATATGTTTTTGGACACTTTCTGCTTCTACAAAGGTTACACTATTCCACATTTAAAAACAATCGATGAGTACCGGCAATCAATTGAAGTTCTTCCGCTAACTGACACACCCGACGCCTTTGGATTACACCCTAATGCCGATATTTCCTGCCAAACCAAGGAATCTCAGCGTATGCTTGATACCATTATGTCTATCCAACCAAAGGACAGTGGCGGCGGCTCTGGAGAAACTCGTGAAGAAATAGTAAAGCGTATGGCCAACGATCTTTTAAGCAAACTGCCTGAATCCTTTGATAAGAATCGCACTAAACTCACGATCCAAAAGCAAGGCGGTCCCAAGCCACTCAATATCTTTTTAGGGCAAGAAATTGATCGCATGCAGGCAGTCATTTCTGCAGTCAAATCTACTCTGTCAGATCTTCGCTTGGCTATTGACGGAACAATTATTATGGCATCTGGATTGCAAAATGCATTGGATGCTCTATATGATGCTCGTGTGCCTGAATCATGGGTCAAGATATCATGGCAAAGTAGTACACTGGGACTATGGTACTCGGAGTTCCTAGGACGTGCTGCACAATTCCATACTTGGCTATATGATGGTCGGCCACTTGTGTTTTGGCTTTCAGGTTTTTTTAACCCTCAAGGTTTCCTTACTGCCATTCGACAAGAAATTACACGTACTCATAATGGATGGGCACTTGATAATGTCAAGCTTGCACCAGAAGTTATGAAGCATATGAAGGAAGACATCACCGCTCCGCCATCCGAAGGTGTCTATATTTATGGTCTGTTTATTGAAGGAGCTGGCTGGGATAGGAAAAATATTAGATTAACAGAGTCACAGCCCAAGGTCATCTTCCAAAGTATGCCAGTAGTGCATGTAAGTGCTACCAATTCAACTGATGATGGTGACCCGCGTATGTATAGATGTCCCGTGTATCGCCGACCTCGACGTACCGACCAAAATTACATCTTTGATATTGAGCTCAAAACACAACAGACTCCCGACTATTGGATTTTGCGTGGTATTGCACTATTGTAAGTCAGATTTCTGGCTTTGTTTGGCAGTAATTGTGAGATTTCAAACTAACATTATATTTCAATTGTATTATAGATGTGCTACAAGCTAATTAAAAGGCACTACTATCATGAAGGCTTTTAGGTAAACAGTTATACTATCAAGACTGACTATCTTGATATAAATAAAAGATGTAGTTGATGAACCTGCTTCCACTATCATACTATTCATTTTATATTTTGAGTGTGATGTTGAATAAAACCAGTTCAAAGTTTATTTTGAAAATAGATAGTCGTACAGATAAGGATCGACAAACTCGCCATCTTTTTCAAGAATATATCCAGATCGTTTACTGTGAGGCTTGAGATAAATCTGGTTGGCTAGTCCGCTTGCATGGGTGTTCTGCATGGCTAATAAAGTATAAATGTTAGTTTTACATGTCAACAACTCTACCCAACACAAACCATACCATTCAATATTGGAACGATCCTAGCCGAAGACGACAGATCCAATCGTTTGAACACATTGATCTTGTTGCCAATTCTTGCAGCATTCTGAATGGCAACCAGCTTGCCACCTTTAAGGATAGTCACAGTTTTGGCTTTGCGAGTAGCAAAGTAGTGCACCAAACCAGGAAACACTAGCGATGACAAACCACAGATCCCACTAGCGGCCACTCGTTTCAAGGTGGATGATCTCTCATGCGTTTCAACACCTTGCTCATCGGTCTCTGTGTCGGTCATATATGTCCATGCCAGCTCAGCAATATTAAGCCACATGAACATTTGGATGCCTGCTGCAAGATATGCAAATCGAAGCAGTTTGTTATTGTTGCTGCGATAAATGAGAATATCTGACTCGAACGAGGGTGGAGACCAGATGGGTTTGACATGAGTTGTACCAGGAGTGGATCGTTTTAATGGTCTTGAATTGATGTTGTATGTGGGTGTTCTCTTGGTGGGTTTAATAGAGTTGGTGCTATTCCGTCTGATAGCAACCAATGTATTTTTAATGATGGCAGATGGACATTGTTGAGCATATTTTGTCCATCCAGTCATCGCATACATTGATGCATGCAATTTTATACAGTTGAATCGGTTTCTATTTGAATTCTTTATTCAGTTGTATTTGTGTGAAATAGAATATCAAGTTTCGTGAAATAACAGTCAGTTTACTGTACAACATTGTAAACTGTTATTCTTGTAGCGTTGCATTCTTGAAATGTGCAATTGTTTTAAACTAGAACGTGTCTGCAGAATATAAGAGTTTGAGAATAGTCGAATGCAATATCTGAATTAAAATGAATTTGGTGATTGTACAATGTATGGCTATACCAAATATGAACAGCATTGGTTTAAAACTACAGTTTGGTTGTGTGCATCATATGATGGACATTGTGTTTATTGAATTTAAATGTTGATTAAACAGCCAATCTGTAGTAGAAAAATGCATCGAATATTTAGCCATTGTTGAATCTCGAGGCAGTCAATGCAAGCGTTTCATTTTATGTGAATACGACTGTAAAACATTCGAGTTAAATTCATATCGCACTATTGCTGTATTATGGAAATGAGTGAGATTCTGATGGACTAGTAATAAATATATCAAGACCGCTCTGGTCAATCTTTTTCAAGTCCACCCACAGGATGATTTCCAGCTCAAATAGCACTCCTGGATTGATTCGATGGTTGCATTCCAGGTGGTTTAAATTCACTCTCTCCACTTTTTGGTTTCCTGCTAATATCGCTCAGCTTTTGTTTCCTTACATCAAGACTTGCCGCTCTTGCATGGGTTGATTTTATAGCTTTGGGTGGTATGACTGGCGGTGGGTTTGCTCCCATATCAAGTGAAAGCTTGTCTAATTCGTGGATGAGTTTCTGGAGTCGATCTCGCTCTCTACTGATCCATTTTGTGGTATCCATTCCTTGCTCAGGTGTAACTTGGTCGGAAATGCGACTTAACTGACGCTCTAGTCTCTTGGATGGCTTTCTATCCAATTTAGGCTTTACGAATTCGGGATCAATGATGGGAGTCTACATACTCGAATGATAGTAAGTTTGACGTCAAGCACTGGATTCAATGGAATTCCGAATATAGATCCATTTACTTACAACTAGTGATGCAAGCACTGCCTGTTTCAACATGAATACTCCCTTTTGACTCCACTCCAAAGAAGCACGCTTCATAATGCTTCGTGACCGTGCAAGCCCTAGATCGATCTCTTCTTCTTTGCGTTCCAGCAACGGTTGGATATAGTGGGCATATACAAATATTGCACCCTAGAGTTGGGATAGATTCCATACACACATTCTATTTTCAGTTTATCTGCAGTCAAGACTCCTTTCATGCATTTAAAGACCAACGCATTACTCACTTGAGTGTACGGTAGACTAAGCCATAATATAGCGACCGTTTTGGCCTCATAGTACAGTGGAAACCTACAATAATTGAAAGGGACCAATATGTAAAAATACACTGAAATTATACACACGATTACAACAAGGAATGTACCAGTAGATTAAGGTGTCTGTGATGCTCTCAATGACGACAACGGCACAAATAACTATCCAGTACTTTGTCCATTGAAGAATTAAATCGTCATCTTCTGCCTTGATGGCTTTGTATGAGGAATATCCAGGCAAGATAAGCCCAAATATGTTGCTGATTCGAAATACCAAATTCGACGGGTGATGATAACAGTCGAGGCATTGTCATGGATGCAGAATTAATCAACTAATAAACGATGGTATTACACTATCAAATGGTTTGCCTGTATAGATTTTCATTTATCATGAAAGTTGAATTGCAAAGACCTACAAGATTGCTCTGAAGAATATGTATCCAAAAGGCATATGCGATGCTAGACTTGGTGTAATGCAGTCAAGAAGCTTATCTTTTTTTAAGCCATCACAGCCAATCAATATCACGTGGAATTGAACCGCCATGTAAACCGTTCTGAAATGAAGATCTTGATTCGCTTTGCAGTTCCAGTCCGCCAACAAGACATGCAATATTTTTATTATGTCATTTTATCCATTTTATTGCAAAATTCGTGCTTATCAACACATGTCAACATGTGCATGAGCTGCTTCCACGTATGTGATATTGAGCTGTCCTCCGTGTCTAATCGGAGCACTCGTGCATCCATTCACCACGAACAGTGGGTTAAGTTGATTGAGTACGTTTTCATTAAGGCTGATTCCATCTAGATATTGTTTGAGAATGCTACGAAGGTGGTCATTTTCCTCCTGTGACTGCATTCGTTGCTTCTCGAGTGCAAGCTGATCCAATAGCGCCTTGTTGTGACGTTTGTTGAATTGACTCATTGCATCAAATTCTTTTGGCAGCCCAACATTCAATTGGGTACGTGCAATCTAACAGAATAGTCGAATGAAAATTAGTATCAACAACTATAAATCTTGATTGCACACTTTTAAAGCCAAACCAACCTTGTCGACATCGTCGCTATTGGACTCTTTGTAAAATGGAATAACTCGCTCTGATTCGGTTTCAAGCTTTCGGTTCATTTCAGCAAGCTTGATGATCTCTTCAGCAGTCCGTACCTTTTTGTGCAAAACTTTAAGCACATTGTTACTGACTATAGTCAACTCAGTTAATCTCTGACGCTCCTGTTCTCGAAATGCATTCATACGCTTTTTCAATGACTGAAACTGTGCCTGGATAGTTTCTTTTTCTTCGCGTAGAGATTTGTTGCGCTCCTCATACTCCTTGAAATTGTTACTGAGTTTAGTCTTGAGGTGAGCGATACTTTCTTGAAGTTTAACAAGCCGTTTCATTTGTTGTTCGATTTCTTTTGCGTTTTTCTGATCTTTTTGCTTTAGCTCTTCGAATTGACGTTTACGCTCCTCAGTAGATGAGTTGTATTGATTAAGAGCTAATTGAAACTGTCTCCAGAGATCTTCTACAGCTCCCTCAAGTTGAATTCGAATAGCATGCTTTTCTTCGAGGTTTTTATTTTTGACATCATCCTTGATGCTAGAGTACTCGTGGCGTGCATCTGCCTCTGATTCTTGAAACTCATGTTCAGCACGAGCCATAATGCCCAAAATGTCTGCCTTTTCTTTGGCTTGATGACTCTGAAGTTTGAGTCTATAGAATGGTATTAGTCTTTTGGTACAACTTACATACAGTGCGCTTTAACAGTGATGCAATTTTTTACCGTTCAGTGCTAAATTCGGAGTCGAGCATATTTAAATCCCCCTCGAATCGATTCTTCAAATTAGATAGCCGAGCGTTTTGTAAATCAATTAGTGTATCAATATTGATAAGATGTGACTGAAGAGCGGTTGAAAACTGTTCTTCCGCTTCAATGAGATCATGCCCAAGATTTTCTATAGTAGTATTTTTTCTATCAAGGTGTCTGTCGTGAACTTGCTGCAAAATTTGTATTTGCTTTTTCAACTCGTCCGATTTAGCTAATCATTTTAAAAATAAAATAAGCAAGTATATATTGGTTAATTGAAATAAGCTGTAGATAGTCATATTGAACTCGTACCGAGCTTCATAATTTCACGCCATCTATTTTGAATTTTCAAGTTGTTTAGTTTAAAATTCTTCTCTTCTAGTGCAATTCGATCCTACATGTGGCATTAAAAAACGAATAATCAAGCAAAGAATATATTAGTATTAACTAGATGTCAGCTGAATATAGGGCTATATTTAAGCAAGTAGATGTACTCGGCAAAACGCACCATTGTTTTTTGGCGTACTTCATCCAACAGCCGCTTGCGTGCCTCGTCATCCTTCATGTTATTGAATTCATTTTTTGTACTCTTGTCACCACCCTTTTTTCCCTTTTTAGTCTTTTTAGCCATGTTGGATAATTCAATACAACTTGCAAGTGATGAGAGTTGGAATGGGTTGATTTGATTTGATGCGAGCTATCCAAGCGTGTCTAGATTTGGAGTCCAGTCCCTATTTAGAAAAGGACCAGCCACCAACTATAGCTGCTATCGAGTCGCTGCCATTTCATCCAAAAGCGACAAACCACAACCATGTCCATGCGCACCGTCCTGTCTGTCGCCATGCGTCCTGCCACTACTGTCCGTGCCCTTGCTCGTTCCATGTCTTCTTCTCTTACTCCAAAAGATTCTGTTTTAGAAAAGGCTGTTACCCCCACTTTAGAGCGAAATCTTGTTGAAGCCGATATTCTGAGTGGTATGGATTCTACTTTATTTTGTCAAACTATTTAGAATGCACTCTGTTGTCAAAAGGTTGATGCTTCCATCAATCACTCTTCAAATTACAATTCAGACGCCATCTTGCTTGAAATCTGCCTAATCCATTTCAGTTGGTCCATGTATCTGCATATGATGTGTTGTATTGACTCAAAGTTGTTGGCATACCGATTTAGGTGCTCCTCCCGAGATTGCTCGTCATACTGCCAGAATCTATCAGCCTGCTAAGTCTGCAACACAATCTGGCACGGCCGGAACTCACTACTGGAAACTGGATTTTGATACCAAAGCTAGATGGGAGAACCCTTTGATGGGTTGGTCTAGCAGGTAAAGTCTGGATAACACCAACTGGTTTATAATTTTTACAAAACATGCATTGTGATTGGGTTGTGGATTAAAACTCGGGTTTAATCCATTGAGTTGATTGTCAAGCATTACTAATCTTATTTTGAACCCAATCTGTAATTAGTGCCGATCCCGTACAGGCTCTGATGATCAAATTTGATACAAAGGAGGATGCAATTGGGTTTGCCAAGCGACAAGGGTACGACTACTGGGTTGAGGAGCCCAAAAGCAGCCACTCTCGAGTCAAGGTTTATGCCGAAAACTTTACTGTAAGTCGAGAATGTCAATCTACAGCCGTATTCATGTAAAATGGATCACTTTTGTATTTATCTTGCAGTCATTGCTCCAAAATACACACTTCTTGGATACTTGTGCTTTCCTATTGGTGATTGACTGCTTCAATAGACACAATCTTCATATAATACACGCAAATTATAATTTTGACCCAAGACTATCCATATTTGACAACATCATTGTACAGTCACCAGATTCATCTATTGCAATACACATGTTGGGTTTGACTGTTTTGGTGTTGTCAAGTTTTTTGTATCGAATCTCGAATACATCCGCGTCTAGGTCAAGAGAACATTTCAAAAATACAACAATTGTTCATTTGTAATGTTTGGTTGTAAAAAACCAGAGTTTGGGACTAAACAAGTGTGAGATTGACTGGAACTGTGTGAACATTTGTCCAGTTTCTATGCAAAACTAAGCAGAAACCAGTCAATTTTGACGAGAATTGTCATGAAACGGACAGTTTATCATATTGACACCCTTATTTAGTATTTCATTCTACGTGAATACGACTGTAATAATACGCAATCACAAACTGACTTGTTTTTTCAACTGTTGAAACTATAGTACTCAAAGGGAAAACTTCGCATGATTCGAACCAAATAACAAATTAAACAAAGAACATGATTGAAACCCAATAATACTTTTTATGTAACATTTCACTTTATTTTTAGTGTAAATGGGCAAGTACTGGTTTATATGACCCTGACTGGCGTATCGACTAATGCCATCATTTCAAAAAGTGTTTTATTTGGAGAAGCAGATCTGGATCAGCCATGGATAAAAGCTGTTTCATTGCTTGCTGACTGCCAAGTTCATGCTCCAATGCAGCCAAATTTAGTCTCATGTATTGGGCAAGAGAGTCGTTGGTATAGACTGGGTCCAAAACCATGAGTGCATCTTGGCGCTTTTTGTCCAATGAAAACTCATCATCATCTTCGTCGCGCACATCGTATGCAAATGCAATAGATCTGGATTTAAATTAAGCTTTGTTAATTGGGATGCATTGCATATGGAGATACGATGATGAATCTGCAACATGGCAGATACAATAATTTGAATAAATGCAACTCACTCATCTACCGACATATTGTGCAACTGGCTAGAAATGCTAGTTAGCACACCAAACACGCCGTCAATACGAGCAAGTACTATGGGGTGGGCAGTACCGAGCAGATTACTCATGGCAAGAGCGGTAAGTTTACGCTGTTTACCATGGCCCATAGCATCAACCTTTTCAAGCCAACGATCCAACAACTGACCCAAAATGTCCATAATGGGTGGATTAGAATTAGATCCAATCTGCTGAATCGATGTTGTTAGAAAAATGGGATCGTAGACAGCAATACGGGCCAAGATGGAAAGGAATCCCACAGTAATAATACTCATTTCGGTATTTTCAATTACGACTTGAACGAGGCGAGACAATAGACCACTAGATAGTATAACTTGACAAATAGAGGGGAAACACTGAGCTGCGTGACATCCTTGAAGTGCGATATCAACAACTCGCAGCAAAGCACTAGATGCTTCTGCTTTGAGTTGTCCGAGCATTTGAGTAATCGTGGACATGATTGAAACAGCACCCATCTGCATAACAGCAACAGGGTCTAGTACAATATAGGCCTCAATGATACGCAAAATACGCTTTAGGTTATCGCCATCACTTTGCATAAGCTGTGTAGCATATGGTACCAGCTCAAGCAATGAAGAAGTGCATGTCGTTGCATTTTGAAGCATTGTCAACCATAGTATAATTCCTTCTTCCACCAAGTACAAATGGCCAGGCTATTTAAAAATAAAATAGAATTGTCGTTGGTTCAAACCTGATCGTTTTAAAAACAATTCAATAGCATCAATTTTCTATTACTAGATACACATACCTTGCTAGTATCAACACTCTGCTGCAAAATAGGCATGACTATTTCGTTTAATTTTATTGATTCTGATCGAAGTGCCTATGTTATTTATTTTGTCAGTGATGCTGTAGAAATTAAACTAAATGGCACGCTACAAAACTTGTAAACTACATTACCTTTAAAAGCTTGCCAATCACTGTAACAATAGACGCACGAAACAGGTTTTCAGACTCAGATCTTTCCCACAGTTGGGGAAGCACATGCAGGATAGGTGAGATATGAGGCAAAATCTATCATAATTTAACAGTATAAAAGATAAGTTATAGCCTGCTACATTTAAACATGTCAAGCCAACCTCTTGCCTGTTCATCCATTCGCTCAATAATAACAACAAGACAGTTGATAATCTTCATCTTGTTTTCAAACTCGTCTACATCTTCTAATAGCTGGATAAATGCAGTGACATTGGATTCAAGATAGGGCTGAAATGATTGAGGTTGAAAATCAAAATCATCAACACAGCGCTGCAGATTGATGACGGCGCTTAGACGTACTACTAGATCCTCATCTCTACCCATCAAAGACAAAAGAATTTGATAAAGTGTGGACCGCAAATCTTCAGGAGCCTTTACTTGAACCCACTGTCCAATGATGCATGCAACCCGACGACGAATAATTTTAAACCTAGTCCAATATAGAATTGTTATAAAGTCAACAATAGCTAGGTTGAATATTTTAAAGCTAAAACATTATCAATTATAACATACTCTGGTTCCTTTCTTGAAACTTCATGAACCAAGTGTGTACGTGTCCAATCAGCAAAATCAAGCCAATCAAAAAGATCATGCGCAGTAAGACCAATGCTAGAGTATACGGCATCCTTGAGCAAAATATTGCTTTGTGTTGTCGGAACTAGCAGGCATAATTATATAACAGTAATGATTAGGACACTAAAGGCACTATCAATCGGTGCGTTAATCTAAGCAAAATAGCATGCAACTTCATTCATACCAGAAGCTTCACGAAGCATTGATACAAGGATAGGACAAAGCAAGTCGCGGTTTTTTGAAACAAGGTCCATCAGTACACGTTCGGCACAAGACTGTTATCAGATTATGCAAAGCAAAAGCAAAACTACAAAAGTCAGTTCACCAGCCAGTATATACTGGCAATACAATCTAATACCTTGATACTGAATTCCCACTGATCTGAATCTTCGCTTTGTATAAATGATTCTGGATCATCTTCCCAACTTGTCAAATCTTCTTCAGAAAGACGAATGTAGTGTGAGACCAACAGCTTTGCAAATGTCACAACCTGATCTTGCTTAAAAAGTTGAGTATCCAGTATTTGAATAACCGAATTCATACGCTCATCCTTGTGAACTATATAAAGTTTATAAATTGGTACTCACATTAAAAACACTACGACATATCACACACCAAGACATACCTTGGGAAATGGTATTAAAGGATGGGTTTTTGATAAACATTTTCAAGAGTCGAAGGGCTTGAATCATGATCCTTTCAACCGTCTCGTTGTCTAAATATTCGGTGGTTACTAAAGCAGTAAAGTCGAGTTTAAATTTAAAAGACACTTTTAAAGCAATCTCACCTTGAACTTGAGGAGTGCTTTCTAATAGCATCATATAAAACTTAAGAATAGTGACCCCATCATGAGCAAGCACAAAGCTAACTAATCGATTATTTGCTAGATCCAGGTAAAATTTACCAACAAGAATACAAAAAGAAGACAAAGTAGCATAGAGTCCTGATGAAGATTTGGGTAGAGTTTGGCCTATTCAGCAGCAAAGATCAAGGCACCAATTATTAGTATAATAGCATTTCAAAGTACTAATCAAGAATTGCAAAAATCTTACGAAATTGCATAAAAGTTTGCATATAGCGTGTCAAGCTGCCTATGAACTCCTGTTATATTGGTTAAAAAGGTTGCTTTTGGAAATGTTTAAAAGACCATTTAAATAAAGCCAACTTACTGCCACTGCAGGAATTTTGTCAGGATCTTGAAATCCGTGAACAACAAGTCTCCTCAGGCATTTTAGTGCATACCGAACAAGAACCAGTTTATCATTAATTTGATTGGTAGGATCGCTGACATCAACTTGCTGTATAGTGGTTACAAATGAGTTTGCTTCATCAAAAAATATTGATGAAACAAAGTTAAAAAGCTCGGGAGCCAGTTGATGCAAAAGTCGACGACTGGATGGAAGAGTTTTTGAACATAGCGTCTTGACTACATGATGTAAAGTATAAAGAGAATTATGCTGTATATTTCTTGCCGTTTGATCCAAAGGTGCAGAAACTCTAAAACTGGCTTGCACAATAGGAATCAATGTCTGCAATAGATCTGGCCTGAATTTGAAAATATATCAGATTTAACAAAAAACGCATCACAACAATACAGAAACAAATAGTTACCAGTCATTTGGAAAATCCGTTCGGGAGATCTTGGCTGTAACAAGAGCTTGTTGTATTGCAAGCTAAATGTAATCATTCGAATAGAGAAAAACATGTTGGAATTTTTAAATACAATAATTTACAACAATCAACATACTTTTTTGTTCGACTCGTCCATATTGGTTAGCTGTTTTTGTCTAATAATTTCTTTTTCTTCCAACTGAATTGCACTAATTGAGCAACGGCATCAGTAAATAGCAATTAGTTGAATAAAAAAACAAGGAAATATAGATTTTGCAGATATTTGAACTGCCTGCTTATTGAAGTGTGGTGACAAAAAGTAGTCGACTTACTGCTCGGCAGTTTTTCTCCAATATCTGGCAATTCCATTTTTCAAGTAGATAATTGCCAGTGATCTTAGTTTAACATCAATAGTTTGATCAAAGTAAATGTCCTGTAGTTTTTAAAAAACGTTAGTAAATTTGCATTACCAAGTTTTCAGGTTGCTGCATACTGACTTGTAATGTAGAGTGAAACTGAGAAGCCTTTTCCCATTGGCCAAGTACACTCTGCCCAGTAGTTCTTTGAACAGGATCTGCAGAAGCAGCCTGTTCCAACACCATGCATAACTGTATCTTTGAATTGCTCATGAATGATATATTCTGCAGGATTGCACTTTGAATTGCAGTTTATTCACGTAGAATGAAATACTAAATAAGGGTGTCAATATGATAAACTGTCCGTTTCATGACAATTCTCGTCAAAATTGACTGGTTTCTGCTTAGTTTTGCATAGAAACTGGACAAATGTTCACACAGTTCCAGTCAATCTCACACTTGTTTAGTCCCAAACTCTGGTTTTTTACAATCAGACATTACAAATGAACAATTGTTGTATTTTGAAATGTTCTCTTGACCTAGACGCGGATGTATTCGAGATTCGATACAAAAAACTTGACAACACCAAAACAGTCAAACCCAACATGTGTATTGCAATAGATGAATCTGGTGACTGTACAATGATGTTGTCAAATATGGATAGTCTTGGGTCAAAATTATAATTTGCGTGTATTATATGAAGATTGTGTCTATTGAAGCAGTCAATCACCAATAGGAAAGCACAAGTATCCAAGAATTGTGTATTTTGGAGCAATGACTGCAAGATAAATACAAAAGCGATCCGTTTTACATGAATACGGCTGTAGATTGACATTCTCGACTTACCACATGATGATCGTTACCGCTCATTATGCTCAAGTTGCTGTTCAAATCGTTGAATTACGTTTTGCAATGGCATCAGATACAGCACGGCAAACGGAGAGTGAGCTTCCAATCCATCCTGGTCATGTTATTAGATCGGATAGTACTATTATTAATTCATCACAATCTATTATTTCAAGATACCTTATTCCATCAAATCCATTCCAACCCACTACAACTCCAAATGTTCAGCCAATGCGACGATTGCATGTGCTGCGCTCAAGTCAGCTGGATGCAGATCTGTTGAACAATGAATTAAAAGGCTTGCTTTCAGAACAAGTAACCAGCATATTCTCCATGTTCAAGGTATATTTTATTTTTCAAGTTCATGTACTGGAAATCATATTCAGATGTCGCACTGGTGGAAAATCCATTTGCTAAAACGACCGAATAACTCAATAATTGAATTCATTTCGTTTTTATCAATGCATATAATTATGGCAATATTATCGTTTCAAGACAAATATCAAAAGCAAGTTTGAACCTGAAATTAATGCAATCTTGGAATGGTTAATATCCGAATCGACATTGTATGCTTCAGGGACGACTTATGCATTGCAACTACAAAACCTTGTATATCGTAATGAACGCCAATTATCATATGCTGGTAAGTGATATGTATTACTAATTGAGCTATTTTATCCAAATCAGTCCATGTTTGAATCGCTAACTGGCAGCTATTGTACAATCACTATCATTTATAGGAGAACTTTCATCATTTAATTCCCCAATCTCTAAATTCCAAAAAACTATGCACGCTATTTTAAATATTGGTGGTACTTGGATTCACGCAAGATTAGCCAGATACATGACTAAACATAGATGGAGTGATAGGGCAGAGGTATGGGTTCATGTACATTTTAAATTAAATCTAAATCTCCAAGCTTTTGGATAGTTGACTAATTCCATCTTATTATCAACCTTTGCATTTAATATGCTGATTATTTTACACGACGCTTTAATAGATTGATTCAAGATACATGATTTGGAAATTGATACAGCGATTGGAGTTGGCATTCAAAATTGTATCAGTGGCGAATTTCTTGGTGTTTCTTTATAGTGGGCGATATAGGTCTCTTCTTGATCGCCTTTTAGGAATGAGAGTGGTTTACTTTCAAAAGACAATGTCTCGGATGATTAGCTTTGAATTTATGAACCGTCAGCTTGTCTGGCATACATTCACAGTGAGTTGTTGTTTCACAAACTTGTGCATTTTGGCATACTCTGATTTATTGTTAACCGTTTGATTTCCATTAAAACAGGAATTTTTACTGTTCATCATCCCATTTATCAACATCAACGCAGTAAAACGAGCATTACAAAAGCAATTCACGCAACCACGGCGATTGGATCTTCCACCTCATCTCTGTGTAATTTGCCATATAAAAAACAGTGCTTCGTTGGTGCTTCATGTACCATATCAAACAAACTGTGGACACATATTTTGCTACTACTGCATCAAAACAGAAATGATGATGGACGCCTCATATGCGTGTCCGCGATGTGGGGTCACAGTCAAGAGTATTTCTAGATACGCTAATTTTATCCCATCTACCTAATTTTTGATTTGGTTTTACAGCCGTATTCACGTAAAATGGAACTTGTATTTATCTTGCAGTGATTGTTTTGGAATAAACAATGGTTAAATGTGTGTTGTTAGAAATTGATTACTGTTTGTATAGAAACTCTGTTGTATCCTAGCATCAAATACATTTGCGCTCTACTTCAAGGGAACATATCATGAATACAATGGGTGTTTCCATGCAATCACCCAATCGTCACTTTAAATGTTTAAAGGAAAAGAAAGATGAAGGTTGAAAAGGTGTGGAATATATTCGAACAGGAATGTAAACATTCAACATGTTTGTACAAGAATGAGCATGGAGATCAGTCAACTAAAAGAGTCAAAGGGAACGATGTTGCTCAGTAAGATTGGTACCAACCAAACATGACTGTTTATTATGTATTCCGACTTTGATGTTTCATTTTACGTGAATACGGCTGTAATAATTTACCAAAACATCAAGAGATTTACAAATATTCAAAAACCCAAATTCGCTTTATTTAATCATTTGAAATTTCAATCACCAACCATCAGTATGTTGCGTCTGCTGTGGTGCATATTCTCCCCACGTGTCCCCTTGTGGTATGATCTTTCGATTTTCCTGAGATGGATCTTGCGTCTCATTCCATGAAGAGCTGGGTGGTGGTCTACGAACCGTATCGTCTGGCTCACCCCACGACAAATCCTTTGAATTCAATTTTGAGGTTCCCGAGGTTCCACCTAACCGCTCATTATGAACATCATGCACCCCACCCCAAGACGGTTCCTGTGGTGCAGATCTTGAATTTCCATAGGGCTGTGATCCACGAAAATCTCTAGATGATCCTTTTTGAAACTGATCCGACTTGCCTCCGCGTTGTGCTCCATGAAAGTCATCTTGTCGCTGATCCCAATGGGGCTTGAGTGGTGGCCCTCGTGCCATGCCATCAGGCTCACCCCATGAAGATTCCTGTCGAGGTTCACGACCATTACTGCTCGACTGTCCACGATAGCCTCCATTCAATGTGCCACTATTTCCAGTATATTGATCGCCCCAAGAAGGACCTCTAGAGTCTACGTGTTGTCCAGTACCATGCTGTATTGGCACTGACCGTATATTTGACAAAGATGTCATATTTGGGTTTGGTTTACTAGATCGGCTTCCGCCTACCGGAGGTTGGCGAGAAGATACATGTTGTTTCTGATAGGGCTGTTGCTGCTGCTGCTGTTGTTGTTGGTATTGCTGTTGTCGTTGGGGATTCATGTGCATGCCAACTCCTGTAGCAAGGTGATGGGTAGACGGCGCAACCCCTCGAGATTTGACTGAAGTAGAACGTTCTGCCTCCGTTTTTTTAAAATATGCAAGAAGATCATCAATAGACTGAAACTTGACCTTGCGAAAAAGCAATCCATCGGGTTGAACTATGACATAGTCATGATGCGGTCGATTTTGCGGATGTCGAAATACAAGATAAAACATGCCAGGCTTGTGAGGAACAACAATGAATCCATAAGCAGATCGCTTTAGAACCGCCATTTGTTCAGATACATATACAAACATATCATCTAGAGATTTGCGCTTGAATTTATCGTGGTTCATTACTTGTGCAATACGACGCGTCATAGGCTCAATATACTCGGCAATAATTTGATCAATTTCAGTGAATGCCTGCTTGTCAATACGCAACACCTTTCCCAGTGCCCATTCGTTTTCCTTTTCAAGCTCAAGAACATCAACATGCTGGTATAGACCATCGTCCACCTTCCACGTAATGGAGATGTGATCATTGCCACGAGTAGAAGGTCGAACCACAACTTCACCACGTGGTCGAGTAGATAGATATTCTTCAGCAGCACGATAATCCATGTTTTTGAAAAATGGGTGCTGTATAACACGCACTTGTTTTTTTGGTTTTGCCAGATACTTGATGGCTTTTGACGCAGCGATATCATCGTGTTCTTGCGCAGCGTTGAAATATTGATCTCGCTTGATATTGCCTTCGTCCATAGTAGCATTGCTTTCAACGCGACCAGATAGTTCAACCGTCATTCGCTCCTTGTTCACTCCCACCACACAAACTGGAATGGACATGTTGATTTGAAACAGCTCAGTAAGTGATTGATGACCATGTGGAATATCAAGATTCTTGGCATGTACCATGCCTTCCAATCCAGAGGAAAGACGACAAAACAAAAATCGATCTTTAATAATCACAATATGCCCCGAGGTAATTAGACCTTCATATAAAGTATCGTCAGATTCTCCAGTTAGCATGGAAAAGATTTCGTCATAAGAAGCGGGTTGGAATTGTTGACGACGCTCTTGATATGGATGAATCAATTCCTTTCGAATCTCGTTCAAACATATTAATTTTGGCTGGTGAATACGACGCTCAAGCTCAATTGCATAATCATCAAGCAAAAGCTGGTTGAGACGATCCGCATCGCCAGACTCCATCAACTCGGCAACGTGCTGTGAAGGAGTATCATCCTCATCCAAGGCAGTATCATCCAAATCAAGAGCATCTGCTGCCATTTTTCTTGCAAGATCATAATCTTCAGGATGCACACGAGTGTCATCCAATACATCAATAACTGAATCACTAAACGACTGGCGAAAGTGCTTGGAGCGAATTCGTAAAAATGACGCGCAGTTGATAAACACCTTGGCTGCACATAAATTCTTGCGAATAAGATCTGCACGAGACTCCAATTTTCCACCTGAGCGAATGATCTTGGAAATAATTGCTTGTGATTTTCGTGGACCAAGACCGCTGACAAACTGCAAAGTATGAGCAAGATTGGAGTTGCTGGCGGCGGCATTAATATCAACACCGCATAAACTGACGGCATTCATGAGTGCGCGCTCTAAAACTGTTTTGCGTTTCAAATCCGGAAGCAAGTTTTGCAGCGGGTGAATACGCAAGCTCTTGTAGTCCTCATTTACATTGAAAAGACCGGCAAATTCCTGAGTAGGATCTTGCACTCTACGTCCCAAAGACACACAGTATCGAATAAGCTGAGGATAGTCTTTGATAGGAAACTCCAACTCTGCACGCTTAGAATGCATATAGATACGTGCTACTTCATCTTCTACTATCATGACAGGAATGTTTTCTTTAAGTTTGCCTTGCACTTCAGCAGCAGTGATTGTTTCTTCAAGCAACCGAAGAAGCTGTGTTTGAGTGTTGGGTTTCAAGCCTCCGACAACAACCACGGCAGGTCGAAATCGAGCGGCAAGATCAATGAGCATATTCAAATCATTGCCACGCTCGCGATCGTTTAGCTTATCAAGCTTAAGATACTCAGACAACTGACCGTTTTCACCAATAATTGCAGCAAAAGTAGGCGAGCTTCGGTCTCCTTCTCCCCATGTAATAGAAAGTACAACGGGTGCCACATCATCGTAACTATGCACATCATCACTCGATTGTGCTGGTCTATACGGAGACATGGATACCCATCTCTCCAGTTTTTCTTGGCACTTGAGCGCAGTCCATTCAATAGCTGAGACCAAAAGCTGCTCCTTGAGCCATTTGGAACACAACGGGAAAATGACTTGTTTTGCGGCATATTCTGCAATCATACGACGCTGTGTATTCCATTCTTCGGCAAGATCATTAACATAATCGTTACAAATATACTTCATAATATCTGCAAGCAAGCGCGGCTCCTCTTCTACTCTAACGGACACTACGACAAGTCCTTCACTTTCGGCAGTCATAATCTGTAAAAATTGGCCATCAGTAAAGCTAAATTTAGGCTTCTCCTTCAGATATTTAAAGTGGTAGTATGGGTGGTGAGGCACAATCTCGCGCTTTCCTCTTTCCGTGGGCAAAACATCAATAACAGCATCCACAAAGTATACCCGGCGAATAAAAGCACGTAGCTGGGGATAGGCAGCAATATCTTGACCAATAACAAGACGAGCAGCAGCAAGTGCTGACTCGGGGTCAGGAAATCTAGGAGAAACAAATTGAGAAGCAGCAACCAGAGGGGATTCGTGATGGTCCTCGGGAAGATGAAGCGACTGCTGTGTAGTCATTGACGCCGAATACTGTTGGATATTCACATTAAATAGATTCACAAGACCTCCAATGTTGTTCTTTTTAGCATCCTCATAGTCACGACGCCAGGCAACGCGCTTGAAAAGACGACGCTTTTGAAGGGTATTTTGGTGTGCATCTAGCTCAATACAGTACGTCAACTGCAGATAGTTGATGGCGTCTTGTACATCATCAAACGAGTTTAAGCGATCAACAAAAGTTCGGATATATATATCAGAATTGATGCGATCGTCAATCTTTAAAATGTCATTAATGAGAGACAAGACTGCCCTTTTTTTAGACTCAATACCAAGAAACTGAGTATTAAGATCAACGATGCGCCACAAGTCTGGCAAGTCTAAAATTCCATCAAAGTAGTCCTTTCTGTACATATAGATAAACGGCACTTCAAACAAATCTCGACGAATAAACCGAACAAGGTGCGTAACTGCAGAAAGCAAAAGTGCTTCGTTTGTCACTGGTGTCTGGCTATTTTGTCGCTCTTTTACCAACAGACGAGTAATAAAAGTAGCCTCAGAGGCCAGTTCTGCATCGTCAAGCGTAGAGACTTGATCAAGCAACTAAGGTGTATTGAAACATGGTGCAAAAATATAACTATTTAATGAAAACAAAGCATAGTATGGTTAAAAACAAATCAAATACATACCTGATATCTCTCAGGAATATCTCGGTTACGAATACGATCATCGTCTTCTGTAAGCATCTTGCTTGCAATTTCTGATGGCTCATATACGTCTGAAAGCCGAACATTCTTTAGTTTGCGCTGCTGCGACTCCATTAAAAATTCATCGTCCTCTTCACCCTCATCATGTTCAATTTCGTCTGGATGCAATGCATATGCATAGTCACCGCCGTCACCAAAAAGCTCCTGAATATCATTCCACGACTCATCCGAAATGCCGTACCCAGTTCCAATATTTTTAGCAAACTCCTGTCGCTCTCGTCTCCGACGGATTTTTTCCTGTCGGACTTCGTCGGGTTCTTCTGGACCATCGAGATCATCGTCTTCAATAATAAAATCTGCAAGATCATCTTCATCGCGAAACCCATCATCACCCCGTTTGCGAGTAGAAACAGTCTCGGTTCCCATAGAGGTGGCTATATCTTCGTCATCATCGAATATGTAATCCACATTGTTTTTGAATTCATCCGCCTTTTTTCGAAGCCGTTTAAAGTTGAAGGATGTGTCTCCCATATTTTCTTTAATCAGATCCAATTCATCATCAGACAATGCCTCATCGCCTTCTACTACTCGAGCTTCAACTGCTAAAAATGAAAACAGTGATCAAATACAATATACGCCAGAAAAAGGCATGGTTAGCTGGAGAAACTCATCAGCAGGCAAACTAGAGGATTGGTGGCATGACTGATCCAATGCAAATCAATTCACCTTGACGTTCTTTTCGAGCACGTTTCCGTCTATGTCGACGACGACGTTTCGCACGATCACTATCACTACCTTCTTCAGCATCTGCATCTTCGTCGTCAGATGCAATAAATTTCTTATCGGCCTCTGTCATCTCTCCTTCTTCATCATCTTCGTCTTCGTCATCGTCATCACTATATATCTACATTACAATAAAGAATGGTTTGGTAAGAAACACTTGAGAAATAAATCAGATAGCAAGAAGTTTTGTGTACATGTTATCCGACACCACCAAGCCGACACTTGAACCATAGCAATTCCAAAGCTCCGAATATAAAAGCAAATGGGTAGTTGGTGAAGCAAATCTGATAGAAAAGATAGGATCATACCTCTGGTCTTGATCCAAATGGACGCGAGATATCTTCACCTTCATCATCGTCCGAGTCAGAAATCTAGTCAGTGTAGGATGACAGAGAAAATAAGTCATACATCATACGAACTATATATGGCATTGGCTGCCAATATGCCAGCAAATAGCACAATAATTAATCCAATACCTGTTGTCGCTTTTTTCTGCTGGATCCGTCGGTATCAGCTACGGCAGTATCGTGTTTTGAGTCACTGTGTAGAGAATCATCATCATCGTCTTCATTGGAATACATAATTGGCTTTTCCAAGGAATTGGTGGATGCAGCTCAAACTGGACAAGTGACCAAATTCAAGTCCTGTAATTAATAGTAGTTGTGCGACCACAAAGTAGCGAATGCCTTGAATATTGTTAGAAAATCGATGGCAGTTTAAGCAACTTATTAACGCATGCAGTGGTCAATATTCATGATTGATACAGAGTAAACATATCCAAAAGTAGTTGATGCATAAGTGTCCAAAGCTTCAATCCAGATGGTGTAGTCAATTTTTCTTAAAGCATCTGCAATAAGAATAGATTTATATTCTAAATGGAATCTTTGATCCTATAAACTTTGAAAGAAATAATGATAGGAGCAGTAGTAAGTCATACCCAACGTCACTTGATTTGCAGTTGCAGTCAAACTTGCAGGTCGCAGCCTGCAGATCGTTTGGTCTAAAAGTGAAATTTTGTATTCACGTGTTATCACGTGTTAATATACGCTTAACCACCATTAAGTTGTTGAATGGCCAGTCAATTCAAGTTTATTGGCTGGACATGACTACGTGATTGTTAATATACAGAATCTTGTTTTGATATTGATAGAATTAAAAAACCTGCTTTAAACTCCAATTTCAAGTAGATCTCAGCAATGCAAGCATGAAACTATTCAGTTGCAAGTATTGCTAATTCACCAGATTTCATCAAAATATGCTTATATTTTTAAATTCACTCCTGTAGATCCAAGTCCTAACTAGATCACCATTACATCAAGGAAACAATGGACTCAAAGTGACTGACGTAATGGATAGGTACAATAGTGATATAAATCTGGACGAATATACTTGTCAGATGAAACTCAAAAATCACCATAATCAAAGTTTTTATAGTACAATTCAACCTATTGCTTGTCCAAGAATACCAAATCCAACAAGGATTATCTTAATATATTGTTTGAAAAACACTTGTCGCATTTTAACAGAGTTGCAGTGCACATAGTGGTTTGTTGATTATTTCTGATCTTTATCTGAAGGTGGGACATATACAGGAATAGACTGTAAACACCAAGAGCAGGATTAGATTATCAGCTCAGTTTGATACAGCAAGTCATTGTAGTAAATATCTAAAAGATCAATCACCCACCAAGTCAGGTTTGAGCCCCGCATCAGTGAGCATGACTCCTAAAGATAGCACAAGTTTCAAGATTAGCGTATAAACTATTCTATGGATGCCTTCAATCAAGACAGGTTGGATCATTGATGGTTGTTCAACCATTCCTTAATCCTCAAAATCAACCAAACTTGCCTGTGACAATCCCAGTCATGAGAGCAAGCGCATTACGCATATAGCTGACCTTGAATCCCCATGGACCAAACATACAAGTGATATGTATTCAAACTGTACTGGAATAAAAGCTACAATTGTATTCACGTAAAATGAAACACTAAAGGTGTCAAAATACAAAAAACAGTCAATTTCATAAAATGGTGACAATTTACTGAACAATTGTGCTCTCTAAACTTGTCGATAAAACTACAAATTCGCAAATCCAACATGGTCTGTGACTGTTTAGCAGTAGCACCTCAAAATAAAGCTTCATATCTCCCATTCTTAAACCTTGCTGAATTACTTTAATAAAATGGATTTGTTCAGCGTGCGATCTTGGACACTGAGAATGTCTATTCAAGTCGATGTGTAATAGGAAAGCAATCACTACTTATTCCGAAACAGTCGCTGCAAGATATTCTATTTTACGTGAATATAGTTGTAAATTCAAAAGAAAAAGTATGCCAACAACCATTCAAATCTACCATCAGATTGTATGAGAATCATACATATATTACCCAAGTCGAGTGCTGGAGTTGCATTCAAACGCCTTTACTCTACCACCGTTCATTCCAACACTGGTTCAATATCTCATACTCATCTTCCTACATCCCGCAATCCACTCACTGTCCAGCAGAAAGAGCATGTTGATATGATGCTTCGTGTAGATCAAGCTGGCGAAGTAGGTGCCAACTTTATCTACATGGGTCAAATGGCTATACTTGGAAAAGATCCTCATTTAAAGAAAGTCATTGGGGATATGTGGGAACAGGAGAAGACTCATTTGAGAGTATTCGATTCGATTCTATCAGAAAATAGAGTTCGTCCAAGTATATTGCGACCACTATGGGAGATTGCTGGGTTTAGTCTAGGTGCTGGTACTGCATTACTGGGGAAAGAGGCAGCAATGGCTTGCACAGAAGCTGTTGAAACTGTTATTGGGGAGCACTACAACAGGCAAGGCTTTATCTAAAACACAATTGTTCTAGTTGACCCTATAATCAAAGACTCGGATCTTAAGTCAATGTATTAACTTGCTGTCATGATCTGATTGGAACAATAGTCAAATCAGAGAACTTGTCTTGCTCAAGCCAGATGTTGAGGTCACCAAACTGACCGAGGCAAGTACAATGCATCTGTATTGCCACTTATTTTACTTGGCCAACTCATTAAGCTTTAACTATTGTATGGGTAGGTTATTCGGCAGTTTCGAGACGACGAATTGGAGCATCTGGAAACAGCCTTGGATCATGAAGCCAAAAAAGCACCTGCATATCCTATACTCACAAATGCGATCAAGACGGGATGCGGTGCAGCAATCTGGATTGCATCCAGATTCTAACAAAGTGCATGCCCTTTTGTATAAATGAAGGTCACTTCACATTTGATTATTGATACGATCCCATACAATTTAAACTCGTGCCAGCTAGACAATGCATTGCGGATAGTATCCATTTGGCTGTTAAATCTGCTCATAAGCATCAATCTGTTGATAATTGGCAATTGTAAATATATTTCTCATGATTGATCCTGTGAGTCAGGAGAGGCTTTCAAGGCAGCAGCCTTTTTCAATGCAGCATTTCGTCGAATAATCTCCATTTGTTGACCAAGTTCTTCATGTGAACTAGGTATTTTCTATAAAGTCGAACAACATGGCATAATTGAGAACTCAGCAAGAATCACAAGACAGTCCATGTACGAGATATTAGCCAGACTTACAAACATGACTTTTTGGTTTTCTTTGCGATCTAAATCCAGCTCATCCTATCCATATTGTAAAATAATGTAGAGTACAAGTGCAAGATTGATTACAATCGTTTGACACAAATTAGATGATACTGAGCTGGCAATAGTGTTTTGAAGCCTTTGCTGTGGTATCTTACCTGAGTAGAAGGAAAGTAGCTCATGATTTCAGGTTTGTTATAGACATATAAAACACCCACTGGAAACATGATATAGAGTCCAAACTTGAGCACCTCCAGATTGATGTTGATGCGAGGCATGCTGCGCAATGAGTTGTAATGAAATCAACCAAGTTGAATCCAATTGAAAATTTGGTTGATTTCAACACAAGCCAATAATGAATTTCGAAAATGATATTTACATGAGTTGCTATTGGCATGTTCATCACTTGTAAATGTGTGCTATTTGGGATCATTCAGACCAGTCTAGTCTACACATACACTAATTTTTAACAGCAATTATTCTGATTTTTTAAATAATTCAAAGACTAGAAATCTATTCAACAGTTTCTAATATTCTGAAATGAATGCTTCAATGACTAGAGAATCAGACTGCTAAGCTTGAATCAATTTGAAATCAAAAATAAATTTTGTCCATTCATCAGCAATCAACGTCTACAGCCGTATTCACGTAAAATGGAAATGAAGCACGAGTCAGAGCGTATGCCTGAGCCATCAGACAGCCAGATTGTCACTGCATCTCAAGAAACCTATGCATTACTTCAGGAATCTCTTTGCTCGGCAGAGAACCCACTTTCTAAGCGGTTTCGAGCTCTTTTTACTCTCAAGGCGCTTAAAACCAACCAAGCAGTCGATATTATTGCTCAAGGTGAATTTATGCAAGAATACTAGTTGGTTTCCTACAAGTTGCAGTAGGCATGCATTCATTGAATTTGTTTCTCGATTTGTATGATGTGAATGACTTGCTTCACTACCTTTTATCCAACACAATTAAACCTGCTTAATCCAATTAATGCATTACTTGATCCTATTTAAATAGCATTTGTCGATCCTTCTGCTCTTCTTAAGCATGAGCTTGCATATGTTCTTGGTCAAATGAAAAACTCTCATGCCATTCCATACCTAACTCGGGTGTTGAGAAACATGCAGGAACAGCCCATGGTCCGCCACGAGGTGATCGGATATAATCGAATCTGTACCAACTTATAGGCCTGCTGTACAATTATGTTTTTAAAATCAATGACATTCAATTTGATTGCAAATACTAGGCTGCCGAGGCGCTTGGTGCGATTGCAGATCCGTCTGCTTTGGAAATTCTGCAACCTTTTTTGAAAGATGATGTCGTGGAGGTACGAGAAACAACTGTGCTTGCTATCGAGAAAATCAAATATGAAATGAGCAAGGCTGAAAACAACGATGTCTCTGAGGAAGATTCCTGGTGAGCTTTTAACACTTTGTCAAGTTCTGAATTTGAGTTTGAATCTGTATTAATATCTTGATTCAAGTATGTACTCGTCTGTAGATCCTGCACCTGCAGCTAAACATGCCCATTTATTGACAAAACAACTTCGTGAAACCCTTTTGGATGATAACAAGTCTTTGTTTGAACGATACCGTGCCATGTTTGCTTTGCGTAATCGGGGCAACTCGGAAGATGTACTTGCTCTTGCTGATGGTTTTGCTGATAATAGTGCCCTGTTTCGTCACGAAATAGGTAAATATTTAGTTACATTTGATGGTTGTCAATTATTCAAGTCTGGATGTGTTGAATGTTTACATGTAATCATAGCATATATTTTTGGTCAGATGCAGCATCCAGCAAGCATTCCCTCACTTATCAAAGTGCTGTCAAACACTTCTGAATCTGCAATGGTTCGCCACGAAGCTGCTGAAGCACTTGGATCGATTGCTTATCCCGAATGTTTTCAAGTGTTACAAAAGTTTGTCAATGATCCGGAGCAAGTCGTTCGCGAAAGTTGTGTCATTGGATTAGACATGTTAGAGCACGAAAGCTCTGGTGAATTCCAGTATGCAAATGGCTTGGGACAATAAATAGCATTTATTTCAGCACTACCCTTTTTCGATCAACTGCAGCAGCGCATTGAATGGCTGAGATGTGTTGTAACTAGCTTTCAAAATGGTATACATGTATTTTAAAATATATACGCTAATCCATCAACCGAGTGTTTCAATATCTCATCCAAAATAATGCACAATAGCCCACAAGATCAGACATGTTCCTGCAAGTCCTCCATACAAAATCCACTGATCAGCAGCTGTTCGTTGCTCAATAAATCTAATTACTGAAGATGACAAGCCAAGTGAATTTGCGACATCTAACAGTCGTTTTTGTGTAGATTTAAGCATAGATCGTTGCTCATAGAGCTCATGGAGAGCGTTTCGACCCATTGTAAGATACTGCTCAATACTTTGTTCTGCACCCTCAAGAACGTTGCGTTCATTAATGAGACCATCCATCATGAGAATTGTGCTTTGCTCTTCAGGATGATTAAAGTGGTTTGCACCACTGTTTCGTTGTTGCTGATGAAAAGTGTAAAATTGAAATACCGAAATAAATGATGCGCTCAGATTCGGTGAATTTAAAACAGTCTAGGTTGATACATACCAATGAATTATCCAACCCTAATAGCTCTTGTCGTTGTTCCGAGGCAATCTACATATCATATCAATATTTAGAATAGCTGTACAAATTGAATCAATTACTTTGGCAATCTTGTTGCCATTCTGCTAGAGTTGAAGACTTTAATGAGTGCAATACATGCTCACCCGTGCACTCTCTATGCTACAATATCGATCAAATGCAGATTGGATCTGACAATGCTCGTCTCGCAATGTTGATGCTCGTCTGTAATTTCAAATCAATGCAGTATCTATGTTAATAAACAAAAAACACAATAAACGTATATCTTGGAAACATTTAAAGTTTATAAATTTGGTCATGAATATCAACCGCATACAGCTGCACATAAAATAGCCTACTCAGCATTGATCCAATAAATGAACTGAATATTGAAACGTACCCAGATGTGATCTCCCGTTTTACGGAAGTAACTTCCCGCCTTGAAAGCATCTCCAAATCATCAATAGATCTCTGTAGATTGTTCAGTCCTGCCCTAACCTTGGCTGAAGCAGATATATTTGAAGATTGAATTACGATTCAGAATGCGTATGTATCCAAGAAACGGCGCAATTAGCCAATTCATATCATATAAATTCAGAAATTGTATGAGTGCTAGACACTAATAAATGCAGTTGTCAATTGCAGGAAAATTATAGCACATATGCCAGACTTGGAATGCCACCCTGTGTAGAGATATGCATGGTTTCACAACTAGAAGCAAATGGGCTTTACATACATTGAAGAGCAGGGGATCCCTGCCCTGAATCCAAAGTGGATATAAAATGATGTAGTTCAGTCTTTAGTTTTATAGCATTGGAGTACACAACTGTAGCACTCATGGCTCTGGCTGGTTGGTGAAGAATGTCTGGTAAAAGTGCGGTTTACTCAAACGAAACCATTACAACGCGGTGCAAATCCACTCAAGAATCGACATTGTTGGAATCCCACGCTGCTTATGCACTCGCTCTATTTTCAGGAATAGCGCTGTTAAAGTACTGTTTTATTTGAAATAGTGTCAACTGAATTGGTTTATTGATCCACTCCTGGTGGGGGTTTGGATCTAGACACCACTGAAAATGTAATGCTGGAGATTGGCTTCTTGGTTGTTGGATCTTCCAGCAATCCTTCCAACACATTTCCTGGTGCAATCGGTCCAACTCCCTCTGGTGTACCTAAATATATTGCCACGAGTTAACCAATATACGTCTTACATGTTTACTATAAATTAATTGTACGTGTACCAGTAAGAATGACATCTCCTTTTTCTAGTCGCATAACGGTACTAACATGGCTGATCAGTTTAGGAATTCTAAATTCATCAGTTCACATAGTTAGCCTTGTTTCTTGTTCAATATATTTGACAATATAACAAATTCATGCGATCTTCAACACATCATATCTGGCTTGCCTGAATATCATATCCTTAGTAGTCCCATTTTGCTTGACATGTCCATCGACCTGTTTCATTCACAATATCAAAAGATTAATCATAAATGTATATGCAACTGAGCTAAAAAATGCATTCGTCAATCACAAGCCATAAAAGGCATTACCTTGAGACTTAGATTCAGATTTGAATGGTCCTTGACGTTTGATACGGGAATAAAGTCGCCCACTGGTGTAAATGTATCGTATCCCTTGGCTACTGTCCATGGGTATCCTTTTTTCTTGGCATCATCCTGCCATCCCATATAGATTTGGATAAAATTATCAGATAAAATTAAAATGATTGGAATGGATGCTGCATAGATCTACCTGCAAGTTGCGAGCAGTCATATCAAGCGCCAAACAGTATCCTGCAATATAAGACTCGGCAGCAGTTTCTGGAATATCCCTGCCATCTTTACCAATCACAACTCCAAGTTCAACTATCAAGCAGTGATTCAGATACAGATTCAGATTCAGCACTACATTGTTTGCAATAGAATTCTGTAAATAAATGGGTGCATACTTTCATGATGGACAACAGTGTTGTGGGGGATCTCAATAGACCCAGGTGATTGCAAGTAGGATGAGGTTGGCTTGATAAAAAACATGGGTTTGTCTGGTACTGCATTGCCGAGCTCCTTGGCATGCTGCCTTGATGTATATAAAGTTAGTATCCTATACACACACAAGTCTAACAACATTTGCTTACGCATAATTGCGACCAATGGCAACAATCTTGCGACCAGTCTGCACAAACGATCTTGCACTCATGATGCTGGATTAGTCAATCTACCAAATGCGATAATTTGCAGTTGGACAAGATTGAAATAGATTTGCATTCATGACTGAATCCAATCACTAGTACATTTATGCTTAAATTCAATCACTAATTCATGTTTATTCAATAGTATCAACATTCACTTGGTATCCTTTAAAACTCTTTAATTCATTGCATACTCGAGCGATGCTCAACTAAGCGCGCTATTCAATAATTGGAACCGCCAAAATAACTGCAAATATTCTTGTCGCTATTGAATCCATTTGAACCATCAATACGAGTTACAATTGTAGTGGGTCATCAGAATGGATCGTCCATTTCAAATAGAAAGCAGTCCCATTACTTTACATTCACCATTGCCATCTAACAAGCCATCCTGTTTACACCGACTATCCACATCTACAAACCAGATTGAAGTTGATCAAGTCACTCGAGTTCCTTGGCCATCACCCGCATCACCCGCATCGTCTGCATCATCATCGAAATCAATTATATCAGTACATCGTCATCAAATACATTCATCAAATGATATGTTTCTTGATATATTGGATCAAGTCATGATGTCGCCAGAATCAATGGCAGCAGGAGAATTATATACTGCAGCCAATCGTATTACTCAGGAACTACAATCAAGCAATATGAAATAGAACTATAATTTCAAATTCCTGTTGCTGTTGCTGTGTATATTCAAATAAAAATCATCGCATTGTTCAAATAGAAATAAATTTGTGGCTTGAATCTTGCTATAAAATAAACCAAATCGGTTTTTGGTGCATACATAATTGCTGTAAATTCAATCAACACCACAAACTGTCATCAGCCTGTCTTTTGCATATACTATTGCAAGGCTATTGCTTGATGTATAAAATGGTTTATTGCAGCTAAATGAAATTTGAAATATTCAAGCTGGCTGGACAATAATAAAATACCCCAAATGGGTAGATCTGCCCTGTAATAACCAAAAATGACATCAATTCAAAAAATAGACATGGCCTCATCTTGTTCCAACCAACGACAGTATATACAAAATACAAAGATGCAGCAAAACGGAAAAAAACAGGTTTAAATGGAATATAGAATTTATATGGATTTGTAGGTTACCCAGTCGTTTTGAATTACCCAGCGACCATCAGATCGACGATGCACAACATGACGGGGATACTGACCGACTTGAACATGACCATCAGCAGTCATAATATAATCGCAGCGTCTAGGACGAGATCCACTAATGGGTCCGCGAGTACCGTCAGCAAAAAAGTTGACAATGGGATACTGTGGCTTATTATTGGTAGCATTGCTATGGTGGGTATTGATCGATGTATCATCATCGTCATTGAGCATACTTTCAGAATCATCAGAATATCCACCATCATGTAGAGTCCAGGTGTCGATATAGTGCCAATCAAGCAGCTGCAGTTCCTGTTCAGTGATCACCTTTCGGTGTAAATCGATCTGAGCAGCAAAATAACTTGCTTTCCACTTACTAGCGCAGGCTCCACAGACAGCATGAGAAGGAGTAGATGCAGTGACTTGTGACTTTAGCACATGAATGTCCTCGGATTCGAGCTGAGGAGGCATGTTAGCTCCACGACCCTTGAGGATATCTTTACACTCGCTCACGCTGAGTTTATCAAGTAATGGGCCATAAGCATAAAAGGGAAAGAGACGAAGAGGCAAGTGTCTCTTGCTGCTCCAAGATTGCTTGCAGAGCTGTTTCCAAAGAGATTCGTCATGACTGAGTTCCCAGAGTAAGGAGCTTAAACTAGATGTAGTGAGGAGATCTTTAGCAGAGAGAAAACTGAGAGTGAACAGAAGAAGCTCCAATGGTAGAGTGGAGAGAGGGTCGGTTGCTGTCAGACGAGAAGACTTGTTGACAGTAAAGGGCTTGAAAGACTCCAGATAGGCTTGTTGTGTCATGGGCTTGTTTTTAGATGACCAGGAGCGAGAGGACGAGACTCTGCCGGCTCTGGTCATGGTGAGCATTAGTGTAAGAGCAACTGCAAGGGCTGTGAAAGAAACAGCAAGCAGGTAGACTGCACCAGGATTGACGGAAGTAGAAATGGTAGTGGTGAGTGATTGGATGTCCAGAGATAAGCTAAAGAGCACTATGCTTGGTGTTGCAGTGCTTTCATCCGTCTTGGCGGTAAAGTTGGATCATCTCGACCATTTTCCACTCATCTCCATTCTGATGCCATGTGTCGCAACAGTTGGTTCAGACACTCCGACTCACTACCATTAAAATTCAACTGTAAACGAGCTTCAGTTTTGTCGCAGTAATCTACTGCAATGAATAATCTTCCATTGAATCATAATTGTGCAATTTCAAATTTTTAGAAGAATAAACGCAGTATCATCCACAAGATACGCAAGTAAATAGGAACCGTATACATGGGCGATAGCCAGCATCCAACTATTTTGGCCCAGTCCTTTGGGTCTGGTATAACTCTTTTCTCAATCTTATCGAGAGGTTGAGGATCATTTACTCCAACCTCGACAGATGGAAACTCTCCCTCGGCATAAAATCTCTCCATCAACTTGTCCTTGTACATAAACCGCTTTCGCACCCATTCGGAAAACACATGACGTCGAGCTTCGACTATTGGGGTAAATGCTCCAGATTTTGCTGCTGCAGTGGTCGCACTTTGCTTAAATGCTGGATCTAGCGCAAGTGTCTCGGCTGTCAGTGCACCATCAAACCCAGGCAAAGTATTGATAGGGAAGGATTGAATATGCATATGAACTGCAGGAGGATATTTCTTGGAGAAAAATACATTGCCAGGCAGATATTCTTCATACGGAATCTGTTCGGCACTCAATGCTCCATATCCAACTGTCACATCAAAGATTCGATCTACTTGTGGGTACAAGACATCACAGCACATGAATAGCCCTGTTCCTTTGGGAAGAATAACGTATTCTGGATCATCCGGTATATCCGTCTTTTTGGCATACGATCGACTGACTTCGCGATTATTCGGTGTATTGAGAGTGCCTTCTGGAAAAATAACGAGCATCATTGGAAGATTGGGTGCATCGGTTTTCTGTCGAGACATGATGTTCACAATGTTTCGATGGTCAACAGACAATTTACGATCAAGGAAGATAAACTCAAACATGGCCATACTGACTCCAAAAAGAGGGAGGTATTTCAGTACAGACATGAGCATGATCTTGAGATCTGCATGATGATTGGTAAGGCGAGCCAAGCACCACAGATATGCCCCTGTATCATTTAGTTATACAATCATATAGTATTAGTCCAGTGCTCCAACCTTGACTTGTGCAGACACGGGCTAGAATAATATCAACAATCCCAAAAGCTCAATACATACAATCCACATAAATCTGATGGTTTGACATGAGAATCAGTTGTTTTGTATCTTTAATCGCCTCAATATCACCAGTAATCACCAGCGTAGCAGGAGCAAGCGTATTCACTAGCATAACAACCGAAGATCCAAAAATAGACTCCAAATAGCGATTATACCACTTGTACATGTTGTATGACGTGCGTTTGAGCCATATCTTATCAGCTGGCTTGAAAATAAATAGTAATGGATAAGGTCCGTAAAGAATAAAAAGAGAAGGCAGCTGAAGGAGAATAATGCAGCAGGCAGTGTAGAAAACCAGTACGATAAAGAGAGCAATATTGGTAAAGAATTCTTTACGAGGGACCTTGGGTTTGGATTTGGGAAGCTGGGATATGGGAGAAATGCCAGCGAGTTTAGAACCATTTGTGGGTTTGGCTGGCGGTATGCTTTGCTGATTGTCGGTAGCAGAATCAATAGAGTCGGCCAGAGATTCGTTGGTGACAACAGCACCAGTATCTTTGGATTCCTGGACCATAGGCGCAGTATCAAGAGTGTTTGCAATAGACGACATGACAAGGAAAAGCCAAATGGTTTGCTAATGCAAGATTTCTCGAGTAAACACAAATTCAAACGACTGTCTGTTGCCCTCAGGCTTCATGACTAGCCTGCCAACTCCATGAGTTTCAAGTAGATCTCAGCACAATCTATATACACAATAAAAAGCTCAAAGTTCATTTCAACAGCCCTATCTCGATGTGGGTGGCATTTCCCCATGGGATTTATCGCTTCCAGGAGTCGTACCAATCGTTGACCGTGCTGGTCGTTCACGGTGAGTATCAACTGCAGCAATATCCAATGCAAACCGCTCTTCCTCACACCCATATGCTTTGGGTGTCAGCTTTACAACCGTGTGCAATGGCACTTTAATATAAGGTAGCTCCTCGTGGGAAATATTAAGAAAATAAGCATATACGCATCGAAGAACAGCTTGATGGCCAATAATCAAAATGGAATGATTGGGCTCATGATGTCGTTCCAATTCAAGAATGACTGGCTCTAAACGATGAACAAGATCGCGATAAGATTCTCCGCCATGATAGCGATAGTTGAATTTGTCAGTATCTCGCTCAGCAAAATCGGCTGGGTATTTGAGTTCTATTTCTGCATAAGTCAAGCCATCACACAGTCCAGAATCAATCTCATCAAGCTGCTTCCATTGCACCTTGGGAAAATTGAGGTGCTGTGCAGTTTGTTGTGTTCTACAGCACACAAGTTATATGGGTTAAAATAAAATGAATTACCAAGCCATTCTACAGGACTGTACTCACCTGCGAAGTGTCGAGGTCCAAATGGTCAACTGAGTCTCCTTGCCCAAGTTTTGTTGAATAATATCTGGAAGTTTTTTTGCAAACTGTGCACCTCTCCATGATAGATCTGAATCGCCCCCAATCCGCTGTGAAACGTTAAACATACTTTCTCCATGTCTTGAAAAGTAAAACGATCTTGGAGTGGTATTCAAATTCATGAGAAAGTAGACAATGCGAGAATGAATGTATCCTCGAATCCTGTTGACAATAACTTGATTTCCTACATTAATGAGTTTTGCAAATGCAATACGGTTGTCGAGTTCGCTTGGATGTAGAGTTTCATAGGTTTGCTCGTAAAACTTGATACGATGCTGAAAATCCTCAATGGCCTTCTTTGGGTCAGTGTCTTTGTAGTCTGGGGATGAGATCTTGACCTAATCATGCCAACAAAAAAACAAACCGGTTAAGCCAGATCTCAAGTAAACCTGTCGTGGATAAACACATATAGATGTCATGAGTTTAAATAACGTCCATTACCTCGCGAATATTGGCCATAATCAACTGCTCGTCTTCACAGATACTCTCAACAAACATGACATCAACGCCTCGTTCACGACATCGTTGGGCGATCAGACTGCGTCGTTCAATAGTAGAGTTTGTTGCATCATACATGGCAACACATGCGAATTCACCAGTTGCTTGAGCCAAAACAGGCCCATCAGGCTTTGGCGTTTGCACTACTGAGCTAGACTTTTTCGTTTCTTTATTTGAAGAAGCTTTTTTGGCTGCTTGGATGTCATAGTGCTGCTGAAAATTAAGTGATCCACTTTCAACTCCGTCGCTAGTGGTATCATCATCTAGCCAGTTTAGCATATCATCAAGAGCAACCATAGCCAGCTCCATTCGTTTGCGAGAATGGTCCTCGTTACTAGGATCAAAAAATGAGCTGGGCTGAGCAACGCCAATAGCATCTCTTCTGTATGCACCCACATTGAACAGTCGAGACCTATGGCCCAACCAAGTAAGGTATCTGGCTACTTTGCGTGCAATATAGGTCTTTCCACTAATATATCATCATCAAATCTGTTATAAACACAGAGCAGACTATTACATAGTATAGGTCAAGGCAATCTCAAAATATCCAAAGCAATAAGCCGCAAAATTCAAGTCAATTACAACTGAACTACATTGGCAATGAGCAACACATTGGAGATATCACAGGATTTATTACATACCGAGCAGGTAGGCCCACCATAACACATGCTAATTTGCAAGATGGAGCAGCAGGCTCTACTGAGGTAGGCTTGGAAGTATCAACATTTGGCTTTGGTCTAGATGAGGATATTGACTCGGAAGTACAAGGAGCTGAATGCGATGCAGTCGAGTCGGTAGCTATAATAAGACTAGGATTAGAAGGACTCTCCTGGGATGGCTTGGCAGTATCTGCAACAAAAGTAGAATGGCTTAGTTGTTCCATTGAACTAGAAGATAAAACCGCAAATAACTATTTGATGTCGTTTTGTGGCTGAGGATTCATTGTATAATCTGACCCACCGCTGTATTCACGTAAAATAGACCATATCTTGCAGTGATTGACTATGAAATAAACAATAGTTTAGTATGTGTTGTTTTTCCAGTACATATTGACTTGAATAGACGTCCTCAACTCGTCGGTGTCTGGAATTGATTGACACAACCTCATTCCTTACTATACTCGAGTCATTTATGCTGGGTTAAAAATCGACAACATGGAGTAGTGTAGTGTAGCTCCAATCTGCGCGCCGTTTGTTGAATGCTTGGTAAACCATATCTGATCAAATAGTTGTTTTGTGGAATGGAATACTGTTTGGAATAACATGCGTGTTTTGGAATGTTGCATGTCATTGTTTAGAAAGTCTTGACAACTTGATCAGTTTTTAAACACACCGACCATCATAGGATACACAACCAAACTATAGTTTTAAACTGGTGTGTTACACCTTGCATTTTTGAGTTTATGGAATCATACATTGTGCGATCATCAGATTCATACATTGCAATCCAGATATTGAATTTGTTTGGATAGTGTCAATAAAATTCTGAACATATTCATTGTTGCCAATCTGTCTGTGACTCAAGAGTTGGTTTTTGTACGTAATATTATCATCAAGATCACTGACATTGTTGACTGATATTTGCGTTTGGAACGTCTCGTCATTCAAGTGTTGATGACCACAGGGTTGTTAAACCATCAATCATTTGATGATAATCTATTATATAAGATAGATATTCATACGTAAAAGGACATATTTGGATGATAAACCAGCATAAACTGTTTGTGAACAATGGTTTCAAGAATACAATCTTGTTCAATAAATTGGCACTAATTCAACATGGGACTGTTTATTATGCATTTTAGCCTTTTTGATGCTCCCTTATGTGAATATGACCGTGTCTAAAAGCTATTCTTCGCACATGTTTAATGGTTGGGATTGCATTTATAGCAATGGCAGTTCCCTACTTTTCAGACCTGATGACTTTTCTTGGCGCCGTAGCCAATACGATGCTGATCTTTGTGTTCCCAGTAGTGTTTTACTACAAGATATTTGGCCTGCAAGGACGTAGTATAACGGAACTGGTTTTTGGAGCTACTATTATATTTATTGGGATATTAGGTGGAAGCATTGGTGGATATGAGTCGTTGATGGCTTTATATCGCGATGTGATGGGTGAAGGTGTATAGGTTTTATCCAACATTGAATGAATCAAGGAGTTTATGATGATTCAGTGAATGGATCAATTGAAGTTTTATGTATGTACTAAAATTGAAACCAAGCCAGATGTTGAATGTATGATTATTTATCAAGTGTTGAACCAGTACAACTGTAACAATTTATGAATGATGATTCAATGCCAACAATTTATGAATGAAGCATTTGATTGATTTGACGTGAATTTGGGCAATCTGACACACATTTGGGCAATCTGACACATATTTGGCCAATTCAACATATATTTAGCTAATTCAACACATTTAAACCATTCAAATTGTTATTGAAACAAGCGCAAACGACAAGACAAGTGATAGTAACGAACAGTAGGAATAACAGGTCGGTGCAGCTACCAGTACAATCTATCAAGACAATGTAAATGTATTTGAATCAATTGGTTGAAAACAGTTTAAATGACTTACTTTTGATGTAAACCAGCAGACAGACGCAGTGGTTTGCAGAACAGCAACTCTTATTACAAGACACTTGCAACTACTACTGAAACATCAATGATCTGGCCATTGATACTGTGGATTGCTACAGCACCGAGTCTAGTCATTGGTAAATCATAGTTGCACATGCATATCAAACCATGTAGTTTGAATCCACTAACATCAACTATGCTATTCAGCGGGAGTTTGTTCGGTCACAGACCGTTTATGCATTGATCAGAAGAACATTGTTCTTGGACAGTCTTTCCCTATATGGTATGCCATCAACCAAATCCCAACATTTCTGGACCAGACTCAGCTGATCCTCACCATGTTCACGGGAAATATGCAGCAAGTGGCCGACCCTTGCAACATTGCATTCCCAGTAGTCATGACATTTGGGTCCCCATTGACATTGGGTGCAGTGGATTCACTTGGATATGCTGGATCATTTATTGTTGATATACCAAACAATGCACAGATCCAGTCCATACAGGCTGCCCGTAACCAATTCTTTTTCCAACTGAGGGACTCGCTGTCAAGAGTGTGTCTGACTGGACCTTATCAGGATGGAGGAACGTTTACATGGGCAACTCTATGTAAGTTGACTGACATGTCGATTGATGACCAATTGTGTTGTGACGATCTTGTACTGACGTTATTGAACCATTGCAGCCATACCGCCAACCACTCCATCCCCCACCTCGGGAAGTTCAGGAACTTCAGGAACTTCAGGCTCGACTAATCCAAACTCGAGCACCGATCATTCACCTTCTAATGGCAACAACAATCATGCCAACCCGCCAAATGAGCCAAACAATGGCAACACTGAGTCTAACAGCACGTCGTCTGGCCTTATTGGAGGCATTGTTGCAGCCGTGGTGCTTGTAGCTGTATGTATTGCAGTCTTTATTTTTTACCGTCGTAAACGCGCAGCCAACCAGCTTTTGTATGGTGAATGCGGCGAAGGATTGACTCCGTTGGCGCTCCGGCGTCATTCGTCCTTTTCGCTTCTCTCGTCCAAATCGCTTGAATCTGCGACTATTGTCCAGCCCAACTTGTTGATGTCTGGCATACGGACTGAAAAAACATCCACCACGTCACTTGTTGGACCCATCTCGTCAATATCAGACTCGAGTAGCTCAAACATGCAAGGACATGTTTTACCACAGCCTGCAATGTACATTATGAATTCATCCAAGAAGGCTGATACGTTGCGACCAGGTTTGATTCCTACCCTTGCGTCTCAACAATCAGCATTGGGACTGTCAGTTGGATCGTTTGGAACTTCGCCCAAATCATTTGCTTCGTTGACCCATGATCCATCACATCCAATCTACCAAACACAGTCGCTTTCAAAACTAGTTGTACCGTCGCATCATGCCAAGTCTGCATCGTCTACTGGAACGTTGAATGTACCTTTGGCATCGGCAGAAGATTTTAATCTTTCGGCAACATCAGGGTTTTCATTGCAAGATGCACGTCTGATTGCAGATGCATTTAGACAAGAACTTGCAGATCCATCGCATGACTGGGAAGCACGATCCGAAACTTCGTCGCCTAGCCGTCCCTCCGACGACGATATCCAGTATGCAGACGTTGACGATGAAAATCCATTTGGAACAGGCAGTCGCCCAACAAAACGAGACGACAATGCATGATGCAACACAGCAAATATGTATGATATAGACGCTTTTATATATTGAATTTACAATCAGGGTTGATATGCACAGTCGATTATCAAACAATAGAGGTTAATCGAGTGCATGGCGTCTGTCGTGTTTGTGAATATTTTTTGTATGTCTAATTGAGTGTTTTCCTAGTCATGAATCAAGTTTGATGACTGTTTTTGAATAGTCAGCCACATACCCTTTATTGATTTGGAGTTTTTTGACTTGATCCAGTTTTGCTAGCTCAACCGTTGTAGTAGAATATTGGATGTCGTTTTGACTTTTAAAATAGCCATTTTTTACTTTTTGGTTACCTGTAATCTACTCTTTATTTTGAAATGGACTATACTGTTACCCTATGCGTACAAGACTAGTAATTGAATAAACACGACTGTCTATTTAATTGGTGCTTTGTATTGTCATGCGCAGTTGTATACTTGATTAATGCATGATTCAAGGGTTTTTATTGGGTCGCATCTGCCAATATAACAAAATCATTGGCTTAGATACCAGATGAGCTATAAAACAGACTCGTCTACTTGTAGCATTGAAAATCTGGGCTCAACATTCAGAAATGAGTACACAATGATCTGGTATTAAGATTTTAAATATAGAAACCAAACAAATCCAAGAGTCAGTTTGAATAGAATCCCATTTTATTGATATGGTTAAAACAGTCAGCAACTAAACTCGGCTAGGCAGAAAATTGCATATCAGTATAGTTTTGTAGTGACCCGCCACCAGTCTTTCGAAGAGCATTGACACGCTTGATTGGTGTTTCAACTTCATTATGTCCCAGACTGGATCGCTTGCGTTTAGATCGTTGAGACTCGGAAACTGCTTTACTCGATTCTTCAAAAGTACCCCAGCCTATATACAAATCATTAGCCCAGTCAAAATAAACATGATTTAAACAAGATATTCTATTACTTGCCTCCACCGCCAGGAGTGGAAATACGAATTCGATCGCCGCGCTTTACTATGGTCGAGTTTTTCCCGCCAAAGTTAAGATGACGGTACTCCCGAGATCCATCACTCAAGGTTTTTCCAGCGCGTAAAAGTATATTTATGGCAGCTTGACCATCCTCGCCCCCATTTAAACCGTATGGGCGAAACACTCTACGCTCGGAAAGTATTGACACCTGCAGTGTTTCCAAAAATTCAATCTAACCACAGCATACACATGGTTAGTCCAGAGTAGATTACCAACAAGACTACCACGACAGTAGAAATATACCTCACGAATGATACCATCTCCGCCATGATAAAGTCCGTTGCCTCCAGATCCACTACGAAGTCCAAATTGATGCAAAATTACAGGGTATCTGCGCTCCATAATTTCGGGATCGGTAATGCGAGTATTAGTCATGTGAGTATGAACACCACCTGCAAGTATTGATTTAAAATAAAACATTAATGCGTATAGACTTTGTGACAATACTATAAAGTATACAAAAAATGGTTTGACAACATACTTCGTCCATTCCAAGTAGGTCCTGCACCTGCACCGCCAGCAATCGTTTCGTAGTACCCAAACCCATCTTCAACTTTACCCTTTTCACTTTTTCCACCCATTCCAAAAGTAAAGTTGTTGCAGCATCCCTGTGAAGCGGCACACGCTTGAAACGCCTTGAGAATCACATCGCATAATCGCTGGGAAGTGAGCACGTTGCCGCCCACCACTGCTGCACTTTCAAATGGGTTCAGCATGCATCCTTCTGGAATGACAACATTCACAGGTGCAAGCGCGCCTTGGTTCAGCGGCATATCGATATTAATCAGACATCGAAGACAGTAGATGATGGCACTGTAAGTAACAGATCGTGGAGCATTGATATTTCCATATACCTCAACACCCGTGCCATTGAAATCAAATACAGCAGATCCACTTTGTGAGTCAATAGTAATTTTCAAATGAATAGGAGATCCATTGTCCATATAATCGACTGCTTCAAGCACATTGCCATACTGCTTGGCTGTAGTACGAAAAAGATTACGCACAGCAAGCTCGGCATTCTAATCATTCCCAAAAATGTTGAATGTAATTTAATAAGTTATCAGGGTAGACTGCATGCAAGCAAATACCATAAATTACCTCTCTGATAAAACCCATATATGCTTGAACAATATGAATTCCTGTAGTTTCAGATAAAAATTCCAAAAAAGACGAGTCAGTTGGTTTATGGAAATGCGCCTATACAATGCAAATAGGCAAGTGTATACGTTCGTACCATATTCCTTGATTAGGCTTGAAACAAGAGTGATGCCTTTGTGATTGGCAGCAACTTGGGCTGTGTTTAAAAATAAATATGTTATTTGAAGGCATTCACCCAAATATCCCGCCTTCAAATAAGTACCTTTCAAGTCTGAGATATTATCACGGAGAGCACGTGTACCACTGCATCCCTCGAATTGAGCAGGATCCTCAAGAAGGATTTTGGTAATGCCTGCCTCGTCAAAATGACCATTTTGAACAAGCTTGAAGCTTTTGATGGCGGCACCTTCCTGATACAACTCGCATGAGTTTGGAGGCATGGATCCAGGCTGAATGCCACCAATGTCAGCATGATGACCACGACTAGCAACAAACAACGCAATTTTTTCTTTTTCAAACACAGGAGTAATTACAGTAATCTATCATAAAGTTTAAAAATATCAAATATTGTTTAAAAACGGTTGATACTCGAACTCTATATCATCAAAATACGTACATCTGGAAGATGAGATCCACCAGAAGTTGGATGGTTGGTCACCAAGACATCACCGTCATTTATCTGCCCCTTAAGATGTGTCATTTGCCATCGAACAGCCTCCTGCATCGATCCTAAATGAACAGGAATGTGGGGTGCATTTGCTACAAGACCACCATCAGGTCCAAACAGCGCACATGAGAAATCCAATCGCTCTTTAATATTTGTTGAAATGGAGGTTTTTTGGAGCGTGCGACCCATTTGTTCGGCAATACTCATAAAACGATGTCCAAACACACTTAACAAAATGGGATCGCAAACAATCGGCACAATAGTATCGCCCACGGTCGCATCGTCATTAGATTTCATTACAGGTGCCTCTTCAATAAATCCAACAACATGCTCTGAAGTCACAACGGCTTTGCAATGAGGTTCAACGGCAATTGTAGCAGTGGCATCGATTATCAATGCTGGCCCAGTCACTTCATCGCCCTTTGATAAATGTGAAAGTTGGAATATTGGCGTTTTAACGCGTCCAAGACCTTCCCAGAATGACATGGTCGATGTTGCCTTTTCAACATTGGCAGGATTTCGTTCAAGCGTCTTTATCTCACGATGAACAAGTGTGTGGTTGACAGAAGATCCAGTGGCAGCACTCTTGCCAACACCACGCACACGAATATCGTCTACTTGAATATGTCGATCAGGTAAAGTGAATCCAAACTCCTGCATATACTGTGACACAAAAGTGTCACTAAAACTCCAGTCATCCTGTGCAGATGGCTTGGGAGTCATGATGGCATTGTCTGTTCCTTGATAACGAAGGTTGAGATAGATTTGTATCTGAATATGCGAGTCTTCAAACCCTTGATCCTTTAACGTTTGAGTACACGCTGACGCAAGAAAAGAAGCGCGCTTTTTGATATGATCAAGAGTCTCATTAGACAGATCTATTGCGCTTGGCTCTTGAACTTCATGAACAACATCGGCCAATGACAATCCATATGCAGACAAAATGGACGAGTGGCGATGAATCAAAACCATCTTGATTCCAAGAGATCTTGCAATTGCAAAAGCATGTTGACCTCCCTTTTATATAAACACTTGTATAAGCATTTTACAATGGCAATTTACAATAAAATAATAGAAATGGTCATGCACTTACAGCTCCGCCAAAGCAAGCCAAAATATGGTTGGAAGCATTGTATCCTTTTCCCTCGGTCAATGCACGAATAGGACGACACATGCTCTCATTGGCAACCTTGATAAATCCAAATGCAATCTCGTCTAAAGACATGGGAACGAATGACTTTGCAGAGCGACCATCACTGATGTGTGTTTTTTTGAGAAACGCATTAATGGTTTTTGAAAGTTGAGTAAATGCCTTTTCGGTCGCTGCTGTATCCAGTGGTTCCTTTTCAGATTTTCCAAATATTTTTGGGAAAAACTCTGGTTCCAAACGACCAAGTATAAGATTGGCATCAGTGATGGTTAATGGACCGTTTTTGCGATAGCACGTTGGACCTGGATCGGCACTTGCACTTTCTGGGCTATTGTCAAAAATCCATGTCATTGAATAATATGATAAAGTATGAATATTAATTCAAAATTAAGCTACTTACCCAACAACAAACATGCCATTTCGGAAAAATAGCTGCGAACCACCTCCAGCTGCAACAGTGTTGATATCAAGCTGTGGTGCCTGAATTGTAACGCCAGCAGTAGTAGATTCATAAACGTGCTCGTATCTACCAGCATACCGCGATACATCTGTGCTTGTTCCTAATATTTTAATGTGTTATTTTACAGTATTGTCGTATAGACCTAAGATTTAATAAAACAAAAACCACTATAGTATTGAATCATACCTCCCATATCAAACCCAATCACCGCTTTACTGTTCTGATCGTCCCAGCTAGTCATTGCATAGCCAACGACACCACCAGCTGGACCACTTAGAATTGCTCTAAAACCATTAAAATCATTGACATGTACTAGACCACCATCGCTTTGCATAAACTCGACACGTACTGAAGATGCTGATCGATCAGTGGTGGGGAGAATGCCACTATCGAAACCAGAAAAGAAGCTAGCAATATACTTCTTGATACAAGGAGTAAGATATGCATCAGCAGAGGCTGATGTACCACGAGGAACAATTTTGATCATAGGCATTGTTGCAGAAGAAATAGTGACACTTTTGAATCCAAGTGATTGACACAACTCGCCAAGTTGTTTTTCGTGATCTACAATAACAACTTGACGATTAGATAGAAATTGATGAAGAGCATAATGCTCAAGTGGAAACACAAAATTCAAGTTTTAAATCATACTTGGATAGGTAAACGAGTGCATCAGGCAGATGGCAACACTTGTAATTCCGTCATCAAGAATAGCTTGCAATTCAGATTTGATACTCTGCATATCTATAGAGATTCAAAACGCATTCAAGGATATGCTAAGCTGTACATTTTTAAAAATAAAAATGGTATGCTATTTAAAATATATATACCTGGCTTTTTTAGAATGTGGACCCATTCCCCAGTAACACCTTTCACATAAGATGCGTCATTTGGAGGTATGCTTACATTCATTCCAGATTTAACAGAAGAGTATCCGACAAGAGTAACCCTACAAAAAACACCAATATAAGCAATCCACATCAATAGATGAAATTAGCATATCGTCAGATTTACCTCTCGTCAACCTCAACAACACGTTCGTGCAAAACATTAGGGGCGTTGATGGACAAATCAAAGATGTTGGGACGACTCTGGTTGCCAATGTGAAGTAGATCTTTAAACCCTTTTGTGATCAAAAGAGCAGTTCTTTCTCCTTTTCGCTCAAGCAACTATTCCAATAAAATACCCTGACCAGCGTTAGTAAAAGACTTTGAAAGCCAAAGCGGAGTTGAACCTACAGCGTTTGTTGCAACAGTAGTTCCCATACGAATAAGTTCTGAATAAAGTAATTAGTTATGACGGATATGGTTTCAAGCAACGCCTGATGCAAGTATAAGATTTCGCAATATTTACCAAGTTTCGAGGTGTCGACGAGAGTGCCACGAGGATGTGGGTTTCCAGTAGCCAGTTCTAAAATACGACGAATTCCCTCTCTAGGAGCATCATCATAGTTTGTAGGATCTACAGAAAGAAGTTTAACAACGATCTGCCTAAATCCAGGAGCAGGATTGCAGTCGGGTGAGTCCGGATGAATAGTATGCGGAACAAATGCAATGCAGTCGGTAAAAGTTCCTCCTCTATCGACACACACACGTATTCCAGGAGTTTTATTGATAGCCATAAAATAACTTGCGAGTTGGATGGATTCGAGCTTAGTAAACGCTCGAAATTACTTTTAAAGCAACTATTCCACGTGACTGAATTGATTTTAATGATTTTGGTTTCCAGCTCAAACTCACTGCAAATGTTTGCTTCTACGCTTTTGCCTGCTGGAAATCTGCCAAAAATCATTGCGTTTGTTGGAATTCTTGCTGTTTACAATGGCTTGCAATGCTTTGTTCCGTCCATGAGAATGACTCCTCGAATTTACTCCAAACAGCCTGCTCAAGGTATTCTTATGTATTCTGTAATACCAAGTTAAACATTAACTAATGATTCAATTGATTAGTAACACCATTGATGAGTCGCATGATGGGAACTTGGACAATCACATCCGCTATAGTTCGTCTTTATACTGCGTATAATATGAATGATCGATCGTGAGTGTTTTCTATTCAATCGTTTTGAATACTATAGATCTACTTATTCTGACTATTATCGTTGTAAATCAATAGTGCATACCATATGTGTATGTGGACTTATGTCATTGCGTTGTCTAGCTTTTCTTTGGAAGTATTTGTTTATCGTACTGCACCATTGTCATCGCCAGGTGTTTTTCCAGCAATGATCATTTCATGTAAGCTCTTCAAGTGTATACCATTCATTTGATCTCATGTATTAACTTTCCGTCAAAATATTAGCTGGACTTTTGGTTTCCATGTTTTCATACTATTCATTTTATATTTTGTGAGTGTGATGTTGAATAAAACCAGTTTAAAGTTTATTTTGAAAATAGATAGTCGTACAGATAAGAATCGACAAACTCGCCATCTTTTTCAAGAATATATCCAGATCGTTTACTGTGAGGCTTGAGATAAATCTGGTTGGCTAGTCCGCTTGCATGGGTGTTCTGCATGGCTAATAAAGTATAAATGTTAGTTTTACATGCCAACAGCTCTACCCAACACAAACCATACCATTCAATATTGGAACGATCCTAGCCGAAGACGACAGATCCAATCGTTTGAACACATTGATCTTGTTGCCAATTCTTGCAGCATTCTGAATGGCAACCAGCTTGCCACCTTTAAGGATAGTCACAGTTTTGGCTTTGCGAGTAGCAAAGTAGTGCACCAAACCAGGAAACACTAGCGATGACAGACCACAGATCCCACTAGCGGCCACTCGTTTCAAGGTGGATGATCTCTCATGCGTTTCAACACCTTGCTCATCAGTCTCTGTGTCGGTCATATATGTCCATGCCAGCTCAGCAATATTAAGCCACATGAACATTTGGATGCCTGCTGCAAGATATGCAAATCGAAGCAGTTTGTTATTGTTGCTGCGATAAATGAGAATATCTGACTCGAACGAGGGTGGAGACCAGATGGGTTTGACATGAGTTGTACCAGGAGTGGATCGTTTTAATGGTCTTGAATTGATGTTGTATGTGGGTGTTCTCTTGGTGGGTTTAATAGAGTTGGTGCTATTCCGTCTGATAGCAAACAATGTATTTTTAATGATGGCAGATGGACATTGTTGAGCATATTTTGTCCATCCAGTCATCGCATACATTGATGCATGCAATTTTATACAGTTGAATCGGTTTCTATTTGAATTCTTTATTCAGTTGTATTTGTGTGAAATAGAATATCAAGTTTCGTGAAATAACAGTCAGTTTACTGTACAACATTGTAAACTGTTATTCTTGTAGCGTTGCATTCTTGAAATGTGCAATTGTTTTAAACTAGAACGTGTCTGCAGAATATAAGAGTTTGAGAATAGTCGAATGCAATATCTGAATTAAAATGAATTTGGTGATTGTACAATGTATGGCTATACCAAATATGAACAGCATTGGTTTAAAACTACAGTTTGATTGTGTGCATCATATGATGGACATTGTGTTTATTGAATTTAAATGTTGATTAAACAGCCAATCTGTAGTAGAAAAATGCATCGAATATTTAGCCATTGTTGAATCTCGAGGCAGTCAATGCAAGTGTTTCATTTTATGTGAATACGACTGTACATATTATCATTTTTAAAACTCATTAGTCAGTGGTTTGTTGAACTTTAAAAAGATTAGAATAATGAGTGTTGGACATTTTAAAAGGTCAAGATTAAACCTGCAGCTTATAAATACAACAGCAAAACTACAGCAATATAACGATTATATTACATGTAATGGTTTGAAAGATAACATCTTCAGTAGTATAGTGGCTAGTATCTCCGCCTGTCACGCGGAAGACCGGGGTTCGATTCCCCGCTGAAGAGTTTTTTGCATTTTGATTCAATCAGTTCATTTAACTGTGCTTGTATGATTGGTTTGGATTGGGATCTTGTAGTCACAACAGCACAAAGGTGTCAAAATACATAATAAATGGCCAATTTTACTGAGCAGTATTGTTTTTTTGTGCTCATTCTTGTATAGCTGAATGAATACTTACATTCCTGTTCCAGTGCATCTCATTTGTTCAATCTCCAACTCTCCCTTCATATAAATTAAATATTAAGTGATTGATATGAAAGCACCTGTTGCATTCCCGAGATTGTTTTCTTGAACTAGAGTGTGAACGTGTCTGGGTTTCTAGGATGCAACAGAGCAATGACAGCAAGATAAATACAAGTGTTTTATTTTGCGTGAGTACGGTGGTGACTGCCAGCGGCATATCCATTGTTTCTGCCAGGATATTTGTTTGATCAAACTATTCAGTGGATTCTGATCATGTCACTATAGACCAGTTGTTTTTGTATTGCTTTGAAATGATAGTATCAAACAAGCAGTTGCAGTATTTCAACAACATGATTTTTCTAATATTGTACAATCGGTTTAGGTTAGCGTACAAACTATACAAGTCAAGCAGTGAAACTCGCGTCAGACTAAAACCGAACGAGTGACGTCCTGTAATTGAGTCGAGAAGCAGCAAACACAATCCAGCAATCTTTGTAAAAGAACATCAAGAGTTTAGCCCAAAAGTGGTTGAGTGAATTTCACGTGAGTACTTTACAAACACATGATATACAACTGGAGATAATGATGGACAATTTTTTATTCTCTTCACTCTGATCCCCATTGTCGCTGGCTGTAACATATCTAAACATTCATCAAGCATTGGCAGTTGGAATTTACAGAAATGTCAGATCCATTAACACATAAAGAGCAGCAGCTGTTAGTTGCATTGAGAAGAAACCCAAAAGGATCTGACCAAAACACTCTTTTAACTGCTCTTCCAACTTGGTCGGAAAATGACATTGCGCTTGCATTGAATTCACTTAGTGCAAAGGTCTGCATTCTACTCTGTTGACTGAACTACTATTCCACCCAGCATATTTAATTCACAGACATCACAATTTTACAGTGAATTGAAATATTTTTTGAATATGCAGCAACATGTAGATTTCTTGCAAGGACCAGGTCAAACACTCTTATTTAGAGCCAGAGATGATGAAGAAATATCAAAGTATGTATTATTTTAGTTTCAATGATTGTATTTGTTTGAAAGGACCGTTATAAACCTACTGAATGTCAATTTTTGAACTATTTAGAACTGGATCTATGAGTGACAATGAGCGTATCGTATACCAATTTATTAAAGCGTCGGGGAATAAAGGTACCAATAGTTTACCCATACAACAATGTATATCAATTTTATATTTATACAGTGTTTCCATGTATGAGTTTAGGAACATGGATCAAGGATATTAAAGTCAAATCAGGATTACATGCACAGATTGTCACTCAAATGATCAAGAATCTTGAAAAAAAAGTCTTGATAAAGGCAGTTAAATCTGTCAAGGTAGCGTTTACTTTTGCATGGATCTAAAGTTGAGGTTTAAATATGCATGCGATTTACTTGAACAACACTTGCTAAATTGCATTTTTGAATTTTCAAAACTATTCATGTTAATAGACACCTACGAAAAAAGTATATATGTTGTCAGAACTTGATCCATCAGTAGAATTAACAGGTGGTGCATGGTATACAGATCAAGAGCTTGATGTAGAATTTATTGATCAACTAGCTCACCAGATCTACAAATACATTTGTTCAAAGGTGAGTTAAAGCTAATTGAATACTAATGCATGATTGGTTTATATGAATAATCTAATGCTTTTAAAGAGTTTTCCGCCAAATACGAATTCTATTTTTCCATCCTCGCATCCATACCCGACATGTAACGACCTACACAAATGGATTTCTAAAAGCGGGATTACAACCGTACAGCTTTCACATACCGATGTTCAATCTCTCATTGATCGACTTATATTTGATGGCAAGGTTGAGCAAATTCAGTCTATCCACACTGGCAGCAGTATGGGTCGTCTTGAGATGTTTTCTAACCCTACTGATAGATTAGATAGCGGGGACGAAGATGAGTGGAATGGAGGAGATGAGGATATTTGGGCGTATCGAGCCACTCGAAGTAGTGTGTTGAATGGATCGGTTTGGACGGACGTTCCGTGTGGACGGTGTCCGGTGTTTTCGTTTTGCGAAGAGGGCGGTCCTGTAAGTCCCAGCGGATGCGTTTATTTTAAAAAATGGTTGAGTTTTTAAATTAAAAAAGCATAATATTCTATGTATTTATCTTGAATTGACTATTTTTCTTCAGAATAACAATGCTTAAATACTCTACACATTCTCACTAAAAATTGATTACTTTTTCAACTAGTATTTTCAAATCTTGTGGAATTGTTCAAATTCATTCTCACTATATCAAAGGGTTTAAGCTGGTTTAGACGAACGAGTAGTCATGGTGGATTTTGTAGCAAGGGCAGAAGTCTTTTTAGATTTAATCGTAGATCGAGTGCCATGAACACGAGTATCCAAGGCATCATTAGCCTTTTCTCTAGCAGCGTTTCCTTTTGCCTTTAGTTTCTCCATAGCCAACAGTCTGCGTTTTTCCAAGGACGACACTGCAGGTGTAGCGTTTTCTTTTCCTACACCCACTGCATCCATTGCAGTGTCTTCAACAAGCAGAATGGATTGCACGGTAGACGAGTCGACAGGATTCCCAGGATCTTTGGCTCTAGCCTGAACAAATAGCATACGATAGGCTTTTCTCAGTGTATCAACTTCTTTTGCGTCCATACGTGCATTCAGTCGTTTCACCCATTGCTCGGGTGTTAAATCATAGATGAATTTCCAAGGTGGAGGAATAAATTTGCCTACCGAGGCCAAGCGAGTATCACCATCTTTTCCAAGTAACTCTGGCAATGTCGCACCATTTTTGGATTTGGTTGATAGCCACTGATCAAGTTTAGATACAGACCAAGCCATCGGAGTGAGTTTGGATTTAGCAGATGGTGGTGGAACAAGTGCCGACTTTTTGGGTTTCAAGTGAGATCCCTGAGTGCTTTCATTCGAGTCAGTGGTGAGAGTTGAAGCATATCTGAATGTATTAAGCGAGTGGGATATATCAGCAATTGTTGGTGCAACACATGCAATCATGATAGTTTTTGTTGGCTGTGTATGTGACAAGTCCAATGAGTCTACCATGATGGTATCAAAGTGTGCAAAAGCAAGTTATAATCCAGTTGATTGAGCCGATTTAAAATACAAATTGAAACACATACCTTTCAACAACAAAGTAAGTTTAGAATTACGAAAAGGAATGTATGCAGCGGAATCACCACTACTGCGTTTCCTTAGACACTCTTTCAAAGCCATAAGCGAAGTATTAATCAATGCGGATTCTTTAATGCGATCGACAGAATGGTGGTTTGTATCAGCAGCGCGTTCACTGCCAGCCAGATCCACAAGCTTAATACCAGAAGACACTCCCGAAACACGATCTACGAGACGAATATGGCAAACCAAGTGACTGCGACTAGATGAGTCGTTTTTGAATGTAGCAGAAGAGGATCTGGCATTGAATCCGGCAGTGATAGCAAGCTGAGCCTCTGTAGAGTTAATGACGGACACTTCAGATGCACCAGAAACAACGACAGACCCTTTAGCATTAGCCAAGACACGTACCAAAGAGGGAGAAGTGTCTGATGGGTCGTAGAGCAGGTCAGAGACAGCATCACCCAAGATTTCAAGCATGCAGATGGAGATGGAGTGAGTATTGAAGGGCAGATCTTGAGTGATGCGATCAGCCAAATAGGACATTGTGTAAGTCTTTCCAGAGCCTAGCATATTAACACGAACGAGGTGAATAGACTGACAGACGATTAGCAATTCAACAAGACTTACCAGTCTGTCCATAAGCAAATACAGTTACCAAACCACCCAACTGGTCTCTTAGTATAAAATCCATCACACCATCGACTGCATCTTTATAGACACAGTCATTATGGGTGGTAGGGCCGTGGTTTCCATCAAATGAGAAGGAGTGAATATCTAAAGAGGGGTCAGTGACAATACGAAAGAAAGGATAGTAGAGCACAGTCTCAGTAGGACTGCAGTGGATTGCAGTGACTAGATGGGGTTGTTGTTGTTCTAGTGACGAGAGAGGTCTGACTCGAAGATGGACTGCACATTGACGCTTGTCCGATTCATGGAATATATTCCTTGTGGATGGACTGCTGCGACTGAGTCCTAGCTGGTGCTGTTGAATGGTTCTGTTTAGCGCAACAGAATATCTCGAGTATTGCTCTATAGATTTGCCATGCTCGCTCATATCCTTATCGCCAAACATCTTTTACAGCAAGACCCATAAGAGCATCCTTGCTTATAACCTTTCTTTTCGGCCGAGTAATAGATGATCGTTTCCACATTCCATCTTCATCCATCTTATTCCATCTTCATCCATCTTATTCCATTTGATTCTCATCATTTATTAATACTTTTTATCTTGTCGTGTCGGTCGTTCTATTGCCAACTTGATGAATTCACTTGAACATGCCACAAACTGGTCGGGCACTCTTAGTATGCTCGTTGGTTCTACTCTCTCTGGAGACCGCATTCAACTTCCTCCTTCTATTCTAAGCGCTCTATACTCTTATTCTGATGTTTCACTTTCTCCGCTTACTTTTATGATCCAATTTGTTTCTGATACTGCTACAAACACTACTCATGGCTGCGTTCGTGAATTCACTGCTCCTGAAGGATCCGTCATTGTCAGTCCATTCCTAGCTAAACAACTCTTAAAATCAGCATCCGCTGATTCTCCTACTGACCATCTTCTTAATCTTACTCTAGTCTCTCTCCCAAAATGCCATTTTGCCCATTTGGCTCCGCTGGATGACACCTACCTCCAGATCCCTGACATAAAGTATATCCTTGAATCCCATCTAAGACAAAATCATTCGACTTTAACCTGTGGCGAAACACTATCCATCACTCAGCATTCTCCACTGCGACTGTTCCAGTTTCTCATTGTCGAGTTGAAACCGGCCAGCGCGTGTCTGTGCATTGATACGGATATGGAAGTAAACATTCATCCTGTCGATCCCATACTTGCTGAAAAGGCGGTCAAAAACAAAATATTGGGTCAAGTCGCTGAGCCTGATGATATCATAAACCTTGTCTGGCATATAGATGGCACTCACACTGTTCCAATCGACTCCATACAAGCGAATCTCAATCATCCAATCTACTTTCGTGCAAGTACCATTTAATTACACTGGTCTTCTATATGTTTATTTTAAACTCATCTTGGTAATATGATAATTAGGTGCATAAACCAAATGACATTTCCGGATTACGACTTATTGTGACGCCATCGCAAGGAGATGCCGACTGTTTTGTATCTTTGATATCTGAGCATCCTTCAATGCTGGATCACGATTTTTACAATGTAGATATGGGCGTGAGCAATATCTGGTTTAATCTCTCATCATCCTCGGTAGATGTTCCCTTTGTGTATATTGCTGTCGTGGCATGCACTCCATCCGCATTATTTTCCATCAAAATGAATGTAGAGTCATCTAAACCTATAGACGAATCAAGTGGGACTGCTGAAACAACGACGCCATCACTAGAAAAAAGTGACAATCTAGAAACTTGCACAAATTGCGGCTCTTCAGTTCCTTCACAAACTCTGCTAATGCATACTGCCTATTGTCAAAGAAATAATCAGCGCTGCACATTCTGCAACTTGGTCATGCGCAAATCCGATTTTGCCAACCATTGGCACTGTGACCTATGCAAAATGGTAAGTAATATTTAAAATATTCCATCTTGACCAGAATATACTAATTAAAATGCATTGATGGGTTTAGTTGTGTGATCCAGCAGCAAAAGAAAAACACAAAAATACCCATCATACAGCAATAGTGTGCGATTGTGGGCTTTCCCTTCATCTTCCATTAATAGCAAATCATAAGCAAACAGAGTGTCCCAATAGATTTATTGTTTGTAGATTCTGCCATTTGCGAGTCCGTGCAGGTAAACTATCACAAACTGCCCGCGATTTATACTTGGGCACTAGTTTAACTGAGCATGAAAGCGACTGTGGAGCACGTACAATAAAATGTATAAAATGCGATCGATCCGTGCAACTCAAGGACATACAGACTCACGCACAGTTTCACGAGTTTCAAAAAACTTTGATAAAACTTCCACCATTATGTACTAATCTAAACTGTGCCCGCTGGGTAGAGAATGCAGGTGAAAATGTAATGGAGATGTGTCGATCGTGTTTTGCACCGTTTTGGTCTTCATCGCATGATCCAGGATTCCAGAAACTGGCACAAAAGTTGATGAGTAAATATCATCAACAGTTGACTCACGGCTGTCAAAAAGCGGACTGCTATAATCAGGTATTGCATTCCTATATCCATTCATGTGAATTCAAATGTTCATATTGCTAACATATCTGAATAGTACTGTGCTACAAGTATGCATGAACAGTCGCATAAAGGTGCACTAGATGCAACAGAAGCCGCAGTGCAGTCTATGGAGCTATTTAAACGGTCATTCTTTCAAAAAAAAGGTGGATATAACCCATCCGTAACAACAGAACATTATCTATGTATATCGGATTCAGTTTCATCAAAACGACGGTATCAAGTAGAAACTATGAAACAGTTGATGAAATGCAGCAGTGGATGGGGAGTAAAAGCAATGGAAGCAAATGGCGATGATCTGGAGCAATCAATTAAATGGCTCGAATCCAATGCTCCCAAACCAGAATGAAGATTCAAATAAATAGATTTGAATGTATAATTCATTATAATCTAATGAGAAAACAGATTTCATGTTTCAGGAATGCGACAGTTGGTTACTTGTCATGTTTAGTTTAAATGAAAGAGTTTGAACAAGTGTTGAGGATTTACTAGAACTGGAATGCAAGCATTCGTTCAGTCTTTCATTTTACGTGAATGAATGTAAACTCGTTTAAATGCTCGAGTCGAGCGTAATTTTTACTTTTTACTTTAAAGTTACTTGAGCAACTATTGAATGCAAAGAGACTCGCTTTTTAATCCATTCTTATCCATTGATAATGGTCAGGAGGATGAACTACAGGATATACTGCTTCGAAAACCATCCACTGTTGTGCCAAAGCAATCTTCCACATCAGTATTTACTCCAAGTGACCGTTTTATTACTAGCATCACAGACTCTCGTAGACTCTTGTTTCAACTTCATGATAAAGCTACTGGACCTACTTCTGGAACTAAAGCTATACATAATAATACTGGCACCATCCAGCAGAATAATCCTATTATCACAGTAGATGATTTGACTGGAAATGAAACAATAGCTAATGAAGTCCATACTCCAAGAATCAATAATAATACTACTGGCCAGCAACAAAGAGCATATCGAACTCCTAATTCTGGATCCAACTCACAATCATATACAAAACATTTGCGGCTTCTCACTGCTGATGAAATGGCTAAGCAAACCTCTACCATTTACATGGATCATCTAAATCGTGCACTGGGAATATCTCCACCTTCCATACCATTACTACAGCATTCTGGGAACGTACATATTAGAAAAACACCCACTTCATCTGAATCTAATCATGCAACAAAAAATAGTTTAAAAGAAGACGACGTGCAGGACAATACTGATCACTCAATCGTTACTACACCTATATCTAAACGATCACGTACTTCAACTACTCTAACTCCGCGATCTGGCTCAATACTCAAATCGCATGATGGACTTGATTTGAATCCACATCTTCATACACCAATAAAACGATCACATTGGTCGTTTGCAAACTCATCGCCTAGAATAACAAGTCCGGGTATACTCTTGCCATGGGTATCTCCAACTAAAGCTAGTTTACAAAAACGACGTACCTTGCCGCTTAATCCTGAACGGGTTCTGGATGCACCGGAAGTACTGGATGATTATTATATTGATGTTTTGAGCTGGAGTCATCTAGGACCATTAATAATTGGGTTGAATGACATGTGCTATTTATGGAATCAGGTAGATTAGGTTTGAACTGCATTCAGTGTGCTTTTAGGGGTGAAACTAACTTTTCAAAATGACGTTAGACCGAGGAAGCAGTGGCCATGATTTACCAGGCTTGTTTTCCAGACTATATTTCATGCTGCTCGTTTTCACCACAAGGACATCAGGCAGTGGTTGGCACTTCATGTGGAAAGTTACTTTTATTCGACGTGCGTCGTGCAGATACGTTGACATCGCCGGCTTCTGGAGGAAGAGATTTAACTCGACTCAACCAGCTGGAATCGAATACATTGACCATTTCAATAGCAAACTCGACTCCGCTTCATCCACTGCAATCTCATTCTCATGCTCCAGGTATCAGCGCACTTCGATGGATTGATGCCAACACATATATTATTGGTGACACCCATGGTGACCTGCATGTTTGGGACATTCGGCATCAACGTACAACTCCTACAATCACTGCTTCTGGATTTCATCTTGATCGTGTAGTTGGTATTGCTACTCACTGGGATGAGCATACGATTGCTACAGGAGGAAATGGACATTTAGTTAATTTATGGGACATGAGACAGCTTGAACGGCCTAGTAGAGTATTAAAACATCATACATCGGCTGTTAGAGCTTTGCAGTTTTGTCCGTGGGAGCGGAATGTATTAGCTACAGGTGGTGGTTTACAAGATGGAAAGCTCTGTATTATAGATACCGATGATGGAACATGTACATCTACGATCGAGACTGATACTCAAGGTAGTGTCTAGTTGGTTTTAAACTACAATCTGCTTTACTAACTCTTTGGTTCTAGTTTGTCAAATAGTATGGTCCAAGCACTACCGCGAGCTTATATCATTGCATGATCTGGACAAAGATCAAATGGTATTGTGGCGATATCCTAGTATGGAGCAAGTAGGAATGCTGCCAGGACATACGGGTGCTCGGCCCTTGTATGTTGCACTAAGTCCTGATGGTCAAACTGTTGCTACTATGGCGGGTGATGAAACCATCAAGGTAAAGAGTCGTGTTTAGACTAGATTTTGAATTTAGAATAAGTATAGTCTAATACAGTTGTATATCTGCTATGATTTACGTTTAGTTTTGGAAATGTTTTCCGACAACCCTATCACAGCGACCACTAAAACCTTCTAGAACTGGGCTCGATGCCATGCAAGCAATGCAAACAATTCGATAGTATATTAGCACAATAAAACACTGCACCATTCACGATATACCCGAGTTTTATGAATATTTGAAGCAGGTTTAGATCATAGAATTTATTATTTGTAAACATTTTCATGAGCTGTTTATCCATCATATCCAGTTCAGCAATTGACCCAGTTAGATTTCAACTAAATGAATACATCCGCCATGGGATCTGGAGCCGGTAAATTATGAAGCTTCTTTTTCTCGCGCTCTTCCTGAGCAATAGCTTTACCCTGATGCTTAGCATTGATTTCAGCCTTGATGTTTCTTCTCAATTCATTAGGAGATACAAACAGAGTATTTTCATATAATGTGCTTCCACCAAAACTTCCATCAAATATTCTGATTATATCAAGCACGCATCGAGGTCCGATTTCTACCAACGAAATCTCGGGTTCTTTTGACAGTCCTTTTTCAGGAATCTTTTCAATGATTTGAAAATTTCGTAGCCAAATTTTGTTGTCAAGAATAGAAAAGGACATGATGTGGTCGATAAACGGTTTGATTTTGCGTGATGTGCGCGGAACAGCAAACGTCTACAATCACGGAACCATAAAAATATAAAACATAGGATCAGCAAGTGATTCCCAACATCATGTTGAAATATATACTTGAATCTATACAATCATGTTGGGTTGTACCTGCGTGAACATCTCCTTGAGAAGTTGGAGATGAGGTTCCAAATCAAATGTCTTGTCAAACGACAGAACTGGACGAGACCCTTTAAGACAGTTTCCAGTCATTTTCAGTTCGTCCATTGTATGCACTAAGCAATGATGTAAGGATTCATCCAGCAAGTACCAATGCATTGTCAGCACAATATACGCATGCTAATAGATACACGAGATTAACACATTCATAGACTATATTTACCATTGCGAACCATAAACTTGACACTTGGACCGTTTGGAGTCTTGGACATCCACAGGTACATGTCTTGATGTTTACGCACTTCAAAGTAAAGGCAATTGTTGCAATTGTTGAGTTCAGCAAGCTCGTTCAAATCTTCCAAGTGGCTTTTGGAATCAAGCTTGGCATCCTTCTTGGAATGGGGGAGCAGTGTATGCATCTCGTTCATAAGATGGCGATATCTAATTCAAATCAATGTATAGTAGCAAAATAATTAGACTCACATTGATTGACAGCGCAGCTGTATAATTTTAAAATTACCTGTAAGTTATGCCTCGAGACGCAATCAAAAGAACTCGCTGTTTGTATTTTTGAGCAGATGAAGGTGTCTTGGTATTGACTGTAGCAACCTCTTCCTCTAGCTGATCATCTTCACATTCTTCATCGGCATTGTCAGATTGCTGTTCGTCATCCATGTCATCCTGTTCAATGAGCTTTTGCTCGAGTTGTTTTTGGATATGCTTGGATAAAAGAGCTTTACGACCAGATTGAGCAGACATGGATGCAGCAAGAGATTTGGTATGCCTGCGAAGTGACGAGGCATTATCATCATCTACTTCTTCACCATCATCCGATTCTTCAGATTCATCATCAGAATCTTCGTCAGAAACATCTTCAGAATCGTCATTTTCTTCATCGTCATGATCATCATGAGAGGCTTGAATAGAAACAAGCTCTCTTTTCGGTCGCTTGAAGGACGTATCATCATTGTCTGAATCCAAATGATCCTTGTCCGAGTTGCGTTTAGAAAGGACTTTTTTAGAAGCATTCAATGCCACTTTTCTTGCAGTTTCTCTGGAAGTTTCTACCATGTCTCTTGTAGTTTGGTTGAGTATTTGAGGTTTAGTAGGTTTACCCATTGCGAATATTTTAAAACTTTTATGCTGACTCGAATTCTCAAAAAGAAAAAATTAAATTTTGTAATCACGTGATATAACTGCATTTTACTTGAATTCAAATTCAAATTCAAACCACACATTTTGTGACATGTGTTGGATTGACAGCATTGCGTCTATAGTAGAGCAATAAAACGAATTGACTTTCAATGAATTTGGAGTGACTGAACGTGAATTAAAGTGTCGAGTGTTTATTGGCAGCAAGACAAGCGAGTCGAGAATCCAAAAACATGCTCGAAATAGCAAACAGTAAAATCGGATTTCATTCTAAGACTTTAGACGCGTTTCTATTCCAGTCAAGTTTTCTTTCTGTTGAATTCAAGTTGAATCTCATAACTTGAGGTATTTCATTAACATTGTTCATCATTACACTTGCATCTGCTGACTATCTGAACACAATCTATTCAACCATTAACCAGTTTTTAAAGATATTGGATATTCATGAATTCATCTTCGTTTGATCATTTGAAGCTGCTATTTAGCTGTCATTGCAAAATCAATTAATATCCATTCGACTTTGGTTGTCTAACTCTATTGTATCAACTCTTGATTATAAAGACTATCATGAATACAAGTCACTCGGCTCTTTCCAACGGAACAAAAGCCTCCAAGGCTATAGATATTTCAAAAAGCAGTGACGATGACAGTGATGATAGTGATGTGCCTATTATGTGCAGAACTGCTGTCAGTAACAAAACCAGTGCTGTTGCTTCAAGCACATCCGTACGCACCCCCGACAACTATGATGGCTCTTTAGATAAACGCTCTGTTGCCACGGGTAAGAACGCCAGCAAACCAACAGGCAGTACTGTGGTAAAGGATGATAGTGGAGAAGACAGTGATGTTCCATTGGTAAGTCATCACACTCGCTTGCTCTTGAAAAATATCAGTTGTAATGCAAGCTGTTGCAAACGAATATTTTTCTAGTTACTGCTGATACCAGTTTTTGAAAACGCTCATTTCGAGTCGCTCAAATTTTGTCCATCTGCATTCGTTCCAATACTTGTCTAACTACCTGCTGCAATCAATATATAGTCTCGAAAAATCAAAAAATCAAAAACCACGGTTGACACCAAGACTAAACAAATGAATACCAAAAAACCAGCCTCGACTACTTCAGGGTCAAAAAGGCAAACAGATTCATCAAACAATGATCGCATCGTAAGCTGATGTGTATATTTCATAATATAGTATTTTTGTGAATATACCAACCAGAAGCATTTTTGCTGATCTGTGTTGGCAGAACGTCTGGTTAACAGTGTTTATGTTGACTTTTAATCTATTCTCCATCTATTTTAATATTTAGACCAAGAAATTGAAAAAAGAACCTGTATCAGCTAAAGATGTTCCTAAACCATCTACTGCTACTATCAAAATGGTTAGATTCTATTGCAAATCCAAACGATCTCTAAACATCAATTTGCTCAACTATTGCAATGCATGATCAGACCCAATACGCTATTAGTACTAACACTAAATATGATGCATTACGCACATGGTAATAGACTATCAAATCAGAAAATGGCACGTCCACGCCTAAAAAATCAAAACCAACCACCAATTCCAACAAGGCAGAATCCATAAAAGACGTTCAAAACAGTTCCCAAGATGCATCTCAAATGGATAAACAGCAAGACGGTGATGAAAGTGACGAAAATGACTACAAGTGGTGGTTAGATCATAAAAAGGACAACACTGTAAAATGGACTACTCTAAGCCACAATGGTCCCTATTTCCCTCCATTGTATACTCCCCATGGCATAAAAATGTTGTACAATAATGTGCCAATATCACTCTCACCTGCTTCTGAGGAGGTGGCGTCCTTTTTTGCTGCACTAATTGGAACCGACTGGGCCAGCAATATTACATTTCAAAAAAACTTTTTTCGAGACTTTCTAGGTGTTTTGAAAGAAACGGATCCGGTATGATATCTGTCTATTTGTTTAATACCTGATTTGGGCCTGTGCAATATTAATTTGATATTATCTGATTTGTCTTGTTGAAATTACAGAGTTGTCCAGTCAAGACTTTTGAAAAGTGTGATTTCTCTCCCATTGCAGAGTATCTTGCTGATCAGCGTGAAAAGAAAAAAACCATGAGTAAAGAGGAAAAGGCGGTTGAAAAACAGGCAAAGGCAGAGATTGATAACCAATACGGATGGCTTAAAATTGACGGACGTAAAGAAAAAGTCGGTAATTTTCGAGTCGAGCCTCCTGGTTTATTCCGTGGTCGTGGCGAGCATCCTAGGACTGGAAGCCTCAAGGTATGTTTTATGGATACTATAGCTGGCATGAATTAAGCTATACACTAACAACTATATAATAGCTTCGTGTTCAACCAGAGCAAGTCACTATTAATATTGGGGCAGATTCTACCATCCCAGAACCACCCAGGGGTCATAAATGGGGCAGTATTATCAACGACAATACCGTTACATGGCTGGCAATGTGGAAAGAAAATGTCAACAATAGTTTCAAATATATATTTTTGGCGGCCAATTCGTCACTCAAAGGTCAGAGTGATTTCAAAAAGTTTGAAAAAGCTCGTGTTCTCAAAGTAAGTTGCCGACCATGGCGTTACTCTAAACTGCATACCTTGCGTTTGAATGCTTAATTCTAAAACACTTGTTTTTATATAGTCTCACGTGGATAATATTCGTCGAGTATACACTGATGAGCTCAAGGATAAACTGATGGCCAATCGTCAAAGAGCCACGGCTCTTTACTTTATCGACCGACTTGCGTTGAGAGCAGGCAATGAAAAAGGCGACGACGAAGCCGATACGGTTGGTTGTTGTTCACTAAGATATGAGCACATTACTCTTAAACCTCCAAACAAGGTTGTTTTTGATTTTCTTGGTAAAGACTCTATACGATACTATAATGAGATGACCGTGGATGATCAAGTGTTTAAAAACATCAATATTTTTAAGCGTGATCCCAAACGAGAGGGCGACCCATTATTTGATCGCCTAAATGTAAGTGTTTGTATTCAAGATCTGATGGGTGTTTGTCTTTATTTTTACTTGTAATACACAAGACATTTACACAAATATTTTTGTAATCATACTATTCACCATGCACTTCCGTGGATCCATTTAGACTGCAATTTTGAACAAATATCTCAACAAATTCATGGAAGGTCTGACTGCAAAAGTATTCCGTACCTACAACGCATCGCATACATTTCAAGAAGAGCTCAGAAAAACACCAGTCAATGGAACAGTTTCAGAAAAGCTTTTGGCTTACAATCGTGCTAACCGACAGGTTGCTATTTTATGTAATCATCAGCGTAGTGTACCCAAAGGACACAGCAGTCAGATTGCTAAACTGCAAGACAAGGTATTTTTTGGTTATCTTCACAGACGGATGTATATTGGTTTAAATGATTTAGTTTTGGTCATGACTGTTTATTGACGATTTGATTGGGTGATAGATTCTTGCCATTAAATACGATTTAATGAAGGTCAAACAACAGATGCTTGAGTTGGATCCAAAGCTTAAAAAGACACGACCTGAACTTCAAGAGCCTGAATCTGACTTGGACGACGAGTTTATTGAAAACCATACACGCTTTTTGGAAGAATGTGAATCAGAGCGGCTTCAGCAGCGGCTTGATAAGGAGAACGAGAAGCGGAAGGAAGATGGGTTGCCATTGCTGAAAGAGCTTCCAGAAAAACGTACTTCGTCTATCACGAGTATAGAAAAACTGGAAAAAAAGTATGCTACATTATGTGATCGTATTGCAGCACAGAAAACAAGCATTATTGACAAGGTCAGTTTTTTATTTTTGACAAGTGGCTGGATAGATAAGTAACGAGCAAGTGTGTATCTAATCTATACATATTTGAAACGAATCAAATGGTTTAGGATGAGAACAAAACAACTGCGTTGGGTACATCCAAAATCAACTACATTGATCCGCGCATTTCTGCTGCATGGTGTCACAAACACAATGTTCCTTTGGATAAGATATTTACCAAGAGTCTGCGCGAGAAATTCACATGGGCCATGGACGCGGAAAAGGATTGGGTGAGTTCAACCTTGTATTGCATACCAAGAATTGTGTTGATTTACAGTAAATACACTAAGCTGATTCTTTATGGGGTTTACAATTGCGAACTGTAGGAGTTTTAAACAAGATGAACATAAATCTAGTAAAATGAACTATTCAGATATGCACACATTGTTATTCTAATAGTTTAGGTTAAAAAGGAGAATTGACAGGGCATAATGGTTTAGATCTTGTTTGTATCTGCACAACAATGCAAATGAGTGCTTTAAAGTATACAATGGTTTGATATGTATTACCCATTTCTATTAGAAGTCAACATGTTTAGTTTAATCAATACAACAACCATTATATGATGCTCATAATCCAACTGTGATTTTGAACCAAAATTGTTCTCATTTGAAAATCATATATTGTACAATCACCAGATTTATATACTGCAATTCAGGTTGTGTTTGATCATTCATACATTTCATTACAAGAATATCAGTCAATAGTTTAGAATATTATACAATAAATGGATTGATTTGTACTTTTTTACGTGAATGCAGCTGTAACAAGATTCACCAGAATCAGAAAAATTAAATTTTAATCCAATTCGCTGTAATGAAGTATATTGTGGAGCACTTGGAAGAAGAGATTGAAGGCTGGCCAGAGGTATGACATACTAATGATGGATTGATGATTGTATTTTATAAATTCAAAAGCAGTCATACCAATACTAATGAATGCCATGCCAATATCATAGCTTGAATACCGTAATATGCTACTTAATGTTGGCAAAGGAAACCTTTGGTTATCTCATGTGTCCGAGTCGGTTGCACAGTCACCTCCTGCATCATTGGAGGGTGCGATCGTTTCAACTCATTCCATCCAGTCTTGGCCCGATGTTGACATGTCAAGAGTGATTCTGGCTGATCCTGCTGCTAAAACTCCATTATGTCCTGCAGACGCTGAATCGTACGATTATATTCTTTTTGGAGGTATTTTGGTAAGACTTGCTGTAGAGACAAACTTGTCTGCAATGACACTATGAGTTGAATTCGTTTACATAACCTTCATCCACTGATCGTATCTTTAATTCTTAATTAGGGTGATGATCCACCTAAAGACCGAACAAAAGAACTTCGAGTAATGGGATTTGCAACTCGTCATCTTGGAAAAGAACAAATGACAACCGACACCGCTGTACTAGTTTCACAGCTTGTATTGGAGAAACAGATTCCATTAGACAAGATTGACTATGTAGATCGACCTGACATCAAACTTGGACGAAGAGAAATCGTCGAGATGCCTTTCAAGTATATTCGACTTCCAAATGGAGAACCTAAACTTCCACTTGGAATGATTGAGCATTTGAAACAAGGAAACGATATTTCTTTGAATTAATCATACGATTTTCAGTCCATGCATAGATTAGATTGGTTTATGGTGAAAATATGCCAATTGAACATGGGAAACAACATGATCAGGTTTAGATTCAAACATAGGGTGAATATCCAAAATCGATTTATTGTATATTATATAAAAAGAAAACGACAACTTGAATGTAAGTGAACAAGGAATGACTGGTATGAAAAGCTAGTGCGCATAATGGCCAAAATCGAAACAAGAAATATAAAAAACACAACCATCATCATCTTTGCCAGTATAGACCCTCATGTGTTTTTCGTATTGGTAACTATCCGCTTGCTTTTTTTGGTGAGTATTTGGTGGATTACACCGCGAATATATGATATTCGGTCAATCACATCCAGTGAACCATGTCTTAAAAACCAGCTCAGCGAATGAGTATGCATTTCCCTATTCGAGTCGATATATGTCACAACTTCACCTCGCTCAGAAATAATCAATTTGGTATGGTCAAATAGATTAAGCTGTAAAAATGTCAGTATAATATCAAATCACACGTTGGCTTCTGATGCAAGCGTGTTTGGTCAAATACAGTAACACAATCATCTCACCTGCAGCGTATGGTTGCTCAAACGAAAGAAAACACCATTTTTGGTTCGCAAATACTTGGTGAGATACTCCAGTGACACGATTTTAGGAGGGCTGTCCAAGTTAGTGGAGCATGCCTAAACACAACATCGTCAGCCAATAAAAGCTACATAACACAACCCATTCGACTTTAAAATATCAACTTACTCTGTATAAGTTTTCCTGCATATACCCCTTGAAATGCCTTAATAGTGTCACCTTTTTTGTCAAGTCTGTGGGAAACGAATCCAAATTCCATGCACCGCAATGCATCGAAATCTTTTCTGTAGACTTACTAGTATACAGATATTCAAAGTGGAAACCATCTGATGCAAGAATAATAGATGTCGAGTCGTTAAAGTACACGCCAACAGAGCCGTCACGAAGTTGGTAACCAAGACCGTATTTGTTGGAATAATCAATCCATTTTGTAATAAACAAATCTGGATGTTCAAGCGGATGTTCTATCATAATCATATTGAGCATTTAGAGTCAAAATTCAACTGTCATGTCGCAGCTAGGCAAAAATAGATTCTTGATGAAACAACAACCAGTTTGAGTAGTATTTAAACTCTTACCTCCAAATTGCAAATGAGCGATATCATTAGCAAGCTCATTCATGCCATCAGTACCTCGAACTTCCCTCTCATAAAGTCCATTTGTAAGCACCTGTAGCAGTTCTTCTAAAGGAGCATTGCTTTTTCGCGACACATCTTTAGAGTTGCTTGATTTTGATGAGGTGATTGATGGTGGTGTTGGTGCTGATGAACTTGTGGGTGTATTCTCAGTTTGATCCGGAGGTGAGTTTGATGAATGCTCTCGTACGCCATGACTTTGAGTCTTGGAAGTTGGAGACAAAAGGTGGTTGGGTGTCACGCCATGTGCTGGTGATGGCTGAAGTGCTGATCGTAGTAGAGTAGGCGCCTGCACAGTCACAGGCTGCAAGCGATGCTTGGAAGGTTGAGAAGATACAGATTCATACGGCGTGGCTGGTACTGCTGTTGTATTAGTAATTACATACAATATATCCAAAATAACGGTTAATACCATAGTGTGATTTTATGGTGCGTAATTTCCTCGATTTAAATGATAAGAGTGTTTTTACCATGAAGTGGAACCGGATCTGAAATTGCTATTGGTGGATTTCTATAATAAAAAGTGTACATTTAATATATTGTGTAATTTCCACATAATAACACGACACGGTGCAATGTGACACTGATAATATCAAGGCAAAGTGAATTCGCAAACCATACCTTGGGGAGCGTAGTCCAATAGATTCTGGACGTGATTGTCGTACTGCTCCTAAAGCACGAGCCGGCTCATTGAATCGAACATCTGAAATCGCAGTGACCAAGCCACCGTACAAGGATTTTGTTTGAAGCTGCTTGTCATTCATCTGTTGATGTCGAGTACCCTGTGGAGATGTATGAAGTTTGTCTGCATCGACTTGAGTGGCATAAGTGTATCTATTGGATGGCTCTGTCTGTTTCGGATAGGTGTCAAAAATAGGCGGTGTGTGAAGAGCTGATACAGGAATCTCTTTTAGTATAGGCTCCGTGGAAAAAAATCGATGCTCTAGTACATCGTCAATAGATGGGCGTTGTTCTAAAGTAAAATCAAATATAATTAAAGCTCATGGACTGAACATGGATGCTATTCTTGAAATTACCTGGGTCAGAGTGAAGCAACGACTTGATAATGATTCGAACATCATCGGAAATGGGTATATTTGCAGGAAATTCTAAATTGTTTTCACGAATTCGTCTAAATATGATTGGATAAGCGCAGTTAGTGCCGGACATTCTACTTGAACGATATTCTCTTGTAGATATAATACTCTAATAAATTACTTACTCATAAATTGAGTTGACATCTTTTGTTTGAAAAGGTGGTTTTCCGATTGCAAATGTATACCTACGAGTAATTCAAGTTGTTATATTTTTGGTCAAAAGTAGAGTATCGGATATCCAAAAGACTTACATGACAATGCCAAGACTCCAAATATCTACCTCGAAACTATGACCTTCTTTGTTGAACAATACTTCTGGAGCAATATAATTGGGGGTACCACATATTGTTCTATTTAAGCATGTCAAAATATATAATCAGCACATGAAACTAATTTCAAGTCTAAATGGTATTAAGCACTGTTACTTTTTTCGTTCGCCGTCGTGTTTAAGTAACGCAGCCAATCCAAAATCGCCAATCTTCATTTGCATCCGATCACCCAGAAACAGGTTTCCTAATTTGATATCACGATGAATCACACCGTGCCGATGCATATATCGAATAGAGTCGAGTAGCTGGTACATATAATATCTAATTTCTGGGTCAGTAAGCCGTTTCCGCTTTTTTATCATATCCACAAAGGTCTAATTATATATCATTAAAAGTTGATAAAGTAAAACAGTTTATAAATTTGTGATTAGCATTGTGCGAACATTACACTAGTGCATACAACATAACGCCATAGTTAGTCAAGTCAGACCTTGTTTTCACAAATTTCCAAAATCATGTACACGTTGACATCATCCTCGAATACATTGATAAACCGGACAATGCATGGGTGCGACAAAGACTTGTGAATGCTGATCTCAGAAACAAGCTATAGTTTTGAAGTTAATTCATGCAAGACATGTATGATTTATATGGAGCAGATGAAATACAAGTTTAAAATCAGTATAAAGTTTGTGACTGTCTGAATGCTAGATGTAAAGTTTGTCATAACTAGTGCTGTTGCAATACCTTTTGCCGTTGCTTTTGAGACTTGAGTGATGGTTTGTAGACTACTTTGGCAGCAAATCGATTCTCTTTATCATCAAGGACTTCATAGCATCGAGCAAATCCTCCCTGTAAGTTGAGCAGATTCCAGGATATCCGGAAACAACGGTTCAAATGAATACCAATGCACTAGAGCAATAGTCAAAGTATTAAGCATAGACTAAAGCATGAATGATAATGTTACCTCTCCCAACAAAGCACCGACAGTGTAATGAGTCTGGGCTTTGCTATCGTAGATGGACGGCGGAGGTGAAGGCGGACGTTCTTTACGAACAGGAACAGGCGGACGTGGAGCAGCAGCATTTGCATGATTATTAGTAGTGGTAGGTGGACCAGCCATTGTAGTTGCAGTAATAATAGTAACGATATAACATTGTTAATCCGATTCAAATTTAAAAAATAACATCGTGTCCGATTCAGTCAATATCAAGACGCTGAAGTTCAGATTAACAATTACTGAAACTGTTTGAATGTATTGAGAATTGTCAATCAAAAGCGTATATACGCTTGAAGATGTTTGAATTTGCACAGATTTACCAAGAAATGGTTCAGATTGCATCAGATTGCTGCTGTATTCACGTAAAAAAGTACAAATCAATCCATTTATTGTATAATATTCTAAACTATTGACTGATATTCTTGTAATGAAATGTATGAATGATCAAACACAACCCGAATTGCAGTATATAAATCTGGTGATTGTACAATATATGATTTTCAAATGAGGACAATCTTGGTTCAAAATCACAGTTGGATTATGAGCATCATATAATGGTTGTTGTATTGATTAAACTAAACATGTTGACTTCTAATAGAAATGGGTAATACATATCAAACCATTGTATACTTTAAAGCACTCATTACAAAGTAAATCACAGAAAGGTGTTGTATGATGCGTGAATACGGTTGTAAATGAACTTGTTTCTAGTCGAGTAATTAAAAAAACTAAATGTTTTCATATAGTATTCATTCGTCAAGTTTGACTATTTCTATTGTCGCTTTGGATGACTAGATATTGGGCTTGATGCTTTTCATTATAGTAGTGTATGCCCAAGTTTACAAAGTTATGGACAGAGGGTTGCTATTTATTCATATCGCACACCCATGCTATCCTTGGGCTGGAAACCCATTTTACGAAGGCGATCTGCAGCAATTCGCTCCTCCTGTAGTTTTCTTAATCCCTCTAGCTCATTTCTAGAAAACGCCAATTCAATAGCTGTGCCTTTGGCTCTTGTCGAACTCCGCACTCGTTCTTCGTCTAAATGAATAAAATGTAAAACAAGACAAATCAAAGTGGGATGTTAGTGTTTGGATCGTGAAACAGATTCTGATTGCAGTGCAGAGCATTTATATCAAAATGAATAACCACTGATTCCAAGTTTCACCTTTTGCCAAGTCAATTTCGCCAGAGTAGGATTCTATTTGACCACTTCGATTTAAACGCTCCCTATGAATTTGAAAGATTAGAAGCTAAATGCAGCGTGCATATCAATGAGTCAGATGCATAGTGTATTACCAGGTGGAAAGATTGTAATATTTTTCATGTGGAAGGGTTGCAGTGTTATAATCTTCCATATCTACAGAATACAAACATTATGAGACTTGAAATTCTGAATGAATAAACAGTTTAGCAGAGTTGACAAGAATACGATTACATTCGAGAAAGTATTCCTTGGTAGCACGAGCATCCAAAGCATCTGCAGCAATATTCTTGATATCAATCAACCAACTGCGGAACTCGGCTTCTTTAGAGTAGATCTGTTGAAGGTTTAGTATTAAGACTGTGTAGTGGAATGCAAGCCAAGTTTTTCAAGCTTACATCTGTAGCAGAAATAATGCCTTTGGACCCATACTGGTTGGTCAATGACAAGGAAGATGTCTTTCTATCCTTGTCCTTTCTGCTCTTCCGATCCTTCTTGCTCTTCTTGTCCTTTTTGGACTTCTTATGCTTCCTGTCATCGCCAGATCGATCCTTTTTGTGTTTCTTGCTCTTGTGTTTTTTATCTCGAGAGCGACGACCACTTCTGCTGCTATCTGTACTAGAGACTGAAGAGCCAGTGGATGAGATGGAATCAATGCTTTGTGATCTGGATTTCTTTGCAGAACTCTTGTGCCTAGAACGACTCTTGCGAGGTTTATCTCTTGATGTGTCGGAATCGGAAGAATGAGGTTTTTCAGAAACCTCGAGTCTGTGTTTACGAGAGTGTCTGTCATCATCGTGATGATGAGACCGACTGGTGCTGCGACAGTCGGATCTGTCGTCCATGTCTAGTAAAGAAATGGCCAAGTTTATGCCGAAAATTAGGCCAACTAATTTGGCCAAACCAAATTTGGCCAAAATGGGTTTTGGTTTTGTTAACCCCTTGTTTGGCTGTTATCCAACTGGCTTACACATCCTGACAATGGAACACTCAAGACCCGAATCGTCTGGTGGAAGCACTCTGTGGATGGGCGACCTTTTGCCATGGATGGACGAACACTTTATTAGACAGACATGGTAAATAGCTATGGGTTTGAAATGAACAGGGAGAATGCTATTAGATTCCAGGCAGGAATGAATTGCGAGTTTTGTAGTGAATGCATCTGCTACACATCTTGTAAATGAAAAGAATCCAGCAGCAAACTATTGAATCAAGTTTATTCCAGTTCAAACCTACATGAATGATCGCTTTGCATTCATTCAGTGTATTGGCTTTTCTGTTTATACCATCACGCGTTTGACTTGCTGTGGAGTCACTTACAACCTCTCTTGATATTAGGAGATTGCTGGGTGAATCTGTCACTGTTAAAATGATCAAAGACAAGTCTACAGGGTATCTTATTGCTTTACATTGCATCCATGAGTTTTCCGGTTGTATGTTCATACACGTATTCTTTATCTATGATTAGATCCCTAGCAGGCTATTGCTTTGTTGAATTTTCATCATCTGACGTAGCAGCTAAACTATTAGAGTTGGTTAACGGCACTTTAATCCCTGGCACTCATTGTTTTTTCAAGCTAAATTGGGCTTTTGGCGGTGGCCTATCTCCTTTGTACGTTCTGTGTTTTGGGTTTATTGTTGCATCAACTACATGTGTGTTTTGGAGTACTTGTGTCTGAGTTGCTTATTAACTGATGCTTTACTTCACCCAACTTTTCAACTTGACAGGCCCGAGTTTTCTATATTTGTTGGTGATCTGGCACACGAAATCAATGATATTTTGTTAATGGTACGTTTTCAATGTAGTGTTGGAATCACATGGTTTCTGTCAAGTTACAAAATGCGCTTGCTCATTGTTTTCCCGCTATAGCAAGTATTTCATGAACGATATCCCTCTGTTAAATCAGCCAGAGTAGTCATAGATCCCACTACTGGATCTCCAAAAGGCTATGGATTTGTTCGGTTTGGATCCGAGGCTGATCAGCAACAGTCACTTGTCGACCTTCAAGGCCAAATGATTGGCTCTCGCCCTGTACGTGTTTCAATTGCTACTCCAAAACATAAGGCACTTGGATCAAATGGTCACGGAATGCCAGGATACTACCCTATCCCCCCATCCTATATGGATGCTTCTGGTGCAATGATCCCTAATTCCGCCCATATGATTTATCGACAGCCTGTATATATGCATCAGCATCTTGGGGGAAACGATCCCACCAACTCGACTATTTTTATTGGAGCATTGCCTGCTACCATGACCAACGATGACTTGCGAAAGCACTTTTTACCTTTTGGCGAAATCGTATATACCAAGATTCCTTTTGGAAAAAGATGCGGATTTGTCCAGTTTATACATCGGCAATCTGCTGAAATGGCCATCCAAGAAATGGATGGCAAAGTTATAGGTACGGGTTTGGCTACTTTGAAAAAGGCTTAATACTAGCACATGGATTGACCTTTTGATTGGGGGTTCACGAATATATTCATATCTAGGTGGATCTGCACTACGTTTATCGTGGGGGAGATCTCAACGAGGCAACTCGACACATTCACACATGCAGCATCTGCCTGCATATGGTTTAATACAATCCCAATTTGGTGCTCCTCAATACATGCCATCTGCCTCACAATTGATACATGCTCCAGTCACACCATTGCAAATGCCACCACAAATGCAGGGCTCTTCTGTTCATTCAGAATCACCCCCTCAACAACCACCACACCTTCCTCACGGCATGATTGCATATATGCCTGTGCATTCTTCCAGTACACATGGATATCAGTATATAGATCCAGTCACCGGACAAGTATCTTATTTCAACCGAAAAGAAGATCAACGGATACATGAACTCGCTGTGGAGTTTAAATCGTCACCCTGCTCAAGTGCATCCTATTCCGATATGCCCACACAATATACGACTGAAAATGGAGAATATACCCACTGGGAAGGAATGAGTCCTGTTGTAGTTGCAGCAGCAGCAGAAGATTTAGCCCATTCTACAGAGTGACTAGGATGGTTTTGTAGCAATCCATCTTCATCGCTTTGCATACTCTTTCAGGCCTTGAGAGTGTTTTGATAATAGCAGTTGTGTACTATTTGGGATGGATCCCTTCACCCAGATGCTATACAGCTTTTTGAATGTGACGAGAAATCAATAAAATTCCAGTGATTCTAATCACTGATTTCGAGTTTAATCTCAGTCGAGACTCGCTGCTGACGCCAAGTTTCAAAACTGAATGAAAAACAAGCAATTTTTGACCAAACTTTAATTGGATTTGGCCAAAAACAGCCAAAATTCAATCAAACACAAAAATTTGCCCAAACAAAAACTTGACCAACAATTGAACTTGAATACAGCAGAGCAGGACGATGTGAGTCGAACCGGTCTGGCTATTCTCATGGATTGCTAAAATAAAAAATATGTGAATATCACCACTGTTGTGGCCAATGGATTACTTTTTGAAACTGCCAATCATTGGTTCATCTATGGCTACAGAGCTGTTCTTTAACAGCCATGTTTCTGTTAACATTAGGTATGGTTCTTCAGATATAGCATCTGCTAAATCGCAGTCTGCATCTTCTACAATTCCTGGTCAAATCTTTGGATCTTCCATAGAAACACCTTTAGCAAGCTCTGGAGTTGCCAACAAGCCTAGACTCCTTATCATTGGACTTCGGAGGTATATCATTGGTGTCTAAACAGGTAGATCCGTCTCAGAATATTACTTTGCCAACTGCTAATATCCACGGAAATTATATCGTTGAATCTACTGCAGGAGTGGAAAATCCAGTATTCTCAATGTTGTCTTTCACAAAATGCCACCAAACGAAACCATTTTTCTAGAATCAACCACTGTAGTCTCCAGATACGACATTCTCCCTTTTCTGGATTTACAGTTGTGGGATTTTCCTGGCCATGTGGATGTATGCGATCCTTCGTTTGACCCTGTGCTTTTATTCCAGCAATGCGGAGCAGTCATGTTTGTTGTTGATGCTCAGGTAATAGATATTCCAATGTTGGATCTCGATCCACTCAAGTAGGCTAATGCATCGAGTTGTAACGGTTTTTAGGATGATTATTTAGAAGCACTTGAGAGACTACATAGTACAATATTCAAGGCATTCAGAATCAATCCCGATATATCATTTGAAATTTTTGTTCATAAAGTAGATGGATTATCTGATGATCACAAAATAGGTATTTTTATCATTTGGCTTTGTAGTTGGCAGTATGAATCTAATATTTGAAAATTGGGGTAGAAACAAAGCGAGATATTTACCAGCGGCTCTACGACGATCTTGGAGATGTTGGTGTTAACGCTGCAAATCTCAGTTTTCATCTCACATCTATCTATGACCATTCGGTGTTTGAAGCATTTTCAAAAGTCATTCAAAAGCTTATTCCACAGCTGGCGACACTAGAGAATTTGCTAAACATGCTTTGCTCTGTAGGAATTTATAATTGTTCAACTAATCGTTGGTTGAAGAGTGGATTGAATGCTAATGACTGTTTTTACTATAGAATACGGGAATTGAAAAAGCATTTTTGTTTGACATGGCATCTAAAATATATATTGCGACAGATAGTTCACCTGTTGATATGCAATCATATGAACTATGCAGCGACATGATTGATGTTGTACTTGACATTTCAAGTATATATTCTGGAGCAACTGTGCAAGGTTCAGTAGCATCATCAACACAATCTCCTGAACAACCCAATTCGCCACTTCGACGAGTAAATCCACTTGGTGACGATAACTATCAAGTTGAATCGTATGCAAGTATTCGGCTTAACAATGGCATGGCACTTTATCTACGTCGTGTAAACCAGTTGAGTGTTGCTGCCATGTCAATCTATCAATATCCTGCATTCATAATACTATTGACTCATTTCTTTTGTCTATTTCGACTTTAAATGGGTTGTATTTTTTCAATGCAATAGACACTTGGTGTTAGTGACGTTATTACGAGAGGAAAATTTTGACAGACAAGGACTTATTGATTACAACTTTCGATGTATTTCAGCTGCTATTGATAAAGTGTTGTCTAAATAAATGCATTAGTTACATTTTAATTATTTGGGCTTGAATCAAAGTAAGTGTTTGAACTATAACTACATGCGAATTGCATTAGTCTGTAATTTTTATAATTCCGAGTTTGATTGCAATATCATCGAGTATACAGTCAATATGTAATATAAAATTTTCATGATGGATGCAGGTGGCATTTATATATTTAAAAACTTGCAAGAATTGCCATCAGATCTTTTGGCAAACATAGGCAAAGTACTCGAATCCTCCGCCTTTTCCCTCGAGTGTCAATGTCGACACTTTAAACTCTGGAATCTCCAAAAAGCGTTTCCTAAAATGTGGTTGAGCAAAAGTGATATGCAGTAAAATTCCACCAGATGAAAGCATCCGAGAAACTTGAGAAATATAGTTTGAAATATCTTGGCACAGATCTGGAGGTGGATTCCAAGGATCGTGCTTGCGAGTCAATAAAGCATCTAGTGTTCCTTTATCAATTGCATACTCGAATGACTGAGCAGGATATACTTGATCCAATTTGAACACATCTGCGACATCCCATGTCATACCAAGCAACTCGCTGCATCGTTTTGTCATGGTGTCGATCACGGCTGGAGAATAATCTACATTGACAATATGAGTCCATCCAGCCTTGTAGAGATCCTCTCCTAATCTGCTGTTACCACATCCCAAGTGTAAAATTCTGCCAGTTTTATTAACCAAAACTTTTGTAAAAGTGTCCTGTATATCGTCAAACCCCTTAAACCAGTCAAATGTTGTCTGCTCTTCACTACATGGTCAATCATTTCAATGAATGGACATGTATTAATACAACGAATGTCAATCATGGATGTAGACAGAGTCCACTATTGAACAAGACATTGCTCTCTTACTGTACATAGCGATCTTCCCAGTAGTCCTGTGTGCCATAAGATTCATTGTTTTCTGGCAGAACATCCAGCATTGACATGGTTGCAGTGGAATAACGAGTTGGTTTAGAAAACACTCGAGTTTGCTGAGCAACAAGAAAACCCGATTTTGATTTTGATGAATTCAATATTTAAATCTAGTTGATTGCACTGCAGAATATAAGTCAAGATGATGAGCGAAGTTGTGTTTACTGCATTTAGTGCTCTAGTTACTATTCTTGGCTCACCCGAGATTGAATTGTTGCAGAATCCTAGCAAAGGACTTTTCTTTATTGTGCTGATAATGCTATTGGGTCGCTTGACTGTCTTCCCTACTCTCCATATACAAGAATACAAAAATAGTAAACAGTCCAACTCCTGGTTTGACTTGGTTTTAAAGGTAATCTAGTCATGACATTAAATATTGTTGTTCAGATCCAGTCAATGATTACTCATGTTGGGTTGATTGCTCGAATAGAATGCTATTGGAGTTGTAGGAAACACTATCCTGTTTTATATACTATGCATTGGATTCGGTGCTCCACTGCTGCTGTATGTTGTTTTTGCTTGCTACGGGTGATTATCCAATTGCTTAAATATTGAATCTGTTCATTGTCATATTTTTGTAGCTGGACAGATCGAACATTATTAGTATCGCTGTATACCGCTGCTCTGGTAAATCCATCAACCTCATCAGTACTCTATAAACTGTTTACCAACACATCATCTAGGTACAATGCATCTTGGCCACATGTTTTTATCATACCAAGTCCAAAATAGCTGACATTTGAATGACATTTTTAACTCTTAAGCGTCAATCTAACCCTTCAAGAAAAACAAACTCTTTGGAGATTTTCAATGACTGTCTTGGGAGGATGGTTTGGAGCATTCATTTTCCCACTTGACTGGCAAAAAGACTACCAAAAATATCCACTTCCCATGATCGGAGGATTGCTTTCCGGTCAATTGATATTCTTTTCAAGCCAACTGATTCATTGGCTGGTTTCATGATTCGGCTAAGCGAGCTCGTTTTGCTTGCGAGATAGTCTCGTGCTCCTTGTCTTGCACTTCAATATTCTTGATTTGAATTCGAAAATCGCGCGCAGTAGATCGCTAATCAAAGTCGTAGTTTCAAACCATTCAGATGCAACGTCAGTTCAACACATGTGGAATAATCTTTTCGCTTTGAAAGAACGAATAGCAGTCTCATCACACATATCCTTATTCTGAAAGTAAATATATATAATTTAACCAATTCTACCTTGATAAAATGTCCTAAATCAACTTTGCTCCGCTTGCTCAACTGAATCAAATGGCGTTCGTATTGCTCAATATGGTAAATTACATTTGGAATCATTTTAGTATCACTTCCAAGCTGCTGTTTTTCCTTGTTCTTCTTTTTAGTTTGCAATAGTTCCCCATCACGCTGTTGCAGATATGGAATAAGAGAGTAAAGCCGTTGAGTTAAGCCTACAGACGCTGTTTTGACAAGCTGAATGAAGCCTGGAGAAAGATGAGATGACACATCCTTTAATCTCTGAAAAGAATTACACATGAGAAACAATGATTTGAGCATTCGAACCGGATATTGATAAAATACGCTCGAGTAATGGATTACCATTTTTGTAATAATTGTAAGTAATCGGTATGTTTTTGCAATACACCGGAGTAAAAGGTCAGAAACAACTACTGGAACACACGCATTTTCAAGTTCGCCTATCATGGTAATCATTTTTACAAAGCGACTCATGAGCCGCTCATTTAGCGAAGCCTCGATCATTTCTGGTTCGGCAGAAAAAGATGTGCAATGAACAAAACACCATTCTATCTGCTCTAATGACGTTTCTAAAAATCCAAGTATACACATCGATATAGGCGTTGCTCTAAAAGCCCATTGTCACACTGTTAAAACAAGAATCAAACGGCATTCCATATCACAATCCACAAAATACATATACCAACGTACGTTTCCTGACAGACAATCGGGAACTCCAGTTGTGGCTGCTCGTCTTCATTCAAGTCTTCATCTATAACAATTTCCCCAAATTCTCGAGCCGTTTCTGTCAATATTTTCTGAAGCTAGAGTGGCAATGGTTTAAATAGTTAGTCGCTATTCAATAAAAAGTAATGACTAACCAACAACAGTCAACTATAAACTCATACCAATGCGGAATCGTTTTCAAGACACGTATTTTGAAGAAACAATTCAAACACTTCTTTGATCATGTTAACGTCAACAATTGATTGCCGAAAGATGGTTAGCATCAACCACTCTTTAATAGTATTGGTGCCAACAGGAAATTTTTTGAGCAGTAATGAAATGCAACGGAATAATGCCAGCGCTTGTTTTGAATATGATCCATGTGCAAGTAATTCTTTCAATGGTATCTACATGAAAACAAACTCAGTTTCAATTCAAACCGCTTCAAATACATTGCAGATCAAAAGTATTTACTTTAAGAGCGCTCAAGGAAGAAACGCCAAGTGTTAATGAGTCTTGAGTTGCGGTGCTATTATCCGTGTTTATAGTCTCATTTTCATCCTGGTCTAGACCCAAGACATACGTAAGCCATGCACTCAAACGTGATTCCATGGCCAAGTGAATGGCAGTATAACATCGCTCAAAACAGTCTATTGCAAGAATAAGCAATTTCTGTCAATTTTTTGTTATCATCGTTTCCCAAAAAACAAGAATTATTAGCAATCTATATTGTTCAAAAACAGCACTTTTAAACCATTTTAAAATCCACCTTGTCACATTTGACGATTTGAGCTCCCTCTGACAAAAATGTCCGATATATTATATTTGCCATACATTTACTTTCCGTGAAAAAGTTGTCATTGTTGAAAGTTGAAAGGTCTTTGGACATCTATTGAGATTTGGTAAGTAGTACTTTTAAACATACACTTTTGATAATAAAGAAAGCAAACATACCAAATTCAGTTGGTTACTGGCTGCAGCAAAAATAAAAATGCCCATTTCACTGCTACTATGACTGCTTTCAAAAATCTTGCAAATAATCGGTGCACATATTTGAAACGATAATACACATGGAACGCGTTTTTCCTTGTACCCGAATCTATCTATTATTTAGCATGATTTTAAATGCTAGACTGCTTAATGAGCCAATATAAAGACAATTGCAAATAAAATACTACTTTTTGAAAAAAAATCTTTTTGAACGCCTTTAAGTTCACGGAGTCGCTTGAATAGACTAACCACAAACTCTGACCATTCGTCTAGTCCGTCGCCATGTAGAAAACAGTGACCCAGCATTGCCTATCACCAAAAATTATTTTTAGCAATCCAGTTGATACAGTAAAACATTTCAAATCAAAATAAATAAAAACAAAACTAATACAAGATATAGTTACCTCATAAACACCAATCATCATTTGAAGTCTAAGCTGACGATTCTCCAATTCATCAGAATCAATCTCAACATTGCTTGGCATTTTCATTTCTTCAAGAGGAAGATCCTCAAGATGAAGTTTTGTAAAAGTACCAATGACACGCAACAAAGTACCCATCATTGCTGCATGTTCGATATCACTTGTGTTTGATAGTGCCGATTCTTTGGACAAAATAACACTCAAAGTATGAAATAAAACTCCAAGTGGTTCTAAAGTCGTAACGCGATTCACATTATAGTCAGTAACATTTCTTATATCATTCAGACAATCAAGTCATGCTACCTATAATCTCTATAGTGCGTTGCTTTTTCGAATAGCAAAGATCGAATTTCAGTCCTTCTCCATTTGGCTCTAGATATTGTGATAACTATTTAAAAATAATAAGTTGAAAACAATGCATTTTACGGCATGCTTGATTTGTAATGATAATGTACCTGAGTCCAAACAATACTTAAAATTGTATCAGTCAGTGATGGGCTGGTACATACAATACTCAACATTTGAGTGTAAAGTCGGTCACGAATATCCGCTTGTTGGGACAAAAAGCGTCGCAAATAGCCTATTTATAATATCCACAACAGATACTCTTTTAAATATATATTCCAAATGCTTGACACAATAAATCTACCTACCAATAAGCTCAAACTTGGTGGTATGATCAAGAACTAAATTGTTTTCAAGTTTGTCAATGCTCACAAGCAGGTTTAGGAGTCCATTCAATGCGGTTTCGCGAAAGGCAAGCTCTCTATAGTCAAACAATAGTGCTGTCAATATTGAATAGTAAATGGTTTGCTTAAAAATATAATTCTGACAGAAAACAATTAAACTCAAATATTACCTTTGAAATGATCCTTTTCGGAGAACAAGCATTGTGCTGTCAAAGATTGAACGATCACACACAATCAAGGGAGAAACAGCCGATATAAACCTTTTTCTGACATCTTCGGGCATGGCATATATATTGTTGACCATTTCCTTGATCTGAATTGAACCAGATGGTTTTAAGGTTAAATTCATACTTTGATAACCAGTGGTGAGTGAAATCCGTTACTAACCATAGTCAAATATTGGCACATTAAAGTCTTTTCGTGACATAGCTGTTCAAACACAGCAATGGCTCGTATCGATGCATCTGATTTGAATAGCATTCGATCAAATAAACATTCTAATACAATATTTTGCATATATGCATGCGACTGTACATTTATGTTAATGGAATATGGTAGCACATGCATATTTCGCAATATATTCAGTCTAAATTCATACCTTGAAAATAGATACTAGTATAGTATTGGCCATAGACAGTCTAGATTGTCAATACATAAACATCAGCCAATGGTCTATATATTACAAACAGCTTTAGTTATAGACATTGCAAATGGCTCACCGTTTTTGCTGAACCGCATCTCCCTTTCTTTTGGTGGCACTATTTGGGCTATCTAAAATGCAACATCCAAGTTTGAGTAAAGCTGAAACAATCTGATCAGTCACCCCAGATCCGCCAAAAATGTCTGGATCAAGCATTGTAGCGATTTTCAGCTCAAAATTATATGAGTGCATGTTCATAACATCTGGACCAAACATTTATCAAATACATGATGGATTAGTTGTGTATTAGATTAACATTCAAATCTTTTATAAATAAAACAAGACTAACCAGATAGCCAATGAATATTACGAGTGCAATCTACAGCTTCCAGCCATACTTTCATGGACGCCAAAATAAGATCCAGAGTCTATTCATACAGTATCAAAAGTATATTCAATAAGATGCACTAATGTTTGCAAAAATAAAGCCATGACAAATCAAAACCACTCACAGCTGTTTCAAACTGAGGCACATGTACAATCAATAGCAACAGTGCAAAGTTATAATTGATAAACACTCTTGTGTGATCGTTGCGTATCCACTTTGTAAACTCTTCACAAAGACTCTGATTTAAATCAACAGGTTAAATGATAGAATGCCAAAGATACACAAGAGTTCAACCTTTTACCTGATCATTGCGTATGGCAAAAGATATATTTGTCAAAATCGACCCAATAATGTGACGCGAAACAACCGATTCTGTGGATCTAACCGCAATCGCATGTTAGTAGCACCATTTTGTTGTACTGTATCTATTTGAACAAAATAGCTAAACTTACCCAACAGATGAGAACCAGTCAAAAAGCATTTTGGAAAGCGTTGATAAAATCATGGACTTTTCTCCCTATAAATAATCTACGTAAGTAGTCGGATATGTGCTTAATTTACACTAAATTTAGACACCCGCACCTTTTTAGACAGCAGTATCAGTGTGTGTGCAATATTTGGTTTGTCATGATCAGAAATCGCGGGGAAGCACCTGTTTAGTTTCCAACAAGCCATTCATCAATTCAAAAACCATGGCTCATCAAAATAGTTTCCTGGAAATTAAAACCCACATACTCTATAACTTTCCGAGTAAACATCTTGGTTTCTTCAAATGTCATTTCAACATCGGTGAGAACGGATATGATATTGAGAGCATTCTAAAAGGAATACGAATTGGGATTTGTGATTTGGTGCAATAGGTAAGTAAAAATAAGCATAGTAAACTGTTAATTCAAATATACACAGCATCGCATACCGAAGCAGGAAGCCATACGCTTGAAAAAATACAACCAAGAAGTGTAGATTTATATTCTGACCCTGATACTTTTTGAAATGCTTCTTGGCCACGCGGTTCTGTATTTTCGTCAGAAACTCCAGTTATACTGTCCACTTCGAGTACAAGTTTTCGAACGTTTGAAATCATCACCATCATGGCGCTCATAAGCTGTAAAAACGAGATTAAATTGAATTGAATGAATAAAATAAATGCAATAAAGAGATGATAAAATTCCACAACACAGTATAAGTGAGACTAAAAATCAATATTATTGTGAAAAATAACAACTCATTCAAGAATAAAATGCAAATTCAACCCAATTTCAAATTGTGCTCAAGAAAGTGTATTTACCTCGAGTGTGACTTTATCCAAAACCACCGCTTTATGAAATGCTCCGACTATTTGAGCAAGACCTTCGACACAATTTTCAAGCTCAAACTCGGACAGCTAAAAGTAGCAATGCAGTGTTGGTATGATTTTAAACGATCGTTGTTTAAAATAGTAAATCTCATGCTTACTTACATTGTTGATTGCAGTCTTAGTGACCATGATTAAAACGTCCGCACTGGGATATTTCTGAGTCGAGTTTGATTTAACTAAAAATTGTACGAGTTGTTTCCAAACAATATTCTGAATGGATCTATGTTTGACTAGATTGAAAGTGTTCTCCGACTTTGTTAGGATGGCATCGACCAATACCGAATAATATTGACAATACTAGATGGAGTGTTATAGAATGAAAGCTTATTACACCTTTTAGTAGTTGACAGAGGACTGTTCCTGTATTAGAGTTTGCATTGATCCACAAATGCAATATTTCCTGTTCAATCTGTTGAAATTTAGCACATTGTAGAAGCGCATGAATACATATTGAAAAGGATTGTTTTTGAACAAGCAATAGTATGCATGGAGTCTTATGGCTTGGTATCTGCAAAGTTAAAGCACTCACTTGATCCTCGGAGACTTTATCCACCAATGCATGAATAGCAGTGCGAGAAGAGCTAGTTCCAGAATCATTTGCAGCAAGTATACGATCGACAAGATCTTTTGCAGTTGCACTCATCTGTTAAGACTGCAAACTACTAATGAATTCCTGTTTAATATAAGCCAATTTGTAGATTTAATGTCCGAATTTTCGTACAAAATCATTCAGTATTCACGTGACTCATTGGTGCTTTGATTTCATTGTAAAAATTGAATTGTTTGGACTTGCATTTCCATCAGCTGCAATTACAGCGACAGATTCGCCATGTTGAAATCAAGCCAAACATTTTATTAAATTGAGTTTTCATTTGAACAGAATTGGTTTCAAATATGAATCTGTCGACTCGACCATAACCTCGTTATTTCGTCACAGAGGCTCCGTAACTCTGCTTTACAGATGCTCCATTTTGATTCTCCCACTGACTCTTGATCTGTAAATCAATATATAATTTTGGATTTAGCTTATGTCATCTACTTTAATATTTTTAATATCAAGCTTTTACCTTGGTTTCGTGGTGTGCAACTACCGTGGCGCGCAAATCTGGCAAACCATCATGGAATTGTATTTATCAATCTAGCAAGCCATCACGAAAATATAAAAAACTATATTTGCTTACCTGCCATGTCTTTTTGAGCGTTTTGACTCTTGTCTTCAATAGTTTTTTGCTTTCCCCATCTTTGGTCTTTTTCTGATATCTCATTCACAAAATCGGGATCAGATGTCCAGTCATCCTCATTGTTTTGTGCAATAGAAACTGCGTTTTCTACAGTATTTGATTTATTCGTGATGGTAGCTGTTGATTTCCACATAGTATTGGGTGTAAGTTTGGTAATAGTGTTGACCAAACTCGAGATTTATAAAAACAATACAATGCAAATTGCTCAGATTTTAAACACGTGATGCAATGAATGGACTAGATAGTTTTTGAAAACGAGGCTCGTCACGAGAAAGCATTTCCAAACGAGTATAATTGCATCTTGCATAAAACAGCAGCGCCAATCTAACTATTAAAAATACATTTTTATATACCTGACTGAGTTTTATCAGTTGAAGTTTAATTTTTGTAGCCGACTCTTAATAAAACTATGGATTCAAATGATGAGGAAGCCGATATAGTGCTTTCCATGAGCATGCCTGCAATGAACCAAATCATGTCCAGCGAAGATATTAATCGACGACGCACAAGTAATTGTCCAACACTTGCTGACGAGCATGACTGGAGCGATGCTGACCAGGTGCAACAGAAAATAGATTATTCTATTATTCCTCGCAATACCAGCTTTGGCTCCATCTCTGCCCATATTGATAACCTTTCAGAGCTACGGCATGCCAGTCTTGATGAACTCAAGGTATGTTTTATCATATTGGAATCTAAACTCCAAGGCATGCTAAAATGTAACGCGAAGGTTGATTCTGAAACTTACTGACACGTAGATTTGATCACCCACAGTCTGCCAAACTCGATGATTTCCAGGGTATGACTAACCCAAAGGTAGGAAATCACAACACTGATACGGCTGAAGGATTTAAAAAGTATGGATGGTTTGCTACAACAACAAATCGACTAGTCATGGGATCAAAGGGTATGTATAGCTTTCATTCCAAATTTCACTACTGGAATGGTTGTGCAAGACTCCAGCCATAGTAAACGCTGCCAGTATACCATGTTAACGTATTTCAATATTAGATAAGCATTCAAAAGACGAAAAAAAGAGTTTGGATGAACTTTCAAAATACGGATCTAGTACATCTAGCTCGGCTCTATCAAAGAAAATGGAAAAAAGATACGGTGCATCTTCGTCCAACATCTCAGACATTTCGCTACGAGGAAGTTTTGGTACTATATTTAATACAAAAGGCCATCACCGAACGCATTCCGATCGGAAAAAAGGAAAGAATGCTTGCTATTTAATACACCAAGTATCGAGTGACACTAACCTTGACCCTGCATTAAAACTACACAGAAGAAGACCTTGCTGATTCTTATAATCCAACTCAAACTCAATTGAGTCAATCCGAATCAGGTATTGATGCATGCCACGCGCTACTGTGATATAATATCTAGATAGTGCAACAGTTTGGCAGTTTCTTGCAAATCAACAAAAAGATTTGCCAATAAGCTTAAACGTAAAACACTAATTTAATCAACCAAATGCCTTGTATTGAAATAGTTGAAGAATCAATTTTAGGTGTAGATGCATTTAGAGTGTTTTCCAATACTGTTTTGGTAGAAGAAGTATCAAACAAGCCTGTTCAAGTAAATGTGTGCTGGCGGCAGTCGTTTATCAATACAAAAATAACCTTGGATACACTGGTCAAGGATGCGATTTTCACAATTGTTCAGGATATAAAAGCTGAAAAGTCGATTGCCAATGACATAGATATGATATCAGATTTATCTTTATTAGTACTAGGAAAGGTGGATTACAATTCACCGGGTCTTAGGGTTTGGCTCAATCCCGATAGCAATTTTGCAATCTATGATATCAAGCAGGGGGTAATCATGTTGACTGCTCATTGGCTTTTGTTTAAATAATACTAGATTGTTTGCTCACTGCATATTGTCGTGGTTAAATGTTTAGGATGAATTACTTTTAAAGTATACTTTGGATATTGGAGTAGTTTTAGTTTCAATCCCTGCACGGTCAACAAAGATCCATCTGGAATACAATTTTGATTTTTTGGTATCCCATGCAATCGCGATGCTTCGTAACCCTGACTCGGATACACATTTAGACAAAAAGGAGCGCTGGGGGCTATATTGTCCACGGTTTGGAATGTGGTTGGATGAAACAAAAACCTTGTTTTCATACAACTTTACGACAGATGTAAGATTGAAGGAATTAGTGTGATGTTTCGTAACATGTATCAAGATTGCTTATTTTGATACCACATCCTTGTTTTTGACTGATATTGATAGACAATTTTGGAGCTACGGGCACTTGTAAATGAGTTTCTGCTCCGCTTATACCTACCTGATTTTGATCAAAAGATTGCCATTAAAGTTCTACCAAGTTTGCTAGTTTCCGGTATAATCTTGATTCTGTGTATTTTCACAGCCTCCTTGTATATAATGATAATCTTACATTCTACTATTAAAATATGGCAAATAGATGTCATGGCAATGGTTCAATGCCAACTTCATAACAGAAAACTCAAACTATATACCAATGGACAATATGGCCTGTTTATTACATCGACAGACAGTTGGATGCAGCCCGACGCAGTGATTGAATCATACGCTATGGCCAAAACAGTGAGATTTTGCTTCCATTATTAAACTATTTTGTTCATTAAATAAGCGATTGCATTAGCTCTGGATAATTTGTGCGTAATCTGACAGCCTATCTATTTGTTGTAATGGATTGATCGCTGTTAAAAACGCGACCTATGTAGGAGAGCATTCACTTTTGCATTCAATATCAATTTGTAGCAATCCAAACTCCCAATGAAAATTTGAATATTCCCGTAGACAAGCAAATGCTCGTGCATTCCATGCTAAAAAAACTTGAACAGGAAACTCAAAACGCCAATCACGAATCATACTCTCTCTACCTCCCAACGAATGAAAAACTAAAAGATACAGAGGTTTTATGGAATGTCATCAAAGATATCTCAAGCACAGACAAGCTACGATACAGACTGACTTCTCAAAAGGCCTTGATTTCTGCGTTTAAAGTAGAATCAACAGAATCAAACTCGGTAGAAATTGAAGTCGAAGTTGATTTTTCAGAACCACTTAGCTCCATTGTGCATTATTTTTGTAGAAGACTGGGTATACGATACAGTGAATTTTGTCAACTTCAGCTCGTAAATCAAACCAAATTGGATCTCTCCATGTCGTTTTTGAGTCAAGGTGTACCTTTTGGATCAAAGATTTTTGTCGTTTGGAAAACCCATCCCAGCAAAAATGCAAGTATATAAACCGATAAAAATGCCTGGAGTATTTTGCCAAGGGGTTTTTTTTGCTAATCTTGTACTGTGTTAAACGTTGTAGGTATACGGGGAAAATACTGACATGAGTGTTTGGGATGAGGTATTGACTCCCGACACGATTCAAATGGATGTGACTGAGCCATCACGCATCTTATCGGCAACACTAAACAAATTGGTTGAAAAATTGACCGAAGAGAAAGGTCAAGGAACAACCGCTTGTAAGTCAATTGTTTAAATGAATGTCAGGCTGAGCAAGGTTTTGCTAATCTTGCCATTTTCATATTTTTTACAGATCTGGATTTTGTCAAGACGTTTCTATTGACTTATCAATCATTTACTACTTCGGAAATTTTGCTACAAAAACTAAATGACAGGTATACACGGATTGATTATTTTTGATGACAGAGTTTTGGTTATACATGCTTTCAAATAGTTGAGCTTTTTAATGACATTGTTCTGACTACATATTTCTGATTTAATTTTAATTTTGTAGATATGCGGTACCTAACCATAAAAATCTCCCGTGGCCAGAATTTGACAAGTTTCGCACAACAGTTCAACTTCGAGTGTGTAATGTGCTGCTTCAATGGAGCAAAAAATACACATGGGATTTTGTGCATCCCCAACACGGCCAAAAAATATGCAAAGACGCTCTTTATTTTATTGATACAGTGCTTGCTTTTGAGCACGCATCCATGGCAAAGCAGATACGCAAAAACATTTTCAAACTTGTATGTATCACTATTTATACTGGCTGATATTCAGAGTTGTTTGCCATCTTATTGTGTCGAATAGATTTATAAAGCTATATTCTGTTGTATACTTGTCTTGTTAATACCATACTTTGTGCTTATGTATTTGTTGTCGATTTTTGTGAATAATACACGGTTACATACAGTCTGATGGATCCGCAATGTCGACCACTAATCAACTACTTTCTTCTTGGAAAGCCACAGTCACTGTTCGATCAGACCCAAACGGAACTGTGTTTGGATACTCAGCAGAGGAAATAGCACAACAACTGACAATGATTGAAGAGTACTTGTTTTTTGTTATCATGGTGAGGCTCTTGGTCCTGCTTAAACCCAAATCTATACAATGTATCTAGCCGTTCTTGCCTAATTCAAAGTTGATGCGTTTAATTGTGTTTTTTAAACTTTTAGCCATCGGAACTGCTGGGCCAAGCCTGGACCAAAAAGGATGCGATTACTCGTGCACCTGGCATCACTGCCCTGACTCGAAGGTTCAACGCTGTCGCTTGCTGGGTGGGATGGGTACGTATTCATGATTGAAAGTTTATACACAAAACTGTAGAAAAAAAGAAATCTTCAACTGTAACACACCAAGAGCAGTGAAATGATTACTCGAGTTTTAAATCAACTAATCATTGCAATGCGGATTGTTTCAAACAGGCTATTCTTGATGGAAAAACACCAAAACTGAGAGCTGAACGGCTCGGTAAACTAATAGATATATCTCAGGTATTGAGATGTTTTGTGGCTACAATTACAATTTTGCTTGAAGCCAGCTAAATGTGTGACACTGTTTCAAACTTAGCATCTGCTTTCTATGGGAAATTTTTCTACTCTTATGGCCATCATTGCAGGCATAAACAAAGCAGCCATCAGTCGTTTAAAACAAACATTCAAGGAGCTTCCTGCCAAATCTGCAAAAGTATGAATATTTAGTATGCCAAATTTTGCATAAATGTTTAAATTACAACACTCACCTTTTTAAATGAACACGTTTAGCGTATTGCTGAGCTGGAAAAATTAATGTCGGCACAAGGATCATACAAGCAATATCGTGCCAGTATTCGGTCATTAACTCCTCCATGTATTCCATACATAGGTATATTAGTATTGTATAAACATGGTGCAAGAATAGAATCTAATTTTTTAATCTGTTTGAAAACGGATATAGGAACATACTTAATAGACTGTAAGTTGGTTTGATGTGGTTATTTATTGAAAATCCAAAGTGAATAGTATCAAACAGCTAACCAATTGCAACAGTGACATACATGGAAGATGGAAACCCTGATAATATCCAAAACAGAATCAACTTCAGTAAACGCGAGCTCATCAGCGGAGTGATACGGGAAATGGTAGGATACCAGCAATCTTCATATATGATCAAGCCACTTGAAGAGCTCGCCACTATCTTGTCAAACATTCCTGAAGCCTCTGAAGATCAAGAGAAAAGAATGTGGTTAGAAAGCAAAAAGCTTGAATAATAATAAACCATATAAATAGAAAACATGCTCACAGTTGTGTGAAGGCGGAATGTTTTTGCGAGAGTGAATTCCATTAAGAATAGAAGCTGCCGAATCGCCAAGGCGCTCCTTATAATGTCTTTTTTCCTGTCCAATATCCACCTAGATAAAACAATATCAGTCAGTAAAACGCATATTATTTTTAGAAATACAGCAGTAATCTTGTCAAAAAATTGACTTGTATTGAACATTTACCTGCTGAGGACGGAAAATAGGAACACGATCCTTTAAACATAATATAGGCATAGTATTAATTAAAGTGGCATTATTCGTAGCAAATTACTATAAAAGGCAACAAAGCAAGTCACGTACATGAAGTTGTTCTCGCCAATGGGCTTGTGTTGCAGAATGACACATTGAAAGGGGTAAATATCGATATAGTAAGCATCGTGGCTTTGGCTATGATTTGATTTGATTCAACCTACCAAGCCATCCAGCAGTGCGAGCAATGCAAAACAGAACGGGAAAAAAGTCGGTTGGAAAGCCCATAGCTTTGTAGATAAGACCGCTGTAGAAATCAACATTAGGATACAGATTACGCTTGATAAAATATTCTAAAGATTAAATTCCGCCAAGTAGATTTGCAAAAAGCATCAGCAACTCTAAACATAAACCATGAAAAACATTAAATAAGTATGGCACACCGTCACTCAAAGCAATTCTTTCCAGTTCAAGCGCCACATTGACCAGATCGCTTCGGCCCATAATATCAAATACTTGACTGGAAATCTATAAAACACCATGCCGTATAACAGCACATCACTTAGTATTACAAATCATGGCTTTACATAGTATTTTGTTTATATAGCACCAACTTTTTTGAGAATTTTGGCTCGAGGATCATAGCTTTTATAAACACGATGGCCAAAACCCATGAGACGACGTTTCTTGGCCTTGACTTCCTATAAATCATACAAAATACATGCACTGGTTGTGAGACAATTAAAAGCAGCAGAATCAAAACAAACCAGCATCTAAAAGCATACCTCGATAAACGCGGGAATTTTCTCAATACTACCTATTTCTTCGAGCATTCTCAGTGCAGCTTCGTTGGCACCACCATGTGACTGGTTTTCAGTTAAAAATTCAATCATGGCATGTTAGCCTAATCTCGGTTGGTGCACATTATAAACTATCTAATCGAAAAACCAACTTACAGGTCCGTAGAGAGCAGATGAAGCACCTATCGAATACATTATGATTGTTTGTATACAAAACTATGGATTTTAGAAAAGTAAACGTTGCTTGTAAAAATGGGTTTATACATACCAGCTAGACACACAAAGGGATCGGTACCCGTGGATGCCATTTGACGCATGGCAGCAGTTGAGCAATTTAACTCGTGGTCAGCATGCAAAATAAAGATTACATCCAAAGCATGAGCCAGCTGTGGATGAGGTGTATAGTTTGTTTCAGACAGTCTGTCAAGCATATACAAAAAGTTTTCAGTGTATTCAAGCTCATTGGACGGAGTGTTGTAACTTCGTCCAATACGATGACGATAGGCCTATTGTTGAACCAACAAGAAATGAAGAGTCTATGAATATACACGTCGTAACAAATGCAATTAAGTATCGCAATACACTCACACATGCAGCCAAAGTAGGTAGTTTTCCTAAGCAACGAAATATTTGTTTGTTAACCATTGATTCATTTTCGTAAATATCCTGTGTACATTCATCCAAAAATTAGTTTTTTAATGGCATAGACAGTATTGAGATCCAACTGTTTTTATAAGCCACATGAATAGAAGCACAGTACCCACCTCGCCACATAGTGCAGTGCTGGCTAAAATAGTTGGTTATTGACACGGGTAAACCAAAATAGGCAATGCGAGTGTTGCATTAGTCAATCCGAATAAAATTTATCATGAAGAAGCCTAGTATTATCAACTGTTGGAGTTATTGCTTTACCTTCTGGATGAAAGGTCGACATGGCCTACATACCCCAAACAAGTTAGCTACATTTGAATGCAAAATATAATTCAAATATAGGTACATACAGCAATAGCAGAAACCAGCATGCCCATAGGATGAGCATCGTAACGAAAGCTCTAAAATTTGAATTAGTCAAAATTAGCTTGTATTGATGCATGAGATTGAGAATCTTACAATCTACAAGGGTTGCAACATAAGTGTAAATCCAAAGTAACTAGCCAACCTTTAGATAGTCGATCATGTTTTCGTGAATAAATGTATGCCTCTGTACGCGAGTAGTCCATTTCTTTAAACCAGCATATGGAAATACATGCAGGTATTAGTTGTATTAACAGGCTTCGAGTATATTTCAATTAGTAGACCCTTGTTTTTAATCCACCGAATTGGTATTCGTCACACCAGAATTGACAGAGCACAATACTAGTCTACTCTTACCTCCAACTGATCACCAGAAGGAAGTTCGCCAAATATAAGAAGATAGGCGACTTCTAAAAAAGTGGACTTTTCTGCCAACTCTTCAATGTCGTATCCACGATATCTAAGAATTCCCTTGTCACCATCGATATAACTAGAATAAACAAGTAGGTATCAATGCAAATCAGCAATTAAAGCTTAAAACTAACTGTATAGACTTTTGACGTAGCCATTACCTAATTGCAGAGCGACAAACAGCAGTGTTCATATATCCATGGTCGTATGCTGTCAAGCCAAGTTTAGCAAATGCAGTCGTGTCAATAGTATCATCCTTGACAGGAACAAAAGTCGTTTCACCAGATCGATTGTCTGTTACTTTCAAGCTAGAATAAACAGCAGTTTATCAGATTACAGCAATAATTGCCATAGATTAGCATATGTTGAACACTAAAAATAAACCAGATGATCATATCGACTTGACCCAAATGAGCCATGATAACATGATTATTTAAAGTTTAGAATATATATTTTTAATCATCATGACAGTTACCAACGACCAGCAGTAACACTCATGAATGCAGTAGGATGAATGGGTAGATTCAGATATAATCGAAATGGTCAACTGCACGAGTGTTCAAATAGAGAACAGACCCCAAAATATTGACACTGCCGTATATAGTGGTCAGTCTCTATATTTGGATTCCATTTTGATTTCATTTTGACTGAATTCGTATTTTAATACGATAAATGTCCGCTGCTCGTTTGCCTTGTGAAAGATCGTATTTGGTCTCTGCTCCTGGAAAGGCTATTATTTTTGGTGAACACGCTGTTGTTTATGGAAAGGTTGTTTGCTTTCTACTATTCGAGCGGCTGCCATCATTTTAAACTTATTGCTGTAATGGGTGTTTAGAGTGCAATCGCTGCCAGCATTGATCTAAGAACAACTGCAACTATCCGTCCTATATCCGACTTTATTACTCTGAGTCTGCCTGATTTGGATTTTGTGTTCAAGTGGTCTGTTTTATTGTTTAATGAAATACGTGAGTGATTATCTCGATTTAACAAGTGCAGCTAATATGGCTCAACACATTCATGACAAATATACTCATGGCATCTTGTTGGTATTATTATAGCACATGCCACTTTATTACCCTTGAAAATTCAGCATGATTCTTTGAATATGATGATGTCCATGCTTCCTGCAACCTGCTCTGAAGTGGTTAAACAATCTGCATCTGCATTCTTGACACTCTACACGCAAATATGTCATGTTCGGTCTGGATTCCACTTGGATGTGACCTCTGCATTACCCATTGGTGCCGGATTGGGCTCATCTGCGTCATTCAGTGTCTGCGTAGCTTCATTGCTTTTACTTTTTTCTGGGACTATTCAGATGCCCATTACTGCTACAGATCAGTTTTCTTCTCATGATCTGAATCTGATCAATAACTGGGCATTTATTTCTGAAAAAGTCATTCATGGAAACCCATCTGGTGTTGATAACTCTCTGTGCACTTTTGGTATGCAGATCTAAGTTTTGAAACCGCTGTACTTTGTAATGTTGAATCTAGTTTGCCAAGCTTATTTCAAATCTCTTGTAGGTGGTGCACGTGTATATACAAAACTAGAAGGCATTCAAGAACTAAAAGGGTAAGATATTTGTGTTTTTTAAAGTGATGGAATGGCTACTGATCTTACTATTTAATGCGCTTTGGGTGATACTACTGGTTATGATTGCATAGATTTCCACAGCTCGAATTCATTTTGACCAACACAACTGTTCCAAAAAGCACCAAGCACGAAGTAGAAAAAGTCCGACTTCGTCGTGAGAAAGTAAATTCAATGGCCTTGATTGATATCATGTCGTTTGATGTGTTTATATGTGAATGGACTAAAAGACTACTTTTGGCAATCCACACTTGTAAACTAACACTTGTTTTAAATATCTACTTGGATCTAGTTTCCATATATTGTTAATTCTTTATTGGACTCCATTCAAGCCATCTCGGATTGCTGTACCTCAGCATGCCTAAAAAATGGTATGATACAATGTTAAAATATGTATTATACATTTAAAATAACCAGTGTTTGTAGCAGACTTGTTGAGTTTTTAATCTTGTGAACAGATCAAAACACAATTACATTATTGGACTTGATCGAGCAATTTGAAGTGAGTTTAATTTTATAAGATATAAAGTATATAGATTAAGGCAACACTGTTTTACATCAAACTGTGATAACTATACAGGTTCTTGTTGATATGAATCAGTCTATCTTAGTGGGGCTTGGGGTCAGCCATCCCAAACTGGAGTTGATTCGACTGATTACTAGTCAACACGGTCATCGTTCCAAGCTGACAGGAGCAGGTGGAGGTGGATGTGCCTTGACCATAATTCGACCAGGTGGGTTCAATTTCAGTTTTTTGTGCACTATGCAATAGATTACTAAGCTTACTGCCAATAGGTACAACTGAAAAAGATATATCAACTCTTTGTGATGCTCTTGAATGCGAGGGATTCCAGTGCTTTCGAGCACAAGTTGGATGTAAAGGAGTTCAAGCTTGTTTAATCGAATAATCAATGAAATCAAATGATGGACTTGGAATGATAAATTATCGTGTAAATGTCCGAGTCTGATACATGTTGATATATGTGTGTCGATCAACAATGCATATTTATAATCACTACAGTTGAATGTGAGTCGAATCAGTCACTAAACCAACGAATCAATGATTGCACTCTAAATATGGTGTGATTTGATGCGACATGACAATATATTATCCAACAGGTTCAACAACATACACAACACCAATATCCAATACATCACACATGTATACACTGCATATACAAGCAGTAGCAATGATCGATCAAAACCAACAGTGGCAGAGTTACTCATCAACATATAGTCGATCATCAGTCGAGTCTGCATATATCAATCAGTTGCAACACGTCATAATCAATGTGGATTGTATTGCTCACCAATCGATCATGACAGCTAATCAAAACCAATCATGTAATCAGTACAATCACCAACATATCGATGATTGTTGACTTGTGGTTACAACTCGTCAATTGCATCCAATGTTACAGGTGATGCACATCTGATTACTGCAAATCAACAACTTGTCAAGCATATCATAGTGTGTATTGCCAACAAACCATGCAATTACAAATCAATGTATACGTGATCAACATTTGATATTTGATGGTGATGAGCCAACCATGATTGATTGTATCATACAACTAATACAGCTGCACTGTCTGGTATGTATGATCGACCCAGTCATGTCAAACAGTAACCAATGTGTGTATATCAAGTTTGTGTTGCATGGACACATCAAGGTGTTTGATAACGAGTCCAACGTGATGATACAAACCCAATATTATATGAATATCCAAGTTGATGAATCAAGTCAAGGTTTGCAAAGTGTCGATATGTCAGGTCAATCAAACGAACCAGTCAACCATTATATTGTGACTAGTGATGTCACGGCTTGAATGTCAACGAGTTAGACAGTCGACAATATGGGTGATTGTGATTTGGTCAAACCGCAACACTTGCATATCATTGAGTCGGTTTGATGTGTGTGGTGTAAGTAGTATGTATAAACTCGTTGATATTATGCACTATAACCAATATACACCACATATACAGTGGTAAACACCAACGTGCAGTATATCCAGTGATCGTATACTGGCTGACTGGTGCAGTATGATCAAGCTACTGCATTATTGATAAATATGTTTACAAGCAATGATGTGTACTGTCAGAATATTTCGAGCTTCTTGATTTGTTTTTAAATGTAGTAAAGTATAAAGTATAAAGTAGAATATAATCTGTAACTGTTAGTAGTTATCAGAAGAGAACAAATCAGAAGTGTAAGAGGAAGTTGCACTTTAAATCAAAATCAACAGACTTAGTCTTTTCAACCGTAGTGAAAAGATGTAATAAAGTAGTTAGAAAGATGAAATAGTTTGAAGAGTTGTTTATTGATAAAAGTAAGCATTCTAGCTTTTATAGTAAAATAAGAAGTAGTTAAGGGAGAGAGTGGAGATATAAGATCTTCACTCTAAGCTTCGCCGTTGAGGGTTCTCAGCTTCCCAGTTCTTGTATAAAGGGAACGATAGTCATCGCCTTAAATAAGTTTCACCTTGCGTATAGCTTATTTGTTATACAATGCTTGTTAGTTTATGCAGCATCCATACCATCCATTGTTTGGGATTTTAAGTTGGTACTTTTTTATAGAATTAGCTTTGCCATAGGTTACCGCTTAAGGATATCTGTCTGGATATTCCAACATGTACGAGTAATATTTGTGTATTATCACATGGTGACTACAATATACTTTATTGTGATGGGCTACACAACACATTCTTGAAATCACTAGCCCTGATACTACTCTTCCAGCTCCAACAGCGAGCCATCGTATAAAGGGATTCCTTTCTCAGAGTCGCATTCACATGTATAAAGGTGAAACAACATTAACTCTGACAACACTAGTTCCTTAGGGCGGCTACCTAGGGAGTCTGCTTTTTAATATTACCCGCCAATAATGGATATAAATACGATCCAACATCGAACTGTTGAATGACATTTACAACAACTTGCGCAACCAAACCAGTATAATGAAACTATCAATCACCATACTGTCATCGATCCTGGCTGTTTGCTCGGTTACTGTCGCCAATCCAGTCGATCCCAGTTCGACCATGAATGCTGAAGCTAGTGCTTCGACCACAAGCACTGAGGCTAGTACTTATACAATGAGTGCAGAGGTCAGCACTCCGACAGCCTCTACAAGCGGGGGTTCAACTGGTGAACCTGACTATTCGAATTTTCCTGAACCATACAACAAACTTGGCAGATATTGCTATCCATTGGGTCTTCATCAAATGATGCTTATTGAAATAGCTGCAAGAAATTATGCTAGAGTCAAAAAAGTGTCAGGTGGAATTAAACTCCTAATTGATAAGATTGATCTTCAAAAAAAATTAATTGAGGAACTGAAGCAGCAAGCCGAAACTCAGGGTCAAGCTTCAAGCGGTTGGTTGGATACTGCTAAATCTGAGCTTGAAACGCAGCAAAAAGTTCTTGACGGATTCGAAGAATCGATGAAAAATCTCTTTGAGAAAATTGAGGATTTGACTAAAAAATATAAGGATTCAGAGAAAGAACTTAAACAGCACTTGGGTCTGGATCCATCAGTGGATGATGAGGATGACCTACAATTGGAATCAATTCCCGGATATGAGGAATGCTTCGACTATTTCTACAATCGCCCATTACAGCGATTGACATAATCCGGGCATAGCTCTACTAAAGCAATCGGACTTTAATGTTGGCATACATTATTTGTGTTTATCTGTGCTACACCTATACTTGTAGTACGTAAGCGTAGTCACCACTGATGATGACATAGTGCTTAGGGACCTTGAACAATGATGTTTAAGATGTGCCATCATATCGTTCTTAGATTACTCCACTACTTTCTCTTGTAAAAAGATCGAATTCTTCTGATTAATAAAACATCCTTTGAACACAACCTAAAAACCTTTGAAATAATTCTATAACAATCTATCAAGTTCGACTCTCTATTCTGTTGATTTTGACTTGGTGACAACTCCTTATTATCGTCCAAGTTCTTTTCTGACTGATCTTTTCTACAGCGACAGACTATTATATTTTACTAATTGAAAGACAGTATTTTTCTCTATTTTCTATTTCTATTTTTTACGATAAAACCTAAATTCATTAATAACTGATATACACCATGTTCGAGTCTGATACATGTCGATATATGCGTATCAATCAGCAATGCAGATTTGTGGCCATTACAGTCGAATGTGAGTCGAGTCGATCATTAAACCAACGAATCAATGATTGCAGTCTAAATGTGGTGAGATTTGATGCGACATGACAATATATTGTCCAACAGGTTCAACAACATACACAACACCAATATCCAATACATCACACATGTATACACTGCGTATACAAGCAGTAGCAATGATCGATCAAAACCAACAGTGGCAGAGTTACACATCAACATATAGTCGATCATCAGTCGAATCTGCATATATCAACCAGTTGCAACACGTCATAATCAATGTGGATTGTATTGTTCACCAATCGATCATGACAGCTAATCAAAACCAATCATGTAATCAGTACAATCACCAACATATCGATGATTGTTGACTTGTGGTTACAACTCGTCAATTGCATCCAATGTTACAGGTGATGCACATCTGATTACTGCAAATCAACAACTTGTCAAGCATATCATAGTGTGTATTGCCAACAAACCATGCAATTACAAATCAATGTATACGTGATCAACATTTGATATTTGATGGTGATGAGCCAACCATGATTGATTGTATCATACAACTAATACAGCTGCATTGTCTGGTATGTATGATCGACCCAGTCATGTCAAACAGTAACCAATGTGTGTATATCAAGTTTGTGTTGCATGGACACATCAAAGTGTTTGATAACGAGTCCAACGTGATGATACAAACCCAATACTATATGAATATCCAAGTTGATGAATTAAGTCGAGGTTTGCAAAGTGTCGATATGTCAGGTCAATCAAACGAACCAGTCAACCATTATATTGTGACTAGTGATGTCACGGCTTGAATGTCAACGAGTTAGACAGTCGACAATATGGGTGATTGTGATTTGGTCAAACCGCAACACTTGCATATCATTGAGTCGGTTTGGTGTGTGTGGTGTAAGTAGTATGTATAAACTCGTTGATATTATGCACTATAACCAATATACACCACATATACAGTGGTAAATACCAACGTGCAGTATATCCAGTGATCGTATACTGGCTGACTGGTGCAGTATGATCAAGCTACTGCATTATTGATAAATATGTTTACAAGCAATGATGTGTACGAGTAATATCTGTGTATTATCACATGGTGACTACAATATACTTTATTGTGATGGGCTACACAACACATTCTTGAAATCACTAGCCCTGATACTACTCTTCCAGCTCCAACAGCGAGCCATCGTATAAAGGGATTCCTTTCTCAGAGTCGCATTCACATGTATAAAGGTGAAACAACACTAACCCTGACAACACTAGTTCCTTAGGGCGGCTACCTAGGGAGTCTGCTTTTAACATTGCCCACACAATAATGGATATAAATACGATCCAACATCGAACTGTTGAATGATATTTACAACAACTTGCTCAACCAAACCAGTATAATGAAACTATCAATCACCATACTATCATCAATCCTGGCTGTTTGCTCGGTTACTGTCGCCAATCCAGTCGATCCCAGTTCGACCATGAGTGCTGAAGCTAGTGTTTCGACAGCTTCTCCTGACGTGGCTATAGCTAGTGGGTCTGTTTTTACAATTCCTTTAAATCCGTATATGGCTGATTGCCATCCAATTACGTCTAAGGGAATAAAGATGATCGGAAACTACGCGGATAGTAAACATGGTTTCGACAGCGCAAAGAAACAGCTCATCTTGAAAAAGCAGGAGATTAAAAATCAAAAAAAAGGGATAAAGGCGCTAAAAGAACAACTCGATTCTTTGTCAAATCAAGCTAAGGATTCCCCTGACCCTAAAGATATTGAGGAGAGTTTTTACAGTATTTCACCAGAGTATTTTGGACGGCTTAGGGCTCTTGAAAAACTTGAAAAAGAGTGGAGGGAACTATCGGAAAAGTATAAAGAGATGCGCAAGGTATTGGCTGTCTTGAAATCGGAGCTTTATGACTATCTCGTGAAACATGATACGACAGGGTCGGTGGCTGCTGGTAGCACTGTAGACCTGGAATCAATTCCCGGATTTAAGAAATGTTTCAAGTTTTTCTACAATCGCTCATTACGGCGATCGCCACAATCCGGGCATGGTTCTGGTTCTCGGCAACGAACTCCTCAATCATAGACTTGTCACATTATTGCAGCTCAAAGTAGACTATCAACAGCCTCATCTAGGATATACTACAATGCAGCGTGTATTGTATGGTGGTTTGCTTTTCATTTGCTTTATACTTAATCCTGTTCATTCAATAAACACCTTTTATTGCCAAACCATGTGTATTAGACTAATTACTTGATCATATTGCACCATTCAACTACCATGCATTGTATTGATCATTGCAGTGTCATTGCTGAATCCATGCGACCGTGTATATTGTCATTTTGGGTTACCAATCAACCCATTGGTACCACTAGACTATTTGATTCAAGTGATACAAATGATTCGGCTGGTTTTGACAGTATCCACAAACTCATGTTTAATATTCGCACGCATTCCATTGACATACTACAAACTGACATTGGACGTCACATCACATTGTTTTGGTATCAAATGATACAATATGTATCAACCGATGTTTTGTATTCACATCCACATCAACATCCAGTATATACAACAAATCTGTCCATAATTCAACATATCAGCCATATTTGATTTGATGGTCATTTGTCACATTGTTGTGTACTTGCAATGATCAGTATCAATCATTTGCATGTAGTCTGCTGTCTAGTGTAATGTATGCAGTATGATCACATAACATGTCATCTGGTCATATAGCACACACTACAACCATAACTGGAAACATTGATCGTCGATTGTCGTCCCAATCAATATCAACAGTTGCATCAAACAAATCCACAAATGCACAAATCCACAACTCGGCGAGTGCAATGTATACAACTACAACATGTGTATACGAATACCGAGTGTGTCCAACTACAAGCTATGTATATTGAAACCATTGGATAGTATATTCGACACGTCATTGACATTGATAGTCAAATAATCTTGCGAGTGACCCTATGCATGCAACATGGTTGACATGGTTGACATGTTGGTGTTGGATGTATCAATGTGACTATATCCCAAGAACTGATCGGACACGGCTCAACATCAAATTTGTTTCTAGCAATGAGTTTATTGTGGTACCAAACATCAATCACAGTTGTTTATTGTTCAAAACTCGCTGGAGTATTACTGGCAGCTATTCCAGTATTTGGAAATACGTGTTGTTTGCAATAATGAGTATGATGGCATTTACAACAGTGATCTTGATGTTCAGTGTATGACAGAGTGTGTCCGTCATAGTTCAAGTTGAAAAATGGTAAAACTGGACTGGGAATGTTGAATCTATCATAACATTCAACATTTCAAACAATAAAATCGATATGGATTAAACTAAATTCGAGTGGTGCATTGACATTCAATTACCATGCATGGTATATACACAGATCTGTTTGCATTGATTTGTATTAGCAAACAGCCTGAAGCATATCGATTTGAAAGTGCTGGTGATTATTCTGATAGCTATTGTATGATTGATTGGATGGGTATAAATGTTGAATAAAATCCATGTTGCAGCAACTGTTTGCAGAATAAATGTCATTTTATTGACCAGTATTGATGACTGCATTACGCTCAATAAACAACCATCCATGTAACAACCTAAAAAACAACCGTCATGTTTTAGTATTTACACTGTAAGCCATTTGTTACAATGTGTAAACCAAAGTCATGTCTAGTGTCTGACAAACTGGTTGTTTGAATCAAAACTGTGTCTGTCCAAGTTGATGATGCGATAAACCAAGAAATACATCAAACCTCGGTAAATGCTGTCACACTTTCCAGATTGCTGAAACTCACATTACGCACAACTTGACATGAATGACAATGTTGATGTCGAGACTGACAATGTATTACAATGTATTGGTCAACAGTGGCTGCAATCAATGACAATATTGCAGTCAATTCAATCCATGTGTTGATTGGAACAATCATTATCCACTTGTCAGATTCAGCATGTAAATGCATGTTTTGTAACACATTTACTAATCCAACAATTGACTGATTAACAATAATTGAATATTAAAATGTTGAATAAAAGACTCGAGTCATTATATTGAACACATGACAAATGTTTAAACACTTCAAAGTGTGTGAATTTGTCTCACTTAAATTTTGAATGTGAGACAAATTCACGTTTTGTTCTTTTTTTCTTTTCTTTTCTTTCAACAAACTCAAAAATGACCAAATTTTATCTTCAATACAAGAACAACTCTCCAGTGCTTATCGATACAGCCCACGGAAGAGGACCACAAGGAACTCTACCTCTGATTACTGTTTCTCATTTGATTTCAGCTTACAAGACTGCTGCCACTCCCCTCCTTGATGCTATTCCTGTTGACGAACTCACTCTTCATTCTGAGGTGTATGGTCCGGCCATTGCTCGATATGGGCTTCTAACCTCTATTCAACATCCTTTTGGTTGCTACAACAATCCACTGACTATCAAATCCAAGAATGATGTGAATGTTGACCGTCCCTATCAAAGACACTTTGTACAAAGTCGAGCTGACCAAAAATTCATCGACGCCAATAATTTGAAATTGCGAAAACCAAATGACGCTTTCAAGTATTTGATACATCATCTGGAAAGGATTGTCAATGTCTCGAGGTTTCCAAACAACGCCGTATTTAACGACAATTGCTTGGAACACCGTCTTGATAGGAGAGTAACCAATTATCAAATTGACAATGTTGATAATATCAAACTTTTTTTTGCTGTTTCTGGTGCAGGAAAAACAAGGATGTTTCTAGAGTTGCTTTATTCAAACTTTGGGTACTACTTTGCTTGCAAGAGCTCTCAAGATGACTTTGGTTCTAAAGACATGTATCAATGCCTGGTGTATTGCGAGAATAACTATCAGCCTGAACTCACTAAGCATGCTATCCAACTGTTGTATTTCGTTCGGGTTTCTGTTTGCAACTACTTGATAAGCAAGGGATTCAAGGAACCTTGACAAATTATTTTGGCTCAACTCCATCCTATCGCATTCTTTGGAGTTGACTTGTTTGAGCGTCTTTTTACAATCCTTGTAAAAGAGCCTGGACTTTCCCCAACTGCTATTACAAACCCGTTTCCTTTTATTGCCATTGATGGAGTCCGAAATCTTGCACGAGGTCGTCGTTTTTATTTTCAACCAGAGAGTAGAAACTTTCGTCCCTTTTTCACTCCATTTGTATACCATTCCAAAATGATGGGAATATTTCCTCATTGCCTACTGCCTGCCACCAGTATTGACTTTGAACTCATCAAAGAGCTAGTGGAGTTCAGTGCTATGAAGGATGATCAAATCACAGATTGTGTAGTTGTATCAGATTTTCATTCTCTGACAAAGCTCGAGGTCGAACAGTATGTTAGACAATTTTTACAAGACCATCAAGTCGATCAACTGGATGCTGTTGTATCAAGAATTTCAGACTTTGAATTATGTCATGGAAGACCATGTTTCATATCGTATATTCTGGGCACATATATGAAATCAAATGATATTGACGCTGCGATTGGCAAATTTATCACTGGGATATCTAATGTTGATGGCCAGATTTTCCCGCTTAGATTCTTGAAAAATGACCTTGATGGAGGCATTCGTTCATTTGACAGTCATTGCTGGTGATAACCTGTCAGGACCCATTTGCGACGCATTTATTGATGCCATCTGGGAGGGAGAAATGCAACTTAAAGTAACTGGAAATGACGCTGCTAATGCAATACGTTACGGCTTGGGCTTTGGTCAGACTGTCAATGGAACTATATCTTTCATTGAAATTCAAGAGTTGGCTGTAATCGAGTGTCTTTGCTACTTTTTGCCCTTTGCACACACTGTCAAAAGTTTATACCAAAGAATTGGCTCGTATCCTAACCCTAACCCTCAAACGGTTGGCTATTTGGTGGAATACTTGGTTGCGTTTGCTTTAGTAGCCAACCATTCTGGTTCTGATGCTGCCAATAGTATCAAGGCATCCCGAGATTCTGCATCCAGCTATTTACTATTTGGTGATTCAGATCAAGTATGCTTTCCCGATCATATGTGTGGACCAGATATCATCTACAAGTGTGCCAATACAAAGACTGTATACATTGTCCAAGTCAAATTTGTCGAGAGAATGTCAAAACAAAAAGCTGCAAACGCTTACAATACTACAGATCCTGAACGCTTTTATTGCAAACGTAATGGCGGTGGAGTGTCGGAAGGGTTTGAAGAAAAACGAACTCACCTTCTTAGCACTTTGTCAAAACTACGCAAATCAGGTTACTCATTGCAACAGACTCTGGTTATTCATACTGCTGAAAAGAACCCTGTTGATGTTCAAAATATGAGAATCATCAATAGTCAAAACTCGCCTCAGTTTTTTGATGAGATTGGCAACGGTGTTTGGAGTTTTTTGGATTCAGTTGGAAATAACCTTCAATAAAGTTTCAAGATGAGATTGATATACAGATTGGATTTTCAAAATCAAAAATAACTTTGATTAGTCATATGCAACCAACACCAAACACGGAACCTTGAATATGAGCTCAATGATCAATTTTATCATCATGATTCGTAATTGCAAATAGAAATTGTTCCAAAACATAGGAATCCAGTCGTCATTATAAATATTCTTGCATTGCATTGCATACACAACTCCATTTGTGTATATTGATGGGTTTGCACAAAACTGAATTGATGCTAAACTTGGAAATACTGACGATAACAAGACAGATGCATGAATGCATTCACTCCATTCAACAACAGACATAGTTGCCAAGATCCAAACATGTTCCGCAACAAGTGATTTGTATTTTTACAGGCAAAAGTAGATGCTACCAGTGTAACATTTGTCAATTCTGACATGTTCAAAGTAATAACCAGCCAATAGTCTGGATTAAACGACAACACATGATGACCGATCGTCATTCCAAACACCAGGACAATGGAAAGGGTTCAACATGTAGAGTCAATCATTCCACCACAATCAGAATTGTAAGTGATTGAATATTGACACTCTTGGATCACAAAATAATTAGACACACGATCGCATATCTTGTCAATGTTGCAATGCATCGTATCGATCAGTTTGATGAAAGTGTTTTGAATCTGATACATGACTGTTATTTTATAATGACGGCAGCTTCAAGGGTGACAGTCAGCACTTTTGAAATGTATATTCAGAAAACGCCAAATACACCATATAGTCGATCAATATACAAGCATTGCTGTTGGTGTATAATCAACTTGAGTAGTATACTGTGTTGATATTCCCAATTGCGGTGATACACCCAGTAATCAGGTAATGTCAAATGATCAACCCAATTGCATCTACAATCTATTATTACCGCATATATTGATCCATATTTCAACATGATGCAATAGATTATGCTAGAATACAACATGTTCAGTTGTTTATTCATGCTGTTACTGATATTACTTGATGCATGCCACTGGTCACCGACATACTTGGTTGTTCAATTGACCAATGAATCACTCTCAGCATCCACTCGTGTTTAGTTTGGATTAAACTGGTTTGAATTCATTGGTGTTGGTATGAGATTCCAACAAACCTTGATTATCATGTGTGTAGAAAGTTGAAACATTGTCATGATTCAGCTATTCTGTACAAATCTACTTATTAATGGCAATTTTAAAGTAAAACAAGTTTTAAAATGTGTTCAAACAAGTCTAACCCTGACTCGAAATAGTCACCAACACCCTTTACACCATCAAGCTTTAAAGCAAGCTTCGGACACCGCAAGACAAGAATAGAATTAAATAGTTACGAGTTATGAATCAATTGTTTAAAAGTGATAATAGAGGATAAGTTAAAATAGTGCGTTTTGAGCAACACATGGTGGAATAAAACCCGATAAAGTATGCAACTATGGCCAGACGTAATGATAGAACAAGGAAATGCTTTTATGGATTGACGTCTTTGGTGATCCAGCGATCAGTCTGCTTGTGATGAGTCTGGGATAGATACATGACCTCATCAACAGCAGGAGATATCTTGCGGTGTTTGGTGCGAGTATGGGGTTGATTTCCCATGTTCAGATGGTCTACACCATCAACATCAAGCAACAAAAGACAAAAGTTGGCCCATGCAACTTTGTGATGTTCCTGTATTTCAGAATTGGGTTTGGCTGCAAGAGTGGTGGGTAAAGTCAGATCTGTAGTTTGCTTGAGAACAGATGAATGTGAATCATCATCGATGGGCGGAGATGCAGTGTCCGAGTGAATGTAATCCAGAACTCCTGGCTCACTAGCCATAGGGTGATGATTTTCGGACACGAGCGGACGGAGATGATGGTTTCCCATGAATGAAATGCCAGTAGTTTCCAAAGTATTTCCAGAAGCACAACATGCTGCAAGTGGTTTAGAGGCATTCTCAGTAGAGTCTGCCTTTTTGTTCACATCGATGCAGTCAGAAAGAGTCCTGACAGTGGACGGAGCATAAAGCGATGGCAGACGCACAGGACTTTGTATGTCCAGTCTGTCCTGACCTGGTTGAGGCCAAGCAAATGATGCACGGCGTAGTGATGAAATGTTTTCCCAAACCTTGAGGCGAACGGCTTCCCAATCGACATTTGGTCTTGAAGATCCGTGGTCTGCAAATGGAAGTGGAACTTGATGGTTAGTTTGCAGGGGATGATCTGCTGACATGACCAGATGCAGAGCACCAGAAAGACGGTATTGTTCCTTGGTGCCTGGCAAAAACCTAGATTAAATTGAAACAGTTAGAACATGCATACTGTTTTTACAGATAAAGCTTGTTCAAAACAGTGGTGCCAAGAATAGGATAACAAGTCATGATATGGAGTCAATATTGAGTTCAACACGTCAGAATGGTATATCGTAATTAAACCCTCGCAACCAAGCACATCACCCCGTAAAATACGAGTAGAACCATATTACTATACGGTTTCCATCCATAATTTAAAAGCATAATTAAAGGAATAATAAAACTGGCTCGTTCCATTATTTTACTAGAAAACAATGAAATACACGGGTCATGACTCACCAGCAAACTTCACCATAGCGAGAACCGTGAAGAATGTCAGCAACACTGCCTGACCGAGAATCAGCAACAAAAACCAGGACATTGCCCAGGATGTCGTTGGCTGTTTTCGGTTTAATGTTTGCACAAGAAAGACGAAGAACATCCATACTGGAAGTAATGGAGTCGCTATCTATAGACGTAGATGGTAAAGCGGTATCTGTATTCAAACTCCCAGTCATACCAACAGCACTCTCATCAGGGCTAGATTGAGTCATGAAACCTCGAAAGTAAATGGTTCTATTTGCAGGACGACCAAAAGCCTTGATAGTGGCCAAGGATACATAAAAGTTGTTGATATCTTGGCATTGTCGAATAGACTGTTCAAGCTGAGCTCTCCACAGCGGAGATTGAGAAGCAACAGGAAGATTTGCGTTGAATAACTCAGGCTGGGTAGTTTGTAGTTGCATTTGGTGGTCGTGCTCAGGGTGTTGAGAAGGGTTAGAATGAGTAGTTCTTGGGATATTGGAGGTATTACTATCCAATATCAAATGGGCTTGAGAGGAGCAACCCTGACCTACAGGCATACTTTGAGCAGTGATGTTCATGATGTGTTGGTGAATCTCGCAGATGGTCAGATCTGATGGGAAACTTGGTTCGTGTCGGATGAAATCTACGCGATTGACAATCAAGATTTTAACGACTCGAAAAGCTTGAGTTTTGAGAATGATATACAATGACTGCTTGTGCATACAAATCTGACTTGTTCCCAATCAGATCTGTAATAACTGGATATCATTTATATTTGAATGATCAAATCCAGTTTTACGCTCTTTTACATGCACAACATCAGTTGTCATTAAATAATACATTATATTTCACTTGTGTTATTCAGCAATAATAGTACACTCGATTGTATACACTTGAAAATGTATTTAATCAACCCGAGTGTATGACACTAAATAACTTGAGCCAGAATGAAAACGTATTATATTTTAAAATACGAATTTGAAACCATCGAACTAGTTAAACCAAACATCTGGATTACAATACATGGATCTGGTTTTAAACTTGTCGATCGTACAATACATAGCTATTCCCAAAGTTGAAAATCAGATGATTTTGATTCAAAATGATAGTTTGTATTCAAGTCGATTCATATTAGGAAAACACGAATGTTCAACTGTATTCCAAGCAAAATAGTGGCAGTGATACAAGATAATACAAAAGCGATCCATTCCATGTGAATATGGCTGTAGCTGCTCGCGCAATCTTTTCCCGACAAATCAAAACCATCAATGGCAAGACTCAACAAATCTGCCCAGCTGAGTAAGTTGTTTTTACTGCAACATGTATTCCATAGATCTAGATGATTCTAAAACTATCCAGTAATAGTTTTGAGTAAAAGTTGAATTTCTTCAATATAATGTGTTGATATTTTACAAATCCATTCCTGTGTAGTCTTGACTGCCAATATGGGATCTGTATCTAGTAGAACAAGTGATGGAGAGATGTGTGATGTCATATAGCAAAGTATTCTGCTAGCCTATTTGTCTTGAGCAAACCTAATCAGTTATCTACATTATACTTGCAGACCTTTCAGATACCAATATTGCTGGTCTTGGTACCGAGCTTGAAAAGCAAGTTCGCTTGAATGCTGCCAGGACAGAGGAAGCGTGGAAAGGCGTTGGCCAAACCCCTGGCACCAAAATATGGCGTATAGAGAAATTCCATATTGCTGCATGGCCTGAATCTTCCTATGGCAGCTTCTACTCAGGGGACTCGTATATTGTTTTACATGTATATATATTGACCTTGCAGTTTCATATGCTCTACTCGATCTTAGTGACTTGATTGTTGCACAGTAACTCGAGTAGACCAACTATCGCCACAATCTATTTTTCAAGTTTATTGTGGACTGGATCTAATCATCTTAATCTTTTGTTAAACAGACTTACAAGAAGCCAGACACACCTGCTCTTTTTCATAATGTTCATTTCTGGCTTGGACTCCAGACTACTCAGGATGAGGCAGGAACAGCCGCATACAAGACAGTTGAGCTTGATGATTGTAAGAAAGTATTTGAGGGTGTTTTGCTGAAATCATAATTGTCCATGCAATGATTCGAGACCGCCGATTTAATCAATATCTTACTTTTTGCAAATCAGTTCTTCATGGAACCCCTGTGCAATTCCGTGAAGTTCAAGGATCTGAGACACCGCTGTTCTGTTCGTATTTCAAACATGTCCATGTTATGGAAGGTGGTGTCGAGTCTGGCTTCAATCATGTCAAACCAACAGAGTATGTTCCACGTCTTCTCCAGATCAAAGGAAACAAAAACAACATTTCGATACACGAAGTTCCACGTACTTTTAAGAGTATGAATAGCGGAGATATCTTTATTGCTGACGCAGGTCTCAAGATTTATCAGTGGAATGGATCTTCTGCCAATGGACATGAAAAGTCGCGCGCAATGGAGTTTGCTCGTGCACTTGCTGGAGAGCGCAAAACCGCAAAGGTTGAGGTTTTTGGTAGGTTAAAGCTGTGTTTGTGATGTGGTATTTAGTTTACTTATTAATTTGGCTTGGATTGTTTGATCTGAAGACGAAGGTGATCATGATGCAGAGCCCTTCTGGACTACAATTGGCGGAAAGGGGCCGATATCTTCTGCACAAGACAGTACTACCGACTCTGCTGTGTCTCGAGAGGATCGCAAACTATTTCGAGTTTCGGACAGCACTGGCCCACTTCGTACTACCCTGGTTTCGACTGCTGTTATTAAAATGGATATGTTTAAACCCGACGATATATTCATTTTTGATGCTGTCAGTCAAATTTTCACCTGGATCGGAACCAAAGCGTCCAAGGAAGAGAAACGCATGGGTCTCCAGATCGCTCTCGAGTATCTAGCCTCTACTGGTCGCTCTCTTACACTTCCTATCAGCCGCGTTGTCGAGGGAGGCGAAGGCCAGACCTTTAAATCCATGCTGGATCAGTAATTTACTTATCTGCAAGGTATAAAAACAGTTGCTCTTATTCTTTTCATCAGTTGTATCATGCCGATTTGGACGACAATACGAGTGATCAAGACTTTTTTGAAATACTAAAGTTGCAATAAACATTTTTATCCCAAAAAATGAGCAGCTGATTTGCACTTGCTAATTTATCAGAAACAGATTTAGGAGCGAGGGTACTGGAAAATTTTGTGGATGAGAAGGTCGGTAGTTGGATAATATCAGAGGGGTGCATAATTATAATTCACCATAGTTTGAAACAACAACATCCACATTTGAAACCATTCATTCAATATTGCAGTATCAGATCAAAGTCCAAGATCTTTAGCAACCATGCCAGCACAAATGGGATGGTAAAAATCTCGATGTTTCAAAAAGGTAGATTTGGAGAGTTCGGCGCCGTTCTTGCATTTATAGAGTGCACGATAGAGCGGTCGAACAAATTTCATTCTACCCACTTGGCTGATAAACTCGACAACCTCTGGGAAAATACGCTCAAGTTCGCTGGACAAGCAAAGCATCTGCCAGCAAAACTTGACCTCTGCATTTTTTATCAATGATAGACTGTATATGCGATCCATGGCATCAAGAGTGTGTGCTTCAAAAGCAGGCATGTCTAAAAGTTTCTTTAAAAACATCACTAAAGTTTATAAAGTAATTGTTGGTTACTGATCTCGTTGTTTGAAACATGGCAGTAGGAGAAATACACGCTTTATGCACTTTCCAATATTTAAATCACAGCAGTTCAATGTTACCTTTTTGGTTTGAGTCTAGTTTAGAAAACTCCGCTGCATCAAACTTGGGATCGGATTCTTTGCGAGACAAGTTCCATCTATTCAATAATCCAAGTCAATAGTGTGAGTATATACAAAAATACCAACTCATGTAATTTAAAAAAGTTTCTAGTCTACTACCTTTTAGCCAAATCTTCGCACGCATGGGCAAGTGATGCATCAAATTCATTTTCCACAACCGGCATTCCTGGCTTATTAAACCACGAGTCCCAGTCAACAGCATGTAGTACTGAAAGTTTGCTTCCGTTTTCAACTTTTCCAAAATACTCGAAAAGAAATTTGTGGAAATCTGCAGTGGTAATAGACTTGTGCGAGAATTTCTCTACATGAGCTGTATTGTTTTACATATCAGAACAATATAATGTCAGTTAATATTGAGCAAAGGTATACCTTTGATGAATACGTAATTGGCCAATAAATTGAACTTTATCAAATATGGGATCAAGATATAATGATTAGTCATACCTTTGACATATGGCTCAAATACAGCAGGTCCTCCAACGAGTTTTTCCAAATAAAACAGCAGATTGAATCCTTTTTCATACGGTACAGAAGAAAAACTACAATGATGTTGTTAGATAAAATCATTGTTTTAAACCAACCGTTATCAAAGTTACTCACGCATCATCAGGATCCTGGCCAGTCATTTTGGGGCAAAGACAGGTGTATTCCATATGACCCGATTCCTCATAGTGTTCCACGGCTTCGCGAAGACTTTTCATGCCAATAATGGCATCAAAATGGCGAACAGGCTCACCATGCAATCGACCAGCAATCTTACGTTCGATGAAAACGGTAAATCCTTCATTAAGCCAAAAGTGTTCCTAAAGTAGCAAGGCACGGTTAGTAAAAGCAATTCCATGTGCCGCATGATTTTAGTCTTTCAACTATCCATTTTAAAATCACGATTTTTAGTAATATATAAATATGCAGCGCTTACCCAGTTTTGAGTTGTGACGAGATTACCCATCCAGCTATGGGCAATCTCGTGGGCAACCACATCGACAAGCGAGCGATCGCCTGCCAGAAGCGTAGGGGTGACAAAAGTAAGACATGGGTTTTCCATACCTCCGAATGGAAAAGATGCCGGAAGCAAAAGTAAGTCGTAGACTCCCCATACATATGGAGTAAGCAAGTCTTCACCGGTTTTGATAAAGGATTCGGTATCAGCAAATTCCCAGGCAGCTGCCTCGACAACCTCAGGCTCAGACCAAACAGTAGATCTAGGACCAACTCGTTTTCCATGAATATTTCCTACAGCAATGGCAATCAGATAGGAAGGAATGCTAATCTTTTGCTCAAACTTGAAGGTCTTGTGTTTAGCAGATGCACTGCTGGACTCGCCGGCATTGACGGCACTCATCAAGGCACGAAGTTCAGCGGGAACAGTGAGTTCGGCCGAATAAGTATGTTTGACACTGGGAGTGTCCTGACAAGGAAGAAGACTGCGCGCATGAATGGCTTGACATTGAGAGAACAAATAAGGGTATGTTTTGCCCACAGTTTGACTGGGATTGAGCCATTGAAGAGCAGTGCATTTGGAAGTAGTGGAATACTCGATGCGAACAATAACTTTTTGGTCGCATGCAAGAGTAGATCCAAAGTAGATCGTCAATGCTGATCCAAACAGATCATGACGGGAAGCCACCTCAAACTACGACCAAAATAATAACATGAAAAGAGTATAAGCACACGCTCATAAACATGTACAAACCAAATCAATTACCTTTAATGAAGTCGAATCAGTTGCAATAACGACCGATTTCACATCAACATAGGAAGAATCCAAAACAACTTTGTTGGCTCCAGAAGCTGCAACAATACTAACAGTGTGTTCAACAAATCCATGAAGGATCTTGGCATCAAAGTCAGTAGTCAGGTTCAAGTGAGTATGACGAATAATGGCCTCATGCGAGTTTGCAAATGAGTTTGGATCAGTTGGGCATAGGGTGGGAGTAGCAGCCATAATTGTAGATGTTATCTTGCTTGAATATGAATTTTTGGGTTCAAAATTAGAATTTGCCACAAGGTCACGGGATATTTCATGTCACGTGGTGAGTAGTCTGGATTGAGTCGATTGAAGTTCATTGGAATCCGACTTTCCGGACAACGCTGCAAGTGCATCGGATGATATGTATCGAGGTTGGACAGGTATCAATTGCAACAATCAAGCCTTTTAAACAGGCAGTTTATTGTTTTGCTACTGCAATATATATTATTTACTGAAATTTTTGATTTTAAATATGATTCTAGTGTGGGATTCAGTTTGGTGGTTCGCTGTTTAAGCGGTTCGAGAACGAGTAAATTATGCGATCATACATTCTTGTTTGATGCATTATGTTGCATCTTTGTCAAATCATATACAGGTTTTTATGTTCATCCATTTTTATTTGTTTCTTGACATTACATAGGAATCAGTCCAAACTTGTTCCAATATACCCATTTTCAAACTTTCAACAATTGGTGCTTGATACTGAGAGAAAAGTAATGTTCAACATATATTAGACACAACCTGCAATGCGATGCGTCTTTGATCAATTTTGATCCCTGTACTACTGTTTATCTAACAAGATTGCAAGGGTGTGGATTGCATTTGATTTCTAGACATGGAGGAAACGCCAGCACGATGATTCAGATATATTTCAAACAAAGTATTTTGATATGGGCACTTCGGGTAGAGGTAACAACTGGTCGCATGGATTTCTTGAGGAATCCAAGTTGGATCAGATATTGGATTCGTTTCGACGATTGGCAGAAGCGTCGTTTCGTTATGATGGATGTATGATCACACACAGGTAATTGTTGATGCGTTTGGTAGTTTCTTGAAATTCGAGCAAACCATAATTTGGCGTTTCTTTGAAATAATGCAGTTTAGCTGGTGGTACAGGATCTGGGCTTGGTTCAAGGTAGATTTTTTGTAATATACATTGTGTATATTATACAGTCAACTTGGCTAAGATTGCTGTTTTTATTTCTTGGTGCTGTAGAATGGCTCTAGAATTGCGTGATTTATATCCTAAAAACTATATCATGTCATGCTCCTTTGCGCCTTTCAGCTCTGGAGAGACTGCTCTGCAAAACTATAATGCATTGTTGACATTGGCATCTCTGCAATCAAGTGCTGATTTTATTGGAGTGTTTTCAAATGATGCAATATTAAATACTGTCACCAAACAGTTGGGTTTGGATTCAAGTATGTTCAAGTTCCTTACAAATCATTGGAAATCATTCAATCAATGATGCTAAAATATTATTTATTTAAACTTGGTTAGGCCGTAATACGCCTTGTGTTAGTATAGACACACTCAACTATTGGGCATCTCAAACACTTGCAGGAATCATGCTTCCAATATCTCCAGTTTCTCTCGATCCCATAAATTTTTGTGACAATTCTTTAAATCGATACACTGGTCAAGAATCAAACAAGGTAGTAGTGTCAGACTCGGTCAAACCCTTTTCAGGATGGGATCTTATTACTCGCGTTACACCAATGCCTTCAATGAAACTGGCAATGTTTTCATCATCACAATCAATATATACAGCTTCAAAAAACATACCCAAGTAGGATATTTTGAAATTTGTTTAACGACAGGTCGCTGATTATTGTTTCAAAACCAAAGCTAATTTACCTATTTTAGACACGCACATACTATAGATAGCTGGGAAGACCATTTCACGCAACTTCATAGAAACATGTCTTTGCCAGTAGGACATCGTCGAAAGTATATACTTTTTATCTAGAAATTTTCGAGTTTTATAATGGATCAACTTTGTCACTATTGGCTAATACGTATTTTTACTTTTTTTAGTTGCATCGGTGCGCAACTTAATATCCGTGGTGTTCAAGGTGTCGAGTTTTGGAAAAGATGGCCAGAAATGCAGAGTAAATGGTTATTAAAACTTGGGCTTTCTACTCCCAATACTTGCTTGGATGTGAGAATGTCGTACATTTATGGTAATTAGTGTTTCTTTTTGATGTGTCTATTTCAAAAAGGACAAGTTTTTAGTTTATGACTTACATCAAAATGATTTTTATTATGGGGTTTAATAATCTTTGAACAATTGTTGTAATCTAGGGCTTGATATGCATTCCAAGCAACGATCTTTGGACCTGTGCTATAATTCTGATGATATTGTGCCAATTGTAAAAAAGGTGTATGACCAGGCTCTACATATGTATTCCCAGCGCGCGTACGTTCATTGGTATGAGCGATATATGCAAAGCCGCACCGATGAAATGTTTAGCGAGTCTTTTGAAGCTGTAAACTCTATTTTGGATTCATATTCAACACTTTCTACAAATCATTTGTTATAAAGTTGAATAAAATATAAACATTTATCTAGTGTTATAATTATCGGTCTTGTGTTGTTAAATGAGTTTATTTTAAAAAAGAATAAGACAGAGTTACCAAGACATTGCAATGACAGTCATATTCATGTAAAATGTAGCACTAAATAGGAGCGTCTGTAATAAACAGCCAATCTCATGGAATGATTGGTGGCATTTAAACTTTTTAGTTGACCGGTATTCTTTGTAGCGATTGGCATGAAAACAGCTGTTGCGCTCCTGGAATTTCAGTCTTTTCTAAATTATACCGCAAGTATATCTGTGGTTCTAGGACACAGCAGCGTTGAGTGTACAGAGTTGTATCGACAATATTAATCTCACCATCTGAACTGCAATGAGTCGGGTGATTGTGCAATCTATAGCTATTTTAAAATAGAAAAGAAGCATGTTTAAAAGACCATTTCAGTTTAAAACCATTATTTATTCCAAAACAAAATAGAATCCATCACCACAAGATAAATACAAAAGTATTCCATTTCATGTGAATATGGCTGCAAGTCCCAACGCGATTTTAGGTCGTTTATTAGCCGTCCATATCATAGTCATTATCTTCGTGCTCCTGTATTGGAAGGACCGAAGCTGGTTGAATAATCTGTGATGGGGCTGCTACAGGAAGTGCCGATGGGACAGGTAATACCACCTGCCCAATTGTAGACATCTTCAAAGTATCATTATTGGCAAGATTATTTGTGGTTGAATGCATGCCAGCAACAGCTGACGATCCTGAGAAAGTTTGCGCAAAAAGAGATATAGGAGCAGAAGATGATGTGTTCTGAGTAAGCTGCTCAGCTAGTTTCCTTTTTACAGTGTTCACCTAAATCGAACCGATTGCATAAGATTGCAAGTAGTTTAAACAGTGTCATATTTCCAGATTCAGTATAAATCAGTTCTATATACTATGTAGATGTCCGCAGATTCACATATCAGTATAGACACTGCTTACCTTTGGTACAATTTGAAAGTTTGCCTTGGTGAGTGTGTTACGTTCAGGGGGAAGACGGAGTCCAAACTTTTCTGGAATCAAAGGTAGTGGAATGCAGTTTTTCTTTTCAGCCAGTTCCATCATAGTCTGCAAGAATTGAAGATATTAGTACTTGAATTCAGTAAAGAGAATCCATATTAAATAAAAAGCATCCTGATAAGCAGGAATGTGGTAGTGACTGTCGACAGATGGAGATCTAGTGCTGCACTTACTTCTCGAGAAGGTGGTCCAGTGAATGAATGCGCTACTCGACTTTCAATAGCCAGTCGAATATCATCCACTTCTAGATCCTTGTGACCCGCATGATCAGCAAAGACTTGCGAATCTTGCAATACATCCTGTACATATCTATGTGCAAACTCGAGTAGTTGTGGAATGATTCTTGGTTCATAGTCATCAACTTCAGCTGCCTGCAAAATAAGAGATATTAGTTTTGCATCACGGGGCATATCTAATGGATCGCCTTTAAAGGCTTCATAGCTAGGCATAGTGCCAATATTAGAGTTGCTGTTCAAGTTGTAGTTGACAAGAGTTGGCTCAACTCAAGCCAGTCTGTTTCACGTGATGTTGATAACACTTGGTTGTCACATGACTTGAATTGGATTTACGAATGCGCACTTTCCCATCCAATCTGACAAGATGCGCATGAAAACTAAGATTGTACATCCTTCAGTGCTAATCAGTTAATACAATACACATACTGTTAGGATTTATTTTATGGTGTTTTATTTATCATTAATTCGTTGTATCGATTGATTAAACATCTACTGTTAGAGCTTGGTCATACTCTTGAACGACTCCATAAGCACTGGATATTCCATCTTTCCCCAGATCGACTGCATTTTACTATTTCAAAAACAGATTTTAATACAGGCGTTCAAGTTTGGGCACAGCTTGGAACAGTTTAGTATTTCTTTTTGCATGATATAGCATGTCATGTTCTTCAAAGCCACTATTCTGCATTGGGATGACATTGACAGACCATCAAGTTTTGATTGAATGCTTACGTTGGTATTGTTTTCAGGAAACTCTTTTTGAAGATTACAAAATCGAGAGTGTGAGTGACAATCATATTTGGCTGGAAGTAAAAGGCGATCATCTTCTTCGTGCTCTCAAGTCTGGGCAAAAGTCTGTTCAGATGATCATGCGGCTTAGTAAAAAACAAGGTCTTCCTGTACTCTCATTTACCATCACCAACCAGGTGAGTGTTGCATTTATTCCGACGATTGTCAGGATGCCATTAGTTTAGAGCAAGTGTCCGAACACTTTGCGCTATTTGCCGTGGTGTCCGAATCTGGTGAATGCTTTGAATTATTTGGCGTTTTTGGTTACACGCTAACAGCCTATTGAATAGAGTCGCATCGGTAAGCTTATCATTTTGGTTCAAGATGTGCCTGTGAGGGTCATATCCCCTGACAAAACACACGAGTTTCGCGAACCAGCCACGCCTGATTTTGATGTGCATATTCTTATGCCACCAATTTTGAGTGTTCGTAACATTGCTGAACGTATGAAAGCGGTCGGACAGCGTCTTGTTATCTCTGCCAATATGAGCGGTCAATTAACAATGGGAGTATCGAACGATATTGTCAAAATACAAACGTTTTTTAAAGATCTGATTAATCCAATACTGGGTAAGCCTATTGTTCCATACGTGCCTGATCAGATAGTCATGTCAAACATATTCTACAATGCGTTTGATTTTATACAACGAAATAATCTATGCATTTTGAGTTACTAAACCTAGGGTACTGACTTGATTTTTTGTGTTATAAAACATAATTGGATGCAATGTTGCATATAGATCCAGTGCAGGTCGATGTCTTGACCTGTGCAAGCACAAATAGAAACAAGGCCGAGTTTGCAGAAGTTGAAGTGGATATTCGAGATTTTATCAAATTTGTACAATGCTATCAGCTGCATCCTTCCAAGATACTTTGCTGTATCAATGAGCAATCGTGTCTTATTTTCTATGTAGTAATGGGTGATGACGATGAGAGTGATACATTGGACGATCGAAGTGGATCACTGACATATCGGATTCCACTTCGCACAAAATAAATTGAACATTAATATTGGGCTCCTTTTGTGTAATTCATGATGAATTGAGTGCATATAGATACAAAACGAGAATATTTTTAGCACCACTTGAAAGTGTATACCAACTAGTTTATTGAGTTATGCGAGTACCGGATGTTGTTTTTTACTTTTGGTGTTAAGCTTTTCTTGGACAGCCGTGCTTTCCTTTGGTGAATCGTTTGAGGTTACTGGATCATCCAGCACTGAATCAGAAGATGGTTCTGGTATACGATTTGAATTTATGCTAGGGTTTAAAGTGGGTTGAACAGATCGAGAGTCTTGTGGTACACAACTGTCGTTCAGCACAACACCTGCCATTTTACTTTCAAGACTATCAAGATCGTTCAAACGCTCCGACTCAATCAACATATCAAGCTCTCGTTGAATATCCTCATCGTCAATAGACGAGTTTTGTGAATCCATGATTGATTGATTGCCGCTATGCAGTGCATTCTCAATATCTTGATAATCTGCAAGAGTATCTTGTAAGTCGGCTATTGTGGATTCTGTCAACTCCAAGGACAAGTTCTTGTCCTTGATCAATGCCTTGAGTGTGTTGCTTCCAGAAGCATACGCAGCCAATACCTAAACACGTTTAATTTTTACCAAATGATCAACATATGACGTAGCATATAGTTTAAGACCGTCGAACATATATAGTATTAGTACAACTTTGATAAATCATAATTTAACCCATACAAAACCAATTCAACTTGCATCTGACTCTGACTCTGAATTTCGTAGCTTAAGCATGATTCCCTCGAGTGTTTCCAAGGAAGCCATGCGCTGTGTATGTACTTTCTCCAATGTCTTGCGTTGGCGAATCATTGAAAGAGCTTTGCCACGCAAGTTTTTAGAAAGGGCTAGCTGAGCTTGTTGTTGAAATCTAAATTGCAAAACAATTGGTGAAATGGGATGGGAACTTGAACAGTATATGCCATGACTTACGTGGCCAATTTCAATTCTAGTTCTTTTATCTGGAGAGTAAGTTTCTTGATGGTAGCCATGATGGACACGATTCCTTTGTCGATGTTTGAGATATTTAATTGATTATTGTGTTTTATATTTGCAAGATGCATTTTTATAACAAGGAATTGATTATCCTGATTTGAGTTTTCAACACTTTCGCATGCAGCCATATGATTTTGTTTAAGAAACTGTAAAAGTATTTGAGCATCAAACTGAGAAATAGGTTTAGGAAAAGCACCTGATGCGTCACAAAGATCCCTAAAGGATGGCATATCCATTGTTCGATCGATTGAGTAGCAAACAGTTTTTTCAAGATATGCCGAGACTTTTTGAGCAGCAGCCTAGAGTTTAAAAAGAATGAAAGGTATATAAGAGATTCAAACCTTGAATAAATGATAAACGTACCTGAACCAATGGGATAATAATCAAAATACGATTAGTTTGTAACCATAAAATGGGGCTTGAGCCAATCAATTGTTCAGCAGACCATTTTAGCGGAGTGATCAGCAATGACTTGAGTGCCCATCCAACACCAGAAACCAGTTTCATTGCAGAAAAAGAATCTTGCAAAGGACGCGGTGAAATGGCCATAAATTGGTCGAGTGGAACACATGAGCCATCAGACACCATTGAAGTCTATAGAATTAAACAGTATAAATGAGATGGATAAGAGATTGCAAGAATGAAAGTTTAAACCATTCAAGTTACCAAGACAGTATTCAATCCCAATGGAGTTGTACTACGATACATGAATCGATGATTCAAATGAAGAGGCAGCAATGCGAATACAGACGGAAGGGGAGGATCGTTACGAGAAGACAAGGATGATTCGTTAAAGGACACAACACTAAGCAGTCCGAGTTCAGTAGTTTTCTTGATTAGTTGAGACCAGAATGACAAGAGAGAATCGTATGAAACAGCATTGTCTTGAGTGCGCTCAAAGGGGAAATCCGCAAACAAGAAGCTTCTCTGGTCGTAGTTTGACCATTCAGACAGAGATTCCAGAAACAAAGCGAGACGAGAGTCTGTGTTGACTTGCATATTCTGTCTTGTTGAATCTTGTGTGTTGTCGTGTGTTGTTCTTGTTCTTCTGTCCAATCTTGTTCTCCTGTTCTTGTCCTGTTCTTGTCCTGTTCAATCTCGTCCTGTTCTTGTCGTCGTGTGTATGCAATACTTGACTTGCTTGCGGCCCTCCTCAGGTTAAAAAGTGCGGTTTCATTCCAGATGGCGTTTTGCCACTTTCGAGTTTTACTATTTCTTATTATAACTGCAAGACTCGCATTCAGATTTGAATTGTCTTATCAACTCATTGTCTTAGAATGTCATCATATGTTGTTAAACGAGGCAACGTTGTAGTCAAAGAAGAAGGTCTCTTGTCTTTTACATGGTCTAAGCGATGGCTGGTGCTTCGGGAACAGACATTGACCTTTCATAGGAACGAGGTTGGAATATTGTTTCAAGACTTGTGTACTTGACTGCTGTTTATTAGTAAACTTCAAGTACTTTGTATTCAATATTGCTCGTATCTAGCTTGAATTTATCTAGCATTCTCCATTTGGTGCATGTTTGGCTACTGGTGTTCCAATGGTTTTCATGCCGGGCTTCACCCAATAGTGCTTGTCATCCTCTTTGATATATGTTGATACTGCTGAATTAGATCGACATTGCTCTAGTCCATCTTTGTAATCAATTTTGACTATTCATTAGCTGAGGCTTTACATTGTCGCAGTAGCCATTTTCAACTCACTACTATTACCATATTGGTACCACATCAGATAATGACTGGTTTGTCAAGCACTTTCCTTGCTTACTGATATTCAATCGTTTTTCTTGTGCTATTTTAAACAGCAACAATCCCATCAAGCATTGGCATTAGTCTTTTTAAAAGAGGTGGAGCGAGTTGAACGAACTGATATGCGCGAGTACTGCTTAGAGTTGGTCACCAAAGACAAGACTTATTTTCTTTCATTCAAATCTGACGATGAATTGTACTCTTGGATTGACGAGGTCTACCAGGTAGATCGTGCTAATTCAAGTTGTATGCTTGATAATTATACATTTGTAGTTTTCTCTAATTATTGTGTTCATCTATAGCGCTCACCATTAGGAATATCAACTCCAACAAACTTTAGCCACAATGTTCACGTTGGCTTCGACTCAAACAATGGTGTATTTACAGTGAGTTATACGTTTGAATTACTCCAGTTCACTGACCTGCTTCGACTTTGTGTCAACTGTTGCATGGTCTTGGTACATACACATTTTGAAATATCTAATGAAACAACTGTTTATTATAACAGGGATTACCCCGAGAATGGAAAACCCTTTTGGAAACATCAAAAATTACCAAAGAAGAAATGAGCAAAAATCCACAAGCTGTGCTTGATGTGCTCGAATTCTACACTGAAAACTTGGCACCCTCTCGACAAGAATCAGCAACAGAATCAGCCATGACTCGATCGGATTCAGAACCCTCACCGCTATACAAACCTATGAATTCCTCTGCTTTTCGCGCTCCAAACCGCTCTTCATCCATGGCAGATATGAATATGGAGGTATTCTAGATTTTATGATTATGTCTAGTTGAAATGTTTTACAACTCGTACTGATTTCCTCACGCTTTATTATCAGTCAATTGGTCGTGCCCTTCCTCCCACTCCAGGCGCACAAGGTCGATCTAGCGCATCTCGACCCATTCATACAAGTGATACCAACGTTCATAATAATAGTATGCCAAGAAATGTGAACGGAAGCCTGGCTCAAAAAGCATATGTATGTTTCAAGGATAAACATATGATATACTTGCATTTTGACAGTATCTATTTTTGAAATACTCAGTCTTTATTTCCCAACTACTGCTATAAATAGAATGGACGCTCCGAAAGAGGCGATCGTCCTGTTCCACCACAGCTTCCAAGTATGTCGAGTTGCATTGTTGTTCAACTATTGCACAGTATATTGTGTTTACTTGCTAAAGTCATATGGTGTCATTTACATAGAGATTCAGGACTTACCACAAGAAAGACCAAACCTATCTTCTGCATCTAAAATCGCTCAAGACATTTCAAAAGCTTCATCACCGTCTGAACCCGTGGCACAAGTACGTAAAAAGCCACCAAAGGATCCTAGACTGTCCACTATGTCCGAGGCACAGATTATGGACAAATTGAGTAAGAAGTAGTGCAGGGTTAGTTGGGTATTGTCTTGTTGATCAAGCTAAATGTATCAATTTATTTTGATAGGATCTGTTGTTTCAAAGGGCGATCCTACTACTCTTTACGCCAAGATCAAAAAAATTGGACAGGGGTTAGTTGAAGCCATCTTTCCATGTATTTATGTTTTGTTATCAAGGGTTTGACCACGTTTCTTTATATAGTGCTTCTGGATCTGTGTTTATTGCACGCAACAATGTAACCAACCATAAAATCGCCATCAAACAAATCGACCTTGCTCATCAACCTCGCAAAGAACTTATTGTTAACGAGATTTTGATCATGCGAGAAAGCCAACACCCCAACATTGTCAACTATCTTGACAGCTTTTTGGTGCGTGGGGATCTTTGGGTCGTCATGGAGTTGATGGAGGGGGGACCTTTAACGGATATTATTGATAACAACAAAATGCTGGAGCCGCAGATTTCTACTGTTTGTTTTGAGGTATAGCACTGCAGTATTATCTAATCAGTATGTTTTGTTGCTGGTAGCATAATATACTTATATTTTGTCATGAACCATGCATTCTATCAGACTCTCAAAGGTCTAGACCATTTACACAAGCGAAATATCATTCATCGCGACATCAAATCTGACAATGTGCTTTTGGACTCACAAGGTCATGTTAAAATTAGTAAGTGTCGGGTATATTGTTATGGAATATGTTTTATTTACTCACATTTGCTACGCTGATTGCACCAATGATTGTGTACAGCTGATTTTGGATACTGTGCAAAATTAACCAACGATCGTTCAAAGAGGGCTACAATGGTTGGTACACCGTATTGGATGGCTCCAGAAGTCGTCAAGCAAAAAGAGTATGGCAACAAGGTGGATGTTTGGTCTCTTGGCATTATGGCCATTGAGATGATTGAAGGTGAACCGCCTTATTTGGAGGAGGAGCCTCTTAAGGCATTGTATTTGATTGCAACAAATGGTACTCCCACACTGAAAGAACCAGAAAAGATCACACAACAGTTTAAACATTTTCTGGGAAAATGTCTCGAGGTGGACGTGTCCAAGCGTTCTACAACTGAACAGCTGCTAGAGGTATGTTTGCATTCAGTCTTTTCATATTGCCGTTTATTATATCTTACGACATTCTTGAACCTTTTAGCATCCATTCATGCGTATTTCCGCCCCACTTAGCTCACTTGCTACACTTATCAAACGAGTTAAAAAATAAACTTTCAACTTATTTGTATTTGAAATTGAAATTAGCTGGTATACAAACTTTTTGTGGCTCAATTTACATATTATTCTATAGTATTTACAGAATCTTTAAACAATTCTCTATTCCAAGATGGACAAATATTTGTGTTGCTAGCTGCCTTTCTGGCTCGTATTCCTGTACTTCTCCACTGATTCGCCAGCTTTTTATAGCCATCACTCCAACCATAAAGCGCATATCACCTGTTTTGTTTGGCTCAAATCGGTGTGCCCAGTCGCGTAAAGCCGAGGGTGTGTCCATTGGGCTTGAAATGACTGATCCATCTAAAACACGAATTAATCCTCGAGTAAGCAACAGCATAGGTTCACACAGTGCGTGCTCTTTAAATGGCTGAAGAATGCTGATCATTTTCATTCCCAGCAATCTAATACGACTGCGATCTACATTAAATGATGCAGTAGACTCTTCAGATACTGAGCACGTAGATAGTGTTTTGGAAAATGTAGCTGGAACACTACCAAGCACGCTCTTCAACGGCATAGGTTCGCATGATGATCGATTATTTAGGCTCCTGGGCACCTCGGCAACATCTAAGCTCATTCTGCGATATACGCCTTTTATTTGTGCACCATAGTTGTCTTGAGTAAATGTACGTGTCACTGGTCGGGTCGATATATTTTGATTTTCTATCAGTAATTGATCCGATGGCATAGTGAATACTCGTGCCAATGATTTTTGTACTGCTTTGGATCGGCCTGTTTTAGAAAACTGGTGATATGTTCGACGTGATCGAATGGTTGTGGTGTTGCTTTGCTCAGTCATGGAATACATCGCCAATACGCTGAGTAGCACACTGTAAAATATTTGATTATTAGAATAATGAAGTTTTGGAATAAGCTCAATGATTTGTTCCACACATGCCAGACAACTGTCAAAGTTTTTCTTTGCAAGTTCAAGTTGTGCAAATATGCCTTGAAACTGTATACGTAATGAAGGTGGTGCTGATTTATAGTTATAAGACATATTTTCACAAAACTGATGGGCTGCCATTGTATCACCCTGAAGCACTGAAATTTGAGCAATAACTAATCCAAAGTATAAATGGACTGTTAATTTGACCATTCAATATGATGGACTGATTGCTTTAGTCTGCAAATAAAGTATTACCAGAATCTGACCACAATGCTTTTATAGTCGCATCACTTATACGACATTCGTGTCCTCTTTGCTTTTCAAGTTCTAATGCTTCTTTAAAGTGGCCATCAAATATCAGCATAAAGCATCTTTGATGGCTACAAATCAACCAGCCATTAAGATCACCTGAATAACCATATGGCAGTATGAGTACTTATAATCTTGTTTATGATATTTAGAAAAAAACTTGATTATATTTGGTCAAATCTATTTAATTTATGCTTACCGACACGGCTGCAGAGCTCCATGCCACGGATTGCCCATTTCCGAGCATCTGTCCAATTACCGCATGCTGTCAAATACAACGTGCTGTATGTAATAGTGACAGTGTCGTTTGTATTTTCGGATAGCTGATTCTGTAGGGATATGGATCGATCTGCTAAAAATTGAGCAAGCTTTAACTTTCCAGAAAACCATATTTTCAGTGCGTATGTGATCAGTAGTCGAATACGAGCTTCTGCTACGTGATGACCTAGACCGTACGAAATATTCAAATGAAGAGAATTGCATGCAATTTGGTCTCGTAGTCTGGCATCTGTTTCAAACAGGTAGTTGGACATTAAAGCTATTGCGGGCTCCAAATGCTCGAGTCTGTCCAAATACTTATTTTTCACATGTTTTTCGTGGAATAGTAATTCCCATTGCTCGTGATTGATCAAATGTATAGTAGGTTTAATATTAAACAGCATTTTCCACATCCATTTAAAACTTTGCTTCAATACCATTGCCCACCACTCCACATTTGTTTTTGGCCAAGAGTAATTCAGTAGACTTATGGCTATTAGTATGTGACGCAAACATTGAGTCCTGTTGATATTCTCGAGTTTACCGTGATTAAAGGCAACTCCAAGTCGAAGATGCAGCACTCCAAGAATTTCAGGTCCCAGTTCATCAGCAATATTCATGTCTGCAATGATTTTATCCATTTCAATAAATATTGCTCGAGTCTCCATGTAGGCTTCAGCAGACGCGCAAATATATGTTCCAAGCATCATCATGTACTGGATGCGTTTTAATACAGATATTCGATCAGATAAACCAGCATTCTGATGATGAAGACAAATCAATGGAATAAATATAGGCTCATTTTCGTCAGAAAGATTGCGCTCATAAAACCGAATAAGTTTTAAATGTCGATTTTTGCGCTCTTGTTCGTTTAGTTTTTCGGTGTATATTGTTTTATAAGCCATGCCGTGGTGAAACATATACGCCGTTTGGAATGGATAATGTGGATCATTTTGCCGAGATTTGATGTCAATCTTGTCAATCATTCCAAAAATATCATAGACTACAATGAGTGCTGCCAAACGCTGAATTGATGTCTGTCGTTGATGATCATCTGCTTGAACTGATCCAATGTGTCCAAGTACACTCGAATCGTTCCATAAAACAGCAATTTCCTCCAAAGAAAAATGCCTGCCAACCACTGAAGCACAGCGTAAAAATCGCTGAAACTCTTTAGATCGTATATTGTCATATTGCCAGATAATCAGTTTAGAAAAGGAGCTTGGAAGTCGTGTTATAAGTTCCTGGGGAGGTAAATTGAGAACCAATTTTCCATCTTGACATGTTACATGGTTGGATTCAACGATATAACGAGACATGTTTTTGATAAAAGATGGGTTGCCATCGCAATGTAGTTTAATAACATCAATAATCTCCTCGCTAATTTCCTTTGCTCTGCTGGAATACGATGTGTGCATGTATCTCTCAATGCTATTTTTTGACCAGCCGCGTAACTCGATTACTTCTGTTTGCGGCATGTTTTTAACTTGTGAAATCAGCGCAGCACGATAATCTGGTGACTCTGATGCCGCCAAAACAATCACAGTCTTTTCACATTGTCGAATAATATGCATAGTGATTTGCCAACTTGCAGAGTCCATCCAATGTACATCATCAATAGTAATGGCAAGATGCCTGACTGCAGTGATCTTTTTAATGAGTCGCACTATCAGCCTAGATAACAAAAAGGTTCGATTGTCTGGTTTCAGATCTTTAGTAGCTTTGGTATCTGGAATGTCTGGTAAAATAAGAGCATTTAAAAGTGGAAGCGTAACATCTGGATCTTCACCAGCCCTGATGAGAGCATTTCGATAAGCTTCAGACACATTTCGACTAATATACGAGTCTTTTTCTGAAAGAACGCTTATTCTAGAGCTCTTGCGAATTTCCCCATATTTAATCATTTCAGATTGGTTTAATGGGGTGTCTAGCGTCTTGTTTTCTTCCAAAGGAACTACTTGCGCAGCAGTTTTACGTTGAAAATATGTTGAAAATTTACTTTTTTTGGCTGAAACTGGTAGATTGGCTGTAGTGGTGTGAGATTTATTCATGGATACGCCTAGTTTATTTTGAGAATCCAAGGTAGAAATATCAGTCTGATCGGTGCTGTGTTTTGACAATGACTCGGCCAAAGACGGAAACAGTCTTGAAATCTTTAATGCATTTAGTGCTTGTGCAGTCTGCATAGTTGAAATGTCCTGTTTAGCCAAATTGTTTGCGGATTTGAGCACGTTTTTTGCTAGCATATTTCGACTTTTAAAACTGCTGAATATATGGTTGGGTAAAACGGTATCAATCAAATCAAACAATTGTGGTATGATAATTGTATATGGATACAGTGGGTGTCGAAACGCTTCATATTCTCTGCATTCTGAAAAACAAGTGAGAAAACTGGAGTTTTCTAGTATCTCTTTTGTACGATTTATCAAAAATGTTTTGCCGTATCCTGGTGGTTTCAAATTAATCAGCTATATTTCCACATTGTTCATCTATCAAATAATAGTCAAGCCAGTTTATATGTACAAACCTTGAGATCCTTCAATCAAGATGGTTTTGGCATCCTCGGACGTTATGACATCAGTGCATATTTGTTGAATTCGTTCTAGTTTGTGACGAAAAGCAATGCTAGAATCTGTGTTGGTAGGTTTATCTGATGCCGTTTCCTGTGCCCCTTTACATGATTTTGACGTGTATGCAGCCGTATTGAACGGAGCAATCGCCATGAATGTTGAAATTTTGAATTCATTTGCAAAGATTTGCGGAATCCGCTCTGCAGATACTGGATACAAAAATCCTTCAAGGAAAGTAGACTTGCAGCTTGCAGATGTTGCTTCATCCACCAATATTGAATCATCCATTGCCATGTACCCTATCTTGGTATCCTCAACAGAAACATGATTAGCTTGATAGAGATTGACCATGAATTTGAAAAAAGCTTAAAATACAATAATGAGCCATACTCACCATTTTAAGACCAATAGTTGTGAATTTTCCAACAAGTCGAAAGTCACATCTATGCCTATTGATTAAAAGTCCTTCATATGCCCGCCCAGAAGAAACAAAATATGAGGTACATACTTTTCCATTTGCTGAAGATTTGAAGATAGATTCTCGAATTGACAATGCTGTTTTTACAGCCACCACTTCTGGATCCTAATGTTTATTGGCAGTTGATTTGTTTCAAGAAATAAACATGAGTCGTTCTCTAGGTTCATTAAGAGTGTACTGGAAAGCACTAGCAGTGTATAGATCTAGCAACAGAATTCAACGTGAAAAAAGGTATACATACATTTTCAAGATTTGACCATACTCCGCCGACAGCGCATACTAGCGATATTGAAAAATCGGGATGAGCAACAACTCGATGTAGAATCATGCCGTGATGTCGACAATGCTGGAGTACAATTTCCATTGGCACTCGAGTTATTTGGCAATATTTCAGCACCGATGATACAGTATGACTAACGTTTTCGGGTTGATCTGTAAGGGGCATCTCATTGGAAAGTGGCTTGATTCTCACAATAACAATACTCGTTTGTGTCCATGATCCTCCAAACAGTGACAACCCTTTTCGCTGGCGTCGAAGAGCGCGTAGATGGAATGCGGCTCCGTCCGTAAGAAAGCTCTCCAGTACAGTGGATACAGGGATATGTTCGGTAGTAGAGTCGGCATACATAATACTATCGGAAAAATATCGCACTGAGTTCTGAAGTTCAGCCATTCCAACGGCCGGTGGCGACAAAATCTGAGAGTGCTCTCCGTGGCGTAACTTGACGATGCCGCGTCGTTTCAGTTGATATTGCACCAAAGATGCAGAGTTGCAATCAATAGCCACTTCGCCCTCAAAAATCTTGTCTTTTAGGCAGTCTACTGCTGTGGTCATGGCACTTCCAAATAAAAGATGCTCCATGTGGATTCCTCGGACACCAACATGCACATCAATTATACTTCCTGACCCAATGACACATCGTGCAACGAGTTTAAGACCGGAAAATTCTGGAGATATATCTTCGAGAGCCCATACTTCAGATTCACCAAGAAAGTTGACGCAGAGAGTACAGCAAATGATTGCAGACATGATGGCATTTGATCTGTTTGAGTCATTGAATAGGAATTCTTTAGAATCTCCTTGGAAATAATCCTCGTTGTCAGCACTCGAGTTTTGAGTATTTTTAGCCCACGACTCTTGATGGCCGACTGAACTTACTTTTGGCTCAGTATATGCTCGCCAGTACACATGAATGGTATCCCCTATCATTCTGCAAATCTGGGTTAAAGCAAATTTTTTGCAATGTATAGTTTCTGGCAAGTTCTTACGTGACTATATCGCCATGACAATCTTGAATAATATCAATAACCTAGATTTTCCAAGAATAAGGGTAAAAATCAAACTCTAATATGCTAAATTTATCTGGGTTGTAAAGTTGGGATAGATTTTCAAGCATGATCTGGACGACTACAAAATATATACTTGGCCCACAGTGTTTCATTTCAAGAAAATAGTATTTACCTTGCTAAGATAACTTTCTAGTGAGCGAGCAATGAGTTGAGATGGAATATTTCTCAACTTTGACAGCTGTTCGACAAGAGCACTATATCCAACCATTTCAATAATTGCACACGCTCCAATTGACTCTTCTGTTTCGGGCGGGTCGTCTAAATTACCAAAATCTGATGTGAGGGATTCAGTCATGCTTTCATTGCTTCCTAATAAACTTGGATGTACATCGGTAGTGCTTTCACGAATAGATCCTGAATATTGTACCCGCAATTTTCCTAGAGAAACTAGACTTCCCAGAGGTGCTGGATTTGGATTTGAATTTGGATTTGGCATTTCAGAGCTTCGACGAGTCCCATTAGAAGGAACTATTCCATGCTTTTGTAACAACTCGGTTGTTGCATTAGTTGTCTGCTTTTTCTTACAGTATGCTCTTACTTGTTTTGATACAAACTTTGGCACATATGTACTTTCGTTCTGATATGACATGTCACAGCAGATTGGATAAGTTTTATGGAGTCGCGAATGATTTTTCTAGACAAAACCGTGCGAATACTCGAGCTAAAATAAGTCAAGAACCAAGGAACTCCAATTACAAACCACTTTATTCAACTCCAGTACACAGACGTTTAGTTGCCAACTCGTTGAACAAAACAGATGGACGTGCCGTGGCTTATCAACAAGCTTGGCACATGCCAAGCCATTGCAGAAGAGATTTAAACAAATTCTACAACGAATGCTTTATAAAATAATATTCTTTGAATGCTACGCAGCTTCGACTGCATCATCGACTCTTGATCACAAGAGTGCATCGATATACACGTGATTGCAGTGGTCGTCTTGACAAGTTTTGTAGATTTGAGCACTTTACACAAGTTTCAACCCAATACCAGCATCATCGTTGGAAAATGGTTACAAAGGGAAAAGGCTATTTTGAACTGGCTGCATGCGTTGCTGGAATCTACGTTTGCTTCTTGACATGGGGTGTTACGCAGGAACGAGTTTCAACTGCAACGTATGACGGTGACAAGCGTTTCCGTCACTTTATTTTCCTCAACCTGTGTCAGGCCTTGATTGCTGTAGTCGTTGGTTTCATCTATATGAAAATGCGTGGACAAATGCTAGGTAAACTATCTGTACCGCTGCTATCCAACTACGTTTTGCTGGGCTTTATTTCCTCGATCGCATCGCCTTTTGGTTATGCTGCTCTAAGACATATCGACTACCCAACCTTGGTGCTCGGCAAGTCATGCAAGCTCATTCCTGTCATGCTCATGAACTTTTTAATCTATGGTCGCACTTTTTCACTACAAAAATACATTGTTGTTGCTCTCATCACCATTGGTGTGTCCGCATTCATGATGCTTCAACCGGTAGATTCTAGCAAACCTTCCAAAGGACCGGTGTCTAGCTCTTCAATTGGCATATTCCTACTTAGTATCAATTTGCTGCTTGATGGTTCAATGAACTCGACCCAGGATCGCATTTTTTCCAGATTCAAGGTTGCCGGCACCTCAATGATGGTGTATATGAATATGGTTTCTTTTGCTCTCATGGGAGGATACCTTCTTATCGCGCCCTACACGAACACAATTATTGATACTGTTGTTCAAGTGACATCTCCAACTCTATCGCAGCTATCGCTGCATTATCTTGTCGATTTTCCCATCTTTAGAATCATGATGGAAGGAGCAGCCTCGCTCAATCCTCACACCAATGAGCTATGGGAAGCCATTGCATTCTGTCAGCAGCACCCGTCTGTAATCAACGATATTGTTCTTTTTGGGTTTGCAGGAGCTGTCGGCCAATGCTTTGTATATCATACGTTGGAAAATTTTGGTGCAATTGTGCTCGTCACTGTTACTGTTACTCGCAAGATGTTTTCTATTCTGATTTCCATCTTTACCTTTAACCATGCGGTATCGTTGGGTCAATGGGCCTCAGTTGGGGTCGTGTTTTTCGGTATTGCTCTCGAAGCATTTTCAAAAGATGGCAAAGGGAAATCAAAAAAGCCATTGGATCATGTCACCGAAGAGCTTGTGCTCAATCGGAACCTCAAAAACTCGGCTACTTCTAAATCTTTGTGAGTCGGAAATACAAAAATAGAGTATTTCAAAAATCAGTCCGAGTTGAAAGCTCGTCAAAAAATACTTTATTTCATTGTTCAGTTTAGAGATAACTTTAGATGCAAACACAAAGCCAGTAAACTATTAAAGTGCTTATTTGATAGCAGATGTGATGAAATAGTCATCATCAACTACAAGAAATATGGAGTATTCTGTTTTGCGGGGATAACTCGTTGATTATCAGGAACGGCACTGAAGATCTTGAATGAGCTTTCGTCAAAGTCCAGTGACTCGTTTACTGTCATGATAGATGCCACATTTCCACATCGGTAACAATAATTTGGTGCAGACCAAACTGTGACTAAATTCTCATCCGGAAACATGTATTTAAATCCCTCCTGCACCAACTGATGAGCTCGTGCAATTAGAATTAAGCCGTTTACATGACAAAACTATAGTCGGATATTATAAGTTGTGAATTTGATCAGTAAAGACACAATGGCGCATCGGTGAATCTTGATCCATCACACAACTCACTTCTGAAGTAACCTTGCGACCAAATAGCCAGCCAGCACCACGTGGACTTACTGCCCATGATTCAATATCTTCAGGATCCGACCACATGAGATCTACCAGACCCAGCACATTAAAATTAATAAAACTAATAATACATGCAAAGTAAACCAATGTTATAATTCAAAACCATACACCGCACTAACATACCACAAAATGCTCCCTCGTGAGGAATTTCTTGTGCACGCTGAATGGTTCGGATTTGATCAAGTGTTCGCAGATCTGGTGAAAGACCTCCATGTACACATAAAACTCTCCCGTCAATAATCTAAAAGCCCAATCATACACATGGAGCAAAATAAGAATACAATGAATGAAAAACTCAAATTTAACGCATCAAATTCAACAAACTTGGCATACCGATGCCAAAGTTAAATAGTCGAACACGGAGCAGCAATATTTCCAGACATTGGCGTTTCCATATTTTGTTTGACACTCATCTATCAACTCCAAAAAAGTTAAAAACACATTTTCAGCTAGCCAAATACGAGGTAACGACAGCTCAGTGCATCGCGTTGGTACAAGGTTTTAATCATACCCACCATAAAATCCATAAACCTGAGTGATTTGTCGACTTTCGTGGTTGCCTCGCAGTAAAGATATTTTGTCTGGATACCTGGTTTACAATAAATTGCAGTAATTAGAGACCATAGCAGTAGTTTAAATCATTAGAATAAAAGGCGCTGATATTCAGATAAAGCTTGAATCACCTTGCTTTGAGTGCAAGAAGTAATGAAAATGTCTCCAAACTATAGTATCCTCTATCAACAAAATCACCCTAGTAGAAATAAGCACAGTCAATAAGATACATGAATCGTTATAAGCATTTGAATCTAACAATAGAAACCAAAAATTACCATGAATATATAGCTGGTTGAAGGCATTTCCCCACCAACACGAAATAGCTCAAGAAGGTCGTAAAACTGCCCGTGAATATCACCACACACAGTGACAGGTGATGACACTGGCTGGATGTTTGATTCCTCAATTAAAAGTTCCTTGACCTAATTAGAAGAGGGAAAATCGTAAGTACTCGACTGTTTGCCACGTAAATGTACATGCATTTAACAAAAGGAGTGGTCCAGTAAAAAGTAAAATGCTGTAGACGATACAAGCCATAACCAACGGTCATTGAGTTTCCGTCGATGCATTTCATCAAGTTTATTTGCTGAATTGATGTCAATCCTACCACAGAATGCAACAAGAGCGTTCCATTCCGAGTAATCATTTCAGAAATGTGAAAAACCATGCACAATAGTAGATTATTGCACCTCGTTATGATTACACATGAGGTATCACTTTCAGTATTTTAGTTTGACTCCCGTCAAAACAAGCTTAGAAAAACTGTTTGGCTTAAACAAAAGGTATGATAGTGCGTATTAAAACCATACGCATTGCATTAAAGCTGCCCACCATATCACAAAGCTTCTTGATGTCAGGCTCAGACAAATATTGGCATTGTCGTATAGTCTCTAGCCACTCGTCAGGTCCTACATATATAGCAATAAAGCATCAGTGTTTGATGTCAAAGAATCAGCACTGACAAGAGTGGGTCTTGAATTAGGACGGATATATAGTGTTTATCAGATAACTCCAGTATTGACTGCCACTAGGTCCAAAGTTTTATACAAAACATCAAATGCTTTCATGTAGATACAAGTTTTTTGATCGAGTAGATTGGCAGTAGTAGCATCATGTGCTAATATCATACAAGTTGTAGATGCAGATAATAGCTCCGCACGCCCGATTATCCATGCTAAGTTGCAGTTGCTCCGTTTAAAATCTTCCAAAAACATGACAGGTATAATTCTATAGCAAGACATGAATGATAAAAGATGATTACCTCCAGGCATAACTGTAGTAGATTTACAAGAGAATCAAGTTGACAAGTTACAAGGGGATAAAATCGAGCTCGTGGCTGGCATGCGTTTTGTTCCTGAGGGTGTGCATTCGTATCCATCCAGACTGTGTTTTACACTCGCTTTCTACCAGATTATCCAATACAAATCGCCCTTCTCGTATCAATCATGTCCTTTTGGAAAGATATTGAGCAGCGGGAAAAGGTCAAGCAAAAAATGGATCGTTCCCTTAAAGAGTATTTAAAAGTCCAAAACGAAGAGGCGAAACAAAGGCAAGTGTACAAGTGTACCATATCCTGTTTGCAATATCTTGATTATCAAGCAAATATAATGTTTCAAAGTATGACTACCAACTAATATATCTTGATATGTGTTGGTCATGTTTGCTATTATTTTAAAATTACAAATGCTCGAATTCAATTCTTCAGAAAGCTTATCAATAAACAAAATGAAATTATGGAATACAAACGACTCGCTCAGGATCAAAATAATTCCGAGATTCAACAGGTAATATAACTTTTATTTCCGTAAGCCAAAAACTTGCTACTTTACCTATCTGTTTGAAACCAAGCGTTCTATTTAAATACATTTATGTAAAACACCCAGTTTTGACTACTCGTGGTTTATTGCTCCACAAAGTACTAACGTGCTATTTATCAATTGCATTTTTATTATTCAAACAGCCATACACAAATCATGCACTCACTTCTTTGTCACATAGTGTTATTCCTAATATAAGCGTTCTAGGGAACTACAATAGAAACCCCAGTTTGAGTCCATATTCGTCTGCTACTGGAAATCCATTATCACAGCGCTTTAAAAACTCTGATATCCAATCCAGTACTAATCAGATTTCAAATGTTTCAAAATATCCCAAAAATTCAGAAACTAATGCAAGCTTAATTCAAATCGCCAACCCAAATAGTAATTTAAAGCAACCGTTTCAAATGAATGACTGTGCTCCAGATCAAATGGATCCACAACCCAATTTTGATCTCAATCTATTGCTAAATCAATCGCTTTTGATATTCTCTACTGCTCGAATAGAGGCACTTGAAAAGACGGTCGCAATGGACTCGCTAACAATTCGTGACTTTGCAGAATATTTATTAGCTGCTGAGCAGACAGCATATCGTACGATTCAAAAGCATCTATCCTGTGCAACTGTAAAAACAAAACTGCAGTCCAACATAGATCATCTAGATGCATTCCAATCTATGCAAACTCACAAATTGCAAGAGTCAACTTCACAATTGCATGCTACTGTTGAGTATATTCATCAAGTGCGCGACAAGGCGGAAAAGGAATTACAAAAAATACATCAATTGATTAAAAATACAAGCTCGAGCAACAACAAACAAGACATTTTAAATGCAATGATTGACAAGCCTACACAGTTGATGATGGATCCACACTTTACAGCACTTGCAATGAAAATTGAATCACTTCAATTTCAAATCTCATCGGTTGAAAAAAACGCCAGACAAAGCATTGAAAAGGAAATGCACTATAGACTTCAATTTGAAAAAAGTTGTCAGAATTTATACAAGGATATTAGAGATATTGTGCATACGCATGAACGATCCACTGCCAATCACATTGAAACTATTCGGCAAGGTTTGTTTGATGAGATTTTCAAAGAGCGTCACGAGCAAAGTAAATTCATGACCGAAACTGTTAAATGCCAACGCATTCACGAAGATAAATGTAAAGAGTCATTCGCCACATTGCAAGATAATTCTATTCAACAACAAATGCTTATGGAGCAATCACTAAATGATAGAATTTCTGACTGTCAAGCGCATACTGTGAAATTGCGAGCAAGTTTAGCAGATGGTATAAAGGCTGTTCGCTCAGAAATCTGGCAAAGTGTCAATGATGCCATACAGCGACATAAATTAGAAGAAACGCAAAATCAAGCCATTCAAAAACTGAGTGAATCCATTTGTCTCGTTGAAAAGGATGCTAAACGAGCATCTACATCTTTGGAAGAGGTACTAAGAGCAGAGATCAAATCTAGACTAGAAATGGAAAAAGAGGTTTTGAAATTGAAAGAGGGCATTAAAATGGCAATTGAAGATATTGATAAAAAGGTAAAATACTTGATTCAGATCATTGACCAAGTATCAAGTTTAACAAACTGAGCGATTTTATAGCATTCATCAAGTCTGCGTAATTTGGCAGAGGGTTGTGAAGAACAGTCAAAAAAATTATTCAAGCGTATTGGGGATATAGGTTCACGACTGAAACATACATCATCCGAGGCACATATCGCTGAAAAGAATACACACGATATACTAGATCGCAAGCATCAATTGGCTATGCTTGAGATCAAAAATCAGCATGAATTGATTATTCAAAGTGAGCTTAAAATACAAGATCTGACAAACTTGTGCGATACCATTCAGACAAAAGTAAAGAAAAACCATGCGTCACAGTTTACTCATATGGATTCTGCCAAAAAAGCAATCCAAACACAACTGGACACATTTGTCAAAAAACACGATTTAATCCAGCTTCAAAAAAACAACAGCAGCGACATTGATAAATTGGAATCGAATATCCGTGATATTCAAGCCTTTGTATCAGAGTTTGAAAAGTTTAAATGTAACTATGCCACAAAGGAAGACTTGAGTGAAATCGAAAACAAGCAACATTTGTCTACGATCGCCTACGATAGCACAGTAGAGCGTTTGCAGGCAAGTATTTGCTCAATTATAGGTAATATACAGACATTAGCAACCAATCAGGAAATCTTGGCCATGAAAGAGTGCATTTCAAGAATTTCCAACGAGCTAAATACTAAACAATTCATACATACTCAAACCCCACAAGGTACATACTGTAGCATAATGAATGGCTATTGAATATTGATTGATATAGTAGTTTTATTATCTGGTTACCAACTTGGTTTCTCATCATAGTTTGTGATTCATACAATACATGGCATTCAACAGGTTACGACAAGTATCGCGACTTGGATTTTGAATTGGACAGTACATTCTTGGCAACTGAACTATGCACGAACGAGACTACTGTAGATACTCGCGACTCTTTGCAACAGTTCAACACATTGTTTACACATCAAGTCAAGATTCATTTCCAACACCTTTATTTAGCACTTGCCACCATTCATGATTTGCTTGTGAATAACCATAGTTTACTGAATTTCGACAAGGAAAAGCTTGAAACATTACAGAATCTTTTGAAAATCAATGCCCATTCGACAAGTCAGCCATCAATACACATTACAGATCAACAGTGTATTGTAAATGATATAGATTGTCTGGAACTTTCAACAGATGAGCAAGCAGCTGTATCTGCAGACGTGTTAGAGTGTTCAGGTAGTGCTGTGCATGTAAAAGACGACAGTGGATCTTTTATTGATGATCTAATCACGCCAACGCAAGCCACAGATGATCACACTCATACAGGTTTAAATGATCGTAAAGATACAAGTTTGGCACATTAAGTGATTGATTGTTTTTTGGTGGGGTTGTAAACCGTTCAACAATCAGTTGCTGTTGGTATTTCATCTATAAAATGAAACACTTTTCATTAACAGTCCAAAATGCTAAACGTGGCTATATATATTAGTTGACATGCATTCAGGCAAAGTCAACCGTGATCAACCAAACAAAAATAGCTCAAAACAGTCAATCGATAGATTTGAAAATACAGAGCAAGCTATTACTGATGTCACTCATCTTTTAAAAGCGTGATTCTAAAATTACCTCGCACACATACTATTCATTTACCAGTACGCCTCAATAATTATGTAGTTTTCCATGCTCTCTGATAGTATATTTATTTTGGTTATAAAATCAGCATTATTGCGAAAAGCGCAACCGAATCAAATCTAAAGCACGTTGAATTTGCTCATGAAATAATGGTACAGAAATATTGTCCGACACACTACTCAATGGAGTGCATTTTTCCAAAATTGGTGCATCATGACCAAACTGTTTCCAATGATCTAGCAAATTTGACGATCGAGTTCCAACATCAGAAAGTTGAGTTATTGGCTGCAAAATAAGTGAGTGGGACGCTTGGCTGGAATGTTCTATCAGTGTCAAAGTTTTTGTAATGAGAGAAATGTGAGAGCCAACACTATGTAGTGCAAAGTCATCTACACCAAGATAAAGTTGAGCAAGCCGGGATGCGTGAAAAAAACGCTCTTTGATGCAAAGATCAGCAATCAATGATATTACAAGAGTTTGATGCCGTGCTTCGCTGATTCGAATATCTCCAGGTGAGGTTGAAAGTATGGTTTCGCATAGTTTTGTCCAGTTTATAACATGTTCAATGACCCAGGCATCACGTTCACCACGGTCATAGGCGAGCACGAGCAACAGCAAGGTAGGATTCACAAAAAGTAATTCTTCAAAATCCTTCGAGGCAATCAGCATGTCTTTAAACTCTTGCAAGGCTTTTGATACAGTTTCCAAGTTGAATGATATCAATGAGAATTGATAGAAACTAGCAAGATCTCGCTGGTCTTGAATAGATTGTAGCAAGTCCTGCATGTAATTTTTAGGTTAACAGATGCTACCCAGATCATAATCAAACATGATACATTTTAACAGCACTCCTGAATCAAAAACTCACCTTGTCATCAAAAACTAACACCTGTCGCAAATGCAACATAATAAAGAAAAGCAACTTGTCACGGCCTGTTGAAACAAGATGCCTAAACACTTTCATCCACATATGTTCAACAGTTTGGCTATTAAAAGTCTCTGACAATTGATCGGTCACTGTCCAATCCACCAATAGATTAAACAGGCAAATATATTGCTCATCTGTTGATGTTTTTTCCAAAAGAACTGATACATAGTCTATGCGAGCCTCACTGGTCAAAAGTTGATCCGATTGTACCTACATAAATGCAAAGTTAAAAATGTTCGAGTCAACATATCAAAATTATGACGAAGCCATATTTACCACCAGTCCCCAAGAAGCTAAAATATTGGCATTTTGAATGGCAACACTTGCAGCAACAGCCCTGTCCTGCTTGATTTCAAAATGCTTTGTACAGTAAAACACAAGTCAAATTAGTCGACAGAAATGCTAAATAAAAATTTAATTGCAATATCAAATATAAAAATATACCTTTTCAAGAAGTTTATGACAAGTTATATATCCAGGTTTAGATAGTTGATAGTGTCCTTGCACTGCAGAATCGAGCACAACTTCTAATTCGTGTTTTATATCATCTTGACTATTAGAAATATCTAAATCGTCAAACTCATCGTCATCCCAGCCAGAAACTGATGCAAGAGGTTTAGTGGAGCAGTCTTTCAACACAAAGTCTATCCATTTCTCAAATAGTAGTAGTTGAGGATCATTGTCACTGGAATTGCTGTCAATCAGCTCGAGATATTGAATGGCCGCTTGTTTGTAAAGATAGGGCATAGACCAAGTGCTCTGAGTTTCTACAAAACCTAGTTGAATGGCATTGACAACGCGCTCAACAGTTTGTCCATCAATTTCTGATCTAATAAGACTAAACAGTGCTGCAGTGATCTGGCATGACAAGAAACGTTAGTAAATCGCTATAAACAGTATACTTTGATTACAAGCAAATACCTTTTCAACATCTCTGTAAGCACAATCAATTTCAAGAATAAAAGTGGTGAAAATCCCACCAGGAAGGTGCAGCTCAGTGTCAATGTGCGAAAGAGCCAAAAGAATGCTCATGTGCATCTCTAGTGGATAAAGAGCTTCCACAAAACTGGTTTCAGCAAGATAATTTCTTAAAAGATCCAACGTGCTTTTTCGAATGTCCAGCATCAAGCGACTTGCCTGCGTTAGTACAAAATACATGAGTAAATAGCGTTAGATTCCAATGACAATTGACAAAGATATAAAACTCATACTTACCAATTCACCGACAACTAGTTGAGAACCAATTTCAAAAACATGCGATGGCTGCATGACCTTGATTCCTTTATGAACATAAGATACCAACGACATTACACTACAACAATGATGATAAATACACGATGACTATGTATAAATATAATCAAATACAATATGAGTTGAATGAAAATGCTACATTACCTTTCAGAATTCATCAACTCCCATTTGATTATCATGTCTGCCAACGAAGCATCCAAAAAAACAAAAAACAAGTTGCTAGATATTGCGCTTTGGTCAATATGGATATCGGCAATGCCCATTTCATCTGAAAAAAGTGGGCATGGGTAAAGAGAGTCGAGTCTACCAATTTTTTGGAATAAATTAAAATCAATTTAGTAAATTCAACAGCTGCAGACCGTTATTAAATCTACCTTGTAAGCAGAACCAACAAAGCGTCAAAGCGTTCAAAATTCGAGTGTGTTTTCCATAAACAAACAAATCCTTTTGCTTCATCCATCATAGCACTACGTAATGAAGGCAACGTCAAATCACAAAGAATAGTAGAGGATTGAATGGTTTCCAAAAGAGCGATTCGAGAATACAGCTGTTGTATATCCTTTGTAGTATTTTCTTTTTTGACACCAAGTAGTTCTACTAGCTCTCGATAAATCACTATCAATGCATCGTTGGGTAAAATAAAGTACTAAATATAGAATTAGTAGTCCATTAAAATAGAATGAAACAAGTATGAGCATAATAAAACCTTGGCGTGAGTCGAAAGTAGAATATTACAAACGTCATTTGAACTATTTTCCCAAAAAGCAGATATGCATTGTAGTTGCGCAGACAACTGGATTGCATTGACTTCATTGGATGAAATCAGCCACGTAATATGTTGGTTTAAGATCTAATAACATGTTAGTTAAAATATAAACACATCCGTATAGCTTCCACAGTTGAGTCAAGTTACCTCGATTGTGTCAAAATTAAAGTATCTGGCGGCTTCTAAACAATCTTCTAGCTGAGCAGCATCGATTGTAAAACAAAGATTTGAAAAAATTAAGCGTCGGTATTCCAAGTCATTGTCCATATCTTCTAGATTCACATGATATCGCAAAGCTAGCATATCTGTAACAGCTCTATTACGTGCATGCTCAGCCTGAAACGAGTACAACTTTGAAAGACTTAATAGTTGCTCTGCCTGATCTTGATGCTCGATAGATATATGATTAGTATCGGATGTACGTTGTGTCAAAAAAAGCATGATTTCCGTGTATTTTGCATTCCACAAGTCGTTTGAGGTGCCAGTATGTCCGTTTAGTTTGTAAAGTGCGGATAGAGCAAAGAAATGTGCTGCAACTTGACCAATAGAATCAGATGGCTCAAATCGATTAAAAAACGCTTGCATGTCGACCATCTACAAGATTTAACAGGAAAATACATTACACATTTGACACATCTGACACTACAAGCAATATCAAAGTATTGATAGTAGACAACACTCGAGTTATACATACAGAGTTACAGCTAAATAGAGCAGCAAGAGCTTGAAGGGTATCCGATTCACAGACAAGATTGGCATAGGTTCCAAGAAGATTGGATGTATTATGCTTTTGAGATCTCCGAATTTCTTGGCATCGCAACATACAATAAATGTCGTTGTACAATTTGTTACTGGATAATGAAGAAAAACTTGACATCTGATGTGTTAAAGAATAGTTATCAGACGGAGTGCATCCAGGTGCCGAATAAAAGTCATGCTGTGAAAGCTTATCAACGCGATGTTCAAATGGATTGGCTGGAAGGTTGTCAGCAAGATTTTTGAAAAGTTCATCAAAATCAGGAGTATCAACAGGGTTGGACGCTATAAAAGGTCCACCACCAAATAAAGGTATGATTTTCCCTGTAGTACTATGGCTCGGTTGCTTATGTTGAGTATCTTTCGGCATTGAATCCCATAAAATTGATTCAAATTCAGTTTTGCGCCAAAGTCCAATTATCGAATCTAGAGTCGTGATTGGGCAGATTTGTATAATGCAAGATATCAAGTGAAGCTTCTCATCAAACTGTAAATTCAACCAGCTAGATTCTGCAAGTCTTTGAAACACGTTACATAAGCTTTTTACCAATGCATCGTTGGTCAGTGGCGAATTCTTTGATTGTGTAGATGGCCCTTCAGTGAATGACATCTTTATCAACTGGTTACAGTAGTAGCTAGCTACATCAAGACTTCCATCATCGATTGCAGCATGGGCAAGATATGATCGAACTCGTAGCTGAGTGATAGTATTGGCTGCAGCCGTCTCTCCACAAAGTTTACAAGCAAGGTCCATGATCATTTCTGGAAAGGCATTGAGCTGAGGATTTTCAGAAAGAAGCTGGCGAAGAAGATCCACGCGATCAGGATGGAAACGAATCTGGATCGGTAATAATTCAGAACGAGTTTTTTCATCTACAAGATGATGTTTACCAACAATCACATCAACAGCATCAATCAATTCAAGCTCGCGCTTCATTTCAACAGATGGTGTAACAAGATTCAAACTAAACAAATTAAATTAGTATGCATGATATATAAAACGAAAATGAGGTTTTCAAAATGAAGACATAGATTTTTTCAAATTTAAATTCAAACCAATCGCAATATTTATACAAAGTAGCTATACAAACAAAATATACACACCAATCCCAGGCTTCCTTCAAGAGTCCAGTTGATTTACTACCCAAATGGGCATTATCAAACATTTCTCGAGCAGTGGATACAAGCACCTGTTGAACGAGTTGAACAGATGCTGCGTTTGTTGTATTTGAGTTTGTACTTGGTAGTATCATTTTGACAAATGAATATACTAGCAAGTTAATTAAAACGTTAGTATGAGCAAAGGCCAATTAAACATTGATACTGCAAAAATTAGATTATCAACTCGACTCACATCCATTAGAAACCGCAGCACTCAAAAAGCTGGAGTATATAGCATCTTGGGAAATATACTTGAATATACCAAGCGCCTGCAATTGAAGAGCCTGGTTTAAAATATTATAAAGGTTTGTTTCCCGATCCCTTTTACTTTCACTAATAAAATCACATGAAAGTGCTCGACGAGGAATCTTTTCGACAAGTTGCAGCTGTCCATTTTCTGACGATTCCAAATTCTGTACATCTGAAATAGACATAGACATATCTAGTTTAGCCAAGAAACGCAAACATTCCAATCGAGTGTTTAGATGCTCAAGGCTTGCAAGCCGTTGAGCTACAGTATCGTCCGCGTTCTCTTGGGTTGGCGAATGAGGTACACTGTGTAAAACAGACACAATGACTGCCAGCATCTCTTTGTAAGCAAAAATACACTTTGATGAAAAAAATTCATGGCAAGCAATAAGCAGCACATCAGCTAAAGCTATTGGTGATGATATCATCCGATTTTCGTAGAGAACATCAAGCGATGATGATTGAATCACTGCAAGTGTAGCTCTGGGATGAAGATTTGAAAGCTTGGCCAATCCCCTGATCAAAAATAACCAACAATACAATTAATAGATCTTGTTTTCAAACTATAGGAATGCATGCAACCAACCTTATCATCCAATCAGAGCTAAATGAATGCTCGAGTCCCAGTATTGGTTTAATGAGCACCTCCATTTCTTGGACGATCGATTGCTCGCTTGATTGCTCCAACACAAGCATAGCCAGATCAGGTATCTCCATACGCATTACATGAGACAAAGTCAAGAGAGATTGCTCAGACAAAGCAGTAGATGAATTTGTACGAGTCGGTTGTGTTTGCAATGCGCCAAGAATTGCTAGCCGATCCAGCAATTTCTTTGCATCTGGAACACCACGAACAACCGCGCATTTTGCAAAATCGATTGAATATTGAATCAGACCGCTATACTCTTCAATCGTGATAATTCTCGATAGATACCATTCAACTAGCGTCTCAGCACTGGCAGGATATGTATTTGGCTGTAAGCCTATTTGAACCGACTGATTTATGGAATGATCATCGTGAATAAGTAATTCAAGCAATTCCTTTGTGGCTTTATTCGAGCTCCAATCGGCCTTGCGCCATCGGATAACAGGCCACGGAGTTTCAAAAAGAGTAGTGCGATCAATGCGAGGAAGAAGATGTTGATATAGTTTAGGGTCGGTGCATTCTGGAATCAAATCCAGCAGACTTGTCCTATACTGTAGTATGTCATGTCCGTGCCGTGTAAACAAAATTTCAAGAGCATCAAACTGTTGGGATGAAGAGAATTTACAAGCAAGCATCACCAAATCTGCATCACGAAATGCTATAAAGTCTTTTGGATCCGCATCATCTAGGTAAATAGCCTCAAACGTGTTCAGGCGATCTAGGTATTTTAGTGCTCGAATTCGTGCAACACACACGTCTGTTGCAGAAAGGCCACCCCAATCATTTGTGGGTGTATTTTCAATAGTAGAGGCCCCGCTGTAACTGTCCAACACCTTGTTCAGCTCCGCTTCCACATTGTTCAATCCAATCATGTCTGTTCTTTCAATGACATGTTGCAACAGTGTTCGTGTAAGCGACAGATCTTCGTATGAATCTAAACCTTGAAGAAAAACAAAAGCCAAATCCTGAACCTTTGATAAGAAAGAGAAAACCAAATCTGGGGATTTTTCCGGTGAATGAACCCAAAGTGTCTTGTATACTTGATCCGTGGTAATACTGGAGTGACTACATAATTCTGCGATATTTTCTGGTGTAGACAAGCCCATTAACGAAAGGATTTTTTCTTCTGGTGTTACCTTGATCAAGCAAACAAGATCTACGGTATCAAAGCATGCATTTGAAGCAAGAATGTATGAGATTGAATGAGCATCAGCGGGCGTGGAGATTTCTGCGAGAGCGTCTGAAAACATATCCAATGGTATTATTGGTGGTTCGTTTTCCGAGCTGGTTTCATCAATCAACAGTGAGTTGATTGAAACTTTCCATAATTGCCGATTCTCACTACAAGCCAAAATATATTTGCCATCAAAACATTGGACTGAGCAAACGCTGCCAAGAGGTAGTGCTGCATCGACAGATGACCATTTTAACTTTAGTTCTGTAGATGAGTACAATCGAAGTTGACCATTTGAATCCAACACGATCAAAGCACTATAATATCTGCAGTAGTTGATTTGAGTTGCACCAACAAGATCCACGTTTGAGTTAAATATACCGTATTGTGAACAAAGGGAGTTTACAAAACAGAGTGCATTTTTCAATGTGTATGCAGACTGAGGTGGATTACGAGTAAACTGAATCTTGGACGATGCGTTAGAAAATGTGAGTATATTGTCTGAAAAATCGACATCCCAATAGACAAGATGATCAAAGTCTTTTGATTCAGATAAAGTCCTGGATTTTCCAGCAGTAAGAAAACGACGATCGACGAATATAGCGGTAGAAACAGTGCTGTAGATGTCAGAGAAGCTTGCATACAAACACAGTACAAGGTCCAATGGATCTAAATTGAATTTAAATGCAGTGATCAACCCATTGTAAGAAACACTAAAAAGCCAGATAGATCTGCAAAGGGGTTCATCCGAGTTGGAGGCCATCTGGCGATTACAGTCTTGTAAATCGTGAAAAAGCAAAACACTGTGCGGTTGGATGAACAAAGACGACATGATCATATCGTCTGGATTAGTGTGCAGACGAGTGCCAGTTTGAATATCACACAAACAAGATCCAGACAACAACGAATAAACCAGCAACGACCCATTGCTAAACGAAACAGCAATCAAGCTTGAATCAGCACACCAAGCGAGCTGCTGCCGTTTAGGAAACACATCGACAGGAAGTGGCAGCAGACACAGACAGAGAGAGCCTTTCCGGATATCCAAAAGTCCAGAAAACAAAACAGCGCAGAGCAGTCCGTCTGGAGAAGCGCAGATTGCAATAGGAACTGCACTCGACTGACTGACATGAGTTGTGATGGAAGGTTGACTAACAAAGTGTTTGAACAGAGCAGCAGACACTGTAGGTTGAACTGCTTCTGCACTAGAAACATCTGGTTTCCAACTAGCCAGCTGAACAACTGCAATATTCATGACAAGCGATCCCTTCAGATGTCAAATTCAAGAAAGTGTTATTTTATCTAACCGACTCTCCACTCCATGAACATGCAATTACACTTCATTTGCTTTTATTTCCATTGATCATTCAATCGTTTTTTATCAGCCTGTTTCAGTCCATCACATAAACGTGTGTTAATCACGGCTGTATCAACTATTTCTAGCAATTCTACTTACATAATGTTTGGCGACAAAAATTCCTACAACGAGTGCGACAATCGTAGCTATCAGTCCTGCATAGTTGAAGTCAGCACTCAATACGTCAAATGCTTGAGAAGGCATACGGCGAGTACAGAACAAATCCAGTCCATAACTTGCTACCAACGAAGTCGACTCGAGGTTGGTTGGCGAGCTTATGATTTTTTGAATACCAAGAACCTTTCAAGTCGCAGTTGTTAGCATCTGTCAATTACTAAAAAATAGTCATTCAAATCCTTACTTCCTGTCCATACGATGCAATCTCATACGTGGAAAGACCCAGACTGGCCACGTATGGAAATATTCCTGCCTCCTTGTCTTCTGCCGACTGTTTGCCCAATGTTCTACGCGGATCAAGAAGTTTCTTATTAAGTCCATACAAAAATCCAGTATCAAGTCCAAACAACACCTCGCGAGTTGTAATGCCTGCCAACGTCTGGGTAACACCAATTGCAGTAATAGGAAGTGGAAAGACATATGCTTGTGCGTAAATACCCGGACGGCTGTTAGAATACGACGACAGTGTTGGACTGTATTGTTGATGATGTTACATGTGTCAATTAAATACAATTCACAACACAACGTTCTCAATCTCAGTATAATAGAATACTCACCTGTCCACTCTCTTATCTGGCTTCGAGTTTTCGTACATTTCAATCACCACAATCTCAAGCTGCTTTGCATCTGGAACACTAGCACGATTCGATGTCTTTCCTGCTTTGGCTTTACGTGCCTTTTTGCTGGTCTGTCCCGCCTTGCCAGAACTATGCGAATTCGAAGCAAGTGTTGCCTCGGACAAACCATTCCAAATCTCTTCATTCGTTGCATCAGGTCCATAGTTCCATGCCGTGTATACAAACCAGTTTTCAACTTGAAGAATATGCATTGGTGATGCTCCGTTATTGGCCGGACCAGCTGCATGATGCGCAGTACGATAGTGAATAGATCCCGATACTGTATCCACAATATAAAAGAATGATACTATCGTACCATCAGCATCCTTGCGAACAGTAGCAACACCAAGCATATTTGGGCTAAGGTATTTGTAAAGAACTGTTCGATCACCAAGCACTCGACCAATGGAAGCAACAGATACTTCTAGACACATTGACAAGATATGTAAGATATATCAAGTATGAAAGTTCAACTAATTCAATAGGCAAGCTTGTTTTACCTGATGCACGATCAGAGAGTGCGTGAAGCTTTTCTCCTTGAGGAAATTCAAGATTCCACGTTTTTTCCAGTCGGTATGCCTGAAATACAAATATCATGACTAAGAAATAATGCTACAGCATTGCACAGAAAGTGTACATGAATAGATTACCTTGCGACCTTTTTCTGGCACCTGCAAAGCGTACCCTTGAAGACCCGTGTCACCCATAGCACGATAAGTATAGAACGATAAGCAGTTTGGCTCAAATGCAGCATGAGCAGCAGGTGTGTCGGGGAAAATTTTGAGCTATAGAAAATAGACAGTAAGTAAGGAATCAAGTCAAAACAACCTATTAACCCTACGCTTAAACTCGGTTTATAAAAATACCTCTGTAGGTTGGTCCATAAAAACCATAATGCTAGTATGCTCGTCAGTTTCTGCTATTTCAATCATCGATATACCATGCTTAATGCCTTGTAAATTGGTGCGAGCCTTGATCTGTGGTTGAAGACTTGAAACATAGTCTTCACCAGTCAGTCCATTCACTCTCCAGATAATGGTGTTCTATAAAACCAAACTGATGTATCAATAGGACTGAAATACAAAGTATCAAGAGATCGACAGCAAACAAGTATGAAAAAACAACCAATTTTGAAACTACCTTTTCAGATGCATCAGTTCCAACCAAAGCAATCACTGGAGGATTTTTGACATGGGCATGTCGAACTATGTGAATGCTATGTATATGAAATGACTCAAAGTAGCGTGACCAAACAGGGCTTCCAGTAAGACTGTCCAAAGCATTCACCTTCCCAGTCGATGATGCAAAAAGAATAAACTTTTTAAATCCATGCGCGTCACTAATGCCTACGGTGGTGGTGTTTGATTTGGGCTGCAAGATACCTTGTCCAACAAATAGATCCTTGAGAAAATCGTTAAACTTGGCAATATGCACGCTCCAGCGACGAACGTATCGCTCAGCCATTGAGATGGATGCAGAAACCTCGGGCTCTTCACGAAGCTCATCCAGTTGTTCAGAGAAAAGAGTATTTTTGGGAAGACTAAGAAAAGCCGAATCTGCGATATAGCTTAGTGATTCGTCCCTGGTCCAAACAATTTTACCATTGCGAGAATAGGTCACAGAACCATCCGCGGAAACTGATATGAGTGCAAGCACAGCATCTCCTCTAATCAAAGTTGTGCCCATAAAAACCTACGGTAGAGCCGTTAGTTGAGTTACATTCAAGACAGTCGGAATTCTAAAATTATGTGTATCAGAAGTGCCGTAAAGGCGGGTGTGTTTCCATTAAGCCATCACAGTGAATATAAATCCAAAGGAGCATCGGAAAATCCAATCATGTATCGTCCTTTACACATAAAAATAGGCAAGACAATAAAAATACAAGTCTAGTAGAATGTCGTGTCTTACTTTTTCAATCAAGCCCAACAAAAACACATCATTTGTCACAGCAATGTGAGATTCACTGGCACCAGCCGTGACTAGATCAAATACATACTAAGATATAAAATTAGATCAAGAATAGCACATATTATGTTTTGTTTGAAACTCGGATTAGCAAGAAAATGATCAAACAAGTGAATGGACTAAACTAGCATATATGAATACCTTGTCGGACTGCAATCGAAGACGACCGCTAGCAGATCCACTTGTATGAGAAGTAAACAGATCAGCACTAGATTCTTGAGTTGACAAGCTAAATTTGTGGACAACAACAAGCTTGTTATTTTTCAGCCGTGCAATATAGGTGTTTGTCGCAGTCTTTGCAAGAAACTCGGTAGGTTTAGCAGTTTCTCCTAGTTTTTCGACAAGAACATCTCCAGACAATGAAACCTCAAAGCCATGTCCAGTTTTAAGATTGATGGCACGAGACTGTCGACCATTGTTCCATACACAGTATACTTCTGATTCAGAGCCAGTCAAAAATATGCGCTCGACAAATGCAGCATCCGCGTCTTTTGTCTGGGTAGTAGTTAAAATAGATCCATCACTTATGCTCAACTCACGGGTAGTCAAAGTGCCCGTTTCTGCTGTCCATGAAATCAACCAAAGAGAGTTGTCGGATGAAATGATTTGAGCGTGTCTAATGTTAAACCCAACATAACAGTTAGTCATGCAAAATATAGAAGCACAAGATCGTGCCAATCAAGACATCTCAATACGGTGGTACTAAAAACAAAAAATGATAGCTTACTCTTCCTGGTGCTGGTGTTTGAAAGCCCAAACCACTTTACCCTTGTCAGAAACTGCAACAATATCACATGAAGGGAAGATAGCGATTGATTTTTTTTCATGGCGTATAATGGATGCAACACAAGAATGCGAGGACTTGGCAGAGGGTGCGGCACTCACACTCCAGATGAGAAGACCGGTGTACTTATTCCATGAGCGCAGATGAGTTGAAGTTGAATCATCTGTTAATGTCAAAACTGAGTCTAAAAGCATTCAATTGTAAGCAGATCCAATGGATAATTACTGTTAAATTCGACACAATAAAAGCATTCCAAACAGATGGCACATCCTAATCTAAATCACCTTGTTCATCTGCGTACAAACTAATAATGGACTCGGACTCTCCAAATGCATGACGCCAATCTATGTTTAAAAGGTGATTGATTTTAAAAACATGATTTTGTAATTGTACCAAAAGTCGAAACGACGAATCCGGGTTTTTAGATCCATCAAGACTTGAATACAGACAGACAAATGCTATAAAAAGCAGCGACCAAAGAATGGTATAAAACTTACTGATTTCACCAGAACTGGCGCTAAGAGAGGCAAGAACATTTTTAGAGGTTCCTATAGTAATAATATCTTGCTGACTAGAGCTTTCGATATGAGCAAACTTTGGAATACCGACTAGTTTTGTGTGCCTATATATTGTGGAATGAAAAAAGAATGATATGGTGTGCAGTACAAAAAGCGAATCTGTTAGTATGTTTTTTGTATATAGAAACAGGTATAATGAAAGAAAACATGGTAAACTAGACAACTGAAAGTCGGATGCAAAAGGAAATCGTGTCAGCTCAACATATAGACTGAATTGGTGAAGCCAGTGGCAGATACTGCAGCACACAAAAGGTTTGATGATTGACACTCAAGCAGGTAGAATGCAGTCATGGCAAGATTATTGATGGCAATGCAAAGCGATGATCTGACTAGAAGTAAAATGAGATTTACCAGTCATAGTTGCCAGCCTCGTCCTTGTACAGAGCAGAGACCGAATAACAAGAAAAGATGGCCATGGTTAGAATTCTAAGCATGGTAGCTGTCATGATGGGCTGTTTAACCGAGTCTGGCACTTGAATTCAATGTCGAGTTTAGGCAAGTAAAGATGAATTTCCAGTTGGATTCACGTAAAATGGAACATAAAGTGATGAACAGCCAGTCTTGTAAATAACTGAACAATATTGTGGTTTAAACTGTTTAGTTTTCTAGTCTTTTGGTGATTGGCATGCATTTCTGGGATTGTTCTGAACTAGATCGCGAGTGGATGTGATTTAGAATACAACAGTCGAACTCAGTATCCAATCATCAATCTAATAGTCAATCTAATCATCACTTTCCTTTAAAGCAGCCATGGCAAGATGATTATAAAAGTATTCTATTTGACGTGAAATTGACAGTCTTCTCAACTCATCAATGCATCGAGATATTCGTAGCAAGAGAGGACAAAGAGGGAAATCTCACTGGAAACCTCCATCTAGTACTGTGCATAGCAATCATCCTATTAGTGATGATGCAGATCTGATTGATGAGAGAAACTCATTTAGTAAAAGACAGATTGTCAGCAACCATGCTAGATTCCATCAAGACATCATTGCATCAGAACCTCAAGACACTCCTGAACTCTTGGCTCGAGTGGTCGACGAGTCTAGTTATGACATTCCTGCAGCATCGTTTCAGTTTAGCACAGAAAGAGTGGCCGATAGTTCGGTAGATGGTCTGCAACTATCCTTTGACTGGACTGCACTGCGTAGTCACTTGGATGCACTCCAAGTCGTGGCCAAAGAGCCAGATCCTCACACTGCAGTCTTTGTATTTCATCCACTTCCATTGCTATATGCATTTAATCCAGTCCATGTTCCTGATGCTCTGGTATCGCAGACCTCACTTCAGTCCGATACTGCCACCAGCAATCTCCTGCCCACTTGTTCAGATCCTCATCATGTCACCACCAATAGCTTATCCGATTCTAAACATGCTTGTGATGACTTTGTAGACAGCTTATTGGATCTGGACTCTACTCTTCAACCCTCTTTAACAACTTTTAACTCATCAAGCAAGCCATCAATTGATGCTGCTGCCTCGTTTGTTACTTCAAATCCCAGTCAGACCCAAGATAACATTGATTCATGGCTGGATGATATTCTGGGCTGATGTTTTTATTTCTATTAGCGTTGGATGACATTGTTATAAGCTTTATTCAGACTCGATCATTTTTTCAAACCGTTCCAATAGATATCTATGTTGTGGTGCAATGAGCGAATCCAAATTCTGAAGCATCTTTTGTTTAGTTTGCTCTCGATTGTTGAACCTATAGTTTTAGATATCCAAGTTGTTAGCCAGTGTTGTGTTTTTATTAAAAGTCTATAGAACGGGACTTTTCAACTCGAATTCAATCCATCTTCACTTCTCAATGACAGAAAGCTACTTACGCCTTTACATTCCATAATAGTGCTGTGAATTCATTATATGACAATGTACTTCGTGCCATTTTAAAAAAGTCTCTGCCATCAATAGAGTTGGTTTTTTGATTTGGAGTCAAGTTTTGCAATCCCTGACGAAAGATCTCTTCAGTGCTGCCAAATACAGATCCAGGCTCAATGTGAACTCCTTCGGTGTTACCTTTTGACTCGTACTGTGCATCTACTGGCAATATATCATGCTGTCTGCTTGCTACTTGATTCAATGTAGAAACTGAATCCGATATTATAGAGCGTTCTTGATCTCGCTTGGGAGATTGAGGCTTTACTCCAAGCTGAGCTACTTCAAATTCGGTTGATGTAGAGCAATTTGGATAAAAATATATCATATAGCGTTTGAGCATTATTTTACTTTAATCAAAAGTCCAATTTTAATACCTTGCCCGGCAAGACTCTCATTGCTGCGACTGAAACGATCATTTCCCATGGCATTCGCGTCAGCACCAAACTGACTATGTTTGAATACATTCTAGTATCATGTGTTATTTCATATAATGAAAAATGATCAATTTTTGATTAAACTATAGTTGTATTGCACCTCAAATGATTGTGATACATCTGTACTGCGTTGCTCAGTCTCTTGACCTATAAACAGCGATGACACTACAGACTTTTTAAACTCGGAAAGTTGAACAAGTTTGCGTCCCATCTCTGTCATGCGTTGTTGGTCGTCACTTGCATTTCGTTGAAGCTCATGAATCTGTTGTAAAAGTACCTTTAAAATTCAATGTTTTGATAAAATTTAGAGTTGAGATCCATCTTCATTAAACTCTCGATTTGTAAACAACTCTACACTATCAATAGAGTAAGCATCAAAAAACATGCTTGACGACTTTACCTGGATCTGATTGTCGCGCTGAGCAATTTGAGCACGACTAGTATGCAATTCGAGCTCATTTGCTGCTAGCTATTATTTATGCAACAAGTCGAATGTCAATATATATTTTAAACTCGATAAAAATATAATATTCTAACTGGTAGATTTAAAACAAGATGTTTTATACTCAATGACTTGCAAAAATAGCAAAATGCGACGAGTATTATATCCCCAACTTACTACTTTTTCAAATGATTGACGAAGATTTGCGGTTGCTTCAACAACTATACTTTGAAACTGATTATATATATCCATCTAATTAAGCCTGTGCTATGTCTTGCAAAATGCTTTACTGTAAAACTCTATTGAGTGTGGTTGGAAGGGTCTCGTCTGAGTTGATGGAAATATCTTCGCGTTTGTAATTACAATCGTATTCACGTAAAATAGAACTTGTATTTATCTTGCAGTTGGAGCCTCTATTTTGCTTTGGAATAGACAATGGTTAAATCTTTGTGCTTTCTTGATAGAAATTGACCGCTTCCTGAATAGACACTTTGTGTTTTGAATTTCTGGACAAACAAATTTACTCTATTAAAGTAATTACCAGCAGGATTCAGGAATAGACAATATGGAGCTTTACCTCGCGATACTGCTGTTTGTCACACATTTACAGGCTAAATATGATCTGTAAATGTGTGATTTTGTTGAGAAGCTTATAGGACACAATTTTCAACAATCCGATCAATCATTTCATGAAACTGGTTGTTTATTATTCATCTTTTAGTGTTTCATTTATGTGAATCCAGCAGTGAATGGAATCAGCAAGTCATGAACATCACGTGAAATAAAATTTGGTTGATAAATTTGACGTATAAAAAATCAACCGAATCAACTTTACTAGTCAATACATGGTTACCAAGTTACTCAACATGACTCTTCCAAAATCTGCCCAAGATGCACTTGTATATATGTATGAATCAAAAGTTCAAAAAAGGTGATATTTAGTTAGGACCATCACTGCACAGCGCTCATTTTCTTCATTATGAACACCTGAATTTGTTAATGCCCAGTTCAATGAAATGCTCATGGCGATCTTGGCATTTCAAAATGATATTATAGCTGCCCTTGAATAACCATTTATTATACTGTTGTTTGGATTTATTTTGGTGATCCTGATTTTATGCATTGCCAATCTTATTTGGATAGACTTAAGGAATTGGAGGTGCGACATGACATAGCAGTAGCTCCAACAGAACACTACATGATTCGCATAGACGGAGTTGCATTCCATACCTTTACCAAGGGAGTAGAGCAACCATTTGATAGTCGAATTACCAGGGCAATGGTGGAAACGACAAAAGATCTTGTCGATCGATTTGGGTCTATTACAGCATACACTCAATCAGACGAGATTTCTCTTGTATTTTCGGCTGCAGAGTTGTCAGAATCATCTCCTTATCTGTCTTTGCTACAGTCTGCCACTTCAGATAAGCGAAAAGTAAAGCGCCAACGAGGACCTTCAGATTCATCTTTAAATCCTGATGCTGCCAAAACCCAAGTTGGTACTCGCGTTCATTCCTACAATGGTCGCATCCAAAAGCTTGCGTCTACAACTGCATCGTATGCATCAGCACGCTTTAACTACCATATCTCTACTCCTGCATCCCAATGGGACTCACTTTCATCGCTAACTGTTCGACAACGTATGTTATCTCATTTAGCCTTTTTTGACGCAAGAGTCATCCCTCTCACTGATCTACAAGATGCATCTGAAACTATTTTTTGGCGGTCCAATTTTGATGGCATGCGAAATGCCATTTCACATATCTCTCAGTCAAATTTTAAAAAATCTTTATTGCATGGCAAGTCGGTTCGTGATCAGTGTGCGATGCTCGCAGAAGCCGGAGTTGATATAATGGGAACGTATGGATGTAAACCCTTGTTTGGTACATGGGTGAAAAAGGAGAAATATTTCATGAAGGACGCTATCAATCCAAAAACGGGTGAACCAGTATTGGAACCAGTGCTTCGGACAAGATTGCGATGTGGATCATTCAATTGGGCTGATTGGAGCGAAGATGAACGACTCACATTTACTGCATCTAAATACTGGCCTACAGATGAAAGAGCACCTCCAATGGATTCTTTGGATTAGTCACGCCAACTACTTGGGTTTGTGTGAAGATTTGATAGTCTTTGACGGTATTCAAATCATAGAACGTGTCTTGGTATAGAAAAAGTATTGGATAATACCATTTTATTGGATGAAAAACTCTTAAAATCCACTGAAATACTATTTACCTTTATATGGACTGATGCATACTGAAAATCACAGTCTTGTTTGACTATATTAAAAATAAATAATGCTATACATTTTAATCTATTTGAAATGTATTTATACCTGATTTATAGACTAAATTGTGTCACATCTGCTTGACTATTTATCCACCCGTCTGATTTCTAATTGCGTCTACTTTGAAGATTACAACAAAAAAGATGAGATCGGGATGAAATACACCCATATTTTAATAGCTCAATCTGACCTTATCTTGGAACCATTAGTCATCGCTAGATTAAATGGGCGACATTGTTCTATATTGAATCAAGTGGAGCAGTAAGTTCAGCAAGCTGATCGTGATACACGATCGCTAGATTCTCATGTCATTCACATCAGCAAAAGTCTACCAATGTTTACATAACAACATCATCCAACCCGATTCTACATAAAAGTGATTGAAATTTACGCGAGTACTTTTCAGATACACGCTGATGGTGATGGTTACTCATAATTTCATATTTATCTCCACTCTTGTCTCTTTTTGTCTTCATCTAAGATTGGAAAAGCTAATATTTTTATATCACATTCATAGTTTCAATGAGTGTAGAAACCAAACCACAGCCAGACTTGTCAAGTATAATTGAAAATGCTCCAGGAACATATTTAGAAGTGCCTAAACCAAATCATTTATACTCTGATCCCCAATCGCTTAGCAGTAGCATGGCTACTTCGTTTAATGATCAACAGCAAGAAGATGCTCATAGCAAACAAGACTCTATTGGCGAATGTCGACTTTCAGTAAGTCAGAGTACTGAGGAAAAAATCAATCCAAAACATATATTGGTGGAGGTTTCCAAAAAGAACGATAGTATACACGACGCAGTTGCCCAAGCAAATACAGAAGGTAACATTCGAGCATCTACGTCTTCCGAGTACACAAATGAAGTGAAGATTCAGATCACGTCGGAAGTTGAGGATACTGGATTATTTCAAACTGAAGACCATGATGGACAGCCTTTCTCGTCCGACTTGTTAAATGGTGATTCTCAAACAGACAAAGTAAAACATATACATGGATTGGTGGATATAACCCGAGTAAAGACTGCAAATAAAGTTTTTACACCAGCAAAGTCAGATACACGACACCATGGTCAAGTCCAGCACGATCAGCATCCATTGATGGATCATCAGTATCAGAAAAAGCAGCCCAAGAAAGTACCAAATTGTAATCCTGCATTCAATCGCAAATTTTACAATGTGCCCGACTCTGACCGACTCAATGGTCGATGGGTCAATCAACACAGTATAGACACTAATGCTGCGGTGGGAAGCTACACCCCATTCCCTTTACTTTGGGAAAATGCATCACAGGTTCGACGAAAGCAAACAGTCAAGGATGTGTGGGCTCGAACATCAGACAGATTTGTAGTAAAAGATGCGAGTATTCAGCGTTGCAATGCAAATTCTAGATAAATGAGTCAACAAGTTGGACATTTGACTAATATTTTAACTACTAATGAATCAATCTAGTCAAAACTATCACCAGGAATTTATGAGCCACATTTGTGCATCCAGACTAACCCGGCTGGTGCTGTATCTGCTTTTAAAAGCTCACAAGAGCGATTTCGAATGCGAGCAACTGGTTCAAACGTGGCGCCTGGATCGTACAATGTGGGTTTGAATTTGTAAAACAGTGCATACTATATTTTTTGTAAATATATGTCTGATTTTTATACGAATATATCGAAAGATAGACAGAGATCAAAAAGGTTCAACACGGTACGTAATACTACTGTTTTCACACCAATCTATCAAGTCAAATACAGGTTTGCTAAAACATCAGGTCCAATTAAATAACTAAATCATGCGCAATTTCAAAACTTTGATATTAGGATTTACACCTTGGATCAAGTCTGTTCATGGCGATCTTGCACGAATCATGGAGCCACCTGAATCAGTTTCGTGGGGTACATCATCTCACTTGCTCACAAATCTATCCAGTAAATGTGTACTGCCGCCAAAATCTATTAATGTTGACAAGAAACAGGTATATTTAAGATGTTGCTGACGCATATATTGAATACCATGCATTACCACGATCTGGCAGTTTTAGATTTAACTTTCAATCTCACACATGAACATTGGTATTTAGAAAAATAAACCACCCGCAACAGAAGTAAAGGAAACAGCTGGCAGTGCAGGTCCAGCAAAGCCATTACATCCCTTTAGCTTAACCTATCTAGTCACTAAACCAGTCTTATTAACAGGAAATGCAACACCTAATTTGAATAGTGCATCAAGAATCTCGTCAACTATGCCTTCAAATATGACTGTATAAAGTATTGGTTTTAAATCGGCAATCTATTATAATTTAGTCAAACTTGTATTTATTCAAGATTTGTTCAAATATCTCTCTACAATGGATTTGTGATTCAAGTTTGTTGCAAAGTAAAAAGAATCCAGATAATTTTCGATGGAGTGAATACGATTCATCGGGTGGAGGAGTGAGTCGCTCACGTAGCATGACAGGTATTTCGGTGCGAACTTGGCTAGAAATATCACTTGCAGTGCTAAAGTCATACAAGGGCTTAGCATCAATCATAAATGGGCGACTCAGTAGTTGTAGAGACTTGAGATGTGCATTGTTCATCACCTAGTTTAAAATGGTTAAAGGGAGTGGAAATCATTTAAGCTGTCAATAAGCTAAAAGCAGCACGTAAAAACTATACAACATAATAGCTTACCGAGCTTTCGTAACCTGTAAGAAACCCTAGTTTTCGGGAATAATTGATACATTCTTCATGGTTTTTCACTGAGCTGGCATGAAGTAGACGCAAGTAGTCATCTGTAAATGATTTAGGAAACTCGCGCGAGGCACCAAAATCAATCAACGCAATCTAATAGGACATATACACAAGTGACGATCCAAGAATTTATAAACAATTTAATGAAACCATCGAGTTTAGATTCCAATTCCAATAGCATCGTGTTTAAATAAACAAACCTTGTGCGTGGCAGGATTGTATAAAAAGTTGGACCAATTGGGATCTGTTTGCATGAACCGAAATTCAAACAGCTCAAGAAGACATAATCGAAAAAGTTTTTCGCCAAGCTAGCATCAAGAATTGATAGAAATACAATAATGTAAAACAGCAACTTAGTCTTGATATTCAAAAAAGATATTCAGGAAACATACAATACAGTTATTATACCAGCCATGACATACATCATTTCTTGTTTTCTGATCGAGAGTAACAGCCTGATCTATCGAGATTCCTTGAAAGTATTCAGTGGTTAGAACACGCGAAGTAGTGAGGTCGGGGAAAACCCGAGGTACATAAAATGAGTCCAGGCCGGCTTTCGCAATAAGCGTTCTAAATCTTTCAGAAGCTGCAGCTTCTCGTTTATAATCGCACTCAAGACTAAGTTCCGACGAAGCTACACGGATCATGTTATCCAAATATAGTCCCTTTGGAAGCATATTTCCAAAAAGTAGCAAAGATTTCAAATTGGCCAAATCGCTCGAGATACTATCTGCAACGCCTGGATATTGAACTTTAACAGCAACTGTTTCTCCAGTAGGCAAAACAGCTTTATGCACTTGACCAATAGATGCTGCTGCCAAAGGGATATCTTCAAATGACTGAAATTTTGATCTCCAATCACTGCCCAAATTTTTAGATAGCACCTGCTCTAATTGCCATGTAGGCATATAGTTTGCGCTGCTTTGTACTCTTCTGAATATGTCTTCGATTTCTGGGCCAATCATCCTGTTATCTATTACAATTTTCAAAATGCTTACTATAGCTGAAATGATAAATAGTATGCCATATTGCTGCAAGTGTCACTGAATACCTTGAATGCTAATCATCTGGCCCATCTTCAAAGCAGCACCACGCATCTTGGAAAGTTTTTCAACAATTCGTTCCACGTTGCTGGGAGAAAATGCAAGGCTAGACGAGTCAGATTCAGATGAGATTCCAGTGGCACGTTTAACTGCTTCTGACATCATTCCTAGACTGACACCTGCCGCCAAGCCTTGATGTAATAAAAAGTAGATCAAATCCCAAAGAATTAGACGCATGAACAGAATGAATTATGGTGCATTAAAATATATCTGACAGTTGGTAGGCATACTTCCAAGCTCATAGATACGACCAATCCGTGTATATGGAATAGCTGCAGGCTCCAGTTGACGAGGCTTTATAAATGAATAAATACAAACTAAGATTTCAAGCGATCATGCTACAGATATGTAATTTAATTCAAAAACTCGGCTGATTTTACCTTTACATTATCCATAAATGAGCTTTTTGGAATAGGTTGATCTACCAAAGTTGCAGCCTCAGTTTTATTAGAGATCGAATTTCCAGGCTCGATTGGATCTACAGTCGGAATAGCGACAGGAGCTAGACACACTGGAGAAGATTGTATATTTTGTTGTGGGTTTAAAATGGGTACTTTTCTTATAGCCAGAAGCAGACCTAATGGATTATAGATTGGCATGATTAAAACAAATAGAATCAAATACTGCGAGGTATTCAATGGGCCATTTTTCCACAGCAGCCTTACTCAATGCATCGCTGGTAGCAACGTTGGCTGCCAAACGACGTGCAGATTGCATGATTATATTGAGGGTTGAATGAATGATTGGCAGATCAAAACACTTATGGCCAAATTCAAGCACTCATCAATTGAAATTTGGGCATATTTCACGATTTGGCTCATTTTGGCCCAAAACACGCTTAGATTTAAGTCGTATTTGAGGATTGAAATTCTTGTAAAATATTCATCAAAAGCCTTCAGATATTGCTGTCTTGAGTGAGGCCATTGCTGATAGCTATTCTCGTATGAACACTCCACATTCACCATCAGTTTCTAATAAAGAAACTCCTACTGGACTTTATACTAACAGAAACAAAGGCTACTTGAATACTGCGGGAACCAGCACTCCTTACAAAAAACCATCGACGGACAAGGTAAACATTTGTATGTCTGTATATTAACTCATCTCTTTACCATGACATTATTTGTCAAATTGTTGGTGTTTTCATGCAACGAGAAGTGTACTGGAATATGGGTTAAACTAGCCATTGTTTTGCTTCAATGCAAATATCGATCTTGGAAATTACAACCATATTCACGTAAAATGCAACACTCTGGCATTGGCTGCCTAGTTTGCTTTAAAATATAAAATGGTTTGATATGTGTTATGCTTTTTTGATAGAAACGGATTGTTTTAGGAATAGACTTTCAACTTTCCAGGCATAACATCCATCATATGACACAAACTATGGTTTTGATCTGAAATGATCATTTTGAATTTGCCCTTTCTGCTCATTTGGCATAGTCATACATTGTATGATCACCAGATTCATTCATTGAAATACAGATATTGGATTCAACTGTTTTCATGTCAATCATCAAGAGATGTTTTTCAGTAAATTTGACATCAACAATTCCATAAGATTGGCTGTTTATTATGCACTGTGGCATTGCTATCTAGTGTGTTACTTTACGTAAATATGATTTTAATAGTTGGACTAAACCTTCATTGGTTTGAGTTGATACGAATCATGATTGGACCATCATCCAAATAACTCCAACTATCTCAGGATGTTATCTTTGACTAATTTTGATATTATAATTTAGCGTCATCAACGAAGCTTGTCTAGAAAAAATGAGTCTGGATTTTCTCGTTTATTCAGCCCAGCTTTGCAGTTTTTAGGCGTTGTTGGTTCCAAAAATGCATCAAATTCGGACAAGGACAGTAATGACGATGATATGCAAATGGATAACATCAAAAGTTTAGATACACAGCATACAAGCAACTATGCAGAGAATATGAAAAACAGTATGCTAAAACGGGAATTAGATCGGCCGGCTACATCAAACTCAGTTCAAGACGCATCGCCAAATGTTTCATTGGCACCCCATTCGTCTATCCCAAATCAATTATCTGGTGAATCAGATTCTCATTCAACGATCAAGTTTGGAAACGAGCTGGAAACTGAAAAGCCGTTTACATTTTCATTCAACGCTCCCCAAGGATCTGCCAATCCCTTTTTGGTTTTAGAAAGTGGTGCTAATGATGGTCAAACTATTCCCACTCAGCCCCAGTCAAGATTTCCTACAAACTCTCAATCTGGCTCTCATCGATCTATTTCTCCTGCTCTAATGGCAGGGAACGAGCAGCTTCTTAATTTCCTTAATTCTAAGCGCGGTCAACCCCTTACGGATAAAGAGATTGAGGCTTGTCGAAATATTCTTGACAGTAGTATTGCTCAAGGTATGTGTATATCATTTGTTTAGTTTGTGTTACAAGTATTACTAGACGAATCATTTGCAGTACGAAATATTGATGCTTCATCATTTTACTTGTTACTCAGATGCACAACTTCAACAATCGAGCGAGCCAAAACACTATCCACTTTTTTCGCGGTCTTTATTTTCACTTGCAAAGGCATATCCAGATCAAGGCCCAGGAAGCTCTACAAGCAGCGCACGATCGTCAATTTCCAAGGTTCGGATTTCTCGAAGACCAGTCCGTTATGCTGGCTCTGGATTTGGTGCATCTAGAGGACGTACGGGAACCTCCATGTGGAAATTTCAGCCTACCAATGCTCCAGGTACTCCAAAAACTGCTACTGCACCTCTTTTTCAGGTCAAGCATTGCGTTGAAGATATCCCACATACGCCTTTCACCAAACGAATCAAACTTGGCGACCCTGAAAAGACTCAGCAATCAGGACCAGGACTCCAACCTTTTGTGCCAATACCTTTTACTGGAGCCGCATCCGAGCTTACTAGCGCGCAGGTTCAGAAACCTAAATGTAAGAAATTTCAACTTTATCATTGTAAAATATTGTGTGGTTGCATCTTGTCAATCTGTTGAAATTTATGGATAAATTGCAGTATATCCGTCAAAGAGGGGTCTTACGTCTGCAGCGCAATCAATTCTTTCTAGCTTGGACGACTTTGATGCTCCAGTATGTACCAATATTCAAGCATTAAATGCCACCAACGTGTATTGTTACTTTTTAATGATTTATTTTCATGTTTAGCCTACAAACGTGCTGATGCCTTTTGGCATGATCAAACCGCTGCCCAATCCATACTTGGCCAGTTCCAAGGTTTGTTTACCATTTATATTTTGATTGCATTGAATTGCTAGTAGTTTAGCTGTCTAGATTTTAACACGATTTACTTTGTTCATAGATTCAAGTTGATAAACAACCCAAACAACCTGCTTTTACCACGGCACCATTGACTGTGGATAATAACTCTAGTGCACCACAAAATGAGTCCATAACATGGTAACGCATATGCATTTTATTTTCAAATGGCATTTATACTTTTATTCACTAACCTGATTTTTATCTACTCATCGATTTATAGTTTAAAACCAAGTGCCATAAACTCTGCTAAGCCTTTGCTGTTGGAGAATACTGCACCTTCATTTTTACCAGCAGTTCAAACACCTAAAACTGAGCTTAAACCTGAGACTTTGCAACAGTCAATATCTAGCAAGCAGTCCTTTTCCAAAGATTCTTCCACATTTTTTGTTAGCAAATCCTCTGCGAATACTTTAGTAAATCCAACCTCGTCTACTACATCTGCTTCTGCTGCAATTAGCATCCCTACATTTGCTCCTGCCACAATTTCTTCTGCTACTGTTTCGAAGCCTGCTATTGTTTCTGCCGCAACTACTAGAGATAGTGTTTATAGCAAAGTAAACTCATTGCTTTTGTGAAATTAATCTATTCATGCTTTGCATAATTAAAATACTCACATTTTATCAAAGGCTCGGAATATAGTGGATAAACATCTACCACATTTTAGCTTTTCCACACAGGATAGCAAGCTGAGCGAGATCCCATTGCTTATCACAGAGTTGCATGAATGGGATTTGATTAAAAAATCTGCAAAAGAAGCTGGCAAGACTCTGATGCCTACGTTCGTGTTTGATGAAAAGTGTGCAGCTACTATTTTACCAACTGCTTTTCAAAGCAAGCCTGTTGTCGCTTCATCTGCCAAGTGGGAGTGTAATATCTGTTTGGTAAAAAACCCTTCTGATAAGATTACTTGTATAGCTTGCGAGAGCCCAGCCCCTTTAAAAACCGCAACACCAGCTATTCCCCCAAAAGATCCATTTGGAAAATGGAGCTGTGGTGTCTGTTTAGTAAAAAACCCTTCTGATAAGATTACTTGTATAGCTTGCGAGAGCCCAGCCCCTTTAAAAACCGCAACACCAGCTATTCCCCCAAAAGACCCATTTGGAAAATGGAGCTGTGGTGTCTGTTTAGTAAAGAATACGGCAGATGCAACGACATGCATTGCGTGTACCTCTGCTCGACCATGACCACAGATTTAATAAAATCCAAGTAATTTGCTACAAAACTGTTTTGGTTTCAATCTTTCTTTTATTTCTGCTGTGCGAGTCGTCCTTTTGATCCAAAAACATTTTTGATCCAACCTACGATTTTGTGCTTCTTTTTTCCAATTGATGCCAATGACTCCGTCTATTATCACACAAATAGATTGTGTCAGCAATGGTACAAGAGCTATAATACATGTACATTTGAAGATAATTTGAAATTGAATGCGATTTAATTCTCTTACTGTTAATTCATAAAACACGCATCACATTGCATTGGTATTAGTAAAATGTTTTTGTAAAATAAATACACATCAATATTTGAAACTAAAACCAATTCTTCTGAATCAACTCACCATCTTCATTAGTATCATTGAAAACTGTTCCGTGTTCATCCAGATCTTGCTCAATCTCATCTTTATACATACTACTCAAAAACGGAATCATGGTAGTCTCGCACGGAGTCAAATATGCATCATTTGTGCTTTCCTTGGCAGTTGACTGGCTTGCTTCAAACATCACATTACCTATATGAGATTCCACATCGCTTGATTTTGGCGTTGTACTGCTGCCGTTTTTAAGTGTTTCGGAATCATAAAAGGCGGATGATGTTGGGGTATCTAACCGATTATGCTTGAATGTAGGAATGTAGAGAGATTTGCATAAGAATGAATAATGCGATTGTACCCACGCGCTGCTTTGAATTTGAGCTACGGTAAACCTTTTCAGCACATCCTTGTTAAGCATACCTGAATGTATTAAAGTCAGAAATGAGCAATGTTCAGACCAAATCACGTATATGTCAAAACAAGTGCTTACCACTTAGTAGATCTATTAGATTGGATCCAGCTTCTTTGGGCATTTCAAACGCGCCAGCCATGATTTTTTCATAAAGTTCCAGTAAATTACCACTTTCATCAAATTCAAATGGAAATCGTCCAGAAATCATATTGTACAAGGTAACGCCGCAAGCCCACACATCAACTAGTATACAGATATGACACAAGTGATCAATTTAGTGGATAGCTTTTTGATTCAATGGGTTGATAGAAACGTGCAATATTTGGCAATTCTCAACCATTTCTCACCTTTTACTGAATCAAAATCTTCTGCGCCTTCTGCAATCTCTGGTGCTAAAAACTGATGTGTTCCTGCAAACACATCTGAGCGCAATTGATTTCCATCATATATATCATGATGCTAAAATAAAATCAACATTAGTTTTTATGATTGTCAAAAGCAACGCATTGTAGTTTTATCAATTCATAAGCCAGATAGAGTGTACCTCTGCCACTCCAAAATCAGATATTTTTAATGTGCCATCCGATGTGATGAGCATATTTCCCGGTTTGATGTCTCGATCTAAAAAGGTTGGAATATTACAAGATTGCATGTGAAAATGTTTATAGCTGATCAAACTCGGTAACAATTACAGAAAAATAAACTTACGAATAATACTTTTTGAGTGCAAATAGCTTAGTCCATCCATCAATTGAACAAAGTACCGGTGTGCTTGAGAAATGCTGAGTTTATGTCCCTCACATTGATCTAGTAGCGTTTGTAATGAACATGGGCAGTACTCAAATACAAGATACCATTTCAGGACCTTGACATTTTTTTCTTCTTCGCGTCCATCGTCATACAACCATACGATGGGTTCTTCTTCAATTGTGGTAAACCAGGGAAATATTCCAATGTTCCCATCTTTATCTTCTACTTTTGCAAACACGTCTACAAGTGTAACAATATTCTGATGCTTAAGACTACGAAGCATCTTGATCTCCCTGTGTATACCAACATGAGTAAGCAGGTATGAATCAACAAATAAGATCATGTCGGCATACCATGCACCTGTTTTACCTAATTATATTTTCTAATCCGTTTTGTGCTTTTCTCAGTCTTTTTTTAGCAATGATCTTGACTGCAACCCGTTGTAGTGTTTCTGAGCAAACACCTTCCTTGACTTTTCCAAAGGCTCCTTTGCCGATTTTGTCACCAAGGAGATATGTGCCTACCATTTTCAATGGCATAGATTTGGAAGCCCAAATGATTTCTGAAGAGTCGACTTTTTGGATAAAATTTGAAGATGAATGACGCTGTGATAGCATGAGATATTCGTAGTACTCATTATTTGTTTGTGTCTGACCAGAGATAATTGGCGGTCCTAGCGATTGCTGTTGAAATGCTTGCGATGCAGGGTTTACATTGATTAGTGACTCTTTGAATTTATTGAGATTCTTGAGCGACACCAGAGAAACTGGGCGAGGGCGTTTTTCCTGTAAGATTTGATCTATAGATGCTTGGGTTTGCATGACCTGCTGGCTGTATGGATCTTGATGAGGACTAGAGCCAAGCGCCATGCTGGGTTCAAGATCTGCGTGCGACGCTTCGCTAATAACTGGAACAGGTCTAGGGATACCAATCTGACCTTCAGGCGATATCTGCAAAAGACTACGCCGAGCATCAGCAGAAATATATCCTATGCTTCCATTCATTCCTCTGTTCATAGACCTTACTATCAGCGACGCGCGACTGCCACCTACAGAGTCGCGAGAGGTTTTGGTCGACATGGTTGAAGGCAATATAGCGCCTTCAGGGATATTCATGATACTGGACCGCATCTGTGCCAAATCTCTTAGCGACCCAGACATTATCGACTTGCGAGGATAGAGAATAAGCGTTGGCTTTTCAATATTGCTACTGCTTCCATGGGTAGAAAGAAAGCTATCGCGATGCTGCTGCATGCTAGCTAAAATACTCTTGTTGTCATGAAAACTCGAACCAAGAAGAGAGGTCTTGCTTTGTAGGCTGCCTGCTTCAACTTCCACAGCTGGAGAGGTAAATCCTACTTCATCTATGCATGCCAATGCCTGAACATTTGGAAACGATGTTTCTTTTGAGCTCACCCTGCTGCCTGTATGCATTAGGTGATGTCGATCCATCTGTTTAGCTATCGTCGCTAATGTAAATGTGCTTTGGAATACAAACTTGTAAACCCCTTGCCCAGTCGCGTAAATTGGAAATTGTTGGATGCCAACACCATTCAATTTGGTGCTTTGAAAACGTGTTGATCACAATATGTTAGCTATGCAATCCCATTGTCGAAACAGGGTTTGTGCTAGAGATAGTGACCAGATTTCAAAACAATAGGAATTTAAAGTGCATATGGATGGGCAATTTAACCGAGGCATTTCACTTTTGATCAAACAGCACTGAAAATACAGGCGCATCTAGCACCATACACTGCCAAATATGCTATTCAACTCGTGCCAAGTATTTTTATAATTTGTAATCAAAATTCAAAAGTAAATGGGTTGTACGCAAGACTATGTTTAATTCATTCAACAGTTACAAAGTTTTTGTTTTTGGACGAACTTCTTTGTTGAATAAAAATACAGCAGAAAACAGGAAAAATGCAACCATCAAGCTGAAGATGTTGGCGTAATAAGGGTAGGCGACAACCAGAAAGCGAGGAAACTGGTTGTGACGGAAAGGACGCACTTGAACAGTCTCTGAAGCAGAAATATAAGAAAGTCCATGCCGTTGATAATTAAGCTTGAAACTAAAAACGCCATACTGATCTGGAAGTGTAAACCTGGCTACATATACACCATCAGATTCATTCATGGTCTTGCGGATGTACGGATCAAGCATCACAGCTTCAAACTGAATGTCGTTGGCAACAAAAGGTTCCCAGGCATCTCCACTCCACACCTTGATGGTGGCAGAGTAAATCATTTCATCCTTAATACGATAGATGCCATGTTGATCAGTTTCGTTGACACGATGATGTTTTGTGTTGGTGATCTGAACCACTGATTTTTCCTGAAACACCCATTTTGAAATATCTGCGCTAAAGGCTGCGTTACCACAGATGGATCTAGAATAGATTAGTAGTAAAAATGAAAAATACCAGTGAGTAAATGCACAGTGCGGTATGAGATCCTGTAACAATAAAATACCAACTTACTGGCTGTTCTTGAATGGAACCTTGAGTTTGGCATACCTTGAGTGATAGATCAAAGATTAGAAACACTCGTTGAAAAATCGAAAAAAAAATCAGACATACTTGTTTGAAAACAGGCTTGTACTGCCAACAAAAACAACTCGGGCATTATTACGAGCTTGAAAAGCTGAAGCAAGAGAAATGGTTTCTCCTAAAAGAGGTCCGCCTAGCAAAGGATCGGTGTCTTTGGAGTCGTATGAATAGGCAGAATGGCTTGCAGTAAGAATAGGAAAAGTCAGGATATTTTTTCCAGTCACTTTGTGACCAACGCCTTGGAAAACAACTGGTGGTCCTTGACGAGTAGATTCTGAGAGGATAAAGTTGGTTTTGTTTGTAAAGGACGATGAAATAATCTGAGATGGACTGTCATGGATGGAGTTGAAATGATCGAATACAGAGGTGCCTGACTCGTCAAAATCAACAGAAAACTCGTAAGCGAAATCACGAACCACCTCGGACAGTTCCGACGAGGCAGCCAAAAGAACATTTCCGCCTGCGTTAACATAGTCAATCAATCCTCCAACACCGACAGTACCCCCAAAGGCTTAAAATAATAAATAGAAAAGTAGATGTGATTATTAAAAAAGTATGGTTGCTGATCTAAAACCGATTTGTACATACTCGATACTTTTGAAGCAAGGATAACGACATGACTAAAGGCAAGATCTCCATAGACAAGAAGTGGAACAGTAGTGGAAATTTGAGCAACAGTATGAACAAAGAGACGATGGCCACGAGCTGCAAGTGATTATAAATACAGCATAATCAGTTAGACGAGATCTAGATTCCAATTACCAGACAAAACAGTACATTTAAAAATGAAATTCACAATTGCAGGAAAAGTATATCAAGCAGATAGATCTGCAGCAGGACATCAATCTATATCCTGTCAAGAAACTTGATATTTAACTTCAAAGACTGAGAGTTCAATGTGGATTGAACAAGTCTAAACTGCTAATAAAAATGCAGCTTTTGAAACCACAAGTCTATAAAATTATGATTTGATTGTACAGACTCGTGCTGACAAAGACATAGTGTTTAACAAGACGAGTCTGTATTGAATGGAACTGACCAGTGAGAGAATCCAAAAAGATCGAGTATTCAGAACGGTTTGCTAGATCGTCTAGCAAAACCAGAGTTTTTGAATCACCCACAGGCTTGGCAAACGAAACTGCAACTAAAGACCACGACAAAGCCCATGCCAGGGCTGTAGATACAGATAGGAAGGGCCGCATTGGTAAGCAGGATGATGGCTATAAAGACTTGTGCCAAGTTAGAGTTGAATGCCAAATGTATATCCTGAGGGTATGTTTGAACACATCCTCAGGTAATAAATTTGAATATAAAAGACTGCTCAAGTCGCTTTCTTTTTTCACCCATCAAAAAGTACGAGGTCAGCCACCGACATTGTCTTCTCCAATGGGCACTGTTGGCCAGCACACCAATGGTGTGGTGACCCCCATACTAATGGATGGACCTCTAAAGAAACTGCTGTGACGCTCCGGCGTATGACTCAGTGGTGCCGACGAGTTCCAACATTTTTTTAAAATAAAATTCTTTTATTGCTATATATAAAATGTGTTTTTTTGTAATTGATCTCTTGGGAATGGTTAGATATTGTCGAGTATTTTCAGTTTTTTTTCTTTTGAGCAACATTCATCATGTAATGATGACTGAACTGAGATCATCCTTGGCATAGCTATATACTGTATGATCACTAAACTCGTGCATTGCAATACAGATGTTGAGTTCAACTGTCGATGCCAATAAAAAAAATTGTTGTATTCCAAGATCACAAACGTTTGTGATTTAGTTGATGAAGACAGTTCCAAAAATGATACCTGCCAACCACCAAAAGAAAGACTAGTCAACTAAAGAGTCTAGAAAGCACGATGCTGTCCAGTCATCTCATGAGACCATCTGTTTATTACTCACTGACCCATCTACGCGAGTATGGCTGTATATTCAATCTTGGTAGGATTTGTGGCAATTTCGAGTAGTAATTTCCTGAGGAGTAGTTTGAGCGAAGCCGGTTGAATTCGAGTTTAGTCTGCACTTGTCCTGTTCTTAAACCAGTGCTTTTGATCCATGGTTAAAAGAAGCTGGAAAAAGGTGCGTGATTATATTGAATGCAAATAACTGGGGATCAGTATACTGATTGAGGTTTTACCAACCATGATGCCTTTTAGGGCTATAAAGATCCTCTGCTGCAATATGCTATAGGTCAAACTGATGAAGCGGATCATCTTTCTGATCAAGACATGGATGCAGTTGCAGAGTATGGCATGCAAAGTCTTTCTTTCCTAAAGGAACTTGACCCAAAATCACTGCTAAGGTATGTATTTTTTTTGTTTTCAATATTTTTCTTTGTGCTGATTTATTGTTTTTGGCATGTCTTGAATATAAAGTACGTATCAAAAAGAGCGACTGGAAAATCCATGGTCAAAAAAATCTATCCGTGCCGCTGATAATGCTCAAGAGGACCAGTTTTCGATATCTGATAATATCAGCGATGCATCCGACGTAGAAGCTAGCTATGAGAGGGCACCTCGATCCACTTCAAACGGGGATTCTGAAGCAGTCAGTCGTTTGCCAATTAAAACTAAAACAGGCGAAATCGTTCAATTGCAATCCATTCCAGCACAGAAAGTTGATCAGTCTGATATATATTTATCTGAAGTTAGCGATGACGAATCTGATGTTTCTGAACCAGAAAGTAAACCTGTCTCCAAGCCAAAAACAAACAAAAAGCAATCTGCGTCTAAAACACCTTCTCTTACATTCCTTGAAGCAAGAGAGCAGCTGGCACAGATTGCTTCCAGGATAATTGAGGATCCTGAAAACAATGTAGGTGCAACCTGTGGCTGATCAATATTTTTTTCTATTTTGATAATTTTCTCATTTTCAAAACTTTTCTGTAGATTGGCGAATTAAAGACATTGCAACACCTTTCAAAGTCGTCAGACGCTCGATCCGTCAAATTTGCTTTGCTAACACAACTGGCTGTGTTTAAAGATATCATTCCTGGGTATGCATTGTATGGTTTTGGCTTGATGCTTAAAGTTTTTGTACTGACTATTCTCAACTATCAAGTTACCGCATCCGTAAATTAACAGACAAAGAACTCTCGGCCTCTGTTTCTCAGGAAGTCAAGCGGGTGCGTCGGTATGAGGAATCACTGATTGGAAAATATCAAGAATATCTACAGCTTTTAGAAAGTCTTGTGACTGGTAAATACTATTTATTTGCTTGACATGAACTCACATTCAATCCTAACACGTGAGTGAAAATAGATATTAGTGACGATGATGAAAATTCCATACCAGGAATAGCACTAAAGTGTTTAAGCGATCTTCTCAAATCTGTGCCTCACTTTAACTTTCGCCTTAATATAATGACAGTTGTGATTAATTCTCTTCGAAAAGTAAAAGCCCTTGATGTAAGTAACTCGACAACTTTTGTACCGTAGTCAATGCAAGTGTCTTGCAATTATCCTAATATGCATGTTTCAGTTGATCCATACTTGTTGCAACTCCATTGGAGAGCTTTTACGTGAAGACGTTACGGGTGAAGCAAGTTTAGAAGCAGTGAAGCTCATATCCAAACTTGCCAAACAAAGTCACTATCAAGTTCGTAGCTGCGTCATCAAAACGTTCTTGTCGCTGAGACTTCTTGATGAGTTGCATGTAGATAGGGATGATGGCATTAGAAAATCGCATCCGTCCAAAAAGCGAAAACAAGACGGACAAGTACCATATATGTCCAAGAAAATGCGTAAAATTAATCGTGCACAGGCTGATGTGGATGTGGAGCTTCAAGAAGCAGAGGCAACTATAGATCGTTCCGAGCGTCAAAAATTGGTAAGCATTTTGACATAATCACTATTGATGAAAATGCAATTTTCTAACATACCGTGTAACTACAGCATTCCGAGACCTTGAAATTCGTCTTTCTGGTATACTTTAGAATTCTCAAGGAAGCTCCCGAGTCACCATTAGTTGTACCAGCGCTAGAGGGTCTTGGAAAGTAAGTACTTTGTTAATGGATTCGTGACACATTACTTGCATCTTTGCAGATACTTACAACCCTTTTAAACGTTTGCAGGTTTTCTCATCTCATTAATATTGACATATTTAACGACTTGGTGGCTGCAATTAAAAAAATCTGCTTGCATCACCTTGAACACACGGATAATAATATCAAATCATCTCAGCGACTATCCATCAGCCTGCAGTGCATCCTGACAGTGTTGCAGCTACTATCATCTATTAAAGATGCTATTAAAACCGACATGATTCAGTTTCATACTGCTACTTATGCTATTCTGTCAAAGCTAGCACTTGATAATCCACTAAAAAATTACGCATCGTCAAATTCCAACTCTGATCGCTCAAAGATTTCACTTATGCTATTGGTTTTAGAACTTATGCTCCAAAAAACCCATAATGTATGTAGTTGCAATGTATACCTCCTACTAATCTTGTATCAGTGACTATACTGGGTTGTGTGCAGTGATGAGATTGAGATCATGATAAATATGTGATTTAAAACTAATTGTTCCTTCTGAGCTCACACCCAAACTCAACAAACCAATGCTTATCTTGTCTGTACTTTGCAATTCTAACCTGAATTTATCAATCATTTCATTAAGATGCCTGCAAATCGCGTTGCATCTTTTTTGAAGCGTTTATCCACCACTGCGCTGCATCTGACCGACAATGCAACCATTGGTTCGCTGGCTACAATACATAAAACTCTCATGGTAAGTTTTTATGAGCAGTGCTTTAAACTATTTTACTTTGATTTGGCTGACTTGGATTGTCTATTTATAGCGACTACCCCAATTACACTCTCTTATTGATGGCGAAGAAGCCGTTGGATCTGGCGTATATAACCCTTACATGGATGACATGGATCTATGCAATCCCTTTGCCACTAATCTCTGGGAAATGTCTATTATGGCTGTACGTCTACTACACTGATGATTGTATCTGTACTATACACATTTACTCTTGGCAATACATGACTAACTCGCTGTTTACCCATATTGTTGATCAGAATAATCACTATCATCCAAGTGTTCGTACCGCTGCCATCATGGTTTTGCAGCATTCTGATAGCTCCAAAAGTAAAGCGCTTCCTTCAGATATGCACTCGCTAGCTCGTAATAGGCCATTAAAAATCATGGAAGAGTACGATTTGTTCCGTGGAAACTCGTTTGCTATTCGACCTCCCTGTAAACGCCCTGGCCGACAGCTCAATATTCCAGTTTTTGTCAGTGGGCCGTCTGTAATGCGAATATCTGCCTTTTTGGAGAATTTAGAACTTTGTCTCGAGTAAAGTTTTTGTTATAAATATATTCTATTTAAAATTCTTGACAAACATGACTAGTGGAGTTGTCGAAATTACTATACAAGATCACTAAACATTTTAAAATTTGCTCGACTATGGAATGCCTGTTGTGCCGAGATTTTGCAGTGTATTAAAGGTTTATTGATTGCTCAAACGGATTCGTTTTGAAAAACATGATCTAGTGCTAGACCCATACCTGCGGATGCAACTTGAACTCCGTATTTGCGGACATAATCAGGTACAAGTAATTTACATCTGGTGTAGTCCTGGTAAAGATGAGGTGGTGACAGGAGTGGTTCCACGCCTTCGGCTCTATTTCTAGACATTTTGGATCTTGATTTTGAAGTCATACCTGTATCAATAAAATTAGGTAGAGTATCAACCCACTGTTGACGACTGGACAGTCGTTTACTATTTAAATGCGCATTTTCTGACATGCTCAGCTCTTTTTGCTTTTGACAGTAATTATGATACCAGATATGATATGCCTTATTAGCCTCTTTTCTACGCTGCGCGACCTCCGTTTTGATCTGCTGCATTTCGTCATGGGACTGCACTTGTTCTTTTAGTCGCTCAAGATCCTTTTTTCTTTTCCACTCATCAAGCTTCATCTTGGTATTTAATCTCTGCTGTATTTCCCTGGCAGCCTTACGTTCCTGCTCAGTGCGTTGTTTTTTTGCTTCTGCCAAATCTTTGGCCCGACTGAGCTTACGCTCATAGGCTTTAGACTCAAGCCAACGTTGATACGACTGCTTATTCTGCTCCAGCAGCTTAATCAATAGATCCACATGCTGGGAATCCAACTCGGCTATTTTTTCCGGATGCTCCAAAAACTTTGCAACATCGTGAAAACTAGGTGATGGCAAGTGTTGAGCAGTCTGACGTGATCCTGGCATATTTATTGGAGTCTGAGATCGAGCGTTTAATTGTCGAGACGAAACTATGCATTCGGGAGCAAAACCGGATTGAGAGAATGTGCTCGATACACGTTGATGACGTTTTCTCTTTTGCCATTCTGACATGGCTCGCTCTTCCTGCTCAAGGTCCATTTTTTGAAACGCATGAATAAGCAAATTCTCATTGACAGGACTATACGGTCTTGTAGCTTTGATGGATAATGGTGTGTTTGCTCTTGAATATGCGCTATTTGATGGAGAAATAGCTGGAGCGGGTTGATGTGGCTGCGTAACTATAGGAGTGGGTTGGTGTGGTATTGCATATTGGCTTGTGATATCGGATATGGATGAGGGTACTGTTGAATGGATATGTAAAAGGTAGTTGCTGGTTTGCATTTGATGATGGTCTTGTTTATAGATATTGGTAAACCCAGCAACGTTCTCGGACTCGAGTGAAATATTGAACAGAGCTTATCTGATGTAAAATATTCACCTTATACCCGAAAATCTAAAACCAATGATTCTACTCGGAACCATCTGCCATTCATGTGGATTGCTTTCATTTTAGTTGACTGAAACCGACAATCGTGCCGATTAATCTAATCCATAAATTCCATCTCTACATGGCAAAAATAATTGTTTAACATGGTATCTGACTCGAGATGTATAGGCAATAGCATGTAATTTATTGATAAGCATTATTTGAATCACTCGAGTCATCCACCTTCAGCATCACCAGCCTAGACTGCGAACTCTTTCTGCTGACTTGTTTTGTGGAGCCTTCATGAAATCAATCAGCTTTTTTCTAGGAGGCTGAACAAGTCCTCTAGGAACACCAGCCGAGTTGGGACCCACTATGATATTTCGGCGCGATGGTGATGGACTAATTACACCAGCAACAGCCTTGACAGTATTCGTAGCGCTCGGTGCTTCAGGATTGTATGGCTCAGAAGTATTTTTCTCCAAACAAGCCAAATGTCCGACACTATTCATTAGCTGAACAGATCCCTCCCATTCATAGTCGCCATCCGGTTTGTGAGATTTGGAAATTCTGAACTGATACATGGACGCATTTTTCGGGAACCCAATGTCTGTTTTACCCTCAACAGTGAATTTCATATCTTCCAACAAGTATTTAAAAAGTTGTTCAATCCAGCCGCCATGGGATACTAAAAGGATGTGTCTTTGCTTCATCTTGGGAATGGATGGCATATTTTCAACTTGTAATGATGCCGACTCGTCTGATTTGCTTACTGGAGCGGCATGACTGCGTGTCAATAAGCTTTTAGTCAATGGCTCGCAGACTTGGCCTGGAATAGCCGATGCAATGGCTGATTTATACACAGCGGCTGCATTAGCTTCGGTGGTATTCAAATTTAATGAATGAGCAAACATGGCCGTCATAATCTTTTCATGGGGTTGAACGAGATGGCGAGAGAGTAATGCACCGTAAAAGTTGATCACTCGATTACGAAAATCAGCAGGTCGTTCTCCTTTACGACCAACTACATCCTCAAAGTGCTTGTCTTCTTTTTTCAAAATGCTCTTGACTTTAGGCCAAGATAATCCTGTAAGCTCGCCCAGATTCTATTAAATTAGATTTGATTCAGAAAAAGTACAAATATGAGCTGATTGCATTATCTTTGATCCAGTTTCAGTTGATATTGAATCCATGTTTAATGTATACGCTTTTATCTTTAGAAAACAAAAGCATACCATTTCTCGAAGTCGCTCGTCTTTGACAACTGGAGCTTCTGGATGATACTTTGCAATCTCGACCGCCATCTAAATTCAAAAATAATCATGTCATCGTTTCAAAAGATTAGAGGTATGAAATATCAGCTTTAAAAAGAGAGTGCTTATATAAGCTTTTACATAAAACTGGCTGCATTCATTACAATAGTACTAGAATCTAGTCATATTATTGATCCAGAAAACAAACCTGATTTGCTCTAGACAGATCACTACAATAAATATAATCGAGTTGATATTTACGAAGTCTCCAGGCCAGCGCATTTGATTGCTGAATACCCGTACTATTCATTGGATGATCTATGATTACACAAACAAGGCAGATACGTGCTTAATAAAACATCAAGTCCTGATTGCATAATTGTTTCAAACCAAAATAGGCATTACCAGATTGTCCTTGCAAAACTCGTGGAACCTTTCTGTTTAATTCAGTCTCGCCACTAATGTAATTGTATTGGTCAATAGCTATTAGACATTCACTTATTGGATAACGGAATGGTTGGAATGGCTTTGCACACTTACTGCCGAACTATAGTAACGAACAGACATACTCGTTTTGAATTGGTGTTTGACATGAGAACAAACAAGAAACCGGATAAATAAAGTATAAAACTAAAGATCTCAAGTGACTTTAAATACTAATGGTTGTGTAATTACTCTAAATGCTATTATTACAGTGCGTGTGGGAGAGTACTATCCACACTATCTTGCTACAACACCCTCCATAGCAAAGCTATTGTTTTCGCGATGCGCTCCTGGCCAAAGTATTTCCATATTTGGCGCAAGACATGGATAAATCCCAATCTCCTGATATCACCCACACTTGTTGTTAGATCAGCGTCAACCATTCTACCAAACCCTACTTGCTTATTGTTGCGTAGTTTCATTTCGTATTCTATAAACACGAGTCTATCTTTTACAACGCATGACTATAATGCTCAACACTTGCATTCACGTAAGATACAACATTCAGTAAGGGAGTCGGTGTATAATAAACACCCAATCTTATGAGATGTTAGGCATCGATTTACAGATCAATATCATGCCTCTGAACTCGACAAAGCTACACATTCACTGATTTAACATGGCCTACCAATCGTTTAACAGCAGTGTCGCGAGGATAGTTTTATATTGTCTATTCTTGAACTCGGCGACAATCGAGTATAATAAAAATGGTTTTTACAGTGTGTGATGCCAGACACTGACTGTTTATCGGAATAGGAAACCACTGAATATTCAGCCATTTCTATTCTGAAGCAATTACTGCAAGATATACACGTTGCATGTTGTGAATATGGCAATGAATCCAAAGCACTGGCGCTTCAAATCAAAATATTTGCAACTTTCGAAATACCTAGTTTGCCACTTTCTAGACTCATCGTCACTACTCTACTTTAGGCTTGTCATCAGTAGGATATTCTACTGTCACCAGCTTGTGTTCTATATCAAACAACTCAGCACACAAACGACAGTCACGTGTTGATGTGGCATACAAAACGCAGCATTCTGGTTTGACCCCAGATATTCCATTTTTCACTATAGTATAATCCTAGCTGAAGGTGTGCATGCTCAATCACAGTTGATAAAAGGAATCATTGGCATCTACTGCTCCAGACATAATTGGGTACTTTGAATTCAGTATTGCTTTTCGACAGCATAGCTTCTAATTTCGCACCTCAGATACGTGGCATATATAAAATGAACCAATTGAGGACTTTTAGTAAGAGTGTATGAGTTTATTTAGTGTAACTGATACTAGTTTCTACTCAAATATAGTTCATCTTTACTCAAGAATAGCTTTACAAGCCATCCTGCTTTTTACTCCAAGTGAATTCTAGTGCATTCGACTTGGGGTTCAAATATTTCTTGTGCTTTCCTACTAGAAATTGACTGCTTTGTCAATTGCCATTCTTGATTCTTCAAAACACAATGTCCATCACATAATACTCAATCAAACTATAGTTTTGAACTGAGTTTATCCTTTTTGGTAGTCATACATTGTATAATCACCAGATTTATCCATTGCAGTCCAGATATGGAATTTGACTATTTTGATGTTGTCATCAAGCCTCACTTGTGTCCTAAAAACTCGGATATGTTCGCGCCTAGTTTAAGAGAACAATCCCACGAGTACAACTCTTGTTTCCGTGTCAATCATCAATACTACAATGTTTAGTTTGTACAAGAGCTAAAGATTGAACAAGTACTGAATTTACTAGAACTCGGATGGAAACATTTGTTTAGTTTTCTACACAAAAATCAGTGAGCTTTAATGAGTTCAGAAGACACAGTGCTGTTTAGTAAGATTGGCATCAATCCATAAGACTGGCTGCTTATCATGTATTTTGACACCCTTATTTAATACTCCATTTTACGTGAACACGAGTGTACAGGACTAACTCGACTTTTTTACATGTACACAAGATGACAAAAGGCAGTTTCAGCCATTTGATAGGATAAACGAGTCTCAAGAAACTCTGAACCAAACACAAACCGCAGCTACAAGGCATTTGAATTGGCTCAAGATTACCAAAGTAGCTATTCTGTAAGCCGGTTTTATGTCAAATCATTGTAACAATGTGCTTAATATGATTTTTATTCAATTTTATATGCAGATGCTAAACATAATTTACCTATACATTGCTTGATTAAAATCCCGATTCATTAGGATAGGCTCGTGGTTCACTGTCTCTATTTCATTGCATATGCTCAACAAATGGATGTTTTCAAAAGAGCATTTTGCATTTCCATTTCCAGTTTTTACAACAATGTTTCAAATGATTATTCAGTTTGGACTTTCAGGGCTTATCATGGTGACTGCTTTACCCAAACTACTACCAGACAAGATTCCACGCGCATATGATTACCTGACTATCGTGCTACCATGTGGTATAGCAACTGCACTTGATATTGGACTGTCAAACAGTAGTCTCAAGGTATGTAGTAAAAAAGTTTGAACCAAGATAAACAATGTTCAATGCACGGTTCATTTGTTTAAATTACATTATTTCGGTGGTTGTTGGATGCCATGACTTTTGTTCACGATTGCTAATATTGCTACTACCCAACATTTAGAGTATCACACTTTCATTTTACACCATGGTTAAAAGTGCCTCACCAGTGTTTGTTTTGTTATTTGCATTCATATTTGGATTCGAGCAGCCAAAGTTTTCAATGCTCGTTGCGATTCTGGTCATTGTCATGGGTGTATGGATTATGGTAGCCAACGAAACCAAATTTGACGCAGTGGGGTACACTGAGGCGCAGATTGCAACGATTATGTCTGGACTGCGGTGGACACTAACACAACTATTGCTACGAAGCACAACATTTGGAAAAGGAAACCCACTAGCCACAGCATTTTTAGTATCGCCAGCTGTAGCAGTGTCACTGTTTGTAGCATTCCTTATCATGGAGGGATTCAGTAGTTTGGCTGGTTCATTTCATTTTGCTACACCTGCAAGCATTTTTCAAATAGTTGGACTACTGTTTGTAAACGGCATGGCATCGTTTGCTGTGATCCTTTTGGAACTCAATGTTATTGCAGAAACATCAGTCGTGACTTTTTCAGTAGCAGGCATTTTTAAGGAGATTATTACAATTGCGGTGTCTGCATTCGCGTTTGGAGATAGATTCACTGGAAACGTATTGTTTGGACTTGCCGTAAGCATTGCTGGAATCGCAGGATACAACTATATTCGATTTAAAGAAGGTCAGCAGTGTGGTTCAAAAAAAGGACATGGTCCAGACACACCAGATACAGACCATACATGGCAGTTGCTATCGTCCTCGGACGATATGTATGATGTTGAATTAGAACTTGAGCTTCAACTTCAACTTCAAGCCAAATGAATACCCTTAGATTCAAATTTTATTTTTAACAGCTTGTTCTTTTGAACTAGAGCGCAACTGTATCTGTGATATGTTGGGATACAACTAAGATGAGTTTAGTTGACAAAAATACAATCCAATATCTGGATTGTAATGAATGAATCTGGTGATTGTACAGCGTATGGCTGTCAAAAAGGATAGTCTTGGTTCAAAACTATAGTTTGGTGTGTGCGTATCATATGATGTACGCTGTGTCAATTGAAGCAGCAGTACAATCAATTTGTAACAGAAAAGCGCATCAAATATTTAAATCATTGTCAATCCCAAGACAAAATGAAGTTGCCAAGATAATTACAAGCTTTATTTTACGTGAATACGACTGTAATTCAAGTGCGTTTTACCATACATTTGCTGCAATAATCCAGTATTCATGTCGCAACCATCTGCACCAGATTCATATAAACCGAATCAGCAACCTCTGCCTTCTGTTCTACCCGTGCTTAAAGTGATATCAACGCAGGCACGTTCAGCAGATGTTGTTTGGACCTACGGTAACCGTGACCCCAGATATCTATTCCCAGGTCTGACGTATCAAGTCTCAAAAGCTGAAGCCAATGCACTCAACTTTGAGGTTGCATATGAAGGCGAAGAGCCCATGTTTGTATTGACAGATCTTAAGCCTTTAACCAAGTATAAATTTAAACTGCGTATTACATTTACTAAATGGCTCGAGACTGGAAAAAAGGATATATGGAGCAAGACCTATTCAGAAGCAGAGGCTAGTACTACTGGTGAGTTTGTATTTAAAGCAATCTGATTCTATAGTCTAGTTGGGGAGCATTAAGGACTTGCTTTGTTTGGCTGCAAGTCCTCGGCTTCATTTGGTTTAATTCTATATAAATGGCGTTGTATTGTTCTAATCCATAAGACGCATTTTGATACGACTCAATATATATTCATTAGATGAGAGCACTGTAGTTAAGGCCACTGCCCAACTAACTCGTGCCATTATCGAGGCTGATGTTGCCAAATCAACCTCCATTCTCAACGAGCATGGACAGCAAATCTCGATGGAGTCTCGAGATAAAAATGGAAAAACCATCTTGATGGTAAATAGAATCTATTTTACGCAGCCAAGAATGAATGCTGCACAGTTGGTTTTAATCTTGGTATATTTTGATATTAAAACATGTTGACTTTAGCTTGCGTGTCAGTCTGGATCTGGTGAGATGGTTCGCCTGCTGCTCCAACGAGGTGCTTCTACCCATTCTACTACCAGGTCGGGCAAAACTGCTCTCTCCATAGCAGTCACATATGGCAGTATTAAAGCAGCCGAAGCTATACTCCAACACGATCCAGAGCAAGCAAAACTTGCCGATCTAGGCGGTTCAACCCCACTTATGTGGGCGGCAGAAAACGCATCTACAACTGTTCGTCATAGCGTAGCTATCCTTGAGCTTTTACTTCAACAAGGAGTTGATGTGAATCAAGAAGATCCACGTGGACATACTGCCTTTGATCGACTCTGCATCACATCTGGGAATGTTCGAGCTGCAAAAGCACTTATTTTAGCTGGCGCCAGAATTGTGCAGGAAGTAGACAAGAAGCATCCTATGACTTCTTTGATGAGTGCAGCTTTAAATGGACATTTAGAGCTTGTGAGAGAGTTGATGGAAAAGTATGGGTCAGATCCTACTGTACGTAGTGAGCATGGTGGGACGGCCAAGAGTTTTGCTGAAACAAATGGACATCGTGCTATTGTAAACATGATTGAAGAGCGACTGAGCATTACGAGCGAAGTTTAAGCACAATAAATGAATTCACGGTTGGATGTGTTTAAACGATTGTATTGAGTTTTGAGTTTTGATGATTGAGACCACAAACCCTCGTTATAAAGTGTAATTTTTTGTGGTATTAAATATTCCATCAAACCAAATAGTTGAATAGTTGTAATGACTCAAATGTGAGCAATTTTATCACGTGACATGTAAGCCACACTTGAAACTCTAAACTGGTTTCATTCCAACTTGTCAATACATTCGTATGGCGAGCCGTGTCGATTCAATTCAAGGTCTCAGTAGGCAAGACTCTATCATAACACTTCAAATTAATGAGTTGGAGACAGAGTGTAAGCAATCGATACTAGAATGTCTTTTCAATCATGGGGTTTTGAAACTGATTCGCTTTTGTACTCGACTGTCATTTAATACTAGATAATGGTCAATCCTCATCAAATAGCACTTTCGAGTCCAATGATTCACCTACCAATCGACTAGATCAAATGAGCCATCTAAAGAAACTGACGCAGGCTTTGTATGCCCGTGGGTTTTTGGATGGCATGTTTTCTGATATTACTGTCGAGGCATTGGGCCATAAATTTAAGCTTCATCGCATTGTTCTTGTGAGCAATTCGTATTTTGCTGGAATGCTCTCAAATAACTTTTGGATTGAGCAATCTCAGTCATCGATTTCAATTCAGTTTGACGATCCGAATATTACTGTGGAAGCGTTAACCGTCGTGTTCTCTAGGTAAGCATTGCTTGTCGTTTTGAAATGACAATACAATTGTTTAAACTGTTGGTACTATAGTACAAGTTTCATTTAAATGTCTAACAAGAACATGATTTGCTCATGATAGAATATATGGTCAGACTAAAATGTCGATTACAGCTGAAAATGCAAAGTCGCTTTTGGCCGCTGGTATATTTTTTGACGATCTTGATATTTGCCAACAAAGCATGCAGTTTATTATTTCAACCCTAGACGAGTCAAACATTATCGAGTACCTGATTTTCTGTGATGATTTTTCTTATGGAACATACTCTGATTCAGTGCTGAATACAATTGTCACGCAGCTATGCCATCGGGGATATACAGAGTTTTCTCAGTTGATGGAAAAACTTCCATTGCATTGGCTAGCTCGTATTGTTGGATCTGATTGCTTCATGTGTCCAGATGAATTCTCCCGATACGAGTTTTTGCGAGATGTTCTTTGTCGTCGCTCGGCCAATGACACCGAGTGGTCTAAAGTACAGCTCAGATCAGACACGGCTTGCAGCAATCATACGCTTGTTGAAAGCAACGCTTTAACAGATCTAGATGCTAATGTACCCAAAGGCTTTAGCGATGACGATTCTGATGACATACTTTGTGATGCAAGTATGGATTCTTCAAAGTCTACCACCAAAGACAAGGGTGAGGCATGCAACGAGCACAATCGCGACCATCTTTACGTCTTTGCAAATGCTATCCGATTCTGCCATCTCTCGTTTACTGAACTCAAAGCCATTAAAAAGGAAAGACATGTGCAGAATACCGTATTGGAGCGGGCCATTTGGAATCAGTTGGAGCTCGAGGATAAAATTGTTGGATCGTCGGCAGAGGATTTGGAGATTGGAAGTGTGACATTGGCAGACAAGGAGCCTATTCCTCATGATGATACTGATCGTATAGATGGACAGTTTTTAGTCAATGTCATCAAAGGGCCCATGTTTCCTTACAAGAACAGCACATCCCCACCATTTAGATTTGGCATCAAGTTTTCCAATTTACAGCATTTGGCGACCGGATCTAAACTGGTATCCAAGCGTGCTTATTATGCAGGATCGTACTGGCAAGTATATCTACAACAGATTTCCAAAAATGGATTGCCAAAGCTTGGGATATATTTACAACGGATATCACCCAATAGCGAGGGATGGGTTCAAGACGAATCTAAAGATGAATCAGAATCTTCTATAAAGCCTATTGCTTCTGCAGTACAAAGTGGTCGATATGAAGATAAACGGATTCAGGTGCGGACATGGTTTCAGCTGTATTGTTTCTTTCCCAACAAATGCTATACTTTGGAGAGCAAGCCAGATATTTTCAAGACCAATCAGTCATGGGGATGGCGTAGTCACAAACTGTATCGAGACGCAATGGATTCTGGACAAAAGGCATCATTTGAATGTGCGGTTGTCTTGTGCCATGTTTAAAATACAGATTGTTGGCTGAAAACCATCACTACTACACAATAAACAGATAGGTAATAGTACATGTATAACGTTGGCTATTTATATAACGTTACAAAGATATGCCGAATGGATTGAATGAATGGAGCCAAATGCTGCTATTTGAATACTTTTGCAGGAGTAGCCGGTTGTCTATTGAAACCAAACCTATAGAGAACTCCTAGTGCACCCATTGTTGCTCCGTTCAAGAAAGGAAATATAATCCAGCCTAAAATCTGTAAATGCATATTCCAGCATGCAACAAGAATCAGTAATGCAAGTAATGATGGAATGACAAGTCCATATTCAAAAAAACACAACTCACCACTTCGATAGTGTTGGTAAGGAGCTTTGGTGGTATAGCAGATAAACTAGACATGATTACCAACAGCTTGACAAGAAATTAAAATCGGCATTTTACAACTATATTCACGTAAAATATAGCACCAAGGGGATCAAACTATATTAACCATCATTTCATGAAATGATGGTTAGATGACAGTATTGTGTTTTGGTTTGTGGACAAAGTTGTATTCATTGATTGAACATGATTTTCCAATCGTTTAAACAGCAATGTCAAGTTATACACTATCCATAAACCCGCTGATAATTTAATAAATAGTCTGTACAATGTGCGATGCCAGACACCGAGTTAATAACCAATCTAATGGAAAGCACAGCAAATACTTTATTGCTTACTTTCAAGTAAAATAGACAATCATTACAATCTACAAATGCTTCATTTTACGTGAATAGTGTTGCAAGTCGATCAAGAATGGGCTGCTTCGCATGATTTTGATAAACTTGTGTTAGCATTCAGTTTTTAAACTATAATTGTGCTTTGAGTGGAATGCACGGCAGGAGCGAGTCAATTCATGTCGTGCATGGTTAGATTACATGACTAGATTGTCTGGTTGTGAGTTAGATTACGTGGCATTGAGCCAGCTAGTTGCGGGTCGTTGAATGTTTTGATTGATTTGATATTTGATTTCTTTCTTTGCGATATTTCAATCTTGAGCAATGTCAACTGTACCTGCATCTACTACCCATCAAAACAAACAATCTACCAGTCCTCCATATGCATGGGATCGAGGTCATATTCTGAACAACATTCTAGAGCATATTGGTGGAACTCCAGTTGTTCGAATCAATCGTATTGGTGTAGAGGAAGGATTGGAGTGCGAGTTGGGTGAGTTTACTCTTGAAATACATACTAGCAACAGTTTGAGTGCTACACCGCTTGTTATTACTCTGTTGTGGCTACCAATCCACTTTCATGCTACTTTTTTGGTTCACCATTCACAACTACTAATGAATGGTGCACATTCTCATTCCATCGAGGCTTATCCACTCTTTATTTTTTGATGTTCATTAAACTCTCTTGTATCCAACATTGATGTCGTGCAAGTAGAAAACCGGCTATATTATTTAATCCTCATTATGGTTTGGATTGCTCCAATTGCTAATATGAATTGATTGTGACTATTAGTGGCCAAGTGCGAGTTTTTTAATGCCGGTGGATCCGTAAAGGACAGAATTGGCTGCCGCATGGTCGAGTATGGAGAGATTGATGGAAAGCTTACTCCTGGAGCGACCATTATCGAGGTATGATGATGCTTTTGATTGCTCTATACATTGTAGAATTCGGATGATCTATTTTTATTACGGTCGTATTCACGTAAAATGGAGCACTTGTATTCATCCTACAATGACTGCTTTGAAATAAGCAATGGTTAAATATTTATTTTTTCTACCAGAATTTGACTGCTTGATTGGGTACTTTCAATTCATGTTTCAAACATGACAACAATCATTTCATGAGACTGGATGTCTATTATATATTTTGATTATTGGTGGTTCATTTTACGTGAATACGACGGCGACTACTTTATTCAAAATGCTTATTGATTGGATACTTTATTTTTGGATAGCCTACTTCTGGAAACACTGGTATTGGTTTGGCATTGGCTGCTGCTGTCAAAGGCTATCGTGCAGTTATTACCTTGCCAGAAAAAATGAGTCAAGAAAAGGTAGATGTTCTCAAAGCTTTGGGGGCAGAAATCATTCGTACACCTACAGAGGCTGCTTGGGATTCTCCTGACTCTCATATTGGTAAGAAGCGCATTGATGTCTAGTCATTTGCCGTGTTTAAATGCTATCGACCCAGCTTTTTATTAAGCAATTTTTAATTTCTAGGTGTTGCTAAGCGTTTGAACCATGAGATTCCCAACTCTTGGATTCCTGATCAGTACTCCAACATGAATAACCCTCTGGCCCATTACTACGGTATATTTTAGATTGATTGATCATATTGGTTTGGCCTTTTATCTGAACTCGCACTTGTTTAAAATCTAAATTATGCTAATCAAAGTTTTAAACTATAGGAACTGCGGAGGAAATCTATCAACAATGTGGAGGAAAGCTTGACATGCTTGTTGCTACTGTTGGTACTGGCGGTACTATTGCTGGTATTGGAAAGCGTCTCAAGGAGCTTATTCCCAATGTTCAGGTATGCATAAACAAGGCGTTGATTTTAAAGTATACGCTTGATTTGCTGTACTAGAATAATAACACTTGTTTTGAATTTTGTAAAATGCAGATTGTTGGTGTAGATCCATATGGCTCTATTTTGGCTCTTCCCGAATCTCTGAACCATGAAGGTGTGCATAGCTATCAGGTTGAGGGTATTGGCTACGATTTTGTTCCTCAAGTTCTTGATCGCCAATATGTTGATTCATGGATCAAGACCAATGACAAGGAGTCCTTTTTAATGGCACGTCGTCTGATCAAATCCGAAGGTCTTCTTTGCGGTGGCTCGTGTGGAGCTGCCATGGCTGGTGCTATTCAAGCTGCCAAGTCACTGAAAAAGGGTCAACGTTGCTTGGTTCTCTTTGCCGACTCTGTTCGTAACTACATGACGAAATTCCTTAATGATGACTGGATGAAAAAAATGGGTTACATTGATGAAAAAACCCAAAAGGAGGAGGATATAAAAAAGAGTCAATGGTGTGGTGCTACCATCAAGGATCTGAACCTCTCATCTGCCATCACTGTTCCTCAAAAAACACCCGTTTTGAAAGCCATTAAGTTGCTGCAGGATAACGGATTTGATCAGTTACCTGTTACCAGTGCTTCGGATTCTCTCCATTTGGTTGGACTGGTCACACTTGGTGGACTGCTGGCCAAAATTGCCAGTGGCCGAACAAAGGTGACGGATCCAGTTGAAAGCAGTATGTATGAGTTCCGTACTGCAAAAAAGTTTACCGAGGTCACTATAGATACACGTTTGGAGAGTCTGTCCAAGTTTTTCGAGTCCAACTCGTCGGCTGTTGTTACTTTCCGTGACTCGGATGGTGAGCTTCACGTTTCGTCTGTGGTGACCAAGGTTGATCTTCTTGCTTTTCTTGTCAAAAAGTCGAGCGTCATTTAAGCTCGATGACTACACACACGAATCGCCTTTTTTACCATGCTAATAAATGTCGAGTTGTTTGTACCATCTTTTATTTTTGCGAGGTTTTAGTTCATTTTATGAGGTAGTTTATCGACTAGATGTATAAATGCTGAATATATAATTTATCTGTCACGCAGTCTAAACCGACCAAGTCAAAACAAAGGTCGTTTGAATCCAGCAGGGTGTTTTGCATCTCGATCCACGCTTGTTTGAATGGATACATATGTAGCAACGATCTGGTGTTGCAGCACATATTTGTACAGAGGAATCAATACAGCAGCAACAATGACCCAACACGCAATATATTGTATCCAACCGTTTTTAAGGACTTGAAGGAGAGCAGGACGATAGACGATTCTGTCTTTGGGGATACGAACTTTGATGGTGATGGTAAAGGGATCGTTAGAGCCTCTCGGTGTTGACCAAATCGGCATAGGTGACACGAGCGTAGTCCGTACTATAAAAATACAATATACATTGACAAGAGTGTTATATGATGTCTAGGCTTAGTACAGCATTGGATTGAAATTGAGTTGAAGCTACCATCTTTATCTAGATAGTCGGACACGATACGTGGCCAAGTCAACGCGGCGTAATCGTTTCCGACAGCTTGAGTAAAGTTGATGGCGGGGTTTGTGAACATGTAGTCAACTTTGTCTTGCATAGGCCAACGTTGAATAAGCTGGAGGTCTCCATCAACGTACAAACTGTTTCCAGTGAGTGGAGAAGCGGTATCAATGAAGAACATGGATTGAGTATAGAAGCGGATCTGACTCTATTCAAGTTTAAAAACAAGATAAGCCAGCGAATCAATGACTAAAATGAGATGCATATACGAACCGATAATTGATATTGGAGACCTATAGCAAGTCGGACATGATTAACCTGCTCATCAGCACCCACTGGAACCGAGATATTGAATAATATTTGGTCATTAACACCGTCTGCATCGAAATCCACCATCCATGACTAAGACAATCAAATATTGAATAAAATGAGTCAGATCTGATATAAACATGACAGAATTATATCCAGACCACATTGTACCTTGATAGCAGCCATTCTCACAAAGGGATCCATGAATTGATTAAACAGCGCGTTGGTTGAGTACATGACAGTTATAGGAGCAGCAGTAGATGCAGATATTCCCTGAACGAGCAGTAGCAATTGTTGAGCGTAAACTACTTGAGGTTGTTCCCAATAGAATGATTCTTTAAGCCAGAAAGACCCACCCAAGTAGGCTAAGATAAACGGAAGAATTAAGAGAGTAGATATAAGGGATAGCCATAATAGCATAGCGCAAGAGAAACATGGCGTAGCGTAACTTTGTCTAGAAGCTGGCAGGGAGAATATTGTAGTAAGCATTCAGTGTAGATAGTTTATATATGAAACAGGAACGAAATCTAGAAATTTGATAAAATCCAGACAGTCGAGAAACCAAGTCAATGTAAGACGAGTCCATCACGACTACAGAATCAATTTAATTCTGTATAAAGCCGCATTCACGTAAAATATGATATTCATAACAGTGTTAATGTATCATAAACAGTCAATTTCATGGAATGACAGTTTACTGGACAATATTATGTCTAAGCTTTTAGTTGGGCTTTTCCTGGTGATCGACATGGAAGTAACATTGTTTTCTGAAACGTACAATGCCGTCTTTTAAACTAGAGCACAAACTATGTGATTTTAAAGTGTGCAAGGGTTTCTTGAAACAGCCAAATTTTAGATTTAAATTTAAATTTGGATTTAAATTGCAATGGATGAATCTGGGTTTAAACTTGGAGATCGTACAATGTACAGTGATGCCAAATGTGCCGAGGTTTAAAGATGATCACAGATCAAAACTACAGTATCATGAAGGATGCGTTCCAAACCAAGAGTGTTCATTGAAGAAGCAATTTATTACTATTAGGAAGGCGTAACGAACAACTGTTTTTATTTCAAAGCAACATGAATCAATACAAGTGTTTCGTCTTGCGTGAATATGGCAAGATGAAACAAGCGAGCTTGAAACAGCCAATCAGAAGTGGACACCTCGAGTGCAGCACACGAGCCATACGAGGGAGTTTCGAGGGAATTTAAGTACAAACGAGGGAGTGCCTTTTGTGCCGATTCGTTTGCTTAAAACGAAGGTTTTCAAGTCGTTTTCCAGTAACTTCAACATGAAGATCTTTCAGTTTGTTATTGCTGGACTTGCTGCATTGAGTTTAGTCTCTGCAGGAGACCCTGAACAGGACGATGTCATTCCACCCAGTGATGTTGTTGTCTTGACTTCTGGTACGTTTTTATGGTTTTGATTCTTGTTCTGAACTGATGTTAACCAACAGTTTGCTGGCTATCCAGACACTCACGATGCATTCATTGCTGAGCACCCCTTGACTCTGGTCGAGTATTTCGCTCCCTGGTGTCCACATTGCAAATGTAAGTCGGAATTGATCAACATGTCGATCTGTCGTTTATACATGTCTTCAAGTGTTTCTAATTCCTATTCACAGCACTTGCACCCGAGTATGCCAGTGCTGCTGCCGAGCTCAAAGAGCTCGATCCTCCTATTTCTATTGCTTCTGTTGACTGTACTACTGAAAACGTCATCTGTGACAAGCTGTCCATCCAAGGTTTCCCCACTCTCAAACTTTTCCGATCTGGTGTTGCTGACGATTACAAGGGTGAGCGTACCGCAAAATCTATTGTTACCACCATTAAGAAACAACTTCTTCCTGCCGTATCTGATGTTAGCCCCGAGTCGTTTGAAAACTTCATCATCTCTGAAAAGGTTGTCATTGTCGGCTTCTTTGATGAAAAGTCGGCTGCTGAGCGCAAGATCTTCACCGAAATTGCCAACGTCCAGCGTGATTCCTTCTTGTTTGGTGCTGCTGACGGTTCCAAGACCTTCAAGGGCCACAAACACACTACTCCTTCCATTGCCTTGTTCAAAAAGTTTGACGAGGGTCTTGCTGTTCTCTCTGAAGATCTTACTTCTGAAAACATCAAGGATTTCATTAGCAAAACTTCCATGCCCATCATGGACGAAGTCGGTCCCGACAACTACGAGTTCTATGTCAAGCGTGGTCTTCCTATCGGTTTCTTCTTCTACGGATCTGCTGAACAGCGTGAGCAAGTTGGTAAAGTGATTGAACCCGTTGCAAAGGAATTCGTTGGCAAGATCTCGTTTGTTTACCTCGATTCTGCAAAGTTTGGTGCACATGCTCCCAACTTGGCTCTCAAGGAAGAATGGCCCGCATTCGGTTTCCAGGATGGTCTTCGTAAGTGGCCTCTTGATCAGTCCAAACCCATCACAGAAGAAGCCGTTCGTGCTCTTGCTAAGGGTGTCTTGGATGGTTCTATTGCCTCGACTCTCAAGTCTGAGCCCGTTCCTGAAACTCAAGACGAACCTGTTATTACTGTTGTCGGTGACAGCTTTGACAAGATTGTCCTTGACACTAAAAAGGATGTTCTTCTCGAGCTCTATGCTCCATGGTGTGGACATTGCAAAAAGGTAAATACTCGAACAATCTTGTGCTCCATTCTGATTTAGATCTAACCATTATATTTGTAATTATCTTGCTAGCTTGTTCCTACATGGGACACACTTGCCAAAACCATCACCTCTGACAAGATTGTTATTGCCAAAATGGACGGCACCACCAACGATATCCCCCCCTCCACAAAGGTTGACCTTCAAGGTTTCCCCACTATTCTGCTTTTCAAGGCAGGTAGCAGTGAATTCATGACTTACCAGGGTGATCGTAGCCTCGCATCACTTTCTGCTTTCCTCAAGGAAAATGCTGTTCATGGATCTGAGGTGCCAGAGATTGACGATTCTGCAGAACAGGATCCTGATTTGCTGCACGAAGAATTGGATTTGGAGGAACTGGAGCCTGAGGTTGAAAGAGATGAACTCTAGATTGCAACTTGAAATCAACAAATGAAAACACTGGCTAGTATTAGTTTTATTACAAACCCTACTATGTACCCAATATGAGTTGTGAACAATATGGAGTTGATCCAGTCAAAAATATATCCAACCCGCTATTGAAACTCAAAAATTGCATTTATTCAACTATTTAGTCTGTCCTGCCTCTTGAGCCAACGAATAAAACATACTCTTGGTATTTTTTAGCAGTACTTTGGGAGAGTCAAATTCTGCAACGTGGCCATTGTCCAACACAAGAATCCGATCACTGTCCATGACAGTATTGATCCGATGTGCAATGGTCAACACCGTACACTCTTTAAACTCACGTCGGATGGTGTCTTGAATGAGATGATCCGTTTCTACATCGATGGCTGCGGTAGCTTCGTCGAGGATCAAGACACTGGTTTTACGAAGAAGTGCACGCGCAAGACAGATAAGTTGGCGTTGACCCACACTAAAGTTTTCTCCCTCTTGCTGGATTTTAAAGTCTAAACCTCCTTCAAGTGATGTAATGTGCTCTTTTAGATTGGCACATTCAAGACTCGTCCATAGCTCAGCGTCCGTTCGGGTCGAAAAGGGATCAAGGTTGTATCGCACACTTTCTGCAAACAATACTGGATCTTGTGGAATAATGGTCAGTCTTGATCGAAGACACGCTAATCCAAGGGTACTGATATCCAACCCATCAATGATTATGGATCCCTCACTGGCTTCAATAAGGCGAAACAGTGACAGGGTGAGTGATGATTTTCCTGCACCCGTTCGTCCCACAATTCCAATCTTTTCATGTGGGCGAACATTAAAAGATATGTTTTTCAAAACTAGACCCAGCTCCGCCCTGTATCGTGTAGAATAGTTTTTAAACTCAATGTTGCCATGCTGGGGCCATGCTGGAGGTGGAGTCGTCGCTTCGATTTCATAAGGTGCTTCCTTTTTTAAATCCACATATTCTTTAATTCGCTCGACCGACACAATATTCGTTTCAATCTCACATGACTGTCGTACCATCCAGTTCAAAGATTGAGTCACACCAAGCGAGTAGGACAACATCAACCCAATGGTTCCGGCAGAAATTGACGTATGGAAATAAATTGCCATCACACCAAACAGTGCCGACCCAAACACAATCAATGCACCAATAAACTCAAGACGAACAGCTAGCCATCGGTTTGAACTCACACTGGGATAAAAGGCTCGCTGATTATAATCCAGTCGCTCCTCATTCATGTCAATAAATCTCAATTCCTGCTTGTAAGCGCGAATCGATGAAACACCATTGAGAGTTTCTTGAAAGTGAGAATAGACTGGGGATCTAGATGTAGACTCGAGTCGCTTAAGTTCACGAGACGTCGATAAGTAGAAACGCTGAAAGTAGCGGTAAAGTGCGCCAAGTGGGATCGCAAATAAGATAAATAACGGACTGCCAATGGCATTCACAGCAAGGACACTAATGACACCAAACATGGTTCGAAAGTACCCTTGAAAAGTGCGAGGAAGCACTTCATCAACAGTGTATTGATCTTTGGAAAACCGATTCAAAATACGTCCAAGTGGAGTTGTATCAAAAAATGATTGTGGAAGTCGCACTATACAGTTCAGCATTTGCTCATGAAGAACACGAGCAGCACGAATACCACAAAACACCCATACAAATATCACTTGGCCAACAACAGAAATACTTGAAACAAGTCCAATAGCACCATATCCAACGAGCCAAGCAAATACGTCTCCACGATCTTGCATTATCATCATAAGAGACTCGGCGCGATCGTTCACATTGGCCCACCAGGAAAGGTACACATTTTGAAACACAGACAATCCCTGAGATAGAATGGCCAACATAAGAAAGGCAGCTACAGCATACATGTTGCACGATTTGGCGTAAGCCAAGTAAACGCTTAGATTGACAGAGCCCTTTGCCGAGTCTTCAGTAGAAATAATCTTGGTACCAATAGCAGAAGAAATCGTCTTGGTAGAGCCATTAGTGGATGCAGGATACAATTTAGAGCCTCGATCATCGTCATTCTTAACAGTAGTAGCATGAGCATCCGCATCCTTTTCATCATTTAAAACCTCGTCTTCTTTTTTATCAAGTGAACCCACTACAGTGTCAACAGCCAGTTCGGTATCCAAAAGCTCCAAAGATGGATCACTTTCCTTACGCTTGCCATAATCCCTCATCAAAGCATAGAATGGACCTGGCTGTGACATCAAGGAAGTGAACGTGCCAACAGCTGTAATACAGCCACGTGCAATGTGAATGATTTCGTCCGTCTCGCTCAAAAGATGAACGCTGTGAGTAACAAACACCCTTGCCTTGTTCTTTAGTATGCCCTGTTTACCAATTACATGATCGAATATGTGTCGGCCGACATGAGCATCCACAGCAGACAAGGGATCATCGAAAAGATAAATGTCAGCATCGGCATACACAGCGCGAGCAATAGAGATGCGCTGTTTCTGGCCACCCGACAAGTTAATGCCACGTTCACCAATTTCAGTTGCATCTTTACCGGGAAGCATATTCAAATCAGGTCGAAGTCCACACGCATCAATTGTATCATTGTACAGTTTATCGTCATAGTGTCGACCAAACAAAATATTCTCGCGAAATGTAGCATTCATAATCCAAGCAGTCTGAGGAACATATGCAGTCAAACCACGAACAGTCACCATTCCACTAGTCTTGTACATTTCGCCCAAAATAGCAGAAATAATGGACGACTTTCCAGACCCAACATTGCCAACAATAGCAAGAAGAGTGTTTTCACGAACAGATATGGAGATATCATTCAACGTATTCTCATTTTCAGCCAGCCAAGCAAAGCTGCCCTGGCAGATGGATACGCGCTCAATATTAGACTGGTCAGTGAAAGGAGGTACCAGCTCGTAATTAACAGCAGATTCGTCAAGTTCCTCGCTCATCAAAAACGTGTAAAGCCGTGAAAATGAAATAGAAGCTTCAACTGTTGCACTTATAACACTTGGAAAAATACTCAGAGGAAACTGCAACAGATTGAAAAGCGATAGCGACACAAACACTCTAGTAGAAGTCAATGGCTCTTCAGAAAGGTAGCTGAAAAGAGCAAAACTAGTGAATGAAACCAAAAATGGCGTGCATGACCAGGTGAATGATTGAACAGCAGAAAGATACCCAATTTGTTTCAAAGTGGTGAGCTCTGCCTCACGAATAGAAAAAATCTTTTTCAAAAAAGAATTTTCCCAGGCATAAAGTTTGATTACTTTGATCCCATTTAAAAGCTCGTCCATTAATCTTGTACGAGAATCCTTGTTTGTCATTTGACGCTTTCCAAGTGCACGCGATCTTGTAGCCAGATATCCATTAACGGGGATCATCAACACCATCACAGCAACACCACCAAAAATAGACGGACCAAGTGTGTCGTACAGAAAATAAACTGCCATTGAGATCTGGAACGGACCAGACCACAGCATATGCAAATAGGTGCACAAGTCTGAAAGTCGCGATGCATCAACAGCCATCAGATTAGAAATTTCACCATTAGTAGAAGATTGGCGTGCTTTACTCGATAATCTCAAGGACTTGCGATAGATGGCTGTAACAATGGACGAACGAATCTAAATATCAGAGTAAGCATGATGTTAATAAAGACCAAGGTTTAGCACCATCACGACAATGTGATTTTCAATCAAAAACATACGCGCATTCCGGTGATAAGACAAACGTGAAAGTATTGATGTAGCAAAACAGTTTGCAGAAGCGCAATGCCAAGCATAGAAACTATTTATACAAGAGTCAGAGACTATATTTAGTTGCTGTTGAGCATCAATAAAAACAGTTGATTTTTATATAAATACTCACATGCAATGATAAACCCACGATACATTGGGATAGGAGGAGTTGTGCTTTCTACAGAATAGCTACTAGCAAATTCCATCTAGAATCAGCAGAGTAGATGCAAGGTCAGTTATAATGACCATCAAGCTGTTTTTCAAATGCAAATCGATTGGTATGATCAAGATAGTTACCATTTGGTGAAGAAACTGCGGCTGTACAAACCCAAGAATGTCCTGACATCCTTTGAAAATAGCCGAAGACAAAAACACTGGACCAAAGGCTTTAGCTACAGCACGAAGCAAAGACGGAGATCTTTTTGTAAGCTGCTTGGTCCATGTCTTTTGGAATGCTTCGGAGTTGTAGTTTCCAGTGTCAGTTTTTTTGAGATTCCTGAATCAACCGAGTCGCAATAGGAAATTAGTATAATGCAAGTTGAAGTAGTATGAATTGATGAGATGACAGAAAAAAGTGTACCATAGATCGTCCATATCCAAGTCTTTGGTATATCCAAGACGCATCAAAGGATCCATCCATTGAAATGTCAAACGCGAGAAGATATTGGCAGTAGCTTCAGGACTTGCATTCTAATTAAAGCATTAGATCCACAAAGTATGTTTAGAATGCAAGTATTAAGCAATAGACAATAGTAATAAAGAATACAGAAAAGCATAATTTAGAATACATACAATGACATCATCCAAACTGAGATAGTAACTCTGAGGTTTGGGAAGGTTTTCGAAAACAAACACAAAAAGAGAAAAGACAACGGATGAAGCAATGAAACCAAAATGAACAGGTCTAGGATAGTAGATTTGCAAAAGAATGCAAGTTCGAAGAGCAATCAAGTTGGTGATCAACGAGCCCAGCCAAAAAAAGAGCAAAACGGAAGAAGAAAGACGAGAGTAAAAGTGTTCGTAATGGTGCAAAGCAGCAGCGAGTAAATAAATGATACAGCTTGAACCCATGGCGACAGAAAGATAAGGCTCGGCGGGATGAGTGCGATCACCTTGTAAGACCAAAAAATTGATCAAAGCCAAACCAGCCAGAATAAAGCAGGAACCTAGTTTAGCAGAATAAACGAAGCCCACAGGAGCAACGAATGCAGGACGAGATACAAGTTTCCAAAGACGAGGAGCACCGAATGCAATGAGCAATACTTTTGGGATGCTTTCAATGAAGCTTTACGAATGCAAGACATTCAAGCAGAGTAGAATGAATCAGCGCGATGATGGAGAACATGAGCGATACAGAAAGCATTGAAAGTTTACTTACATGCTCTCATAGCAAGGAGTAAAATCAAAGACTCTTGTCAGTGACCAAGGACCCTAACACAGTCATAAGAATGAGTATTGAATTCATAGTCAAGATCGACAAGGTTGAATCCCAACAGATTTGAAGAGTGGAATCTAACAAGAGCCAAGAGTTGGAATTACCCATCCTTCAGCATCCTTGCATAGATACGAATAGTCGGTTGAATTCTGTTTATAAGTTGAAGCAGACAGTAGTATTGATACAGTACTGTTCAAGACTTGCTGAAGCATGATATCCGGTTGCAGTTGAAAATAAAACTAAGCGAATATCAACACAATGTCATAAAATGTCAATTTCCAATTCGTCTTGCTTTTTAACTGATTTTTATAAAACAAATGTTTAAAGCAATATTCACAATGAATCTGTTGGAATAAGAACAGCAGTTTCAGTCACTTTTAATGAGAGCGTGTTGGATTGTAAAATAAGAGTGTGTACTGAATGAGTACAATCCAACGTTGGTTTTCTACTACAAAACTAACGTTTCTTCCCAGATGGAATAGAAAGCAACAAGTGGATTCAAGTCACGTGTAATGGCTTGGAGTCTAACAAAGTCAATCCAAGACAAGACAAACTATAACCTGCAACAATCTGCAACAACCTACAACAACCATTCAAATTGCAACAACCATTCAAACTGTCAATGACTTCGGTCATGTCTACCGTCTTGACTTTCAAGTCTTGGCGTGAGGTTTGTCGTGCTTCGCTGCCCATCGAACCTTCTCGTTCTGCTCTCTTGGCTCTAGATGTTCCTTATATTCATCACAACTTCAAAGACTCGGCTCGTCGTCACTTTCGATTGTCTGTGGCATATCGCTTTGCTGTCCTGCAAGACTTGCGTCGTGAAGCAAGGTTCCAACTGTCATTAAAGACTAGACCAGCTTTATCGGAAGCAATCAGTTTGCACAAGGCTAAACCTATCTGTAATACTACTGGCTTTGCTTTTAGTCCTCATAAGAAACACTCTTGTCCATCTTTACTATCCAGACCCTCTCAGGCCTGTTCTGCTGGCATTCAGATACCCTACAAATATCAACGACCTGGAAGACGAGGTTGGTCCCGCATTCCTACTAAAACACATGTTCATACCAAACCCATCTCAAACACTGGCTCTGTGTCCAACCTCTTTTCACTCGCTAGTATACCCATTCAAGATCCATACCCTTGTATCGCCAAGCATTCCGAACCTCAATCCAATACATCCTTGCTGTCCTCTGACATTGATGCATCTTCATCTACCGCGTCGCTCCCTTTTAAACCTACAAACAATACACTAGCACCAATTGATGAATCTGCTATTGTTTTAAACATCTCTACTGAATCACCTACTCTCTCTATATCAACTTACCCACTCATAGAACCTACTCAATTGATTTCTGAACCAACATCTCAAACTACCACTTTCCTTGTCAATAATATCACGCCATTCCAATGCACTCCCACAAAACCTGCTTGTTCCAAAGTTGATGCTGACTTGCAATATCCTTCTCCACCCGTTTCAACTCTGCTCTGCTCTGATATTCAACGCTCTCCTTCAATCCCTATTCTGAATTCACCGCAATACACTGGAAATACCGACACTTGTTTATCACTACAATCTCCCTATTCTCTATCAACTTGTTCTACCATCAGCACCTCGCCTAAACCCATTCGAAAAATATCAAAGTTTGGCCAAAAACGAATCGAGCGCCAAAAACTAATGGAAAAATACCTGCAAGAAGAAGAAGGTTTGCTACTCGTATTAACCATATCCCACATATCGATGAATGATTTCATGGGTTGGATCTCTACTTTTTATCAGCCGTGCCTATGACTTTATTAAATTTGGCTCAATCGTGTTTGCTGTTGATCCTTGTACACTCTTGACTAACATGTCTTTTAATAATTCACATGTATGAAATGCACTATCTATTAGGCAATGACTTTTATGATTTGGCTGAACACAATGATAATCGTCGCAATGCATGGTTTAGAGTAAGAATCTCGGAAAGCAAAAATGGCCGCATGGATGCATCACTGCTACGCGAGAATCGTCTTAAAAAAGCTGCCAAGCTTCAACGTCTTGCTCACGATCAAGCAATATATGCTAGTCGAGGATGTAAGTGTTTTTACTGGCTTATGTCATTTTGAACCGTCTACATTGCCATGACACATGTTAATCCTTGTGTAATCCAGTATACCTTTCTGGAATGGGAAATGAAATTAGAAACTTGGGAAATATGCTACACATCACTGAACGATACATCAAAGACCTTGACCAAGACCGAAATCAATCCACTCTTCCCGCACCACCTGTACGCACATACAAACTCCCTGACAAGACAAGACACCAAATAGCTTTTTTAACTATTCACGGTGAACCCTCTCCCAAAGAACCAATTGTTCAAGCTATTTTTGAAGAGGCTTCAAAAATGATGTCTGAAATCTTTGCAGAACAAAACATTCTTGTGGATCTCAAGGAGGGCTGTGCAGAGGAAGATTTTTCTGCAGAAATCATGGCAGATGTCAACAGCTACGAGGCTCTTGCATCTGCAGAGTATATCTTTATGCGCAAGTATATGTGGATCGAAAGTGTGGCAGTTAAAAAAGAGTATCGTGGTTTGGGTTTTGGAAAAATCATGATGGAGCGGTAAGTTGTATGATTTACTTTTGGGTTCATCATGGCTTTATTTAAAAATGGCTTGTTTTGTAAATTCTAAATTAGAATGTTCCACATTGCACAAGCACGCAACAAGAATATTCTGCTCTATGCTTTGGATGACGTTGTTTCTTTTTACCAATCACTTGGATTCGTCATGTCCCCACAATGTATGGTTGATGCTTTGTAGAATAATTATATGATGGAGTTTTGACTGACAGACCACTGATTTGCCAATACTATTGAAACCATAGATCCGAAAAAAGACTGGCACATTGGACGATTCATGATTTTACCCATCTTTGGATTATGACCAGCGACTATATTTTGTTTCATTTCATAGATTTATTTACCCCAAACTGCATTCTACATATATCAAGAATGGGCATTTGTAAACATTTAGCTTTTATTTCTTTTGACCTCGAATAGGAAACCGAGCATGAATCTTATTTTATTGACTCGTACTTTCTAATAAAGAAACTGTTTTAAAAGGAAACTGCCATGATTTTAGTTCTAAACTAGTTTAAAACTAGTTTTAAATCCAATCCAATCCAACCGCCCTAACAGCTGAATTGTCAACCCTTGAACTACTTGCAATTGGACCAGACTGGAAGCGCGATGCTGCATTGCTATACTTTTACCCCAACAGCCAACTACACCCATGAGGCTCATATTCGTTAGTCAAGGTTCTGCTGTTGTGTGGGGAATCACCAGCATATGCGGTGTTATTATCTTGGTAAACACCTTTCTACTGCAGTTGCAACACATTAATCCTTGACTGTTCATTGCTCGGCTTGCTGAAAGAGCAGCCTATTGGCATGTCCACTGCTTTTGAACCGGAAACTCATACCTTTGATATCTATTCTGAATAAACCTGCTTGTTTTATAGCTGGGTCTGGGCTCACTTTACCATTCTGGATATGAGGAATTCATTGAAGGTCCAAATGCTCCTAATGACCCAGCAGCTGTCGCCAGGGGCTGTTACATTGCAGCCCTTATCTATTTTGTTCTTTCTGGATTCTATTTGTTCCAGGTAATGGATTGCAAGTCTTTAAGAATGAATGCATTGATGTCAATTGGAGCAAACGAACAGTTTTTGAAGGAAGCTTGTTTTTCAACATGAGCTGGACGTTGATCTAAACCAATCGGATATCCTATTGGTCCCATTCTAGTGCTCAACTAACATTTCTATTTTTATAATACGACCGAATCAACGATGCTGCAATCGTTTGGCATTTTACTTTTTTTTAAATCCGATTCTCTTTTCATTACAATGTAATCTAGTTTCTTATGCATAAAAAGGAAGCTGAGCGGGAGCAGCGATTTGCAGGCATCTAGTGTATCGATGCGTCCATTTATACTGACTTCTCAATGCCCTATTCATTAAAACCTATTTTTTGAACGTCTTTATCGAAATGAATTCTCAACTGATCCAAAATCGTTTGGTACTCATGCTAAATGGCATTTAAACTACTACAATCCTATTCATGTAAAATAGAACACTAAATGGCGTGTTGGTCTCATGACATGATGGTTGTCATTTACTAAACATTGCGTCTATAGCCTTTTTCTTGGTGATTGGATGAATCTGGTGATTGTACACGTATGGCTATGCCAAAAATGATCATCTCAGTTCAAAACTATGATCTGATTATATGTGCATCCTATGACGACTGTTGCGTTTAAAAAATAGTCAATTTAGTAAAAAAAAGTGCAATGAATAGTTGGCCATTGTTTATTCTGAAACAGAATACACAAGTGATTTATTGTGTAAATATCGCTGTAACACATGCTCGTTACACTCGGTTTAAATCCTTGCCAACCATAAATCGATTTCCTAGCATTTTTGGTACAACGATAGGTGATCTGTGATTGGTTTTATATCTATTCTGATCAATCGGTGACGAATCTAAAAGAGATGTTGTATTTTTGTAATGCATTAATAATGGAATACGTGGTACTACATGACGATTGTGTTGTTTAGATGAAGGCAACTGCTTATAGTGGCTACAGAATTGCTGCTGATGATCTTGCTGGATATGCCAAGGAAGCGGATGCTTGCTTGCAAGTTGATCCAAATGAACCAGCAAAATTTGAGCGTTTGGATCTGCGTGTACTTCCTGTGCAGACTCCAGCCTTGTGCATCGATTCAAACAATGCGCTTTATCTTGCTTAATTGATTCAGATGTATCAGGTAACCAAAATGAAAAATTCTCTCCATCCTGATGACTACAATTGCCTTGAATGAAATCACTTTTTTGATATACGTCATCTGACTTTACAAAGTTGTTGCATTCAGGACTCGCAATCTGTTGCCTTTTCAAATCGCGCAAAGCTTGTTCCCGCCAGTGCACATTTCCCGACACACCATACATTTTATGGCACGGATGTGATATATTAAACGATGGGGATAATGCTTCAGCATTACTACTTTGGTCAATACATCCACTTTGTAACTCTGACACATGCTTTAAAAACGTGCAAGGGTTGACAGACGTAGAACCCAAATCTATGCATTGTCTGCAATCACATCGTGCGGTATAATGTCTAAATCTAAACGAGCCTATGCTTTTTGCCAAGGGTTTTTTGATTAAAAAGGAGCTTCTAGAAATTGGAAGAGGCTGGATATATCTAGACAAGAGATTGTCTGGTTTGTGTTGATCAGAATGATTATTGTAAAATCGCTGTCTTAAACGGTCTGATATGGGTCGTTTTTCAAGTGGCGGAAGACACGGACCAATTTTGGACTGATACATATCTTGATACCATTGCATTAGAGTGGTACTGTTTTCATTGGGCTGGAGTGGAATTTTGGACTGATTTCCCTTTAAATTCGGATCGCGAATATACAAACCATGTCTTGTAAGTAGCATGTAATTGCCATAGGGAAGAATAACTCCATCATTGAAATGATGACTCGGATTTGTTTTTACTTTTGATTTCTGTTTTGAAAGCTTTTTAAGATGCTGTGACAATTTCTGAACACTTTTTCTAGATACTCCTTCCCTTGCTCCTGGCCTCTCCAAAGTCGGATTGATATCCAATGTAGGCAATGAATCAGTGTTATTTTGACTTGATCGGCTTTCAATTAAAATCTGATTGGATTGCTGGATTGACAGTGACGGTTTTTGATATAATTGCGCAAATGAGTTTGATTTAAACTGTGCTGTGTTGTCTAGTATATCGTTGATTAGAGTGTTACCATGCTTATCATCTTGACTGCCATTGATTTCTTGGGGTTTGACTTTCAAGTCTATTGCGTTATGAATCATATCTACTTTGGTACTGCTGTTCAAGTAGCGTGTTGGGTCATTTTCCGCACGTTGGGTTTTCTGGAGATCTACATTAGACAGGTGTGAAACTCTGCGACAACTCCAAACAGGGATGCGGCTTGGTATTTTTTGAGTCATTTTCGTGGCTTGGCACATATCCGAACGATCTTGAACATATCCGTATACATTCCTTGAGCCATCGCATTGATCGAGCTGTTTAACATTAGTAGATGCAACAGGTAGTTTACTTTGAACCCTTTTTTTAACAGCGCCAAGAGCAGATGTAGATTCTAAAGGTGTAGCTTTCATACTAGACACATCACGAGTGGTATCAGTTGAGTGTATGACTTGATAATCATTGTCTTGAGTAGTTTGAGCAGGTATCATAACTTGAACAGAAAAATTAGTGTGTAGGTCATCTGCTTTGTCAACATTGCTATCGAGCTGGATTGGATCATAAAAAACACTGGTACGTATACTATTATCGTTTTGTATAGCATCTATTTCAGTTGTAACAGAGATGACTGGAACAGACTCTTTAAATGATACATCATCCACCCTTTTAATCAAATATTCAGCCATTTTAGGCTCTGAAAATGAACGAGACGTATACGTTGGTCCTGTGGCGATTTTTGATGAGAAGATCATTGGCAGTTCTTTTGGATTAGCGTGCAATCGAGTTGGAACGGAGTGTCGCATCGATATAAATGATGGGCTTTCATCTTCAGCAGTTTCTGGCAATGGAGATGTCAGTCGAGATCGACTGGTCATCAAAGTATGAGCAACACCGTCAATATCTACCACTTTTTGCAGTGGAATATCCTGAAACCCCTCATGCGTAGAATGGATTTCTTGTTCAATCAGATGTGAGTGAAAGATAGGCTTTGGCTCAAAAGAAGGATGTGATGCAATCAACGCGGATGATTTTGAATTGGTATCGCAGTCATGATCATGCAAAGTAGCTGCACTATTTTGATTTAGTGGCCGATCGTGTAAAAGATTATTTTTTAGCTCCAATAATTTTGTCGAATCGCTCATGTTTGTTTGCGCTAATTTGTATGATCGTTGACGAGCCCATGAAAGACCATTATGAAATGATGAAGAATGAGTAGGTCTACTAGCTGGATTCGAATGCAAAGGCTGTACAGATGGTGGAGTTGGAACAGTAATATCATTTTGCAAAATTTGAACAGATACATCTGGAGTTGACACTGATTCAATTTTGATTTGTTGGGGCAAACATTCGTCTTGTGATGCAATTAAATAGAGTGAATATTGAGTGGGCTCTGAATTCGAACAAACGAGGGTATGCTGTATATCTAAAGTCGAAACTTCCTTTGCTGGATCGTGAGTAAAAAATAAGCTTTGGTTTATTGCGTCTGATTTCATAATAGGGTTGGTGTCTAGCTTCAGTGAGTCAATTTCAATCACGTTGTGGTTCACTTTAGCCAACTCAGCTGTCAAGTCTATAGTATCTGGATGCAGATGCGTATCATCCATTTCAGTATTCAATGATGGCAAGTATGATTTGGCCTGTTGTTGCACTTGATAGGCAACAAAATTTTCAGTGATATTTGACTCAGTTACACCATCCAAAGTTGACATGTCGGATTTGAAGTTTCAGGTAGAAAAGTTTACCAGCCTTTACACATGGAGACAAAGGATGAGAACGCGAAAAAATGTATTATATTTCAATACCCCAATTTCAGCATGTTTTGAAAGCATTCTGATAGTATCAAGCAGACTGTTATTGCAGCATTTCAAAAACATGGATTATCCGCTTGTAAAATTGCATGTTTGATTTAGGCTGGAGAGTACTATGAAATAGGTGGAACGCCAAAGCCCTCGCGTCAAAACAAGACCAAATGAATAGTATTGTTCTGTAATCAAAAGAGCAGGTCGTTTGGCAAATCAACCGTGTCAACAAGCCATATTGTCGCCACGGTACAGGAAACACGGCTGATAAAAGATTCTACCATTCCAGTCAGTAGACAAACAATCTACTGATATTTGTAAAACAACATCATCAAAGGATAATGATTGACACTTTCTTATTCATCTCTCCGTTCTTATCCCTTTGTCACTAACTGTAATGGCGCGGGGTGGATATCCATTTGGTAGGCTTAATCAAGTGATTCAACAGAGTTTGATATTGACAATATGGAGCAGTATACCTTGCACTATGACTGTTCTCATTTCTCATACAAGTTTTTAAACAATTAAATATCGAAACTGGGTACAAATAATTGCTTGGCCATGACTTGAACTTTTATATAAATGCAAATCAAAAATTCAAGCTATTAGACATTCAGGAATTCTCAATGCCAGAGGAAATCTGTATCAATTGGTGCATAGCCGTAACTCGCATGCAAATATTGCCTAGATTAAAAAAGTCGTTTCACCCATCATTAGTATCCTATTCAAAACATTGTAGATAGAAACAAGAGTTGCTTACGAGCATCTGCATCGCTGACAGCTTCAAGATCATATACTTTTGCATCATGATTTCGTCGAACAATTAGCTTGAAATTGGCACTCTTTTTTTTAATTTGCTTGCACGATACAACAGCGCTAACATGAAACGAATTCTATTCAAAATAAAATGCACATCAAGCAAATTAAAATCAAAAATACAGTGTATGCATGTTTGTGAACCTACAACTTACAGTCGTTTTTCCCATATCAAACAAAGCCTTTCCTTCCGAAGCAACCAAGTGAATATATTCACCATCGATAGTGAGGTTACGCTCGTGTCTACCCATAAGATGCTTATAAATCACAGAATATTGCTAAAGTATCAAAAAGTGTATCAGCATATAGCTTAAACCACATTCTTGGCACCAAAATTTTCAATAACCAGCAGAATTGGCAACACAAGCACTCCTATACCTTGTAAACAGATCTCAAATCTTCGGTTGTTAAAAACAATCTGTCGTCTGCATCCTCATCCGTAGGCTCATCGGGTGGTCGCAAAAAGATATCTCCAGCTAAAAATGATTTAATAAAGCAAATATTGATTATAGTCGCGTTGCATTTGTGTTAGAACAGTGTATTGCGACTCAAAAAAACTTGCCGCATTTACAAAAGTGTAACCAGTTATATTACTGTACCTCCACCACTTGATCTTTTTAAAACACAAAACTCGATAGCTTCAAGCTGCGCTAGTGTCTTGTCCAACTGCACGTCTGTTTTTGTATCCGCCATTTTTAAAACATAATCTTTGGGATCATATTTTCGTTTGCGACAGATGAGATCAAATACTTCTGACATGGGAATATTGACAGGCATTTGCATGGTGGTGGTTTGCTTGACTTCCAATGTTGAGTAGAGATGCACCTTGAGATATACAGTTGCAGCAGTACTTGCACTTCCAGAAACTGTCTCGATACCTGCTGAAGAATTTACGTCCTCAGCCTGGGAGTGAGATACCATGGGTGTACCATGAGCTTGAGTATTAGGGTTGACTACTATTTATCATTTTTAAATTATAGGTTATTTGGTGTTATAAGTTCAACCACACACCATTCCTGACCTACCTTCAATTGGGATGGTTTCACACAATGCAAAGCGGTCAAATGCAAACTTTTGAATCTTTCTCGCTCGATCAAGTGCTAATTGCAGTATTCAAGTATAAACATCAGCAAAAGTCAGTCCAAGTCATTTAAACTCATACGCATTGGCAAACAAAGAGCGTGTTGATCTGCATCATCTAGTAAGACGCCAAAACTATGCGGATTGGGTAATAAAAGTCTAATACCTGGAAAGTCGTCATCAATTGTTCCATCATCTTCAACAATCCGTAAGTTCCAATTAGATATCAGCCAGGCACTTTCTGGCAAAATGGGCTGTCGTGCTGCATCAAAGTACTCAAACAATGTATATCCAATCACTTCTTCGACAGATGCGTCTTGCTTTACTGACACAAAAAGCGGTTTGAGTGGGTCTTGACTAAATGGTAGAAACATTTGCAATCTCATGGGATTGCCATCGGATTTCCCGCTAAAAATAGCATATGTTTGTGCAAAAGGATTGATTTTACTGGATTTTTTGTCCATCATGGCAGATAAAGCAGAGATGTGTTTTTGTTCATGTAGTTGTGTGGTATAATCAAGTAGATCCGAAGAACCAATACTGAGTTGACTGCCATAGGAAAATTGCGTGACTTTTGTAGGTGATAAAGACTGTTTTGTAAACATACTCTGCGATGTAGTGGCTGCACCTAAAAGAGGATTGGAATGTTCATCAGATTTGTCAACAGAAACTATCGAAGCGGCTACCTGTGCTTCAGACTGCGCTCCTTTGAGTTGATCAGTAGAAGTTATCACGGGATTAGGAGTGGGCATGACTTGTGCTACTGTAGCATCCAAAGGTATAGATTTAGCGGTGCTAGTTGATGTAACCCCAGCCGGATACGATGTGGTTTTATGCGTATTGGTCTGCTCGGAGTTGACATCCAAACTAGGAGCATCAGTTTTATTGTGCACAACAACCAGTTTCACAGCATCCAAGTCAATTCCTTGTTCCTCAAATTCAGTTGAGTCGTTCTCTGCTGAAAGCTGGTCTTCACTGTAATAGTATGCAAATTAAAAAAAGTGTAATTTCAAAGCTTATCAGTTTCTTGCATGTACATTCAAACAGGTAATTGTATACAACAAAACATCATCAAAAATTCACAATACATACATTGCTTCAAAAGATATGTCATGGATCTGATCTTCCAAAATTAATTCGGATGGTTCTACTGATACTGGGTAGCTCTGTGGGGTACTTTCTGCTTTGACAGAATCGGCTCTGTCAGGCGAATTATCCAAACCGCCCATATTTTCCTCTGGAATTTCATTATTAAAAGAACGACAATGTGGAAGAGGCTGCACAGTGCGGACATTTCCAGGTTCAGAGTTGGATCTTTGATGACTTTGCCGTTCAGGAAAATTACAATGTATTGCTTGATCTTTAGCAGGTGGTGATCTTAAAGTAGCGGGTACTTTGGGTACTGATTTTTTAAGCTCATCTTTACTGAAAGATGAACTTGCATTACGTTGAAAATTACCACGGACACCGTCTGCATGAACATTACGTCTATCATATACCCTTTCTGTTGCATGGGTAGCCGGAGGTTTCGGAACGGAAGCTTCTGGTAGTCCAGCTGCCACTGGAGATGGTGGACAAGGAAATTTTGTCGTGACACGAGTGGATGGTACTACAGGAACAGAAGTAGTTGAACCGACGGGGAGAGTATCAGAATTTGTTGTAGTACTTTTTATATTAAAATTTTGAATCACTGATGGTGTTGACTCTACATGATTCACCTGATGCAAGTTTTTGTGAGAAGTTGCCAACCCTTTAAAGTTTTCCGATGTTGTATGCAGAATTGTTTGCAGAGCAGTTGAAGCCAAGGGATTTCGGCTAGATGGTGCATTACTAGGAATAACAGTTGTCGTAGCAGCAGAAGATGCTTGACAGGGTCGTAAAATAGAATCTAGCAGTTTTACTAGTCCGCGTTGAGCAACAGCAGAAGATGTCGATCCTTCTATGGCGGAGCGCTGATATTGGGGATCGTCAGTAAGTCTGGCAAACGAACCCATAGCTACAGATGCCCCACGAGATGCTGTGGAATTACCACCTTGAAATATTGTTCCCAAAGAGCCATTTGATCGCTTAGTCAGATCCGCATGACTAGAAATAGTAGTGGAGCCTATATGTTCATGATCAGGACCACTGGCCTCTTGAAAATGCATAGTTTTTCTTCGGGGGCCATTCTGAGGTCGAAAAAGACCATAGGTAGATCCACCCGTATCATCCTGAACAGCCGCGCATGCAGCCATGCGAGGTATCATTGCAGATATGTATTCGTACTCGTCTTTTTTAGGCATCGTTACAATGCGCTGAGCAACAGATTCGCGTGTATTGAGCAGTCCAAGACGAAGCTTGTATATCTAAAGTACATTTAAGTTGATAAGTGAATGCAGAATAGCCATAAAATACAATTTCAATGGATTGTGTTGATAGAATAAGAGGAATGGACTGCATGCAGAGGATTCAAACTATAAAAGATTGACTGCAAGAATATCCAGACTGCACAAGTCACTCTCAAAGACTTGTGTAATACTATTGCTTCTACTGTTTATTTTAAAAGTCTGTTGCAGTCTACATCAGATACTATATTTTATACAAGGAATATGCCAGTGTTTACACTCTTGTGTAATGGTCATTCTACCAGAATCCAGACTATAAATGGTTGCGTATTCTAAAGCAAATGGTGTTACCAACAAATCCTGATCCTGAGCCAGCGACATGGGTAATAAATATGCTCAAGTATATAACAAGATTGTTGGAATGTTGTTGAATGGCTTCAAAAGGAATTGACAGTTGTTTTGATAGGAAAATTGAACTTGTTGAAACTCGTATTGGCAATGTAAACACTTCATAAAGCAATCGCACTCCAAAACTTGGCTTCAATCCGATTCGCTTTATTTCATCCAAATTCATCCTCAGCCCAGCCGAAACACAGTTTAAAAATCGCAGCAATCAATTGAGAAACTATTTGAGCAATGTATTGCAAGACATGTATATCACCATTGTCAATGATCCAAAAAGTATGCAGCGGAAAACTGCATACTTATGCATTCATTTCCTCTGCCTTTGCAGCTTCGCGAAGTTGAGCAATTCGTGCCTGTGCAGCCTGCTTATTAGCAGCAGTTTGAGCAGCCTGTTCAGATAAAAAGGCTTGTTTCTTTTCATTCAGCGACGCAAGAGTGGCTGGTACGTTGTCGGACGAAACGGGGATATCGATTTTAAGTGCAATCAGCTGGTTCACCGTCAAAATATCCAGTCTAACTGGACGAGCTTTTGCACCATCTGTGGAAGTGCCAGATCCAGATTTACCACCCTTGTTACCCTTTTTCCCTTTCTTTCCAAGAACCATAAAATCATCATCATTATCACCCTTGCGTACCATGACTGTTGCTCCAGATGGAAGCGATTCATCCACAGCACGAGTGCTGGTTGTGGTCGGACGAGAAACAGGAGTGCTGGCAGCAGATCCGGTTTTGGATTCAGATGAGCCAACCTGGGCACTAAGAAAATGAATCAGCGCGCTGCAAAGGTTAATCTCTTCAGTAAACGCAGGAATGTCTGCATCTTCCAATTCACGCTCAGCCTGTGCAACAATGCGAGCCTCACGTTCCTCGCTCTGTTTTTGCTTAAACTGTTCCTGACGCTTTTGACGCTCTTCCTGCTCCCAGTTGTAGAATTCGTCCCTGGCGATCTTGTGGTTAGAGCGTAAAGTACGCATCTTTTCAAAGGCAGCATCCACCTGAGACTTTATGGCTCTCTTTTGCTCAAGCAATCCAGAAAGTGATTCACGCGATGTGCTCAATGATTCGGCCACCTTGTTGAGTTCGGCTCGAGTAGTATCAGCCAATTCACGAAGACTAGCGCGCTGACCGTCAAGGGTCTTGAGTTCTGCACGCAGAGTTTCAATGGCAGCCTTGTCATTATCGTTGGTAGTTTGCTGTTGGGAGTAACCTTCAAGTACCTTGCGGACCTTTTTCAAATTGGAGATTTCGGATACCATGCGCTTCTCATCAATCAACTTGACTTGGCCAAACTGGATTTGTTTTTCAATCTCGCTATTGTTTTTAAAGTTGCAACAATAAGAAATGTTTCAATGAGACAAGAGATTTAAAAGGCATAAGTAAATCGGTCAGAAATCCACTGCTAGTTGTGGACTGAATGAAATATCAAGTAACCTTTAATTTCATTGTGAAAAATTCACTAGTTCAACACTACAAATAAAGCATCATTAAATTTAAAACTCACTCGATTCTACTGTCAACGCTCTCAACAGTCCTGTGACCGATCTTGGCCTTTTCCGTTCGCTCAGATTCAAACTAAACAACACAAGTTGATTTTAAAGTCAGGAATGCTCAAGACAAAGTAATCGACATGCTATATCAAACATTTTAAAAGCGCAGATCAGACCAATAAAAAGTCATTCCTGTTCAAACAGATTGGATACCTTTTTTTTGAGTGCAGACTGGAGTGCAGTCAATTGATCAACAAGCTTGGTTCGCTTTCCAGCCAGTTCCTTGATTTCTTGTAGATGAACGCTGAGCTTTTCGCGAAGCTCATTTTTGCGAGTGGATACAGCATCGCCGGTATTTTGTTCGGGAATCTTGTCCTGAATCTCCTTCTGCACAATGCATTACAAAGACGTGGTCATGAGCAACGGTAAGAGAGTTCAAACAATATGTACACAAATCAAGCTTACCATCTTTTGTTGAAGCTCGGCAATTTCATTGCGAATCTCTTGTATTTCCTAATAGAAGATCCAATAAAATATCGGATAGTAGCTGGTTAGTAATGTATAGTGATGTTCGCATACATGGCAATACAGAGTGAGTGCATGATTTCAAAGTGATGTATTATCCTCGCAGCCCTTATACCACTAGCATTTATATCAACATCTCCACCTTCCAGCAATTCATCATCTGATGCACGTGGAACCAATAATACATACTGCATTGTGCCTGTCCTGATTGGGCTTTTGGGGTCGTTTCTTGTCTGTAGTAGCAACGGGAGCACTTTCAACTGTCATGGTCAACTAATAGCAGTGGTTTTGATGAATAGAATGCAAGGAAAACAAAATGTATTGACTGCAAGTTGAATTTTTGGGCTTTTTCTTTTAGCAAATGCCAAAGTCAAGACTTGACAAGTTCTTATTGAGCGATACTCTGCCATTGAATGACTGCATTGCACACAGACTCGCTTTGTTGTTTTATTCATCAAAACAGTCGATATGAACTTGTGGTTTCATGAATGTCGTGTTCATGTTGGAATTCAAACTTGCTGTAGATCTAGTATGCATTCTTGGAAACTGCAATATGCTGAATAAACCAATCTATTCAATTCATGATACTTGGTACAGATTGTATAGCAATTCAGTGATTTACAGTCATATTCACGTAAAATGCATCATAAACAGTCAGTTTCATGAGTGTCGATTTACTAAATATTGGATTGACATGATTGCAACTCTATCTGATATTTTGAAATATGAGTTCAACACTTGAATTCAATATCTGGTGATTGTACAATAAAGACAGTTTCAGTTCAAAACTATAGTTTGTATGAATATTGTATTTATTGAGAATGTTGCCAGATATTCATTGTTTCAAAGTCGTTACAGAATGAAAAGTACTCCATTTTACGTGAATACGGTTGTAATTCAAGTTCTTGAAGACTTTCGACTTTCTTCTAATTAAAGATTCAACTCTGACCAAATGCCACCTAAAAACTCAAAGTAGGATAAGCACTGCAGTTCATACCCGCCAATTCGTTATTACATGCCTATTGTCTCTGCCAATTCATCTACTTGATGGCAAATCTCATGCTTTGGTGTATTTGTATAGAGCTGCTGCTGCTTTGGAAAAGAAAGCTGTCGCTCAAGCTGGAAAAAATGCCCAAAAGCAGGCTAATATAGAAGCTATAGAGGCACAGAGCTGGAAGACTGGAGCAAAGGATTCTACTTCCAAAATGACTGAAGAAGCCAAGCGAGTAAGTTGAGGGTATCTAGATTGAAATATGCGATCATCATATTGATCGTGAACTAATCTCTGATATTCTACTTGACTGTGACTGATTTCAGCAAGAAGCATTGGCAAAAAAGGCTGAGAGGTATCAATGCTACACTGACTGATGATATTCAATTTTATTCATACCCTGATACAACCTATTAAACGCTGCTCCATTAATGTCAATTATGGTTGGATTTATTAGACAGGCAATTCTTGATGCAGAAGAAGCCGCCATCTCATTCAAGCCCAAAAAAGGGGATGCTAAAAAACCACCTGCAAGGACTGGAAATTTAGATGCCTTTCTTGGTACTACTCCAGATGTGGATTCTTATGCTGCATCTGGCATCGACAATGCCATGGAATTGCTCAATCTAGCCAGTAAGAGTGGCTCGGCTTCAAACAACGACAAGGTCGAACGTCATGCTGAAAAGCGAGTAAAATCTGCCTATGCTGTATTTGAAGAACGTGAACTTCCTATTATCAAGGTAATGAGATGGATTAGCTACAGGAGATCTGGGTTTGGGATTTTAATGATTATTTACCCTTTATTTGTCATTCAAATTTAATCTGATCTACACAATTAGGCCGAAAATCCTACTCTAAGATTAAGCCAAATCAAACAGGCGCTTCAAAAAAAGTGGAAGAAATCACCCGAGAATCCACTAGTAAGTTGAATCGACATGTTGCATAATAATGACAGATCTATACTCATTTGGGCTATTGAACGATTCATGTTTTATTACCATCTTACAAACCTGTGATTTCATTATTTAGAACCAAGCACATATTTCCTTTGATGCCACTAGAGAGGAAGAAAAGAATACAGTTTCGGCCAATCGTGAAAAGGCACTTTCTCAATTCCAAAATAAATAATTGTGCTGACTCCAGCCTATTGATTGAGTTTATCACAATTCCTACATTCTATACAGTAATTTAAAATCATTTGTGTAAGTTTATTTTTTACTCTTCTTTTTTTTCTCTGAAGATTCTTCATTTGCCACTTGCTCTGCAGCAAGTTCGGCTGCCTTCATAGCAGCTTCTTGCATTGATTTTTGCTTTGCATGATATTCATCAGCCTCTTTTAAAATGCGCTGGCGATACATATCACGACGTGCTGCATCGATCTTGTTCCAATGCTCTACTTCTCTAAGTTTTTCTTCAACAATATCAATCAGTAGCTTTTTGTGCCATGCACGTTTTTCCTTTTTTTCTGCTCGAGCTAGTTTAATTGCTGCGTGGGTAGCCCCATGTTCAGCAATCAGTAGTCGTCGTTCCTGTGCCTTTTGTTCAAAAACTTGTGGTGAAAGCACTTGTGGTGGAGCTGAATCATCCGCTAATTCAACAATCGATCTGAAATTAATGACGGATAGCCCACAGTCTTTTGGCTCTGATGGCTCTATAGCGGATGGTAAAGTAGACATTGAAGTCATGGCATTGAAACGCGGCCCGCTTTGCCTATTACCGGCTTTTGCCAGAATTTGTTTTTTGATTCGCTCTTCACTATCTTTTTGTTGCTCAGTCATAATTTGAACTTTTGGTGACATTGTTTTCAGCACGGTCCATGGCTTGCATAAATTCATGTTTCCAATTTCAATTAGAGCAGGCCGAACCAATCCATTCTCAACCATCCGGATGTATGTGTCTCGTAATTCTCGTGCTCGCGCCATGCGACCAGGCGAAGCAGCCTCCCACGAGTCTTTAAGTGCTTTTTGCCTGTCTTCACGTTCTGTATCTTTAATAGCAACAACGGTTGCTGTATCAGTTGAAATGATACGTAGATGCCATATGAGATCGGTTTCATTGGCGACAGTTTGACCAGATCCGGTTGTTGCGGATGTCGGTATTCCCGCCATGGTTGCTGCTCCAACTGTAATCGCCGTGCCAGCTCCTGTAGTTGCATTAGATACATTTGTAGAAGTTGTGGTACCACCGCCTGCAGCTGTTCCAGCACCTGCTCCTAGATTTGAAATCGCTATGGGTTGAATTGGAGCTCCGCCCGCGCTCATTGTAGCTTTTTTTTTCTTTGCTGAACTGGTGGACTTTGTTCCACGCGAGTTTGGGCGAATGTTTTCTGCTCCTGATAATGCCGCTGTAAGAATCAGCATTTCCGCATCTGTGGCAACAATGCTTGCCTGTAAAATGTACTTGTGTTTTGGTACTGACGACTAGATTTTAAAAATATTCGTTATAAATTATATTACCATGTGGCATTGGACTACATCTTCCAAATACAAAAAATGCATTGAATTGGCATACCTGCTGAGCAGCTGCTGCTGCTGCCGCCACACTTCTTTTATCATCCTTGGTCTTATCACTTGACTTTACAACCACGTCCTCACTATGATAAAGTAGAGCAGAATAACAAATAGCAGACCCCTTTCCTTTTGTAGAGAAAATTTCTACATCGTTATCAAACAATTGCAGTTTGATCCAGATTCCTGAAAGCGAAAATGTAACTTGAAAAGCAGCATTGTTAATTTGTGCATCCTTGACTTTCAATACATATCGAAACAGCGTGTATCGTTTGTTATGAGAGTAAGACTCTTCAATGTCTTGAACAAGAGGTTTGGTGAATATCAGTTCCTTTTCAGATAAAGTCTGTGGTATCGAATCTGAGATCAGGCGCGCTTTCCATTTTGTTGGCGGACGAGGTGTGGTGGATGTTCGTGTATCTGCTACAATCGTATAGCCGTTCTGTTTTGTCGTGGATGCATTTCAACAATGCCATTGAAATGTGAGTAAATTGCTAGAAAATTAGATGTCCTCGTAGTTGATCAAAATAAAATGTTACCTTTGTTGGTTGATATACTTGTGGAAAGTCCGTGTATAATAATTGTGGTACTTCTTTTCCAGTATCGTTGTTAACTACATGAACACATGTTGCAGCTTGCATAAACTCTGGTACATACAAATGCATGCCCATAAGCGTTGGCTCGTTGACCATGACTACAAGCTTGAACAAAATCGACCACGATGCAGGCTGCTGTGCGGGAAGTGTATCTTCCACCTCGCGTATCTTCAGTCCTTGTTTTTCAACCAAATACTTTCCCTCATCATCTAGGTTGAAATCGTCACGGGAGTAAATGTTGAGAGCATAGGGTGTTGGACAATCAATAGTGAATTTATACGCTCTGTTTGGAAGAATACGAAGAAGACTCGATGCACAGCTGTTTGTACTGATACGAAGGATGGTTGGTTTAAAAACAGTGCTGTTCCATGAATATTCTTCAACAGATACCGATGGAATACAGATTGTTGTGTTTCGTCGAATGCGACCCAAACTGGAAAATGATATTAAAGTCGTGACTTCTTTTGTTTCTTCTGATGATGCTAGGTTACCAAATTGTACAATGGTTGAATTAAAAACAATAAAATATGTGAAGTTGTAAGTCCATATTTGAAATTATACCAAACATAATCAAGCATGCATGTGATGTTCCTAAACAACGTGCTTACATAAAACAGAAGAAATCCTATATGTATCGGCAGATTTTGTAACATCAGTAATTTGACTGATTGATTTGGATATTTTGAACGATCCAGATGGATGATAAATGGCTACATTGGTAAAATTTTGCGCAAATTCCTGCTGCGATAGCCAAAAGTCTGTATAATCAGTCTCTTCGACTTTATCCTTTGGACTTGTTAGTCGCTTCAATCCTGATGTGAAATAACATCGTATTTTGAACGCATATGTATTCTGGGACGTACTATTATTGATGAAAAGGTCGCTGTTTTCGCGGATTTCACAAATCCGATGTGGATAAGAAAGAGTTTTTACATCACATGGATCGCCATCATCACTTGCTTTGGTGGCAAATAAGAATGAGATGGATGGCTGGGATAAATTTTGTCGTACTGGAGATGCTGATGTAGGAGTTTGACGATCAGTCGAATTGCCACTTTTGAAGCCAGTATTTAAACCGCTGAGTTCACGATTTTCGAGTAATGAATTTTGACATGGAGTGACTAAACAGAGTGGAGATGCATTTGAAGTATTAGAGTCAAACCGTAGTTGAGGTAGTCGATTATTTGCAATCGAAAATAATACAGAGGAAAGATTTGTCAGAGTTTTTGGTCGAATGGGTAATTTTTCTGGAATCCATCCCCTTAAACAGTGCAAGACATCAAAATCTCCAGCTTCGTTCATTCCTTCGCACTCCTTAAAACTAAATCATGGGGTTAAAATACAATAATGTTAGATGATCGTCTTCGTGAATAATGGTGTAGTCAAACTGTGCTTGTGGTAGACAAACCAGACAAGATTTTGAGTTTATCAATAGTACCACGCAACTCCAATTCACCTTGTATTTGCAGCTTTAACTAATGCCTTGCATATCAATAATGGCCAAATCTCTGTGGTAGCAGGACTAGATATCATCAACGGCTTTCCACTTGCATCGATTGGGATACGATCATCCACCGTGATTTTCCTCCACGCTCCAAGCCAGAATAACTTGACAATATACTTTCCAGATGGGTTGTACATGGGAATGCCATCTTTTGATTTAGGATAAATGGCATCCCATGGAGTAAAATCTTCAACTCCGGTCAATCCAGAAACTGTCACAGAAGTATTTCCTGCAATACTTGTTGGCATGTTTGAACTCATTGTCGATGCTGCTAATGCAATAGGTTTATACAGCTTGTGCTGTTCGTAAAGAAAATGCATGCTGGCTAAAACTGATCGCATCAATTCAGATCCAACAAGATGTTTGTTGGTTTGAAAGAATTTGGATGTGCCGACAAGCGAATCTGAATTTTCTTGAACTGGTGCTACTGATTCTAGCAGACTTGTGCCATCCATCCCATTTGCATCCTTTCTATTGTTTGGAGTTGTTTGTAATGGATCGGTTTGTTTTGATATATCTTCGGGCGAAATGCCAGCATGCGTTATGGCGTACCCGGGAATTTCCTGACTGGGCAAGGAATCGCCAACTGAGATGGAATGCATTTGAGCGGCATCAGCAGGCTCATCCAAGCTCGTTAAATCAGTACTCAATACGGCATGGCTGTCATCTGGCTCTGGCCAATTTGATCCCTGAGTTTGCTGTTTCTGTGAATACAGCACTGTCTGTGCTGTAGATTCATGTGCAGATCCCAACGGTAGTACTGAAATTGGATTCAACAAATCACACCCTCCAACTCGAGACGTGTTGGTTGTATTCATAAACGGTGCCGAGGTAGAAAATGGCGACGTCAAGAGAGAGCATGGTGAGTTGAACATCTCATCAAGGGAAATCATGGGCTGAACCACGACCGGTGTTTGACCTTCGCCAACCATTTCATTGGGCCGTTTGACGGAATCAACAAGTTTGCGTAGTGAGCGAGGAAGCCATACAAGACCATCTGGATCTTCAAAAGCATGTTTAGTGCTCCATTTCTCTGCTGATACTTCCACGTCGGACCACTCTGGCCATATTGTTATTGGAGTATCTGGTATATCGTCCGCACTGTTTTCACTCGTGTCATGGTTAGTTGTATGTGGAATGAGAGGGCCTGTTTTCTTGATACCTGCAGACTTTGGCGGCATTTATAGTATTATTTTGTACGTGTAGTCAAGCTTGACGTAGTATAAGAGTGTCCTGTACTTTTTCAAATGAATATATCTACACTAGTCAACCTTGATACTCTGAAATTGTTTTCGTATTCACGTAAAATGAAACGCTAAATATCAAAATGATGATAATAACTAGTCTCATGACATGATTGGTACCAATTTACTGGACGACATTGTGTTTTTGAATTCAGTTCACTTGGTCTTTTCTGTATAACTGAACGAATGTTTACATCTGTTCTAGTAAACTTTATATTCTTGGTACTTGTCTAATCTTCAACTCTTCTACAAAACTCGTAGATACGCTCGTGCTCTAGTTCAAGAGAAGATCCACGTTTCAGGAATGCGATATTGTTTCCATGTCAACCATACAATGTTGCACTATGCGTTTTAGGATACAACACAAGTTTACAGTACTTTAAACCCAAACTTGGTATCTGGACTGCAATGGATGAGTTTGGGCTTAGACTTGTCGATTGTGCAATGTATGGTTATGCAAACAAGATGATCCTGGTTCAAACCCATAGTTTGTAGGGATTACACAATGGTCGTTGTATCTGGAAACTGATTGGCAAGCGGTGAACGATGTAGTATTCCAAGACCAAATAATGGTATTGAAAAGACATTTTCTAATGCACATTTGATTTAGACAATATTCCCCTTTACAAAATAAAAGCTTAGTGATTGAACATGGTTGTCAACCGTTCAACAAGCAGTAATGTCGCGAGGTATAAGCTTCACTATTGCTTGATTATTATTGATTCTTGAACCCTGCATAAAACAGTTCGAGTACAATAAAAAATGAGTTTGTACGACTTCAAACACAGAAGAACTCTGGATGTGTACTGAAGAAGCAGTCAATTTGTAGTAGGGATGAGCAATGACTATTCAACTACTGCTTATTCCAAGAGTCAATCACTACAAGATAAATGCAAAAGTGGTTTATTCTACGAGTATAGCTGTAAACAGTTATGTTTGAGCTTCTGGCTCATTTTTATAATACACATCATGTATGATGAAAATCTGACATCATCAATACGATTCGCAACCATCAAGGATGGATTGTTTAGGCAAGCATATATAGATACCAAATGGAGTAATTGAAATTCCAAGCATAAGAATTGCAAGTACGAATGGTGAGGCCCATTTGTTGGCAGAAGACATGTGAATACAAGAGTGGGTGGAGTCAGCGCCTCCAATAGAACAGCACAAGACTGCCAACACAATTGTATTATGTGTGGATCATGTGGGCACTAAAGCAGCAAGTGCGAACGCAATGATAAAACCAAGTCGGTCAAGTTTCGAATTTTTGCCCAGAATTCTCTTGCTGCATTACACCCGAGTTACACTAAAGCTGCTGCTCACTCCACCTATTCGACAGACCTTTCTAGCCATACACTTACCCATACTCTATATCGCCTTTACCTGAATGGCCGCAGCAACCGTAGCAACTCAGTCACACCTAATTATCCAGCAACAACAGCATCACCTTATCCGACCTATTCAATACACTACTACTGTAACCCCACTCAAAGTTACTTTTACTACTACCTCTAGTATGCCAGCTAATGTATCTTCCACAACTACCCATTTGGATGCTGTTTCACTGACACACCAGCAGTCTGGCAATCTCCTAAAGAGCCAATCAAATAAACCTTCCAAGAACCACCGCTCTAGCGATGGTAATATCCTAAACTCGCGCAGTAATAGCAAACGCTCCGGAAAAGGTAATATAAGTTGATATGGCCGAATGCATTGCAGTGAGGTTGTATTAGTATGAGTGCAAGTCCCTTTTGGGTTCTTTAAGCTCTGCCACCATGCCCATGTGAGATTGCATATACTGACCAATGCTGATTGCTCATGCATTGATGTCAATAGCAACACCTAAAGAGAATCCCAAGTGTAATGTAACTGATAAAGGGAACGATCCAAGTAAGCTTTCTAAACAGCTGAAACAGCAGGACCATGACAATCCCAACCAACGGTCCAAAAAGCAGAGTTACACTCCTAAACCGTCGCATGGAGCCAGTCCCAGTGCTGCACGTGGCCCAAAGAGGGAGCCAAAACAAACTCCTGCAACACATGAAAGACCATCGACCAGCAAGCAACCCAATGCGCCTGCTGGGAACCTGTGTGAATCTACTGATGGCAATACTAACTCTAATGACTCCATCAGTCCAACCTCCAACGACAGCAGTCCTGCCACTACTCCTAAAACTTCACGCAAAAAGAAACAACTTCCTTGTCTTGCTGTTCCTGTATCTACTGTAGTCCATGCAGCACCTCAATCTGCTCAATCACTCCGCAAACCTCAATCTCATCAGGCACTTTCCTTGAAAGTCTCCGTTCAGCCAACTGGTTCTACTCGTACCCGTCGTCTATCCGTCCCACTAGTCAGTGCAACTGACACACTCACCAACTCTCGATATGCTACTACGGCTTCTGCCACTAGTTCTGGAGTGGACTCGACTCTTCGCGGCGACAGTCCATATGCTGGCGCTACATTCCAAAACTCTCCCGCTGCCTCTGCTCTGCCTATTCCCATGTTCTCTCGCTCCATCGATCGTGATGCTTCTCCTTGGACTACTGGGAAAGCACATTTAAACCATACGGCTACTACACCTACTGCTGGCGCAAATATGTATTTACATCATGATCGCTCTGGAAGCAGTGTTACGTCTATATCCGATTCCCATCAGCAACAATACCACAATGATCAATATCCTATACTGTATTCTCCTTCTCAGAACGCCATTTCACGGAGACCTCCTGCATCAAGTCTTTCTTTACAGTCTTCTGATTTAGAGCCCATGTTTGCATGCGAAGATGGAGGAATAGACTCTCATGAAGACCTACGAAACAAATCTCGCAACCTTCTTGCCATGCTATCTGCTGCCGATCAGTCCGGATATGCAGAGGATAGATCTCAAGGAGTTATTCTCCGTCAAACTAGACCCCTTATGCCTGCTGGCATGATAGCTACTTCCCCATTCCATCTACAATCCTCACAACAGCATCCATATGGGCAGCCTTATATTCATCTCCAAACAAGCCAAGATGCCTTTGCCTTTTCCATGGCATCTTCTGTAGACTCCCCTGCCGCTATGCCTTCCCCAGTGTATCAGCCCAATCCCAATCATCAGTTTGATCAGTTCCAACAAACCCAACACCGTCCTTTAATGCCCCCTTATGGTAATCTCCAACCCCATATGTTTATTCCAGTCTCCCTTTCAACTGCCCCTATTCTCCACAATCGACCCGAACTTGCAGATTTAAGTCAGCACCTGAAACATGTTCTTGGCCTTGGTTCACAATAAAGCCTTGTTTCTCCACCAACAGTGTGATTTGATTACAACCGTATCCACGTAAAATGGAGTACTTTTCATTCTGTAACGACTGAAACAATGAATATCTGGCAACATTCTCAATAAATACAATATTCATACAAACTATAGTTTTGAACTGAAATTGTCTTTATTGTACAATCACCAGATATTGAATTCAAGTGTTGAACTCATATTTCAAAATATCAGATAGAGTTGCAACATGTCAATCCAATATTTAGTTGGAGATTAAAGTGTGGGATTGACTAAAACTGTAATATGAATATCCATTCAGTTGTTTTGTACAAAATTAACCCAAAATACAGTACATTCTGTCAGGTTTAATTGACAATGTTATCCAGTAGATTTGGTACTTTATTATACATGAACAGGATTAATAAGAATATCGACAAAATGAGATTGGCTTTCAAACCAATGGTCACGTGGTGTAGTTTCATTTTGTTTGAACTTTCGGCGGCATTTGAATAGCTTCAAATAATGTCAAACAAACATTCCATCAACCCTCCAGACAGTCCTGACAGTCATCAAGCTGATACAGGTCTCAAACGAAAACGAAAAAAGTACAACGATCCTCCATTTGATTCTTCTTCCACTGCTTCTTGTCAAGCGCATGTTCTTAGTGTAGCCAATTCCATCACAAATGACAAAGATCTATTCATTACTGCCAAAAATAGTGATAATGCAAGTCATGTACATCATCATACAGATAACCATCAGCAGTCTGGATTTAACAACTACATGAAAGGCAGTATTGACTCTATTCAAAGTCAGCCAGAAACACCCGAATATCACTCTCAGCACCAAACTAGTCTGAATACTACAGATTGTAATGCTGGCAGCAGTATGCATACAAGCCATGCTAGTCAACAACACGTTCCTCACAACTCTCATCTACTGCCACAACCCAATAAACCGCATCCTACTCAACCTACTGTCTCTCGTAACAATATGCCTTTGTTTTGGCCCACTATTCATATGGATGTAACCGAGCAAGTCGGCCAGTTTCTTAGAACGTCTATATTACGTGCACAAGATATGATTGCAAAAAAACAATCACGGTTTGTATCGGCTATTGAAGTATGTACATTCAACTTACGGATTGTCTATACCACATGTTTGACAATGTTTCTAATAAGCCCAGCCATTAGATCTAATATCACGTTTGAATGATTCTAGATTGAAGTCAAACTGGGGCGTGTATGTGACAAGGAATCTCGTCAACGTGTTCAGCTTCCTATCCGGTCAGAAACAGTGATGGACAATAGTGGCGGACACTTTGCATTCCAAAGTAACATGACTCGTGATATGCACAGTCTTCTCAACCAAAAGCTAAACCATGTGGTTGGACTTCCTAAATCAAATGTACGGTATGTGCATTTGTATGAAGAAGATCAGTTTTTTCACGTACATGGTATCGGTAAAGTCCGAAAAACAATCAATATGAAAACCAAACAGGTAAATAGAATGGTTTCCAACAAGATTGAATTGTTTTGAATCTAAATCCTTGAATTCAACACCACTTTAAACACAATTAGGTCAAGTGTATCATTTCAAAAGTAAATGTTGCAAACTTGGAAGTGTTTCTTCCACAATCTCCATTGGACTATCGCGTGTCAGTCAATATTGAACACCATAGTTGAGTTGTATATGTTTTCAACTGAAAAAATCATTAGACAGATATACTTTTTAGCTGACTGGATGTTTTGTTTGTAGTTGAAAATATTGATTTACTGGAAACTCCCGACTTTTCTCGATGCAAGGATAGACTATCATACTCGTTGACACCATTTCAAGTTGATCTTACTCAAGTAAAACGAACAGTAGAAAGCTCTTACAGTACTGTAAGCATTATGCTGAATTGTATTTGTTTATAGGCCAAAAGTTTCTGATATACTATTTCAACCTCATTTTTGTATCTGAATTGCTTGTTTCACGATATTTTAAACTGTCTATGGGGGATCACCAGTCTGTAAAAATTGGTGAAGATCTGCACGAAGTTGAGGTGGAGGTCAATAAACCAGAGCTGCTCATATCTGAAATGGAAAAAGACTCGCGTCGCCAACCCAATATCTATTTAGACATGGTTCATGCACTCTTGACGAATGCTAGATTATTGATTAGAAAGTCTGTACCATTCATACAACAATAAACATTGATTTCTGGGACTGGCCACTTGCGAATCGGTCATTCAAGTTGTCGATTTTTCAGTTGATGATCTGTTTTGGTTGAAATCATAAGCTTGTTGAAACAAGCAACTGATCAATTTGATTTTAAAAATGGAGTCATTCATCTGCTATTTGCATTTCAAACAAAATTTGGAGATGTTATCAAGAATAGTAGATATCCCAAACACTACATTCTAACAGTTTGACTACACATTTAGGATTTATTGAAAGAAACGGCACGAGTTTATGTGTAGCATTTCTGGTGGCAATCATGGATTACAACTATCAAAATTCAAAGTTGAATGCAATCCAACGACTTTCCAGAATTCAAACGAGGGTTGATGTTGTATTTCTTGCTATGCTTGCTGTTTAAGCATATACCTGCCTTTTGAGTCGACTTTATAATTCGTGAATTGGCATGTTTTAAAGTTGATATGAACCCAGACACTAGAGTGACATGTGTGTTTTGACTGTATTTGACATTGAGTTTTTCTGAATTGATAGTTTGAATTAATATGCAGTGATGAACTAATGTTGAGACTCATTCATGATGATTGACCAGTAAAGCATAAAATAACCGAAATCCATCGCGAAGATGGCCGAGCAGATGGTCAATAGCAACTTGAGTTATCTGAACTCGACTGCTTCACAATTGGATTATGTTTTATACACGATTAGAACCTGGTCGTGTGAGACCAGAGCCTGTCTGGAATGCAAGTTGAATTCATCCGATTATTCTCAGCAGTCAGATCGTACACTGATTGATAAATAGCAGATTCAAAATGGAATTAAATGGCAAAACAGTCATGTAGAATTGTTTTCCTGGAATCACTACAAAAATGTTTAGGAACCAGTTGAGTTGATTATGATGATTTGAGAGTTGGCAACCACACTACAAGTGCTGTATCTATTTACCACCACTACAAGAGTTTTGTGGTTCTGGTTCATTTTGGGGTTGTCGCCATTGTAGCTTGACCAGGGATAAAAACATACAACTGACATTAGATCCGGAGAGTGCACTTTCCATCGTCTTACTTCAGAACTTGTACTAATATGCTTTCACTGTCCTTTCTAATGTTCAACTGAATCCATCATCAGATACGACAGCGACATTACTATTTGGTCTCCGCAGGTATGCACTGCATCTCCTGTTTTGAGCAGGATTCTGTCTGGAAGTGGTGTTGGCAAGGCTTCACTTCTGGCTGTGATTCAGGACTGAATCCCATCACTTACAAGACCTGTTTTGGCTAAATTTATTAATATCTGAATGTGTAGGGCCGCATTCATCAAGTTGAATACGCTCTTGAAGCAGTCAAGCAGGGGTCTGCTGCTGTGGGTCTCCGATCAAATACCCACGCTGTTGTGCTTGCGCTCAAGGTGGGTCTAACTGTTCTGTCTTTTCAGTAGCTAGATCTTCAGTCATGCAGAGCTTGGTTTAAAATCATAGCGTATTGCTCATCGCTGACATGTACAATCAATTTATTAGAGATCTGTTGGAGAGCTTGCCACGTATCAAAAGAAAGTGCTCAAAATTGATGACCATATGGGCATTGCATTTTCCGGGCTTACCTCTGATGCTCGAGTGCTGAGGTGTGTTTCGAATCATATCGCATAGTATATCCTGCTTGAACTTGGTTACTGCTATTGTTTTTTAAATATTTGGGTGTTGAATACATTGACTCGGAGTATTCTATTAATACTATAAACAACGTCAACTTTAATAGTAACTACATGAGATCCGAAGCCATGAAGTCTCGCATGGTGTATAATCGTCCTCTTCCGGTTTCTCGCATTGTTGCATCCATTGGGGACAGTACGTTTGTTCATTCTTTACAATCCATGTATTATTGATGGGGTTTAAATCGAATGGCGTGACTGATAACAAATTACTAAATTGATGGACTGTCTTGTGATATATTTAGAGGCTCAGATCAACACTCAAAGATACGGAAAACGTCCTTACGGTGTGGGTTTACTGGTTATTGGCGTAGATGTAAGTGAACATTGGGTGGGCTAGCTACCAAAATACATGAAGCCAGTAAAAGTGTTTTTGATTTCAAACTCATACGTGCTTGATAATTTAATTCATTAGGATACTGGTCCTCATTTGTACGAGTGTGCTCCATCTGGAAACTTTTTTGACTATTGTGCAATTGCAATTGGTGCTCGTTCGCAATCTGCAAAAACCTCGTTGGAGCGTCAGATTGGTAGTTACGAAACAGGTTGGTTTGTTTGATTGACTCATCATTATGCAGTTGGTTCCCTGTATGTTGATGCCAATGTAGCTAATCTTTTTGTATACTTGCATAACTTTATTTTCAGCCACTTTGGATGAGTTGATTCTTTATGGATTAAGATCGCTTCGCGATACTCTTCAACAGGACAAGGAACTCAATATCAACAACTGCACGATTGGTGTTGTTGGTATGGGAGTCAACTTTTACACTGTTGAAGGCGATGAGCATCAGAGGTAATATACAAGCATTCCATATACTCGACTGATTTCCTTTTGCAGCGGTATAGCTGATTGTTGAGTTCATGTTGTGTTGGCTAACGTTTTGTTATAGGTATTTGGATATGCTTGCTGACTCTGCTGCTGTGTCTTCTGTAATTCCCGAGAGCACTGCTGCTCCCATGGAAACTGATTAGCCTATATTGTGAAAACAAGTTTGGCTGGAATAAAGATTTGCTTTAATTTTATACGTTATTGGCCTGTTATAGTATATCAAGTTGCCATATAAATGCAATCGGTTTATTTTGCAGTGACAGCTAGATGGGACAATCCAAATCCAATACCATTTTTGTCAAATGTGTTTGAATGAGCTTGGAAATGTAGGTTTGGCGTCCAAGCGTATCTGGTGTCGCTATAGACATTTCCGGTTGTTTGATATGTCGAGTCTATCGCATTCCCAATACCGAAACATGATGACATCATTAGCATTTGGGCTATACAGTAACTAGCATCATAAAACAAACTAGCGGTATCCAATACACTTACAATCAACGCTTGAGCCACATCTTCTCGGCCATGTTTCGTCAAATGATCTATACAGAAATGGATTGAATCAACATATTATTTTCAAAGAGTGGTGTTGGAAACAAGAGGTGTTCATGTCATGACTTACAAACAACAAATTCCAGCAATTGCATATCCCAGAAACACGTGTATTGCATAAAACTAGTATCTGCAAGTGACGCTGATATTGGCTTGACCGTTTTCCAAGCCACATCGTCGGAATATTTTTCTGAGACTGTAGTACCAAGAGGACCTGGTTTGTCCCATAAAATAAGTCTGAGAGCGCGGTATGCTAATTTATAATCAACTCTTGGTAGAAGTTGACTCAAAAATGCAACATGGATGTGCTCTACTCCACCCGTTATTCAGTTCAGACAAGTCAATAACCAACATTAGAATGACAAACAGCGTGCAACTAAACATCAAGGCGACTCACCATCTAGTCCAATACATGTCTCGATCAACTTGTGCAAAATAGACGATTTCCATATGCATTCAAGCAAATCAAGCCGATAAAAATCTTGAGAAACAAGAACAATTCCATTTAGATAATACCGCTTTCTACATGTTTGAAATAAATCCACATTGTAAAATGATTAGGAATATGCATTTAAACCTATTATTAGATGGCATAAACTTGAAAGTCAAATCTTACACTAGTTGAAACTGATCCGATTTTAAAGAAGTTGAAGATGGCCCTGCAGCACTGTTTGGTGTAGCAGTAGGCGTTACAGTAACAGAGCGAATTTTAAACAATGTGATATCTCCCAATACCCAAAACGGAATAGGTGATGTATTTTTGGGAAGTTTTGTCCAACAAACGCAAACTTGCTCCATAAGCCCTTCCAGTAATTGCATTTCACGCAATGTGGGTTTCTTTAAAGGGTTTACTTGCGTGTCTGAAGTATTTGCTGAAGCTTCTTTAGCTACAAGACTAGAGTTGCTGATAATTTGCGCAACTCGCTTTTCGCTGAATTTTTCAAATCAAAATAGTGTTAGAACTTGAATTTGATCATAAACATCCAACCTATAAACAAAATGCTGATCTCTTCAGCAAGGTTACGCTTATACAAATGCTTAGCAAATCAGATTTGATAATGAGCACACCTTTCTGATGCAGATGATTGAAAATTTGGTGAACAGCACAAGGCAAACGGACCAAGATTGCTTGGAGAATACTACACGCATAACAGTAATATCACCGTGGTTAGATTCAACAAGTCAATCCAACTAAAATATTTGTACAACTATAAAAGTATTACAAAACACTTACTCGCTTATCCAATGGTTGATGTGGTGCAAGTATTCCTCCAACACATCCAACAAGAAGAAGAAATGCCTGCTGTGCAATACTGCTTCCAGTGATAACCAATAGCAGTAGCTCATACGCAATTTTCTAGGAGTCAAATAGCACGCCAGTTGGTCATTAGACATACACGTTCATATGAACCATTTAAAATTCCAATAACAAGAATTCTTGCTACAGATAATACAACTCAAGTTACCACAGACTCATCATTTCCACCAAATGATGTTGTTAGCCATTCAGTCATATGATTTGCAAACGCATGAACTTCCATAATTGCTTGGTCTGAAAGCGCATCGGTTCCAGGAGAAGTACTGGAAGGATCTGCAAACCAAAATATAGGCTCGTGGTGAATAAACAATCCACATCGATTTTTGTAATGAACGAAAATGCAATGAAAATAGCAGTCGTGATACTTACATATTGCTGAAAACATGCTCTTGTCTGTGATTCTGAACAATACAGCTACCATGAATGCTGCCACTCGTGATACAATTACAAAAATAAGCGCCTCTAAACTCGATAAAATAACAATGAGAACCAAAGCGTTTGTACAAAAAAGATAAATGGTACAGATCATCACATCAATGTAAACACAGAAAACAACCGCAATTTAAGCTCATGCAACCAAATATCAACCTGATTTGAAATCAGTTTTGCTTTTACCTAATGTGCTTTTGTTGTTGGCATAAATAGCAAAAGATTTGGTACATTCCACCAGCGCATTTGAACTTGATTTTTGCAATAGTGTTTGTAGTAATTTCACCTAAAAGTTGAAAATGCACAAACGTTGGTGTTTCTATATAAACCAAAGACTTTATCTGCGTATTACTCTGATGAAACTTACAAACTCATCTCGATCGGGTAGTCCCTAAAACCCAAAAGGTAAATACAGAAAATCGAAATACACGTTAGTACATACTAGTGAACATTTTGAAATCAGCAATATGTAACTTACACAAGTTTCTAATGTGGTGATGATATGCACGCTTACATCACTCTCAAGCTTACGTGTTTCACTCTCATCCATAATTTTAAACGATTCAATCAGCATACTATAATAGCACTTGCGCCGGATTCGCTCAAGATTGAGTTTTGTTTCAGGCGGCTGAGATGAATTTTCAACAAGAACAAATCCGATTTGAAGGAGCGACAGAGCATGATCAAATTCACCCTAAAATTTTAATATTTCAACATGAATAACTTGTAGTAACATGCGTGAACCAAATCCAATCATTCTAATTTTATAGATTTGATCATACAGCTCAAGGCATAAAACCTACATCATTGATAAACAGCTCTGCAGATTTAGCAATCAGTTTGCATGTGGGCACGGGATTCTAAATAGTATAAACCGATAGGGTAATCAGAAGCTACGTGAAACAAGAGTCAGCCAAGCAATCTAGTCATTACCTTGCCAATGACAGAGTTTAAAGTTGAAATATATTTCGTTTCACTGGATTGAATGCGTGAAAAAAGCATTTCGTTTAAAAATATATCCTAAAATGTATAGGTTATATTGGATGATTAAAGTTCGTTATCAGCATGCGATTCAAGTCAAATGTTTGATTCTACCAATATGCTATGTTGATGATCATTCTATAAAATGTATACCTGATCAATTTGGAAATCGCTGCGTGGACTTCGTTGAACAGCATATCTGTCAACAGTTTTGTGCAGAAACTTGGTTGGATGAAAGGAATGGATAGGATCAATCGAACAATCATTTGTTATGAATAGATGCAATAATCTGTCAGTATATATACTTTGAAATCAGATTGGTTTTGGAAAAAGCAAGCCAATTTAAAATACCTGTCTTTTTAATTTCAAGAATGGATACTGAACAAATATTTGCGCAAAAAACTCTAAAGCATGGCGTAATTAAAAATCAAATATATCAAGTTAATACTATCAAAGCAACTCACCATGCGACTCCATCGTCTCACACCACAAGGCGATGGTACTATTTTGGTAAAGAAACATGAATAGGTTTTGTGAATGTTGACAAAATAGTTTGACATCGTTGTCCTTGTTTCTTGTGAATTCGGGATGTTTGATAAATATGGAGGGAAGATCAAGCAGTGTCAAGCACGCATGTTTGTTCATAATAGAAGGGCAGTTAAAGTGCACCATAAACTCTGGAAACAATTCTGCCTTTGCATCTCCACCTACAAATATTAAGTGTTATGTTTAGTGTGGAGCGTGTAGATGACAAGAGTTTGAGCATCTAAAAACATGATATTATTACCATTATTTTCCAAAAGAACAGAAAGAGAGTTGCATATCAAGTGTACTAATACAACGATTGATTTAGGAGATTTGGTCGTACTTTGTGCATCGGTTTGAATTATTCGGTTGGAAAATATTCGTGCAATTGTTCTGCGACATGAAAGTGGAATGGATCTTACAATTGCTGCACTGACCAAATCTGATGTATTATCAATAAATCTTTCAAAGAAATGCAATTGTGTAATGATGTTGCTTGTTGAAAAAAGGTCTGTCTGAGATACTGGTGCGCACGCCTGTTTACACATTTTCTCGACTCGCTTGGCTAGTTTTATATCACTTGTTTCCATAAAATTAAAAATCGTTAAAATACGGTCGATCATGAATGCATTCTTTAAACCAGAATACTATACACCATCGATCACATCAAAATAACTACTTGCATGAGTCTTTCGATATTGCCACTAGCATGGGGTTGCTGTTCATAATGAGCCCATAGAAGAGAAAACCAGCCAGCGGCTATTTTTGGCATGTCAATTATATAGTTATACATGGCGAGCTCAAACAACATCACGAACACGGTTTGATCCAACAGAAATGCTTTATCGGCATCCATGTCCATATCGGTAGAATCTTTAAAAGATGCAGCGGATTTAATACGAAGCGAACCAATAGCATTTTCTACAAACTTTGCGCAATCAGCAACAAGTTCACGCTCATTCTCTGGAATCATGCATGTATTTAGATATTTCCTCAGCATGAAACGACTGTAAAGAAGAAATGGATGCCGTAATTGATCATCACACTCGTTGCTGTATAAAGACGAGCGTGTTAGAATTGTAATTAAAAGGCATCTATTCAGTCCAAATACCTGTTGATGGATAGCAATAGATAGGGAATACATTCCAATGGAAGCCATCCCACCAGATCGCCCACATCCAGATTCAAACATAGAAAAAGCTAGCGAAATGTTCAACATGAGATTAGCACACTTGAAGACTAGATTCAGAAGGACTTCAACTCACTCTAGCAGCAGCCTGCAGATACATATCCTGCGCATCCGTGAGTGGTAGAATGCAAGTCTGCATATCAGCACTATGCACTGCTTGATTTCCTGATTTACCATTACTCGACACAACGGATTCAGCCATTGAAGAATTCTCTAGAGACTTGGTAGAATTGACTTCTAACGACAGAGTATGTATGGGCTGGACCAGGTTGGCTTTAGTGATCAGACCAAACAACATGGTCTTGGCTTTGTCGACTTGGTTGGACTCGGAAACCTTCTTGACCTGCAGTGATGATAATAAGTCAATGCAGACTGTCAGCTTCAATGGGTTCAAGCTCAAGGCTTTTGATAGTCATGCAAGCGCATAAACCAACTGCTGCATGTGTCGTACATATTCTCTTGTTCTCTGCATCATCACGGACTCTTGCGAGATGGCTGCTTCCACCTTCACTACATTTCCCTCACATTTATTCTGTCCTGAAACAGTGGTGTGCTTGCTAGGAGACTCGGTCCCATGTTCACTCTCCTTTACATGAGCTACTCCTAGCAACAGCAGCTCCCAATATGTAGTCATTCCTGTATGTGACTTTCAGATCTATTATGCCAGAACCAATTTGCAAATGGGCAAGGCTTCTAAACCTCCAATTGGTTGTGCTTTCTATCATATACTATCAGTAGCTCACTGATCGTCCCATTCGACTCTACCCTTCACCATTCAAAATAAATTGCATAACAGATCTTGTTCAGATTGCATAAAATAGGTTTGGAAATGAAGAACTAGCAATTGGCTGTAAACTGTCGTCATTGAAATCTGATTGGTCAAGTATTAAATCTTACTCTTGATGGTCACAATAGCATCGTAGCAAAGAGACTATATGATTGTATAAAGTGAGATGTTGGCATGACAAAGGGCAAGATAACAAGTCACTAAACTTACAGTTAGAAAGTCTGCATAGTCTGCGCCACGAATACTGTTCTCCAAAAGCTTTTTGGCCATATCAAATTTGGAGATGGATGCATACTTGGGATCCAAGGCAGCTTGAAGAGACTTGCATTCTTGGTCAAGAATATGCGAAACATACGCGGCATCAACGATCTTGCCTTCCTTGGTCTTGGCATGATGCTTGGCCCATTGCCAGACTTGCGATCGAGAAATTTCGGCAGTGGCAGCATCCTCCATTAGGTTATGAATAGGTACACATCCATTTCCCCTTAGCCATGCCTCCATGTACTGCAGTGCAACATTGATATTGTTGCGCACGCCATAGTCAGTGATGCTGCCCTTGATATCGCTGGTGGAAATCAAATCTGCAGCAGTCACATGGACATCTTCTCGCAGAACGTACAGCTGATTGGGTCCAGGCATGTGAGTATCAAAGATCGTTTTGGCAATGATCACAAGATCGGGGTGAGCAACCCAAGTGCCGTCATGACCTGCACGAACTTCGCGCAGTTTGTCAGCCTTGACCTTGTCCATGGCTATTTTATTGGCACTGGCATTGTCCTTGATGGGAATTTGAGCTGCCATGCCTCCCTAGTGATGACAGATATAAATATAATTATCTTCTGCATAAACCCATGCCATCAAGTTCAATTAAACATTGCATACCATGGCATGAACACCTCGCTTATGGCATGTTTTGATGAGTAAGCGCACATATGAATCCATAAAGTGAGTAGTCATGGTAATGTCTGAACGATCTGGCAGAACAAACTTGGGATCATTGCGGAATTTTTTGATGAACGAAAAAATGTAATCCCAACGACCACAATTGAGACCAGAAGAGTGATCGCGCAACTCGTAGATAATTTCATCCATTTCAAATGATGCAAGAATAGTTTCAATGAGTACAGTCCCACGAATAGTACCGCGAGGAATGTTCAGCATATCCTGCGAGAGATTGAAGATATCGTTCCAGAGTCTTATTTTCAGCAAGCCAAAGTAAACTGTTAGCAAAATAAATACTATATGCGCTACGTTGGTTGAAAATACTACAAAAGAGGATATAATGTAACTTTTTAAAAAGGATTGTTTACACTACATGAAACCACCAACCTGGCTTCAAGGTGCGACTCCATTTTTGGAAGATAAAAGTAGGGGCCGGTCCCTCTAGCAATAGTTTCCTTTGCATTGTGGTAAAAGTAGACACCAAAGTCAAAAATACTACCAGAAATGGGAACATCATCAACAAGGACATGTTGCTCTTCGAGATGCCATCCACGAGGACTAAGTTGAAATAATGATGAAAGCGCGAGTTAGAATTCATCTGGCAATCCAACCAGGAAGATCACAACTATAATGCTGCTGTACATTGATTGTCAAGGTATATTTTACAAAGCAATATTTACCGAACAAGCAGTGTAGCAATATCAGGGTTAAGTTTGTAAAACTTTCCATTTGGAGCAGTAAAAGTAATTGTGCGACGAACTGCGTCTCGCATGTTTGTCTGACCAGACAAACAGTTGAGCCAAGTTGGAGAATTAGAGTCTACAAACAGTGTCATGAATTAGATGTTGTGATAAAATCCGAGCATTTATGGATCCATCCAACAGCTATTCAAAGGCTAAAACTACCTTCAAAATCCGCCATGAATGTGCTGGCACCAGAGTTTAGAGCATTGATGACCATTTTACGGTCTACAGGGCCAGTGATCTCTACTCTACGGTCAACTAGACCAGGAGCAGGGGGTGCAGCCTAGTTAATACATAAGGACTAATTTGTAAATTATATCGTGACAGGGTGTCAAATCATTAGATACTGAAGCGAGTGCTTTTACATACACGCCAAGTGAGATCATCTCGGATGCTTTTTGTTTCTGGCAGGAAATCAGGCATAACACCTAAACACAGCATATTCCAATCAGATTACTATCGAGTAAATCAACAAATAGTTGCATAATCGTACCATTGTTGATTGCTGTCTGTCGAACGACTCTAGCATCAAGCAGAGCCTTGCGACGAGCATTAAATGTCCTAGATCAAGAGTAAAGATAAACTAGCATTAGCAAATGGACAGACAAGACCAATGGCAAGAATACAACAACTTGATACAGCTGCCATCTGAATGGGTCGTGCTAGTGGATCTGACTGTCAAGATGACTGAATCTCACGTGCAAAGCCAAAATGAATCCATAATGGCATGGCCAGAGCATAGATTACCTGTGCAGGATGGCCAGAAAAGCAAGAGTGTCCGGAGAAAGAGTGTCTGCATGCTGAGGAGGAACATCACCTAATACTCGAACTCCAGATGCAGCTGCTGCAGCAATGGTAGGATTCCATAGAGTAGAATGGCTCATGATTGAATCAGTCTGTTGGAAAGTTTCTGGAAAACCTGAATCATGTGGTCATCAAGCAATTATCTGCTTGCGCATAAGCACTCGTCCTCGCTAATACATCTCTTATAGCCTTGGCTACTATTCTGTCTATATTTCTACTTTGACATCACTCAAACCAACTGAATTCTAATACAATCCAAAAACTCAATAATGTATTAGAAATATATATGCATAGACAAACTCCAAAAATGTGGTTCTATGGTGTAGTTGGTTATCACATGTCCTTAACACGGACAAGGTCTCCAGTTCAATCCTGGATGGAATCATTTTTAGTCTAAATCATTTTGAACTGCAGTCATGAATACAAGCTGCTGCAGAATATCAAAGTATACGTTGGCAAGCAACTGAAGCGTAGTCTTGCATTGATAAACTGTCTGGATGGCACTACTTGATGGCTGCAAGCCACCGCTGCAAAGCAGAGGCTTAATTGAGTTTTTTAGCTCTAATCAAAACACGAAAAGGCAAATGCACGTTAAACTGTAGCTTGTTTCCACAGCGCAGCAGTTTTAGAATGATATATACAGGTTAAAATAGAATGGGTGCGATTACTTTACTGTTCAAGTTATAGATATATTTATAGGTAAATCCTGGCAATGCAACCCTACTTGAAATATATGCTTGCATCACTCCATCATATCATTAACATGTGTTGTTAGATTATGCGAGTTGAATTATTTCTAGTTTTTATCCTATCCATATCAAGCCTCTATGCTTCACTGTCCGACAGGTTTCATGGAATAGAATCGGAAGCCCATTTGGAAAAAATGACTGTATCTGACATTCCAAGCCGACAGACTGATAATACTATACCAATCGCTGGAACTTTAGTTGATGAAAAACTGCTAAATGTACTTTCTAATTATATGCAGTTTTCTGCAGTTGTCTGTAAGAAGCAATGACCGATCGAATAACGCTGCTTACACTGTACACTGACCCAATTCATTGATGTTTTGGCCATAATACTTCAACTAGATTGCAAAGACGTGAGTCTCCGAGGAGAATGGGGATGTGGAGAATTGTGTGGAGGAGTGCTTAAACAAACTCAAGTTAAAAAGACATTCAAAAACCCAATATCTAACAATGGACTGGGGTTAGTATCTTATTGGACTCATCAAGCATGTTCTGATCTAATCTATCGTATATGATGATTTCATTCTACAGAATTGTAGCGGTTAATACATTTACACGGAGTATTGTCGTTGTGTTTCGAGGAACTGGTAATAACGCTGACTGGAAATCCAATCTGCGTGTATACCTTGGGAAACCCAGTTGGATTAAAACTCCATGGCGACCTCAAACACAAGAATATCTTAATTATCCCTACATACCTCAGAAACCAGAAGGTGTCAAAGTAAGTTCATGCTACAATGTGCAATGTATTTAAACCGAAGATCCGTTTGCTTTAAACATTCAACACATACTTGTCTATTTATGCTTACCATCATTATAGGTACATTACGGATACAATCAATTGTATCTATCATATCGCATAGCACTCATGACTGAGATTGATCGATTGATGGACCAATATCCAGGCTTTGATATTGTCTTCACTGGGCATTCACTTGGCGGAGCCATGGCAAGTATTTGTGCTGCAGATTTTATTTATTCTCACGGAAACCCAAAAAATCGAAAAGTATCCCTAATCACATACGGACAGCCTCGATCTGGAAATCGAGCGTGGGCCAGATGGATGAATCAACTTCCATTCCATCAAGTTTATCGAGTCACTCGTGATCAAGATATGGGCAAGTTTTTTGTTGATATGATGTACCTGTCTATTTCATACAACCAATTGTTTGATTGACATTCTGTTATATAGTTCCTCGTGCTCCACCCATGTGGATCGGATATCGCCATTTTTCACAAGAAATTACCATCAACGAAGCAGGCTATACAATTTACTGCCAAAGTTCTGATGATACTGGAGAAACAAACAATTGTGCTAAAAAAAGCTTCAGGTTTGCGCAAATCTCAGCAACACATCGACTGGGCTACTATTGGCCATCGTAAGTGATCTACGACTGATGAGTATTCTCATTGTATAATGATTCTATACAAATCAAGCTGACATCTTGAAACCTTTTGAAATTCATTAGGGGATGTTCAAAAAAACAGAAAGTCGAGAGCGTTGGATGATTGGTTTTACAACACATTTGTCAATATTACTGTTAGACCATGCTGTAAAACAGTATGTAGTGCTGAAAAATTTGAAAGTATCTTCATTTCATGCATACCATGGTCGCATTCAATACTATAAATAGTCTAGTTTATACTAGTTCTAGCTGAGCAAAATATGTACAGCACCATCACCTATCCCATGGCTAAATTTATGGGATAGTATGTTTCCTGCTGGCACATTGACAGACGAAACCGCCAATCCAATTCCAGGAAGTGGAGTTACTGCGCGTCCAAACTGCATTCGTCGTGATTGACTCGCCCAGCATGTCGATCGGGACTCAATATCCGCAACGTCGAGTTTTCCTTTCAGTTTACTCAATGGCACCCAATGTACTCTTCCCGTTTCTAGTACACCACAGATAAAAAGTAACCAACTTTTAATTATAGTGCCTAAGATCGTGGTGTGCTTGGCACACATGTCATTAAAGGTTACATACCTGCTGCTACCATGTGCTCAGATATATACGTGCCATTTTGGCCTATATCGTTTTGTAAAGTAGATCCAAAGTGACCAAGACTGGCTGTTCCGTGCAGTTCAGCGATGGGATGAATACTTTCATAAACAATTAGATCACCTACAGCACCTGTCATATTCAGTGTATAAACAATCCCAGACTGATACCCTGCAGCTTGTTGGGAAATCAGCAGCCCTGCAAAGTTCATGGGCCGTCTAATTGATAATGGTGATGTCTACCAATAAACAAGAGTAAATATTGCATTTTTATACTGGTTATGGTTGGTCAAAAATATGTATTGAGCAAAACCCACCTGTGAGCAAGCACCAACAGCTATAACTCCATTGTCAAGTATGGTCATTGTTGACCCAAACTGCGCATAATCCACTCTACTCGCGACTGTAAATTTCAATATTGGTCGTTGTGATATCCCCAGTGCATATCCAAGCACTCGACCACTGCTTTTTGTTGCATTTGTTTCGTACCAATACCCATATGCATCTAAATGAACATACTTATATCCTGGTGCGCCAACTAAAAGAAACCGACGCGTACCATCAACTTGGACATCTAGCGATTTCCCAAACCATTCGTAGTCGCGTGAACCTGATATAGTCCAGTCTGCATCTTGGTATGATTTTACACCTGTGTGATTTGATTTTGCATGAAAAACCTGTACCATTCCCCTCTACATTGTAAAATCCAATGGATAAATGATAGTCAATGAAAACCACTTCGTTATGAATAGTTCAAAAATAACAAGACACTACACAGTAGAAAATTACCTGGTGAGTTCCACGAACAGGCGAAGCAAACGGTGATCCAACAACAAGATCTAAAAATCCATCTCCATCTGTATCTAGCCCTTTGAGTGACGTTCCCAAAACCAAAAACTGATCATCGACAAATCTCGATTGACGTGGATCCCTTTTGGCCGTTCGTATGACCTTTCCTTTAATGACAATGTCCCATTGGCCATCATTTCTCAGTCCACTCCCTTTGTGACCAAACAAAACATAGATGCATCCGTCATATCCTGCATCGATATCGGGACTGTGTGATCGATACATGGGTGCAGATATTGCCAGATCGTCGATTCCGTCTTGATTCAAGTCAACAACTGCTAAGGAGGCTCCAAATCTGGCTCCAACGGTATTAGGGTCGCTATTATTTTGCTTTAGTATTACACTAGCTGCGTCTTCAATAAACCCATTTCGAAAATGCCCCTTTTTAGCTAGAGCATGGCCATAGGTAAGAAATACCGCACCTGAAAAGGAAGAATGTCCAGGCGCGCTGATTGCTAAATCAGGCTGACCATCACAATCAAAATCTCCAGTAATCATGGCCGTCCCAAGCGCAGCATAGTTTTGACGAGAAACAAGTGCAATATACTTTTGCGGTGAAGACAGGTGCTCCACCATCTGACATGTGGGAAACCAATATGCTTTAAAAAGATACTGTATATGACTCAAGGCTGTCCAAGCCAATTCGCCAACCCTTTGAGCCAAAAGAGATAAAAGTGTGGATATTTGCATTGGAGGGTTTTCAGGGGTTTCTGCAGACAGTGTGCTCATGTTTGATGAGCAACGCAAAAGCAGCAACGGAATGGCCGTATTCTCAAAGACTGAGCGCATTTGAATTGTAGACATTTTGTCATTGTCGTTGATATCAACGTATCTGGGATCAGTCGACAGCGTGTGATGAAAACATTCCTCTAAAGCATGCTTTGTTTTTTTTACAGGTTTCTTTTTAGTCTTTTCCTGCCATGTTTGATCCATTTCCTGAGTGTAACGGATTGAAGGTTCAAGATGAGATGATGCATTTGAACTATAAAGAGAGCCCCATTTTACACCCATGTTTCTACACATATTGCTTATTTTTCCAGTTGAGAACCAGTCAATCGCAATAACCCAGCATTCGGCAACCCACATGGCCATATCATTGATTCCGCCACGAAAGTATGTAAAGTAATTCTCGGCAAGAAACGGAGATACGGTAGCCCAACCTGGAAATAAAAATCTACCCAATAATCGGTTGGCATGGGTTGCTGTATATCCCAGTAGCATGCACTGTTTAAGCTGTGGAAAAGTCACATTATATCCGAGACTATTGTATATTGCGACTAAATCTCTTGTAGGAACGTGCCAAATCGTCTATTCATCACGAGTTAAATTAGTATGTTGCTTAGTTTACCAAGTATCATCGTATACCAAGTTTAAACTTACAGAAAAATCGGAAAAAACAGAGAACCGAGCAAAGGCAAAATCGCCCCCAGCATCTGCGTTGTCGTGTGATTTGGAATAGCTGCCACCAAACATGGAGTGCTGCATAGCTTCAATAAATCCCTCGTCCATACCCAAAGAATGCCACGATACATCTGCAATTCCATGTGATATAACGCCAAATAGAAATGATACTAACGCAGCCGCTTCTGGTGATGGCTCATGCGGAAACCATTGTGGTGTAGATGATTCAAGATATGTTTTTGAAAAATAGGCAAGTGATGCGTTCCAAAATGGCGGCCAGTGAGCTTCTTCTGCAGCATCTGCTTGCCCTGCACAGGCATACCCCCTTTGATGTATCGCAATGAAATAGACATGTTATCTTGATTGATGCATAGCGTGTAGGTTGGTGACGATGCAAAACACATTCAGTGTATGGATGATCTACATTAAAATATTACCAATCTGGAAAGAAAGATCCGGCTTGAACATAAGGCTGGTTTTGTGCAAGCATGTCTGCAATTAAACGCTTTGTAGGTCTCGAGGTCGTAAAATTTGAAAATCCATTATTCCTAGAGAATAGATACTGTGCACGATGTGATACTTCGATATGAGTGGCCATTCTACAAACCATTGAAAGTAGGAGTCATTGCTAGATGTCAGTCCTGGCTAGATAATGTGACAGTTTGCATTCACTCAGTAGGAATCATCAAGACATGGGCTTACCCACTAATATACGAATGATGAATTAAACAGAGATTTGATTCATAAAAGTATGATAGTATATAGTGTGGTTAGACTATGCGTTGCATATATTCTAATCAAGTCTGAGTTTGCAGTTAGATTGAAAATACAAGGCCACCAATACCATCCTAAACCCAAGTGTGCAAGAAACAAGACAACTAATGCAAGTCCAGTATGCCAGTATCTTGATGCCATTCTTAAATCCTGCATATAAATAATCCGGTGTAACGTAGTAATTATTGAAGATGGCTGGATTGTCAATATGAATGAGCTAAATTCCAAATAAGCACAAGATTCATACAGCGCTTCAGTTGGTGATAATGGGCATGAAAATGAAGGGATGAAATATTTTGGTTATATAGAAAACTCATGTTTTAGAACCATTCACACATCGTCAAGCAGGTTGCTGTTGCAGTATTTCAAAACAAGAGTTTTTAGCTTGTCAAATTGCACGATTATTCTAGGTTAATGTAGATGGTATACGCCAAATGCTGCAGATTGTTCAAACAAAACCAACACCAAACTCAGCGAGTAATCATTGCTAAACTAAGTGACGTTGTCTTGTGTTGAGTCGAGTAAAGCAGTAGACTGTATCAATACAGTCAGATTGTCGTCGTAGTACACGATTGATGGATGATCCTGCCATTCAATCAACAGACTACCGATATTTACGAAACAGCCTCATCAAAAGGCAACTCAATCATAAAAATGAATGAATTTTATGCAAAGTCGATCAACAAATCGAGTCAAGCATCAAAGTCATCTAGTCAATGCAATATGAATACATGGTAATTTAACTACAAAACAACGAAAACCAGAATCACATGGAATAGCATAAATAAGGGTAGCTCGTTGAATTTGGTCAAGCAGACAACCCTCATTTGAGCAACTCAAGTTCCATCAACCATGCAACTCGTGACTGTAATTATCGAATTTACTCTAGTTGGACACTAGGCATCTTGCTCCGCTTTATCAAGTTTCCATTTGTTTTTGCAGTTGTTTACTGACCATTTTTATTCTCATGTCAGTGCTAAAGATCGCTGTTGACAAGGACTATTACGCTCCGGGTGATTTAATCCATGTGGTTTGCAGTTTACACAATACCGAGCTATTGTTGGCTACCAAGCTTGAAGTGGTGTTGGTGGTATCTGTCGAACTGAGCAATCAGGTATGCACTCAGGGCCACGGTACTGAAGGCTACGCTTTACCTCATGGTCTTCAAACCAATCTTTCTGATGCTACTCGTTTACAAACATTGGTGTTGTGGAGCAGTCCTAACAAAATTGCTGGTCGTGCCTTGCACCCCAAACCAAGAACTTTTGTGGGTGTTGCGGTGATTCCCAACGACGCAGTGCCTTCTGTGCTACTAGCATCCGTTGGCTACGACCGTGCCCATATCTCGTATTCGCTTCGGGCCGAACTCAAAACCACCAGTGCGTTTGCTCCTCTGAGAGCCATGACGCCTATTGCCGTTGTCAATCCTTTACCTCTTCCTGGACCAGAAAACCCTCCTTTGGTTCTACCTATTGTACCTAAAGATTGGTCTCATTTTCCTCTTGATATTGCTGCCACTTGCAATCAAACCATCTATGCAATCGGCTCATCCATTACAGTCAACTTTACTGTAACAAACTTGGATCGTAGAGATATCAAATCGCTTAAAATATCTCTGATTCAACGATACAATTCATTCTTTATCTCCGACCTAGCTAAATGTGATACCTTGATATCAGAAACCATGACAACTATCATTCCAGGACACTCTTCAAAAACACTTTCAGTGCTTTTGAATTCAGAAAAAGCTTCTCGTGTCGCACCCACTACATCATATTCGTTTATTCAAGTTGAGCACGCTGTAGTTATTCAAGCCTTTCCTGCTGGACTGTTTACATCTACAGTTCCTCTTGCAGTTGAGATTCCAGTTGTTTTTGTTGGTCCCCAGCAATTGTAGCATCAACTGACAATCCGTTTATCTTGGTAGTATTGATACTGCCATCGTTTTAAATTTGCCAGTTGTTTCCATGCACTTTAATTATTTCCCAACTCTAATATCCTTTGATTCATACACTTGTCCAACGCCTTTTCCATCGACGATCGGAGCATGCTTTGAATCCTGTATCTTTGTCTATTTATAACACATTTTTGTATCTTTTGGCATGTCTGAATTGTATTTTATAGGTCTTATCAAGACTATTTGTGTTTGTAGTGTTTTGACGTAAAGTAATAAACAGTCACTTGTATCCATGTGTATTTGGGCGTATATCTTAATATTTAGTGATCAAGAGAATCAAAACTTGATGGAAGATGCATTCATTAACAAATCATCTTTGAAGCTTACAGGATTGGATTCTTGAATCATGAAGGAAATCCATATGATTGTAGTTGGATTACGACGGGCAGCTCATACCATCCATTACTCTGCATTGCCTGGATCTAGCCCATGCTTCTATCCATCCTGCAGAATCTGCTACTCCAAACTATCCTGCACGATCACTTTTGAACGGATGACCACATTGCAGTGTCCGAAATGCAATGCATCTTATTCTTCTGATACTGCCGAGTTGCGATACAAGGTCGATCTGGTTGCTGTTGTGTGGCCTTCGCCTGATGTCCATGAACTACCATTCTTATCGACTGCATCCAATGCTATCAGATTAGAACCCAAACAGGAAGCTAAACTGCTTTATCTTACTGTGTTTGGTGCATGTCTGGACACTCTGTTTGGTATGTCTGCCAAAACTCTACAGTCGAGCATATCTTCAAGTTTGTCAAATACGTCCATAAACAAACCATTTGTCATATCAGAATGCGCCGAATCTGTATCATCAACCATTGAATCAAGTCCGGTTTCGACCCAGAATATTCTGCTTGACAAGTGGATTCAGATTATGACTGCATTGGAAACAGTCGTGCAAGGAATGCCGATTCGTGCAAGTCTACCAGACAAGCACTTTCGTAAATCAAATGTTAGCGATACATGGAGGCTGATCTTACCTGCATCAGGAAGCTTGACAACAGGCTCTATTAAACCATTGCTTTATGAGTCGCATCCAAGAGTGTGTGATTGTATTCCGTGGCTCAAGCAAGATCCAATTACAAACTCTACTTCTGGTAATCGGCTGCATGGACCAAACGATTCATCCATTCCAGATATTGACGCGAATAAACAGAAATCTACAGTATCAGAATCCATCAAAGATGAATGTTCTGAGCCTTTATATGAGTGGGATCTAGACCCACGTTTACTAGAAAACCTTGTATTAACACAAGTGGATTCTACTGCTGTTTCAAACCCAGATCTCACCTGTGGAGATGAACAGCAACCTCTTGTATCAACCGACTCTTTGCCATGTTCAACCAAGTTAGGGTTTTCGCTTGCAGTGCATTTAGCTGATCAACTCTTCACATCTGTGTCAACCACTGCTGATGAAGTTCTCTGGCAAGAACAGCTGTCGGATAATTTTGATGAACCAGACAGCGATGCGAAAATTCTAGATGTTTTAGAGCAATCGTATAGTGTACAAGGCAATCATACCAATTCACTCAACCTGTCCAATCCCATTTCAAATCAATTGCAACCGCATCGTGATTGCATCGTGTCCACTCAAGACTCTTTTGTCGAGGAAAAAAGCCAGTCAAACTTACTCACACAGGATATGCATGTATTGACTACACCCGCTCTCAACTCACAATCACTGCAAGATACATTACTACAATGTCCTTTACCCACAGTTGAAAACACGCAAAACGTTAAACTTGCAAGCTTAGATCACAGTGCTAAACTCAGTGAAATAGAATTGAAAATGGTGCAGGATGTTTTGTGTGGATTAACATTGGCCGACTTTTCTGATGATGAGGTTGAAGCAGATATTCTGACTGGTGCTCCTTGTACTGAATCTAGTTTTAAATGGAGTTCAGATTCATTGACAAAAGAGTCAATTGGTGGATCTCTAAAAGGTGCGCAGATACATGACGAATACAGTGACTTGGATGATGATGTTGATGAAATTGTTGCTGTTTTGACAGAATTGGGATTAGAACGTGCCAATCCACCTACTGTCTAACAGGTTTATTCTAAAAGCGTGTATGCAATGTCAACGTATCACTTTATCCATAATACAATAAATCAGCCCAAATACTTTAAAAAAGTTTAATAAAACCTAGAATGACCAGCCAAGTCCACTGCAAAACAATCTCAGTTTTGAACAAGATCTAATTTAAAAGAATCCATTACTTCAAGACAGCAAAAGCATTTGACAAGGTTGATTATTTTTCTACGACCAAACCCATACAGTCTGAGATAGTTTAATCTTCACGGTTTTTGGGGTACGGTGGAATATAATACTTGTCACTAGAAGCAGTTTTGTACTTGACACCCTCCCAGCTGATCTCGGGAGAAACACCGACCAGTCGATCAGAGCAATTCAAATGCATATCCGTATTTAAAACCATGACTGGGGTATCCACCTCACTAGCACCTCTCAGAGCAGAAGTAAAGATCAAGCGATCATCGGCCCAACGTTGGCGGATTGGCAAAGTATGAGCATCGTAGTCATGCGCAACTTTGGATGAGCCATATTGGTCGTGAAGGGATTGAAGAAAGATATAGACTGGATGATCTTCTGGTTTCTTGTCCTTCATATAATGCTCGTGCAGTCTGTAGGCAACAACGGACAGGACAGACACAATAAGCAGACGAGACCATATAGGATGACCCCAGGTTGCTGGTTCAGGATCATGGCCAGCATTGACGTTGTCAAAGCCCGTCGAAGGTGGAGTGGGAGTTATACCCCATTTCTTATCCTCTGGCCGCATCCGGAAGTTGTCAGGAGAATAGTGGTCCGTTGGCCAGCTATCAGACAGAATGCAAGAGTTAGTGGATCAAGGTTTGTAATGCGATGAAGAATGTAAAGGATCAGCAAGACACTGTTGGAAAGACAGTGAGATGTCTGCATTGATTATACAAGGCAGTGTACAGATGATTCAATCTGGTGGTAGTCGCAAAGATGACATTAGTCTTACTTGCGAGCAACTTCAAGGTATTCTTCCTTGTGAATAACATCCACTGGCTCAGTTCCTTGATGGCCAGAGTTCTTGGATGGAAGACCACTTGCATAGAACCGCATATTCTGGATCACAGAGCAAGCAGGCATTCTTCTGCAGGTGCTCAGCGAAAAGGAAGATGCTGTTACCAGTTGTCTCCACCGAGCTGCCATCATTCAGATGCTGTATAATGGCTTGTCGAGTAAACCACAATTTTTTAATCTTTGAAATCACAAATCCAATCGTGCAACTCTAACAGATTTGGTTAGATAGCTCGCACATTACAAGTCCATGTTCATTGACAAGCTTCGATTTTATATTTATTGGTTGGCCATTGAAATGGCATTTTCAACTGATATTGGTCGCCATTCTTTTTGTCCAGATTCACCAGTCATTTCCAATACAAACAACACTCCGTTATCAATGTAAACCATCAGCTTTTTACCCAATCTATAAATTGGTTTACCACTTTCTGCATGATCACGAAGTGCTGGTACAAATACCACATTATGTTCAGACGCAACTACTTCTACATAATCTTGGAAACTGAGTTGAGGCGTCTGTGATACTGTCGATACTGCTTGTGTGAGTTTTCCTGCGCTCGTCGATTCTCCATATGCTGTGGCTTTACCAGATTGGGCCCTCAGTGGATGCATGGACGCAGGGAGCGTGGGCATGGTTGGTATCTTGGTACTAGATCCATCATCAGCGCGTAACGCAACACCTTGATTCATCATATCCAAAGCCGTACGCCATCCATCTGCTACACAAGGCAAGGATCGAATAGACCCACCTTCTGCTTCCTCAAATACATTCTTCCAACTCACATACCAATTTGATACTTCTTCCAAATTGGCACTCGGGCTTGCTATCCATGTCCACAACATGCGACACCACGGTGCAAAAAACTCGGTCGCAATCAGATGCGAAAACAGTGCTGGTGGAATAACATGACACCATGGAAAAACATCATGCAAAAGTGGTCCAAGATCTTGATTGGCTGGTGATAATTTAAATTCTGTTCGAAGATGAACAATCAGTGCTGGAAGAATACATGTAGTCAGTATATGCTCCAGATCTGCTTTAGAAAACACCTGTTCAACGCACAGGTATTGTTGGATAAAATACTATTAGTTAGACTTGATTTCAACGTGACAATAAAACCTATAAAAACTCACTGGAGTCCAGAGCTTGATTACTTGTAACGGGGTATGATCTTTTGGATTCCAATTTTTCCAGCAGTATTCTAGTTTACGACGTACTTCAGTCCAAAACGGTTCCAATAAATCACCTAAAATAGGAAGCCAGGGATGCAGCCATGTATGAGCCATTAGCTCGTTCTGATCACTTGTTTTATCTCGATGTGGCTCCCACATATCTACCGCTCGTTTAAGTTTAGGAATTACAAGCTGGCATGCAATGTTTTGGAATAACCAGGTTGGTAAAATAGATACAGAGCTCTGTGATGATTCAGACCAGTACATATTGGTGTCTAAACAAGAGTTCCATGCTTCAAAAAATGCCACAAGCGAGTCAGGTTGATATACATTCCAGTCGTTGTTGATAGCCTGTCGAACTTTGGGAAGCCAAATAGTATACAGCATCGATTCAAATGGTGCCATTGTATTACGATCTTCACCCATACTTGTCTCCAAATGCATTTCTCCAAGTTTTGTAGCTGAATTGGAACACTCGGAACCATCCATCACTAGAAATCTTTTCCATCGCTTAACAACATCTGCACCAAAAGTAGGATTTTCAAGAACGGACCAGTTACAAAGCATAGCCTTGAACCAAGGCATTAGAGTAGCAACTATTAAACCATCCAGTCCAAGAGTTTTGTACTCTGGCATATAGTTTTTCTGCATTTCCTCAAACACTGGCTTATAAAGTTGCTCAGCTGTTATCAAATGACTGTCTTTGCCATCGTGTGGATTCTCAACACAAACAGGATTCGAAATTGAAATAGCTCTACATTGACCAACAAGTTCTCGTATCCGTCCAAGACGCTCTAATCGAGTCCTTTCATCCTTGAGAAGTGCTTCAAGTGCATTCGCGTCTGATCTTTGACGGGTTTCTAGCGTACTCTCGTGATGTTTCTTTCGCGATACATAAAGCAGGTCTGATTGTGCCAAATCCTTGATCAAAAGTAGGTTATGACGCAATTCAGGAAGTCTTCCCGACATATCTGGTCCATTAATAGCCTTTTGGGATGCCTCTGATATATTTGACAAAACCCGAGCTTGCTTGCTTGTCATGTCAATAATTTTGGTTGGTTGTACAAGTGAAATCACTTCATTGCCAATCAGTCCATCATGCTCTTGCAAAAGATCTTGAGCAGTTTTAAATCGTGGTTTTGTCGACTTGCGTGTAGTTCCCTCATTTCGTTTCCATCCATCTTGCTTGTCTTTTTTGGCTCCTTTTTTCCATAGTTGTTGATCTACGTCATTACCTTTATCATCCCTAATTTGTTCATCTTTTTCTCGCTTGACTGTCTCTGTGCGCTCATCAAATCCACCATGACCCAAACCCATACCACTTGGTCTAAGTTTAACATCAATTGGAGCTATGATGCCAACACGGTTGGCTCCAAGACCCGTACCTGGAACATATCCCATTTTGGCAAGCATCTTTGATCCAAATCCTTTAGTATGACGCTCAAATGTTGCAAAATTAGCGTCAGGCTTGGAATATTTCGCTGGTTTGATCGAGGTCTTGGCGTTTCCAATTTGAGATCCTGTATGCGACAACTGATTTGGTTTAGTAGATGGCTTGACTAACATCTCTTTGGTTTTCCGAGATCCGTGAGTTGCTGGTTCATTTGAAAAATTCCCTAAGCTGGAATGACTGATTTCACCATTTGATGTAGCTTTTTTTGTGATTCGTACAGTGCTTGATGCTGTAGATCCGCTGATATTTTGGGCTAGCAAGGTATTAGGTTTGACAAGTCCAAGTCCGCCAAATGAAGGACGATCGTCATCTTCATCTTCCTGATCCTCTTCAATGTAGTCCGAGTCACCTCTATGCACTCGCCTTTGTCGATCAGACATTTTTTCATTGTCATCAGAATCATCACCGTCTGAAGTGTTCATGCCCTTCCGTCGATCATCAGAACTTGTGCTAGAAGACGAATCGCTATCGGACTCCATGTTTTTTTGATCAGCTTCGTTTTGATCTATATCCATGTCCAAGACATCTGCCTTGACAAACGATATGGATGCATTATTATGACTGCGTCTCCGAGATGAACCGCCATGGCTAAAGTCGTTATTCAAAGATGAATTTCCAGCAGCAAAAACTCCATAGATCGTATCTTCCTTTGATCTACCATGCTTGTGCACATGTCTAGATGGATCTGGTATTTAAAGTATCCAACAAAGATATTGGACATGTATGATATGCGGTGAGTAATGTAAACCAATATATCCCATCTAGTCAATTATTAAAAGTGTCATAGTATAAGCATTACTATGATTAACATAGATTCGATTTCAAGACACTGGCACTACAATATACCTGTCAGCATGGCTTCGTCGTTTAAATCTGCACTTATATCATAGTCTCCGTCTCCGTCTCCGTATCGACGGTTTCGATTAGAGTATCCGTCGCTTCCGCTCTCATCACTTTCACTCATCCCACCATCATCTATGATGTTTTTATGCCGTCGTCTGCCCATATGGAATGATGAATTGTTATCCAAAGTCGAGTGAAATATCGAGTCAAAATCATATGGTTCCAGTCACGTGTATTTTTTTGACTTTTAATACACGTGAGCATTATCTACACACTAACTAATATCTTCATGTTCATGTATTGATCTCAAATAATGAAATAGTTTATTCAAGGCGCAGAACTCTCAGTAGTATGTAAATTGGCTTGTGATCCAGGCTTGGATTTAGGAGGTGAGGGTTCAATTGTATTATGAGATTTAGCAACAAGGCTTGCTTTGGTAGATTTGTTTAATTCACTGGAAGTACTTTTACCAATTTTTGACTTGCTACCATTTAGCTTAGTCTTACTGGCTGATACACTGACATTACTACTTGCGCTACCGGGATGACTACCAGTAATACTTGCTTTTCTACCAGAAACATTGGCTTTGCTTCCAGTAGATTTGGAACCAAGATTGGACACACTTTTCACACTACCAAATTTAGGACTATCTTTTGCCAAACTGGATTTGTTTTCAGCTGTAATGGATGGCATTGAGGGCTGGTGACCCAAGTTGGATTTTGAAGCGTGTCGAGCTGAATCGAGATTGGGTCGCGATCCGCCTGTAGATAAAGGTGCTTCGGTTGGTGGATGCGGTTGGAGTGGTGGCTGAGCAATATTGGAAGATTGATCAGCCATTTTACTATGCTCTTGTATTTTTTGCACTTCTGCTTCTGAAACACTTTGCAATTCGGATTGACTCGACACCTTTTCAGCAGCTTCATGATCTTTATGAGACTCGTGATTTTCTGACTGCTCATTTGGCTGACCTTTTTCGTGATGTATTGATGTGTCGTGTTGCTTGGACTCATTGTCTGCCAACTCTTCATTGTGTTTCAACTCAACTTGAGCAGATTCATGAGAAAGTGGCTCAGCGATGTTATGAGTAGATGAAACGATCGATTTGGCCGTATTGCTTTCTTTTAAATCTTTCTTGGAACCCGTTTTTTGTAAATGGAAAGCCCCTGCAGTATGACTAGGCTGTGGATTTAATTCGATCGACTTTGCAAATTCCTCACCAAAGACAAGCTGAATCTCTCTATATGCACTAGCAGGTGAATCGGAACCATGCACAGCATTCTCTGACCCATCTTTGCCATACAATGCACGAATGCTGGTTGGGTCGCTTTCTCTTGCCTTTTCAGAATTGGTTGGGCCGGCAAGAGTTCGCCATTTCTTGATCGCTCCACTTCCAGAAAGTACAATGGCATAAATTGGAGAGCTACTCATCCAGTTCACTAGAGTTTCGTAAAATGGCCTTCCATCATGCTCAATATAAAATTCGCGTGCTTTTTCAATTGTGAAATGCACTTCAGATTCTTTGATGACATCAAATCCACTTTCATGGATTTTGTTCATAATATCGTCGCGCTTAGCAGGATATACATCAGGCTTAATGAGTGCCAGAGTGTTTTCAAGCGGGTCGGGATATGGACTGACAGTTTCACCAAACACAATACCGATTTCACGCTCGGCAGATGCAGGAGAATCTGATCCATGCACAGCATTATGAGATCCATCTTTACCAAACAAAGCACGTATTGAATTGGGTGATATTTCTTTGGCTTTGATTGAGTTGGTGGGCCCAGCCAATTCTCGCCACAACCCGATGCCGTTGGATTTTTCCAGTACAACAGCAAAAATAGGAGCACTACTCATCCACATGGTAAGCTCGACATAGAATGATTTTCCTTCATGCTCTTTGTAAAAATCTTGTGCCTTTTCAATCGTAAAGCGCATCTCTGATTCGCAAATAATAGTAAACCCTTCAGATTTCATACGGGCCAAAATCGCATCTTTATGTAGTGGGTACACATCGGGCTTGATAAGTGCCAGTGTTCTTTCAAGACGAGCATGAAGTTGAGCTTGTGATTGAGTTCTACTTGCAGACTGTGATGCAAATGCAGTTCCAGGGCGAGATGAAAAAATACTTGAACCAGTACGCTTCAGTACGTGTGGGAAAATGAGATGGATATCATGAAGCGCTTCTTCTGGCGTTACAGAACTATACACAGCATTTTTAACCACATCAGTACCATAAAGAGCACGAATACTCATTGGAAATCTTTCTTTTGCTTCTATGGGATCATCTGGACCAATGATTTGCTGCATGCCATCAATCACACCATCGCCCTTGAGTACCAGCGCAATCACAGAATCACTAATCGTCGATTCAAATATATAAATATGCTTTGTTAATATTGGGGATCAAGCAACTGCAGGTAAAGCAATGCCTCTGATTACAAAAATACAACCATATTTAAATATAGTACCTAGTCATATGAGCAATATAATCATCAAAGAATGTACGCTCTTTCAAGTAATAAAAGATCTCATTAGCCATATCTACTGTTAATGTGACTTCCTCGCGCTTCAAAACTTGGAATCCACAGCAAATTATGCGTTCAATGATTCCATCGACAGTGCTAGTAGACATGGCATCAGGTTTGATAAAAAGTAGAGTTTTTTGAGGGTTGGCTGGTGCTCCTGAAATAGCAGCCTCATCAAAAGACATTGTAGTTAATGCTGCGTTGGGTCCAAATAACAAATCAATTTCATGTTTGGCCGTTTCAACAGAGTCGGAACCAAATACTGCATTGAGGCGCGAATCGGTTCCAAACTTGGCTCGAATACTACATATTATATACGTATCTATAGATTAGATACCATGAAAACAAAGTCATGACCTTGATTTTGAAAAACTTACGATCTAGGTGCTTCTTCTTTGGCACGAATTGCCGATGCTGGGCCCATAAGCTCTCTCCAAGCAGAAACAGCGTTTTCTTTTTTCAAGATAAGTGCAAGAGTTGGTGCACTATTAATACAGTAATATACAAATGATTGAAATAAAGTTGTGGACTACAATTAGTAATAGCTCCAACTCATAGATTCTGTATCATTTTAATGAATGACAGCCATATTCTAAATTAATTTTGGTCTGAGCGGTAGTAAACAGCCATAGAAAGTAGCTTACCTGGATAGATATGAAACCAGCGATGGAAAAAATGATTTTTCCACATGAGAAGCATAAAATTCTCTAACATTGGCCTCGGTCATCCAAACCTTTTTTCTGTTTACAATTTCAAATCGATTGAGTCGAATAATATCTATAATCTGGTCCAGCACACCAGGAGACATGGCGTCTGGCTTGATCAATGCAAGTGTTTCCTCCAAACCAGGCGAATCTGATGTGTTGGACGTGGCCGATAATTCACCACTACCAGTTTCGTGTTGGCGTAAAGTTGTTTTCACATTAGGATGATGTTCCTGATTTATATCAGTAGCAGCAGCCGTACTATCATGATTTTCCGCTGCATTGCAGGTCGCACCATCTTGTAATGGACCAGCCAAGATTTGTGCACCCATGTCATCAAAAACAATCTATTCATATTCAATTTGTAGTAGAAAAGCGCAACGACTGTTTATCTACTGTCTATTCTGAAGCAACCACTACCATAGTGTCCTATTTTACTTGAATACAGCTATAACAAACTAATCAAAACAATCTTACATGATGATGCGGGTGTCCTGCCTTTTCCATATCCAGTTGCTCCTTGATTGTTTTTTCAATCAATGGGGCATTCGCGCCTTTTACCATCTTTACAAGAGTTCCATCCTATATAGTAATTAAGCAGTTTGTAGTAACAATAGTTTTCAATAAACTAGTCAAGGGTAAATGCAGCGATATCTGTACTGAGTAGCATAGCACACCTACAAAGAAAAACAGGAATGTAGGGCATGATTTGCCACGGAGATTTTTCAAGGCTTCAATATGATCTGACTGAGCCTAATTCATCCAGAATCGAGTTATGTTTGAGGTTGAATAGCGTACTTCAAACCCATATCAAGCAACATCCATGTCAATGCAATAACAGATTTGGTATTTAAATTACCTGAACAAAACACACATCTTCACCATGCTCTACTTTGAGCCGTTTGAAGATGTTTTGCATTGGTTCACAGGAACCAGCCCATTTGGCTATACAATGAGCGATACAGAAATGGTTGGATTACATTGATGGTATTTCAGGAATGGTTAGTAAGAGTATAGTCTGTGTATAGATTTAGACGGATGAAACTACTTGACGTCTAAACTACAGTCTATTCCTATAAACATCTGATTTTCAAATAAGCTTACCATATACATCAAAGACTAAAACGGACAAGACCAGCAACATTATCATCCAAAAGGAGCAGTGGCATGGTTATTGATAAGTGGGTTCAATAGCAGTGACATTTCATATCAAGTCAGATATATTGCAAGCCATTGCATTCAGCCAAAAGATGTTAGTATATAATTCAAAACTACAGCCTAGTACTTTGTCAAAAACATGCTTTAAACTAGGGTTTTTATTGTGAATAATAAAGTTAATGGCCTACCTCTTAGACCCTGTTTTGAAAGATGATGAGTCCATTCCTCATCAGATGCAATACATGCTGGCAGAGCTAATTCTGTACGTTTAGTGTGAGCGCTCATCGTGATTTATCAATATTCACGTAAAATGAAACTTTTGTATTGCAGATTGCTTTGGAATAAAAATGGTTAAATATTCGTTGCGTCTTCTACTAGAACTCGACTGTTTCAATAAATATTCTCAATTCCTCTAAACACAGCGTCCATATGATGTTTACACAATCAAACTTTAGTTTTAAACTGAAATGATCCTTTTTTGGCATAGCCATGTATTGTAAGATCTTCAAGTTTGAAACCGGATTCATTATAACTTTGACATTGAATTCGACTGTTTTGGAGTTTGGAACTCTACAAACTCATCTTGTATTCTAAACTCGCATATTCGCGCTCTAGTTCAAGAAAACAGATATTGCATATCTTGGTAGTGCAGTTGTTTTCATGTCAATCCCAAAAAAAGGACCAGTAAACTAAAACGTTTAGAGAATACAAGTTTGTTTAGTAAATTGTACAATCATTTCATGGGACTGGCTGTCCATTATGTATTGACACTTGGTGTTTCATTTTACGTGAATACGGCCAACTTGTATGATTCCAAGCCAGTTTTGAAGGGTAGAGCAAACTCCCAATCAAGAGCGATTACTTTAAATTACCGCAGGATCAGAGCGTCATGAACAATTGGATTTATATTTCCGTGGCAGTAATGCCAGCCATACAAAGTCTTGTTGCTGCAGAGAGAATGACAGTGAATTCAATAGTGCGGACTGCCGCCTCAAAAGCTCGCTTTGGATTCCGCACCGTTTAGCATTTCGCGCTTCCCTCAACATGTCACTTATTGGCAAGAAGTTTGGGCAGTTCAAGCAGGCAAGTGGCTAGTCTGGTGATGGTTTTTAGTGAATGTCTACATATATATGCAGACTCTGATGTTACTGCTAGTGCAATGATATTATATCAAACGCATGCTTTTGCGGAAATCATTTCAGCATAAATGGCTTGATGGTTGCGGCTGCTGATTTATTGACTCTGGGATCCCGAATGCAGCTGTATATTCTATATATAGCCATATCTACACATTAAACTATAGACTTTTCTTCCTACCCAAGCAAACAAATAGTAATGGGATTGTCTACTTGATACATGAAAGTAGCAACCAGATTACCATTGTTTTGAATCCATCACCGATTCTATATCAGCTCCAACATCCCTCATTGAATACAGTTTATACTGCAACCGTTTGATTGATAAGCGACTTTTTACTACGTAGTGGTTGATCTGGTTTGATTATCCCGCTAGTTGGAAGAAACCTAGTATTGTCGTTCATTTGAGGGTGTAGATTGCACTGTTTGGTCTGACTTGAAAACCCATTATGATTCTCCAGATTTTCAACAGCTGTAGTCCAAGATGCTCCATCATCTAGATATCCAGGACACCACCACATTTTATTATCAATCATCGTGTTCATCTACTAATAATTTTTGTATTGTTTTAACACTTGGGTTTCATTTCGACTCGACAATCTTGTATTTCATCTAATTTAATTTGCTGAATTACAATGGGTTTATTGAACGTTTCCCCCATTAGTGGACTGGTAAAGTTTAAAAATGTTTATGCGTCTCCATGTACAGGTTGTATGTCTGCTTGTAATATACTAACGTTTTTTCAATCATGACAATTTTGGGTTTAATCTAGGCGAAAAACTAGGAAACACTCAGCGCACAGGTATATTTATACTTTTTACTATGAGTTCACTTGGGATTTGCCTTGATTGACATGTTCTTGATGATATTTTTTGTAGAAACGAGCGATGAGTTTAAGCGCTTGGAAACTGATACAGGCGAACGTAAAGCATGCATTGAACGATTCCACAGTAGTCTTGACCTCTGGTACAAAACCATGAGTACGTACCAAAGAAATGGATTGTATATTACATCTGGGACTTTAAATATTCATTAGTGTCATTTTAACAATGCGATCATGTTATTTACAGTTAAACGACCCAGTCTTCTTGTAGAGGAAAAAATCCAACGGTCTCCAATTCAAGCACTAGGAAATTCCATGATTTTGTTTGGCACATTTCTTCCACAAAATTCAATATACGGTAAATAGCCTTTTATTCTGCATGGTAGTTTGCTGCCAAGTTTCATTTTCAACTGGAGAGATTGTATCAACTGTAGCTATAGTTTAGATTACTCAACTATAGTGCAATATATACAGGTCAGGCTTTGCTTAAATCTGGGCAAGTTCATGATCTTATTGCCTCGGAAGAGTTGCAACTTGTAAGTTTTTATGATTTTATTTTTCATTTCTAGCATTTGAACCAACTCACGCAATCTTGCATCAAATACTTTGATCATTGGTTTTATATACAGTCAAACGAAATCAGAGATGGGATCTTGAGCAGTCTTACATCAACTTTGGACAACGTCAAAGAATATTATCATTTGCATAAGAAGCTTGAGAATCGTCGCTTGGACTTTGACGCTAAACTCAACAAGGTGCACAAAACCAAAAAAGAGAGCCCAGAGCTCGAAGAAGAGACTCGTGCGTGTCAGACAAAGTACGAAGAAACACTTACTTTACTCACTGAAAAAATGATTGAGCTGAATACTGATTCGGTAGGGATCTGTGCGTTTACTTGTTTTTGATAGCTTTAAACCAAGCTACTTGTAACAAACTGAAACGTATTTTCTGTTGCTCAACGAATTTTGTCTTTTGTATTTTGAATAGGCAAATGACCTTCAAGATGTTCTTACAATGATTGATGCAGAACTAGCGTATCATCAAAAAACAACACAACTGTTGGCGGATCTCAAAGAATCACTTTCCGAGTATGCATTTAAATATGTGATGGCGCATAATTGTTTAAATCAATATAATGTTTATGATGTGCTAGATTTAACATTGATGCATTATATTTAATAGTATTCCTCGTCAAATAAGAACTACTCCTAGTTTAGCTGTACATATGCGTCAAGCCAGCGTTCGTAGTAATTCCAGTACCAACACCGATTCTGAACGGAAAGCTGGTCCAACTGGCGGTTTTCAACTTCCCGGAATGACTAAACAGGCTGAGCCTGAATCAATACTTGTTGCTGGTGTTGCTAGCATGTCAGTACTGCCAGGCACTACAAGCCGTAGCTCTCGACCAGCCAGTATTGTCAGACCCCAGATGAAGCGTGTCAAGGTTTCATTCGACTTTGACGCTGAGAATTCTGGAGAATTAACGAGTGAGTAGTTGTAATTTTTGATGGGTTATGTAGATGAACATGCCTTGTATTTATACTTTTACTTGTGGCTTGATTTAGTTCGTGTTGGTGATATTGTTACTGTGCTAGCCGAAATTGACGAAGGCTGGTGGAGGGGTGAAATGGCTGATGGATCAGGCCGCTCAGGCATATTTCCGAGCAATTATTGCGAGTAAGTGATCGTTTAATGGTATTGTGCTGTCGAGTTCAATCGGCCATGTTTGGTATGAACCTGAAATGCATTTTATTGGCTTACCACTAATCAATCTGATCAGAGTGATTCCTTCGACGCCCAATGCTTTAAAACCCATCAGTCGAGTTCCTTCAAGCACCATGTTGCCTGTTTCACTTTCCAATTCTAATGGCAGTTCCAACGTAGCCATGTCTGTCGCTGCTGCTAACAACATGTCCGCATCTTCAGCAAGCACAGGATTTAATTCCCGTATGGCTCAATCTCAGTCACTCAACTCATTTGGCTCTGTTCAATCCAATCAACAATATATTACCCCTGCACAAGCCATAAATGCATACTCGATGGCAAGCAAGGTATCTCAGGCACTTCCTCCGGGGGTTCGCGACCAGTCCAAGCCTCTCCGATCTGCATCTCATTCAGACATTGCTTCTGCTGGAACCGCCTCAATGTGTGGGCTCTGTGGATGCAATGACTATGTTGCACATGCGTTCAAGATTGGTCAATGCAATAATTGCTATCATAAGCATTAATCAATTGGTTGTGATTTATCAAGAGTTGAACTCTGTATTAGAACTCGGCAATGTAACTGTTTACCATTATTACTATATACTGCCAGTTGTCACATCCTCGTATGTTGTCTACAATCATTCATGGGTACGGAGTTGGGATGAGAATAAATGCAAAGCCTGTTGATTTTCAAATTGTTATGCCGAGTCCATACAAAACTATGAATCTGCGATTTTGATGTCCGCTATTATAACCGTATTCACGTGAATACGGTTATAAATAAGGGTGTCAGAATGCATGATAAACAGTCAGTCTCGTGAGATAATGCTTTGCACCAAATTACAGGACAGTATTGTGTTTTGGCTTGTCAACCATTCAAGCAGCAGTATTGCAAGCTAGTTTTATACTGTTCATAAACCTGATAGTTTAATAAAAACGGTTTTGTATGGTGTAAGATTCCAAACATTGAGAAAGAACTAAAACTGTCAAAGCAATTAGTTTGTGGTAGGAAAGTGCAACAAGTATCTGGTCATTGTTTATTCCAAAGCAAAGTAGAAACGGTCAATGTAGGATAATGTTCTATTCCACATGAATGCGACTGTAGCTCGATCTTGTAAAAGCATTTCATATATCTAAACAATTGGCATTATTCAGATATATCGGGTTCAATGTTAGACCCACTTTAAACATGAAGTGATGTGCACATCTGCTCTTGATATGTTTAACATTGTCAAGATCATTTTATCAATAGTGTCGGGATTGTTCTATGGCTTGAATTAGCGCTGTTGACATCTAAACATCAAGCAATGATGCTGCAGATTGATGCAAGTCTTTTCAAATAAGTCGACAAATGGACTGGACTAGTCGGCTAGGTTTCCAAAAATCAGAAGCGCTTGTGAAATTCCCATCAAATAAATAAAGCATTGTATTTTTGGCCAACTGCGCTTTATCGATGTTGAGAAATATTCGCAACGCAACAATTTATCAAGCACTTATTTTGTCGACTTGGCTTTGAAACACGTACCTGGACCATCGATTTTCAAAATTATCTTTTGGTATTCCAAACTGGACTACCTTTTAAAACTAGAGAATAAGACTAGTTTACCCAACGAGGGTAAGCAAGTAGAGAAAACATATTACTCATGAATAAGATGGAATACTCAAGCACCTGGCGTACTATCGAGCATATTATTGAATTGCCTCTGCTGTTTATATCTGTAGTACTTGACAGAATCCATCGTCAAAGTATTCAGTGGTCCTACATCAATTCCAACCTTTCAGTCCATCAATCAAAACCTCGATCCAATATATCCGAGACTGTCCATAGGTCCCCGCATTGCTTGCTGTTTAGCAACAATGAACTGAGCAGACGTTGTGAACCAGCCTTGACTTCTCACCACCAGGAACTAGCTTTACATGAGCGCGATGAATTCACTGGCTGTATCGATAGTATGAATGGTGAAAGTAGGAGCAATATTGCTTAATCGAGTCTGCAGATATGGAAGACATGCAATAGTAAGGTTATACTGACATTAAGGCAATTTGTATTACTATAGAGCATGACCAGCCAACACATCCATCTAGTTTACAAGACCATCCTGCTTCATCCCATATTAACGCTCTTCTTCTTCCAGAGATAATTTCTAAAGTATTGTGCTATCTTGAGCCACGCAGTTTGTCGACTGCTGCGCGTGTTTGTCGGTGTTGGTCATATTTGGCCACCCCAAGTCTGTATCAGTGTGTTCAACTAACCAACAAACAAGGCTTGAAAGGAGCATGGTTGTGTCATAATCTCCGCCGAGTTCTTGACCCATCGCTGCGGCACCATAATACGTCGTGGGCATGGACTGTCATGCGGTTTGCAGTTTGTGCTGTCAAATATTATGCTACAACTGGTCAGTGTTTTGGCATGTCAGTGATGATGGGTCAGATGTGGGAAGATGTATTGCAAGCTTTTGGTGGCATTTTGAGTAGATGTGGGATATGCAATATCAAATTATTGCCCTTGACCAAAAAACCATTTCAGTTCTGTCATGTCGAATCCAAGTACATTGATCAAACTGGGCTGGAATTGTCGATATGCCCACAATCAAATACCTCTTCAGCATACAAGCTTTGTGCATTTTCACCCAATCAATCAAGGGGGTCTCGCATTCCATTAGAGTTGCCTCAACTCTATCCTATTTCTCTGGAAAAGTTGAAATCCGTCGTTCCATTAGACGCCAGCTCCAAAATTCCTCTGGCTAGTCTGCTCAAATATTTCATTGCGTCATCCCATGTACCCATAACCAGATTCTGGTCATTTCCGCATACTGGAAATCTATCTCAGCTTATTACAAGTATCAACTTTACAAAAATACATGTATATTCCACAGACTTGATTCAGATCTTACGCCGTCTGCATAATATTACTCACTTGACTGTATCAGACTGTCCGCAGGCGACCAACAAAGTCATTTGCATGGCAATTGAAGCAAGCGGGCCGAATCTCGTTTACATTGCCTTGCGCAAACTTCCGCTCATTACTTATGAACCCATCTATGATATTTCCAACACGTGTTCAAATCTTCAATATTTTGATGCATCAGGATGTACCAATGTGAGTGTTGATTGCTGCATACGTGTTGTTCGCAACTGTCCTCATCTGTGTAGCATCTCGGTATCTCGTGTCGACTGTGTTCCATTGATATCTGATCCTTCTCGACGCGATAGAACATCTACTTGGGTTTACCATTCTACAATGTTTCTCAACTGGGTAGCGCTGTGTTGTGCTGAGAGATTAGTGCATATCAATATTTCTGGATGTACATTGGCTGAAGACCAGATCCAAATTTTATACTCATCCACTAGTACATATCTACAGAGTATGGTATTGGGGTATGATTTGATTTCGCAGCAAAATCTGGATTGGGTTGTGCATTTTCTGAATCGAATAACCGCACAGCAAGTCAAGGTATGAGACTTGTGAGGATTTTTTGTTGATTCGATTGATTGGTCATGTAAAGTTAACATGGTATCAACTATACTCGTGCATTTTGTATGAATTTACAATATATAGGGATATATGGTGATGAATCAGTGTACACTTCGAACTTGTTTACAAAACGATCAATTTATTACATTCCAGGCACCCAAAATTCATGATTTGATAAAGACGTATACTTGGAATCACTTGGTTCCTTGGGATCAAGAAACTCTTTGCAGTCTTGAGAAGATTCGACTAGCACAAATTCATTTTCCAACCTATCCATTTCCCAAAATAATACTACCGCCTGTTATTAGCACACTTTCTGCTGGCCTTCCAGTCGTATATGCACATATATATATTCATACGGGGCTGCAAAAAATAAACGTGCGGGATCTACCATATGATAAGTTACCAGGTAAACTCAATGACTGATTCGAAATGCACAAAGTATTGCTTGTATCTTGTATTATAATGCAGACATGGATATTATCAATATAGCAAATGCTCAGATATTTATTTTAAAATGATTGCACTTTAGAAGAAAAGATGGAGATTGACCAGCCATAATTTCAACAGCCGTTTGTTTTATCGTCTAGTAATAAATGTATATATTTTCAATCTATTTTGAAGTTAATTTTTGCTGTTTCATTTAGATCAGTCATTTCAAATGTTAAAGATTAAGTTGCTGAATTCAAGATATAAGCTGATTATGCTTTTTTTGCTGGTGGAGTAGAACTAGTGGCTGACATCATATTATTGATATACTCGACCAACATCTGATTTTCCGCCTTGATCTTTTTATGCTCCATCCGCCCATTTTCAACCTTTTGAATTGCTCCTAAAACCAAACATCATTTAAAATTAGCAGATAAATGAGGCCAAGTATCAACACATGTATATAAAACAACGGGCCTAACAGAATAGTCTAAAATACGTGTCATGCCTACCAAATACTAGTTCTTGTAGAGATATGGCTTGACTAATTATAATAGAATGCATTGTATTGGAATATGGATTGAATCAAGCGAATGAGTCAAACGTGTTTGATACAAGTTCCATCTATTTGATACTGTTTTAAAATACTTTCAAATGATACGAGTACCTGATTAATACTTCATGTTCGTTATGCGAGCTATTGTCCGTCGCGTTACCACCTAAAAGTAATGTATCGGGTGAAAAGATCCGTGGAGTAGTGTCTAAAGTGTGGTTTGGTGCAGTTTCAAGAACAGATGGGTCGATGGATGCATGTGAAAAGGATTGCAATGCCTTTTGAGGAAGAGCTGCATCTGACCAAGGGCTTTCATTGATCCAATTCTCTGCCATATCTTACAATGAATATGCTTTCGATGGTAGGAATAATGGTGTTTGAGACCAAAATGAAATTTGTGAATTTGTGCAATTGGGCAAATAATATAATTTGGATAAAGATTGAAATTGAGAATCAAGTTTCCTGCATTTCAACAAAACATTAGCAATGCATCCATGGACTGTGAGATTAGTAGAAAGGCACTGTAGTCGGATGACACATGTAAATATTTCATCAAGGATGTTGCAGGATTATAACAGACTGCCAACTTGGGTGCGTCAATCATCAACTTTGGCAGATCAAGAGTGGACACATATTGCTCTATTTAAACCACTTGTACACAACCACTCACGGATCAAAGTGCATCTAGTCGGAGTTCACGGCACACCCAACCCAGAAGATATGAATCGTATCAGTTGTGTCATGAATCAGCTTAAACCATCAACAGTTTGCATTGCTCCACAGTCGATTGGGTTTAGATCGCAACGACCACTTTATTTACCCATGACCACTTCAGCTTCATCCCATCTCACTCTTGAGCAAGCAGTCAAAGCAAAGAAACGCTACAGACCAACAATTGATCATATTCTTGCACTTGCTCCAACTCACACCAAAATCCGACTTCTTTATAGCGTGACGGATCTTTTGGCATCAAACGTGGATGCAGATCATACAATGGTAGCCAATGCTCACTCGTTTCACAAACTAGCCAATCTTACTGATTATCAACCTAGATCAGTATCTGTTGCTTTTCAGTGTTTATACACTCTGCTTTCCTATGCAGCATTTGGGGGTCATTTCCCAATCACACATCCCAAATGGCAGTCCATGTCGATTCGAGAGATGGATATGAGAGCAAACATCTGGGGCAGGTTTTATACTGATGAGATGTATTGGAGTATTGTTTTACCCAACGCCGTGATGGTGGAGCAGTTACGTCGGATTGTTTATGGGTTGACTTTAAAGCTTGATGATCGTTCCACTCAATCCAATGCCAATGACACTGTTGTGGTGATTGTTGATGCATTGCATGTAGTAGGATTGGGCGAGATGTGGGCAGCTGCTACCAAAAACGAGCGATTTCTTTATGGAGGAAAACAAGCGGACAAACTTGCGAATACAGATGAGAGAAATGCTTTGTTGGACTGGCTTAATCTAGATGAAAGTTTGAACTCGAATGACCATCAGTCTAATGCGCTGAATAGCATGGCAACCACTCCAATTTCTGCACCTCGGACGGCATCTATAAAGTTTCAATCAGTTGTGATCGTGGATAGTAGCGGTAGTAAAGGCAATAGGCCGTATCCATTGGCTCAACATTCACCTGCCCAAACTGTTCATTCTGTATTGGACAAGGACACAATTATTGATAAAACTTTTAATACAGAATCTTCAACAAATACTGATGTAGCCATCGAGACAGTCGCAGAGAAAGAAAAGGATGTCATTTCAAGTCAAACCAGATTGTACCGAAAAGCAAAACAAAGCTTTAGATTGATAGATTAAAATAAACTCAACAGTTGAACATCCAATTCAATTCATTTGTATATAATTATAACGCCAGCCATTTCTCTTTCCGGCGGTTGTATTCATTCAGTCGTAACATGGCATAGTCCAGGTAGTCAAAGTCTAAATCGCTGACTTCAGCTTGTATGAGTGCCCATACTGCCCAAAAAAAATGAGCAGCAAGAGAAAACTTTAGCGTCTCTTTATATAATGCATTGAGTTGTTCTTCTGTCGGAGCCTTGACATTTTTTGATTGCTGAAACGTAAATTTTGCTCCTGTGGTGGTTGTAGAGTCATTAGAGATATTGATTGGGAGAGTATTATTCAAAGAAGCAATATAAAAAGATTGTGCCCAGTATGTAGAAAGCCATGCTTTCTGCTGTTGCTCAGTTGGATAGAGTGACCAGTCGCAGTCAAAACCAGCCCATTCACAGAAATGATTGGCAATGTCAAAGCCGCGGTAAGAGTAGCATCCATATTCATAGTCAATGAAGCTCACACAGTCGCGTGTAGGAGAGTATATGATGTTGCCAGAGAGAAGATCGCAGTGACAGAAAACGACGGGATTATTTAGTGATTCAAGATGCTTTTGAAGAATTAAGAGGTCAGATCTGAGATAATCAAGCGTAACCCCAGAAGATCTAAATTTTTCTGCCTTGGCAGAGTTGGAGTATGTCTGAGGAATAGCATCAATCCATCTCCATAGTGTATGAAAAAGTCTTGGAACTCGATCGATTGGAAGTGTCACATTGTGCCATATTGCCAGGTGTTTAGCAACCTCTTGAGATTTGTGACGATCAGACATATCTAAATAGTTGTTCAAATGCCCAATCGTAATCATCAAGGAATGTGTAAAATATAAGCTTCAAATAGTCAAAAAAGATCAATACTGTACAAAGCATTTGCACAAGTCATGAAAACACATACCAGAAACAGTAAACACCTCTCCTTCAGTAAAGCCATACACGATACCATTGGTGAAGCGAGCGTATAATGGAGGACACATATCTCTACGTGAAAGTACTAGCATATTCTATAAATTAAAATTGATAATACAAAAAATAAATGGCACGTTAATATAAAGCCAAATTTAGTCGATACATAGATGCCTCGACTCAATATTAAATCGGACCATAACAAAAACAGAGAGAAGCTACAAGAATGCTTAATAAAGTAACCGTCTACAGTCTCGTGGAATGTTCAAACTACAGATATAAATATGCGGCACTTACCACCAGCTCCTGTCCACGATCAATCAAGACACTGGATCCACGACCATATGTACGTACAAGCACGCTGTTCCCAGTTGGAATATGAGTACATTTCACAAGTTTATTGGTGATTCCATTGGTGCACTGAACAAGTCTAACATCCTGATCAACCTGCCACTCAGGAAATACCGAGTCAATAACGGTAGCGACACCGGCCATTAAATCATTGTGATCAATCTCGATCTCATAGGCGGGGACAGATAGACAAATGTCAATGTTTGAATCAGGATGCTGCATAAGCAAATTACACTGAGTGTCTAGTGCATTGCCATTGCTACTGAGGATAGGAGAAGTTGGATGAGTGGCAATACTCGGAGGGAGGGATAGTTTGTGATAGTCATTCAAGTCGAATTGTGACAGCTGCTGCTTGCTGTATGGTGAAAGAGGGATTCCAGCAGCAGGAGATATCATAGGAGAGGACGGAACACTTGGTCTACGATTAGCTGGGACTGGCTTAAGCACTGACAGTGAGTGTTCCTTGAAGTCTGGCATTCTGAATTCAAGAATAAAATGCAGTAAACGGTTGGTTTTTTGGGAGGAAAAAAGAATTTAAAGTCGAGTAAAGGGAATTCAAGGGCTACGAAGAGGCTCAGCAATGAAAGGGTTGAACGTGCTGCTGCCAGATGTCGATTAGGAGAGTTGTATTGAAGTGGAGTTTGATGAAAGCAACAGTTTGTCACCAAAGCCATTGAAGAAAACTACTTTCTGGTAAACTGCAATCCAGAATAGTGATCATTAGATGCCTATTATTGCTTTTAGAATACAACCATTTGACTCTTATCCAAGTGTCATTAGACTAAGAAACGAATGTCAAGTTTATTGATTATGAATTCATAAATTCCAGTTGAGCTTCTCGCTTTGCTAATACTAAAGATGAACCAGTTGAAAAACTGTTTATACGAGATAGTAGTGTGACTTGGTAACCAAGTCTGCCGCATACAGTGGAAGGCATTTGTAACATGTGTAAAAGAAGAAGGCTATGAATAGTAGCACCAACGAGTCTGTTATTCAATTTCATTCATTCAACCAGTCAAGATAAAGCCTGTGGTGTTAGCATCTTGATATCGTTTGTTTTAAAATGCTACCAGCATCACTTCAAACACTAGTTGGTACGGTTCAAGCATGTTGTCAAGATAGCCTTCAACCCCATTAAAACTCAACTGAATGCAGTCTTCTCCCATGGTTCTAGCATGTATAGGCCAACAGTCAGCTCATACTGATATATTCGAAGTTTGATGGCTTTGGATAAACGGGAAACAAGTGTAGTTGCTGCCATGGTTATAAGTAAGCTTGGAAAAGAATGGGTAAAGTCTGAATCGCTTCGGGATTCCACTCCAACACCCCTCAATACTTGACTATCTGTTTTTTTATTGGCAGTAATCTACAGTCGAGTTTCAAAAAACTGGCTGCTATTCAAAAATCCTCGTATACATGCACAACCAATCAAGGAGAAAGCATCTCTGCAGCTTGTTGAATTTGATGCGAAGCAACTGCGATCGCATTTAGCACTCGAGTTTCATTATGCGCACGAATGGCTTCATGAATTGCAGGAAACATCTCTGCACCATATCCAGACCACTCTCCTGGTGCATAAACAACATGTTTGTACCATGGTCGACCAGGAATGCCATCCTTATTGATAAAGGCGCGCTCCCCAAATCCAAGAATCTTGTTAAGCTTCTTGGCATTGGGTCGTTTTTTGTGTTTCTTGGATGCTGACAAGTCTGCATCAAAAGATGTAATCATCATTATTTCGTTGTTGTCGTTTCCTTGAACAACAAGCTTGGGCTCATCCATTTGCTCAGCATTCGTCTTGGTTTCAATATCAGACAATCCGTCAATAGCCTTGTTCAACTTATTTACTGCTTTTGAAAAAAGTTGGATGGCTTCGTGCAAACTACTTGCCCATTCGATAGGAAATTCAGCAGTCTGGAGCGCAGTGCTTACATCTGTAGCATATCGAGTCAACTCATAACTATAAGGGGCATAGTCAAATGGAAGAATTTCATCGTGTGCAAGCGAAAGAACAATGCGACCAACAATACTAGCAAGTGTCTTGTGATATTCCCAAGTGGGATCTCCAAACTAAATCAAGTGTTAGTACATTGTACACTCAAGTTCACTTTGTGAATGTTCACTACCATGATAAAAGCATCACTTTACCTTTTCCATCCAATGAAAACTATCATAGTTGGAGTGATACACACCATAGTCGCCTTCAAATTTAATATCCATAGCAGCAACACCAACAAATTGCAAAAATGCAACATAATCAGATCCAAATCCAAGTGGGCTAATACGTGGAACACGACCTTGAGGTGTATCCACTCCAGCTTCTTGATTCCACTAAAATTTCAATGCATTTCATTACAGATTAGAGCCCGTATAGCAGTGGCATTTCTGCATTGTTTACTTGAATTCTCATACCAACTTGTAAACACTTTTTCCCGAGTTGGGATCTTTTACGCCCTTGGTTACATCACGGATAAGATTAGCGAGAGAAGGACTAGCAGCAGCATGAAAGTGTGGTCCATAAGCACCCATATCAAGATTAATGTACGCGATCGCAGTTCTATTTAGTACTTCGACATGATCCTAACACATGCATTACAAAAGTTATATGCTGTTGGCAATTCTGTTTGCAGCATAATTTGAAAAAGCAACCATTAGTTACTGCCAACTATACCTCAACCCATTCGGTAGAGCCTAATAAACCGTATTCTTCACCATCCCAGCTTGCAAGAATGATGGTGCGATCGGGTCGCCAGCCAGACTTGTACATTTTACCAAGTGCAACACCAGTTTCAACAATCACGGAATTGGATGAAGATGGATCAACTGAGCCATATACCCTATCGATTAAATGCAATCAAAAATGTTCATGGGTTCATGCTTGTAAATCAAACCATGTGTAGATTTCTAAAATGACTCGACTCACCATGCATCACTATGTCCGCCAAGAATAATGGCTTGGTCGGGTTCGTGTTTACCCTCAATGATGGACAAAACATTCCAAATAGGTTTGATTTTGAAATCATTGTTGACATACATATTTACTTTTGCAGCAGGTCTAATAGTAAAAAAGTAGTATTAACACTATCAAATACTATACACTTGTCATACATTAAACAGCATTATAGGTGGATAAAATCAGTCTGCTTATTACCCTGTCCAATAATCCATGTCAAGACCTCCTTGCCAATTGAGAGATAAGGTTCTGGCAAGAATTCCGTGACCGACAAGAGCTTTCAAAAACTGAATGCATCAGTAGTAATTTGTTTAGTTGATTTTTGGTCCATATCTGATTCTAATTGATAGCCTTGAACTGAAATTACTTACAGGGGCAGCATCAGCGTAGCTAATTGGAATTGCAGGAATCTTGGGAATGGGTGCTTCCTCAATTGGAATACGAGGAGCATCTTTTGTCGCAGCAATAAAAGGCGTAAGTGGGTCACCAGGGTAAAATGTTGGATACTGGATAGAACCTCTTTGTACACCATGAGGTGGTCTCCACGGTCCGTCTTATGTTGATCAACACATTCAATCGTTCATTCCATTAGACAATCGAATCCAAACCCATTATGCCTCGATTAAATTTAAAAATGAAACAGGCAAATTCAATAGCGTACCAGGATACGTAGCACCCATTTTGTAACCATCCTGGGCAGGATCCGAAAAGATCAAAACAGCAGCAGCTCCAGAGAGCTCAGCAGCTCGAACCTTTAAACCACGAAACGCACCACCATATCTGACCAAAACAATTTTCCCCTTGACATCAATGCCGTTTTTAGCTAGCATAGCAAAGTCTTCTATACCACCAAAATTGGCATACACTAGCTCTAAACGAGTAATAGTATCGATTTGCAAACATGGCAATGAGTGAGCAGCCTGTAAATACAGCGTGCACATTCAACACTCAAAAACTGTACCTGCAGTGACGTTTCCAGAAGGAGAGTAGCCTAGAAAGGTAGGAACAGCATCTGGATCCCCACTTGTAGTGTCCTCGGCAATAGCTGGTTCTCTCAGCACTGCATCGTATCGAAATGGCTCCAATAAAGTAAGCGAGCGAGAGATGGGGTAGTTGAGCAATGGATAGTACGAATCGATATGGGTCATGGGAAGACCAGCAGCTTCCCATCTCTCCTTGATGTAAGTAGCAAACTGATTATCACCATCACTGCCGGCAACATGTGTTTTTCCAGTCAAATGTCTGCAAGATTAACATATTAGTATGCAGTTTAAGATGGCTAACGTTTGGTAGACTGAATCTTGAAAGTCATCAAGATCTTTGATCTATATATGATAAGAAATACATAACAAAGCCTTACTTGAGAGTATCTCTGATACTGTCCTTGGTCAATAGGCTTTCAAAAGCATTAATAGCCTTGTGTTGGCTCCATTTGTCCTTGCTATAAGCCTGGGGCTTATCACCTGCAGAAGTGAATCCAAACTGCTGCGAGATAGATTCAGTGGATTTATGAGGAGTAGCAGAACTAATAGTAACGCTAGTTACAGTCGAGAGTAACAATGTAATGACCCACTGCATTGTATTCACTAATTGAATAAGCAATCCTTGCAATAAAACAATTCTTTTCAAAAATGCGTTTCAGTGTTTCTCAGCATCCTTTGAACAAGCCGCGATGCAGGAATCCGCACACGATACCAAGTCGAGCATTTTTGTATGAAATTACAATCAAATTAAACAATTGTATTGTCAAATCGAGTGTCAATTCAACTCGACAATTGATTACATTTTAATATTCAATGTTCAGATTGAGTTTGATTGTTGGATTGGTAAATGTGTTACAAAACATGCATTTACATGCTGAATCTGACAAGTGGATAATCATTGTTCCAATCAACAATTGGATTGAATTGACTGCAATATTGTCATTGATTGCAGTCACTGTTGACCAATACATTGTAATACATTGACAGTTTTGACATCAACATTGTCATTCATGTCAAGTTGTGTGTAGTTGCTAATATTACACCACAACAATACTGTGTCAACTTTCAAGTCCTGTGATACACCGTTTCAACTATGACCGGATCGAGGTTGACCATTTGTCAATACACGGGTCAGTTGTATAATCGTACAACTGTTGGTTAACCAATGTTTGACTGTCAATATTTGAATCATGAATATTGTCCAATATAATCGTCGCTAACACTGTCGTTGTCGTTTGATTGCCTTGTTCTATGAATAATCATTGCAATGTCATTTGTTCAGTTGTTGTTGGTTTATTGAAACCATATCACAATTCTTGATATATTGCACATGATCTTGTAATTGTTGGTGTTGTCTGTAGTGATTCTGTCAATGTATACAAATGTCACTTGTTGCTAATTGGTAGTTGTTTATGATTGATACACAACCGATCAGGTTTGGTGACCATTCTATGCACATATATATTTAACATTATATTGGACTGTTATGTTGTTTGATCCAATAGTAGTATATGTCAGTCATACTATAATACTACATGTTTGTTGCAATATTCATACAACCTATATCCAAAACTGCACAAACACTGTCATTCAAGATTGATGAGTATACAATCACAAATGAATCCAACGCATTTTTTCTGTATATAGTTGTATCAAATGTCGTGTTTGTTGACTTGACTGTTGGCTTGACTAGATCTGATATTACACGGGCTATTCAACAATTGTATTGAATTCCGGTTAGTATCGAGTCATTTGAGTCGTTCAAGTAGTCAAGTTGCTTGGTTTGCAATGTGTTGTGTCCAGGAATCACTTGCAATCAAACCATCACCAAACCACAAGCTAACAACACCAAATGGTATATGACTGGTTATAACAACACATTGCAAACACTCGACGAATTAACCATGAATCAGGCTCAATCATCAACCGCAAATATTATCAAGCGTGTATTCCTGGTTTAGTTGATGATGATCCGAGTATGCGGTATTCGTCACAGTTTGATTTGGTCCAAACAGGTTTTGTAATGGTTTCAACAATATCTGATGAATGACATGCTACAATCGCAGTCTATTGATATTACTGCATGATACAACTGTTTGGTTGACCAAACGACTCGAATGTTGATGGATTACTATGCCAATCGACTGTTTTGACCCGATATCACACTTGACATGCCAACACATGCGACATATGATGGAGTGATGGAAATACTCGAAATACACACAATACAACTCTTGCAGCAGTGTATGAAACTATCAAGCATGACATGGTATGACATGAAGGGTGTGGATTAGACTTGATAACAATGTGTACGATTTGGACTTTTAAATTCGGAAATAGCAGCTCTGTTCCAACATCACATTGATTGTAAATGTCGAGGTTGTTTAACCTTGTACAAATGACCATTTCACATGCAACTTTAGCCTGATATTGAGTATTTTCAAATGAATGCAAGCTTGCGACACTCGTTTGACTCGTTTGGCTCGGATTCTGGTTGATATTTACGATATCGATGCAAAGTTGCATTCCAGAATGAACGTGTATAATCTGATGTGGTCAATCGTTTGGTTTCATTGTTATCAGTCATTGACACCAGTGATTGCATTGATTGCAAATAGTAGTCCAAGTAATCATGCATAAACAAACACCAGATAGTCACTGATAAACTGATGGTATCCAATGTATACATGACACATTGTATAGTTACATTTAATTGCCAGCAATGTGTGATTGGATTACTCGAGTCATCAAGCAGTTTTCAATCAGTTTTCAAGAACAATCAAGTCATGTCCAATAAACTGTCTGATGTGCAGGTGTTTTGGCATTGGTCCGTTGGTCCATTAGTACGATTGTTGGTTGGCAATTCGGACTTGTAAATGACAATTGATTCTTGATTGTTGCATTGGTGTCCATATGTGACTCATTGTATACGGAACAGGACTGACAAGTGTGTCTGAATTGATGACAGATGATACAGCCTATCCAACAGAAAGTAATACATTGATCGTGTCTGCATGGAAATAAGCTTCATAACTTCCACTTCTGAATGTATGAGAATCAACATTCAAACAACAGATACGTCCAATGACTCTTGCAAATGCATTGATAGAGTGTTGTTGAATAATTCGAGTGTTTACAAATCAGCATCACTGGAAATAGTTACTGTTATTCAGACAGTCAGTTGTCCAGACATTACAGTTGTAATATTACACATTTTCCATTGTTGCTGGATACCAATATGCCTACATTTAAAAATGAATGCTACCAACAAAATATTCCATTAGAACTGCAACTGTTGCTTCAAGATCATGGACATATCGTTGTAAATCGTTTCAAATATCAGTCTGTTACCCCATTTTAAACCAATCCATCAATCTCCAATCCGGCTTGTTCAATACTCTCCAGCAACTTGCATTACATTACATTCCTACAACGACTTGTTCATCGTATCCATGTTTACAGCGTTTGTTGTTTTGACTGCGATTTGCATCAACCCAGAATAATGGAATTTACCATTTTCTTTGTAGAGTTTGTCCATAATGTCTGTTTTAATGTAATCTTTTGACTGTTTTTGGATACAAAAGTCGACAATCATTGCTTTATCATCGACTTGACCGCAGTTTGATGAGTTGACAGCACAATCGCATATACACAGGATACGAAATATCAAATCCAATCAAAGTTGGGTATTGTTTGCTGTATCCTTGTCAACTCGGACAATAGCACCACATGGCAATACTTGATAGCAATGTAGACTGTTTTGGTGCTGTGAGATGCAATGATACAACGAGTTTCAGGACCCATTCCAATATGATGCAGCATATTGCAGACAAACAGTTCATTTGTATCTGGTTGCCTGATACCTTTTACATTGTATTTTGTGGGTCTGTACTGACGAGTCTTGATGTAGCAACAAACAGTCAGTTGTTGTTGACATTACAAGCGAATCTGGTCTGGATTCCGTTTTTCTTTGGAGATAATGAGATGTCAAACAACTAGTCAATGTCAGCCTTGTAGTGTTGAATGACAGTATTGATTGACAGCAGTTTGGATCGGTTACGTATTTCCATCCAGATACTGTGATATTGGCAAGAAGGATCTTGCAGAGTTGTTGGTTGTTGATGGGCAAGTTGGATATGAAGTTGTTTTCAATCAATCCGTTGACAATCATGATATCATACCTTGATTTGTATGTACGCAATACTGCTGTCATCTTGTGTATGATGTTTTCTATTCCTACAAACGCATTCCATTTCCAGCTGTTTTTTGCAGACATTTGATGTTGTGTAACAATGAGGGTGTAAAATGTAGTACAGAAATAGACGACTAAATTACAATTATCCCAACGGATTTAGCACTCTTGTTCAAGTAAAACAGTATCATCCGATGCTCATTATACACTACTTGTACGTTGAATCATGCCAATCACTTGCTATTTTAACAAGCATATAATATCACAGCAATATTGATGACCAACTAATAGCCGAGTGTCAACTCATTTCAGTTTTGGTTTATACTCATTTCTTAACCCTAACCCTTTTCAGAGTGAAGCTTTTAATCAACCATATGATATTCGAATGTATGGTCAGATATCAGCTCAACCAACATTGCGGATATCATATAAAGGAAGACTCTTCAAAGTTTGGCATTGATAACAAATCACCATTCAACCCTGACAACACTAACCCTTAGGACGGTCATTCAAGGGATATGCTTTTAATACTATCGCCACTCGATAACGAATATAAATACAATCCAAAACTTGAACTGTTGAATGTCATTACAACTTGCTCAACCAAACCAATAGAATGAAACTTGCAGTTGCTGTATTGTCATCGATCCTGCTTGCATGCTCGGTTACTATTGCCAATCCAATTAAACCCAGTGAAAGTACAGATGTTGAAACTAGCACTTCAACCGTCATTCCCAGTGAAACTACAAGTACTGAAGCTAGCACCTCGTCAACTCCTAATCCAAACGGTATAGGCTTAGGTGCTCTTGATGCACTTCCAGATAGCATCAAGGAATTGCTCGAAAAATACAAGAAGGAAAAGCATGATCTTAATCAGCAAGAAAAAATATATTGGCCGTTAAAATCTGAATATGATGGCCAGCTTATGCTGGTAACGGACTTGGAAGCAAAGCTTTATTTTTTGAAACGTAAATCTCAAAAAAACGGCGGCAGTCCAGAATATGATGGTGAAATTCAGGAGACTAAGATTGATCTTGAAATCCAAGAATCCAAACTTGAGGATATTGGAAAAAGCTACCGCGAGTGTCGGCTCAGGTATGATGATCTTAAAGCTGCAATAGCTTTCACCGAAATAAAGCTCGTGGATCTCATTTTCGGAGAATCTTCGAATTATGAATTATTTGAACAGCAAATTGATCTTATCAACAAGCACCCTTCCGTTGTAGAGTACCTTGGCGAATTATCATTAGAATACAGTAAGATTCCTGGTGGAAGCTCTAGTGGTCAACAACATCAAGAGTCGCAACCATCATCAAGTAGACCATCTGGATCTGGATCCTCTAGACAGAAAGCTCCCTCCAATAAACGGAAAAGGGTTTCCAAGCTTATGAGTGGATTAAAATCACACTTTAAACGACCCGAAAGTGAAGATCGCGAACCATTGATTTGAATGTCAATCTGGATTGGTTTCAACCGATTCAATTGTCATTCTGGTTTAATTTGCAATAAAATTGGATCTACATGCATTATATCTGATTATTGTACACAGTCTTGGTTGACATGGTATCATATTTTACATTGACACTTGTATTTCCAATACAATACGATACAGTTGATTATATATTGCATAGTTGTACACATTGATGATGCTGACATGCATGTGTGTATTGTGTTGATATGATATTGCTTGACATGTCGTATTGACACATGCAACACCAATACCAACAATAGTCATGTGTACCATATCAATATGTTGCACAACAGTCATTTAAACAGGTTGGAGCATGCCACATTGTAGCAATGTAATCAAATTGGTACAACACATGTCAACATACATGTATTGTAGTATACACTAGTAGTGATGATTCAACTAACGACATGCGTGGTTGTAATATTATACGTGAAACCACATGCTCATGATTGTGGTTGTGATTATGGTGACATACAGTATTACAATAATGGGTCAGCAACAATGTGATGGAACTGGATGTGCAATACTAAAACCATGTCCAGAATACGTGATGTAACGACAACTTGCAGCCATATTGATGTAAATAGACCCCTAAATAACAGTGTTGGTGTGTGATAAACAGCTGCATTACTGACATGTGTCATGATTGTTGTTGAACTAGATCGCAATCGTATCCGTGATTCAGAATACAACAGAAACGACAAACGCTGATTCAAGACTATTTCAGTTCAAAATCATAGTTTGTGAGCATCATATCACTGACACTGTTTATAATAATTCATAATGTATATTGAGTCAACAGTCAATGTCCAGTACAAAACTACATCCAATATTCAGCATTGTTTATTCCAAACCAACAGTCAATCACTGCAAGATAGTGTTCAACTCTACATCAATGCGATTGTATACCATTTTGGTTTCAGTTGTAAATTTGAGCTATTTTGATTTGGCCAAACTTTGCTTGTAATCTGTGCGATTGGTTGTGGATTCAGTGCAAAGGTGAGCAAATCTGATATTCTACTCTTTTTTTCTTTTTTTTTTTTTGTTTTT